TAAAGGATTATAAAATAATTATTATATTTATAATAATTAATATAATAGCTTTAAAAGGATAATTAATAATTAATAATAGAATAATTATATTAAAGGAATTAAAAAAATTTAAAGATTTAAAAAACCTTAAATAAATTAACCTCCTATTAAAATATTATTTTTTAAAATATTTTATTAAATTAAAAAATAGTAAAAAGCTATTATTTAAACCTATTTATTTATTAAATAATAAAAAGTAAAAAGTATTATAAAAATATATTAAATAAGCTTTAATAAAAGGATAGATTTATTATTTAAATAGTTTAATTAATACCTTTATTTTGTTTATATTTAAGATAAAAGGTAAATTATAATTTTATATTAATTATAAAAGGCTAAATTAATTAATTAAAAAGAACTATATATTATTACCCTTAATTAAAGAAATATTAAATAAGTTTATTTATATTAAGGTTTTTATTAAGGTAAATTTAAAGGATGTTTATTATTAGTTATATATTTATAAAGAAAATAAATAAAAAATTATATTTTAAATAAAATATAATTACTTTAAATATTTAATTATACCTTTTAGTTTTATTAATATACTTATTACCTTTTAATAATATATTAATTATATATTTATTAAATTAATAAATTATATTTATATAGTTTATTTAAATAATATTATTATTTATAATAATAATTATAAAAAGTATTTATAATATATTTATAATATTTTAATTAAGCTTAAAAAATAAGGTCTTTATATAAATTTAAAAAAAGTATAATTAATTTATTAATTATATTTTATTCTTTAAATTTATAATTACTTTAAAAGGTATTAATATAAATTATAATAAGGTAAAAGTAATTAAATAATAAATAATATTTATTATTATTTATATTATATAAATATTTTTAAGGTTTATAAGGTTTTATTAAAAGTTTATTAAAGGATATATAAAGATTATAACCCTTTTAATTAATAAAATAAAGGAAATATTATAAAGTATTTTTAACCTTATAAAGGAAGAATAATTATTCTTTAAAAAACTATAGCTTTTATTTATTAAGGCTTTTATTTTAAAGCACTTTAATCCTTTATTATTATTTAAGGTTAAAATAAATATATTAGATTTTATAATAAAAGTTATTATTTTATAATTATATAATAAGAATTAATATTTTATTATATATTACTTTTAAAAGTTATAAAAGGTAAAATTATATTATAATACTTTAAATATTAAGTTATTAATAATTATTTATATATTTTTATATTAATAATATTATTTATATTATTTTTAATATTAAATTTTAATATTAATAAATTATTTAAACTATAGCTATTTAATTATAAAGCTATAGTTAAGTATTTCTTAAATATTTTAATTATAAATCTTAATAGAATTTAATTTTAAAATAAAATATAAGTTAGGAAAATAAAACTTAATAAATAGATTATTTTAATAATTTAATTATTATATAAAAGGGGTTAAATAAAAGGTAAAGTAAGGATTAATGCTATAGTTTTTAATAAAGTTTAAAGCTATTAAAAGTTAAAAGTTAAAAAAAAAAAGAAATATTAAAAAGAAAAAAAAAGGAATAAATATAAAAAGGATATAAGGTTATTAATAGTTTAAAGGGGTATAAAATTTTATTTATATAAAAGCTTTTAAATATAATGCTTATTAAAATAATTGGAGAAGGTTAGGGGGGTAACTTTAAGGAAGTTAGGTAGGAGTAATTAATTAATGCTAATTTACCGGACGAAGGAAATTAGGTTAAGCTTAAACCTGGTTCCGGGGGCGTATAGGGTAATAAGTAGGTAAACCATTATATTAAATTTACTAGGCTAATAAGTAGTTAACTATAATTCCTTATATTATTATTATTAATAATAATAATATAAAAAACCTTAAATTTAATATTAAAAGATATTATTAAAAAAGTTTAATAAATTAATAAGTTTATTATTTTTAATATATAAAAATAATAAAGGATTAAAAAATCTATTATTAAACTAATATAATATATAAAAAAGGATAAGCTATTAAAATATAAAATAAAGGTATATATTTTTAAAAAATATTAATTAATTTAAAAGGTATTTAATAATTATTATAATATAGCTTTATTAAAATATTAAAGGGTATTTAAAATAATAAAAAGAATAATAATTATTTACTTTTAAAATAATTTAATAAAAGATATTAAAAAATATATAAAAACTTATATAATATATTAAAGGATAAAAGTAAAAATATATTAACTTTATAATAAGTTTAATTTATTATTAATATTAATATATTTATTTAAAGAAATTTTATATAACTTTATTATTAAGCTATTAAAATTAAAAGTATAGTCCAATAAAAAATATAATAATATATTAATAATAATAAATTAATTAATTAAATATTTTATATATTTCTTTATAATAAACATTTTTATTATAAAGGGGTTAATAGATTTATTATTTTAAAAAATATTTATTAAATATAATTTATTAAAAGGTATTATATTAAATAAGGGGTTTTTATTTATAAATTACTTTTAAATAATATTATACTATTAATTAATTATTAAAAGAAGGTTAAATATAGCTTTTTATTTATAAATTAATAAGTAAATAAAAAGGTAGAATTAAATAATAAAGTATTATTTATAAACCTTTAATTACTTTAAATAAAATAATTAAATAAAAAAGTTTATTTTAATTAAATAGGTTTATAATATATTAAATTATATAAAATATTATAAAATACTTATAAAGCTATTATATAATTATATATTAAAGGGTTTATTTAATTAAATTAAAATTTAATTATAATATAATTCTTAAAATATAAAGGAATATATATAATAAATTTAATAAAGTTATAAAAAAATAATAAAGCTATTAAATAATAATAATTAAATTTATATAAAGTAATATAATAAAAAATAAATCCTTTATAAATTTAAAGTTAAAGATTTAATAATATTATTAATAAAAAATATTAATTAATAATAGTTAAGTTTTAAATTAATTAATAAATTTTTAAGGCCTTTTAAAGTAATTATAATAATAAGGTCCTATTTTTTAATTTATTAATTAAAACTACCTTTAATTTATAAAATATATAATACCTTTTTAATAAATATATTAAAGCTTTATAAATATAAAAAAGGAACTTTATTATTATTAAATTAAAAGTTAATAATATTATAAAAGAATAATATTTTTATAGTTAAAGAAATTTTAATATATAAAGGGTTTTTATAAAATAAATAATATTTAATTAAATAGTAGGGGTATAATAATAAAGATAATTTTTAAATATTATAAAAAGATATAGGTAAAAGAATAAGGGATAATTATAAAAAGGGAAAAAATAAAGTTTAATTTAATAATTTAAAAAAAAAAATTTAAAAAAATAAGGTATAAAGGCTAAAAGGTATATTAATAATATAGTAATAGCTATATAAAAGAAAAAAAAAAAAAGCTAAAGTTTAAATACCTTTATTTTTATTTTTACTTTTATTATTATTAATAATAAAGAAAGCTTATAAAATAGTAAAGTTTTATATAAAAAAAGGTTAATAATTATATAGTTAAGGGTAAAAATTTTTTTATTTTATTTATAATCTTTATATATTTTTTATAAAACCTAATAAAGGTTTTAATAGTAGTTTTAATAATAGTAGTAATATATTTAAGGGTTAGGAGTTTATGCTTTTATTATTTAATAATAGCTTTAATAGTAATAATAGTAATAGTAATAGGGGAAAAGGTAATATAATTCTTTTTAACTTAAAGGGTTTAAAAAATAGCTAGTTATACCTTTTTAATGTTTTATAATTTTTTAAAAAAAAGGTATATAAATAATTAATAAATAATTAATATTTATATTAATAAAAGTAATAATAATAAAATAAAAATATATAAGCTTAAAGTTATAAGCTTTAAAAGGGTTAATAAATTAAAGGAGGTTAAAATTTATATTATAATTATATAATAATTATAAAGTAATTATAAAAAAGGAAAGATATAATAATATATAAAAATATATAGCTTTTATTTATATTTATATTAAATATATTTAATTAATATTATTATATAAATTTTTAATATTAATTATTTAATAATAAAGTAATAGGTTTATTTATATTTATTATTAATATAAATAGGCTTTTCTTTTTTCTTTTTAAAGATATCCTACTTTATTAAAGCGTTAAAGTAATAATAATAAGGAATAGTATAAGTATTAAATTACTTTAAATTAGCCTTACTATAGGGTAATAATTATATAATAGCTAAATAAAATATATAATATTATTATTATTATTATTATTTTATTTAAGGTTAATAAAAGGCTTAAACTTTAAATATAATATTAAACTTATAATAAGGTAACTATTATATACCTATTATTAATAATTAATTTAAAAATAAAAATAAAGGAATATATTTATTTATAAAAATAAAAGTTAAAAAAATTAAAAAATAGGTAATTAATATTAAAAGCCTTTTAATAAAAATGTAAGATTTATAATAGCGGTAAAGTTAAGGTTAAAGAAGGAAAAAGGAAAAAAAAAGGAAAAATTAATATTAAAAAGGTTAATAATATATTAAAAGGTATATAATAAATAAATAGCTTTAAAGTTATTAAGTATTTAAATATATAAATAAGGATATTCCTTTAATTATTACTTATTTTTTATATACTTATAATTTTATTATTAAGTTATATTAAATAGTATTCCTTATAGGCTACCTTTTATTAATGCTTTAAAGGTAAGGCATTTATAGGAGAGGGTATTTTATTAGGAAATATTATAGCATTAGGGTAAAAATTACCCTAAAAGGTAGGGATAATATAGAAGTTAGCTATATAAAGGTATTTAGGCTTCCTTTTTATATTTAAGAAGCTAAAAATTAATAATATTAAGCCCTTACCTATACCTTTAACCTATCTACTTCCTATGTACTACCTATTGGTGATCTAGCCTTACTCCGGGATAAACCTCTATGACACTGCCCCAGAAACGTGAAGTCGTTCTCTGGACTCCAATCCCATTATCTGGCAGTGTTCAAGAAGGAAATTTTGATGAATGATATCAAGCCTTTCATGCAAAATATCGTTGGAGTACCAGATTTATCTTCTGATGACATAGTTAAGGAGTTACACTTGCAGGCGGAAGACCCGAATCCAGATGATGATCTTATACGCGAACTGTATAGTCGACTATGTCACTTATTATTAGCGGCTCCCGCAAGCGACATAAGCAGGCTCAGGTAAGTTAGCATTGAAATCTACATATGCTAGTACATTGTGCTAGAAACGAGAAAGTTCCTTCCCATTGTTCTTGCACTTGTGAGGATGGGAATTCTTCACGTGTCTATGTTGCAATTATTGAGTTTTGATAACACAAATGGCAAAGAATCGAGTTCTGACTTGAGAATAGGGAAGCCTTTCGGACTCGTGCTCTCATCTTTGCTCAAGGGGAATGGCATACAATACGCGAATGCGTATGGTCATCTGGAATCTCTGTTCCAGCGAAGATCAATCTGAGTCAAGTTTATAGTGATATGGCGACACTTTTTGTTGAGTCATTGAGATTGTCATCGGATATTGATATGGCCTATGATGAGATTCTCTATTTGGCAGGCACGTTTGAGTCCACGAGTATCAACACTCTCAACGAAGTAAAGGAAGCTCTGCGGCGATTCAGCTCACTTCTTCCTTCTGCGAAGACCCAACCAGATCGGAAGCAGATCCTCGAGACCTCAGTGTTTCCAGTGAGATATCCTAATGGTGTTGTTCAACTGGCAAGTGCAGCTGCCGTTGATTTTGTCATCGTGGATCAACAACCAATTGAATCGAACTTGGGGAGCTCCGCCAGAATGTTGGACTTCACCCCCAGTGAAGTCCTTAGTCTCAAGCCACTAATTGTATGGGCTGGCTTGGAAAGCCGCCTCCATTCCGCCAAAATTAATGATGAAATGAAATCTTCAAGAAGTACAGAGCTCTCTGCAGAATCACAGCGTGATATCAGATCAAAGGCCCATGCTTTATGCCGGTAAGCGATCTTCTCGGATGAGAGACCATCTATTACACACTGACTGCAGAATAGAATCGCGATAGAATTCAAAAGTCCTAGGGCACGAGATATCAAGCCATTCCACGATATTCTGAGGCAATCTAAAGTCTTCCAATCGCCATTCATTACACCGGAATTATGTCAAATCGAAAATGGAAGTACCAACACGGTGAATCAGCACGAGGTTGAGCTTTACTTTCAATACACGGACCATGCCTTGAATATTCACGTTCCGGAAGATCCATGTCGCCAAGACCTATGCTTTCTGTTCGACTTGCCACACGCTTTGTTAGAGTGGATCATGGCCGAGATCCTTCCCCAACTAGACGATGGAGAGGCTGAACTTGCAAAACGACTAATCACGAACGTTTTGAATTCCAAGCCTGCCATTGCCAAGCAGCTCTTGGATAAAGAAGGGATTGTCGAGTTAGGTTCCATAGAGGGCTATGTCGGCGATGGTGACCTTTTGAGCGCGGTCGAAACTCAACAAGTCGACAATATCAAAGTCCAAGACTGCGGGCAGTTAGCGGTATCCCGTGTTGAGGATGACACCACAGAGAAGGAAGACAGTCTATCGTTGGCGTTAGCACATCTCAGTCTTTCTAGCAAGCCACCAGACACTGGTAAACACTCATCTTCCTGTTGTGATCAAGAGGTCTTTGAGCCCGTTTCGCGTCCCCAACCATGTTGCACGGATGTCCAGTCGTCACAAGCTCCACAACTAAATGCTTCATCACTAGCATCATCTGGGACAAACCCACGTCTGCTTCCAAACATTCCTCCAAGCCAAGCAGGTAACAGTGCAACATCCAGATTCGCGTTTCTCTTGGCCAGAGTTGTTAAAGCAGCACGATCCTCAAGTTTTCTCCGCAACGGTGTCTATGAAAACTCAACTGTGGATATTGCGCTTCCTGAAATATATGCTGCAACTAAAGCTACCTATGACGATCTAACCGGCCCGCACCAGGCGACAAAGTTATATGCTGCTGGAATCTTATATGTTGGTTTTTAATCAACTCTCGTTTCGATCATACTAACTTTGACATCAGGTATTCGAGCTTCTCTCAAACTTGGTTCCAAATCTTCCCCAAAGCGCTGCTGGCAGCTCTACTTTCAAACAAGTTGCGTTGTACCCGGAATTCAGTGGTATGAATCAAAAATACCTTCATGGCTTAGCACACAGTAGGCGATTTCTTCCACAATCTGTTCTCTGTCGTATTTCTGAAATTGCGCAATGCTTCGCTTCAAGAGGTAACAAGGAATTTTACCGAGGCAACTTGCCATTGGCAAACACAAGGGTAAAGTGATTGTGCTGACTCTAGTAAATTCAGTCATCTATCCCGATTCCTCCAGCACATTGACTGCTGCTCTCATTGACCACGGCTATCTCGATCAAAGCAAGTGGAGTGGCAGAAACCCAACGTATTACATAGACGTGTATAACTTCTTAGACGCTGATAAAAACATCTTTCGCCTTGACCCCAGAGACTATCCTGAGGTAAGAAATACTAGTAGTTCTTTTCTAATTAGTGAAGTCTTGCTAACCCTGTGGTGCAAATCATAGAAGTGGAACATGCTAGGAGATCATAAAGACAAAGCGGGCCACGAGGCAATATATGTTATATTCTACGTGGACATATCCGACCATGGTTCTGTACAACATAAAGTTTTGGTTGATCCCAAGGACTTGGAAAATCGGGGCGTTCTGCGGATCCGCTCTCATCCAACCAGCCCATCAAGTTGGTTCGCTGAGACGGTAAATGGAAGCGGGTATAGTTTCTAGAGCCTGGCTGTCTGAACAAGAATGCCAATTTCAAGTTCGATTGATCTATATGTAGAGACAGGAAATCTGAATGCCCTCTTTTCCTTTGGTTTAATGTGAGTCTGCGCTATAATAGTTACAAGTTATCCTACTATCTGCGAGGTAATCCTTCGTAATTTCGTTGGCTGTCGGGAAATTGTTACATATTCATACCATGTCAATCTCGATAGTCAGGATCATATGACCGTTCACTACCTTTGCGGTTACACAGGCCATGCGACATCATAACACAATGCGTATGTTCTATCTAAAAGTTTTCAAGACACTTCCACTTCTCACGTCTCTTGGAAGTCGAAGCAATTATCTGAATTTGTGAGTCTGTGATACCCGATAACCTCAACTTCAGGCTGAAAGCGTGTTGTCGTCATCAACTGACAGCAGCGCCACTTTGTCAGGATAAATAGCTTGATACTGTTCCTATGCAAGGAGGCTACCTTGTTCCGCTTATGGGCCACCAGTCTGAAGAACAGTTACGACGAAGAATTCCCCCGTTAGACTCACCTGTAGACGCATTGCCTACCTTCACTTGCAGCAAGCTAGGAGAAGGTATCACGGGGCCGAATGGCCATGGGGCATATACTTAGGTAAAAGAGCCGAATGAAGTACAAACAGCTTGTATCATAGTGATAGATCTAATACCGCTGTTTCAATACAATCGCCGATGACATTATGTAGAAACTTCTGAAGGCCTGATACCGCATGTGACATGCTAGTCAAAGTGCTTGATTTGGGGCCAGCCCCCTAAATCCATTTTACTTCAACATCAACGCCTTCACCGCCCTTTGTTGATGAAGGGATACTCCTTCGTTCGTCTAAGTTCTGCATCACTGGGTTTTCCAAACCTTTGCCGAATGACTGCCAATGAAGCACACATCAGCGAGGCCAGGAAAGTCGCAAGTGCTGCGAATGCCAAGGGACCATGCGGTATATTATTTGATGACGTATCTGCTCAGACACTGATCTACATCAGTTGCTGCTTCTTCAACACAATAAAACACCCGTAGAATGACCGGAGGGGCATCCACATATGCCGTTGATCCCGGGTGCGGCGAGACTCGAGGGTTGTCATTGGACATGCTTGAAGAAGTCTGTAAGCGAGGTGTGTTTGAGGATCAGGTTAATTGAGCTGTATTGTTGTTGTTTTTTTGTGGATTGGAGGATACCGCGCTCTGAATTGCAACTTATACTTGAAGTTTAGAGAGGCTTGATGTGCTGTGGAGTTGTAGAGATTGACGTTTTCCTCGGTGCTAGGTCGGAGCCCCCTCCCCTTACCCCTGTGAAAGAGAGGGGGCCTGTGATGTAGTTGGAAAGAAAAAGACTGTTGTTCCTTGGCATGGATTCCCCATACCCCATACTTCCATTGCCGACCCGGTACCCTCCGCATTCAACACGGACTAATGTGATGTGAGGCTCTCAGCAAGGTACCCTGGTATGCAAAACACGGCACCGCCAAGTCCTCGATCTCGGTGCTATTGCGGCATGCATGGGTTGTTGGTGGTCGGCTATTCCATAAGTCCCCGGACCAAGATACCGCTTCGGGGTAGCCCACACAAATCTCCACGATTTCTCGTCTACGCTATAACCAGAGACCTTGCACTCCAAAGTGGCCTATTGATGATCGGGACCATGTAACCGAGCGCACGGGCTTGCAGTGTCTTGGCCAGAATAACGGCTGACGAGAAAGGTCGCGTTCTTTACAGTTTCTAGAGAGACTAATCAGGCGCATCGTCATGCTTTTACTACATTTGGTTCACGGCCCTATTTCTCACGACTATTTCGGGCCTTCTTAGGTAGAGGGTAATCCGGAGCGATACGTCTAGTCTGCTTAGACGAGAAGCGGAGGAGACGATAAGTATTGAAGATCACTCTTCGAATTTCTACAAATACACGGCTGATGAAGTCTAAAAAATTATGAAGTTAGAGTACCAGACATCGTTCATTCGTAAGCCTCTCATTGCTCTCTCTCGACTCCATCGCCCAAGTACGAAACGGTTCTCGCATCAACTCCAACGATCAAGATGCAGATGAGCACGAAAGCTCTGGTGGTGGCCGTAGGCCTCGTCCCCTTTGTCGCTGGACACGGCTACCTCACCATTCCCAAAAGCCGTACCAGACTCGGAAGCGAAGTGAGTAACCAGAATTGAAACTCTCGAGCCCAATTCCTACCTTTCATTCTTTCCCGATGCAAATACACAAGACCTATCACCGCAATACTTCAAAACGAAAATCGAATAGACAGTACTGATTTTCATCTTTTCGTAGTCTGGCAAGGACACTTGCCCGGAATGTACCATTCTTGAGCCGGTGAGCTCATGGCCGGACCTCGACGTGGCACCGGTGGGCCGTAGCGGAGTGTGCGGGTACAACGCGCGCGTGAGCGTTGACTACAACCAGCCGTCGAGCGAGTTCGGTTGGGGTATGGATCCGGTAGTGACGTACTCGGCAGGCAGCACGATTGATGTGGAGTGGTGCGTCGACAACAACGGCGACCACGGTGGCATGTTTACGTACCGAATCTGCCGGGACCAGGCCTTAGTTGACAAGTTCCTGGACCCGGACTATCTTCCAACGGAGGCAGAGAAGCAGGCCGCAGAGGACTGCTTCGACGAGGGCCTACTGAAGTGCACCGATGTGAGCGGGCAGTCTTGCGGTTACAACCCTGATTGCTCCACCGGCGAGGCCTGCTACCGCAATGACTGGTTTACGTGCAACGCCTTCAACGCCGACTCGCGGCGGGCGTGCCAGGGCGTCGATGGTGCCGCGCTCGGTTCGTGCTTCACTACCATCGCAGGCGGCTACTCCGTTACCAAGAAGATCCAGCTCCCGGCCGACTTCACGAGCAAACACACGCTACTCAGCTTCAAGTGGAACTCGTTTCAGACGGGGCAGATCTACCTCAGCTGCGCCGACATCGCTATCACGGGGCCCGGGGGCAGCAGCGGAACCTCGCCGTCGTCAACTCTGAGTACAGTAACGAAGACGGCGACTTCGGCTGCGAGTTCAAGCACAGCTTGCGCGCGTAGCGCCATTGCCGTGACATTCAACGAAGCCGTCACGACCACCTACGGCCAGACGATCAAGGTCGTGGGGTCGATCCCGGAGCTGGGCAATTGGGACGTGAGCGCGGCGCCCGCCATGTCAGCGTCCAAGTACACGAGCTCGAAGCCCTTGTGGACGTACACCATGAGCATGGCACCGGGCAAATCGTTCGAGTACAAGTTCGTGAATGTGGCAGCATCGGGCGCCGTGACCTGGGAGAGCGGCCCGAATCGCTCCTACAGCGTCGCTAGTAGCACTTGCGAGTCTACAATCAATCTAGATAGCACCTGGAAATAGAGGGTTTGATATGACATGTACATGGAATATGTATTCTTGTGCAAGTCAGGTTGATATATGGTCAAAGTCATGTCCTTATGTACTTGTTTCATCTATGGCTGGGGATATTCTGCAGGGGTTTACGAATAGGTAATGAAAGGTATACTGACACTGGAGGGAATGGAATACAATGGAATGATGGGTAGAAAATCTAATATAAATTAGATTTAACAAATCTAAAACGTAGAGGAGAATCAACATACTTTAACATCGTCGACTTCTCCAATTATGTACCTTGCAATCCTGCCTCCTTTAGTTAATCTACTGCTAATATTTAAATATCTCGGATTAGCATGCATACATTAGTATAGGCTGTGCCTATTAGCACATTCCAGCCTGTATTGTTTCTATCTACAATGCAGATTTGAGTGAGGCATAGCTACATACGATCAATGACTCATGAAGGTTCCTTTTAGATCCAGGTAATAATGACTTAGTTTATTGACAATAGTTACTACTCGCATTCATCATAGGACTTGTGCGATAGTCATACTGTCGCCGACGGCCGGGCTTTACTTCAGTCTACTCAGATGCAGCTTGGTTTAGGTCGGACCTCCAGACGGAATCGGGTTACGGGGATTCGAGATTGACGTGGTATAGTGGGATTTCGTGAGCAAATGTTACTTTTTATCTTTCGCGGATCTCCCTACTATCTTCGTAGCTACGCTGTAGCTATAATGTAGAGGTTCTTTCAAGCCACTAAGTTCATGAATGCAGGAAGAGGGTGTTAGTAATAACCCAGAAACGTATCAATTCTATACACATCAATCGAATATACCCGATGTGAGGCGCAGACATGGCTTTCTTCTACCCCCAGGCACATTATCTAAATGTATCTTAGCAGATGCGGAATCTGGCTGACAGGCTTTGCAACAAATTGCTGTGATCGGAATGCCCGGTGCGCGTACTATGCCGCTGTCGGAGTCTGAATATATCGGACAAAGCCATCAGCATTATTGGTGGCTACTAGGATTGGGGTATTAAGTGACATCCGTTCATAAACGAATATCTTCAAAGATTGAAGAATAAAAGAAAGGTTGTGATCTGGCCAGTCTATGATGTCAATTAATATCAACTTTTCCTTATCCTTGAGTAAGTTACATGATTCTGCAGTGTGGCTAGCTCTGAGTAGTGCAGCTTGCTGAATCCTAGTTATATGCCATCATTCCATGACAGCTGAACAGCAGACGAATCTCATACTATCCGTCCTAAATGCTTCATTGGTGGCGGGTTCGGCATTTGCTACAGCGTAGAAGGAGGCCGGATGAAGGAATTTGGTACTCCTTTTCGAGAAAGCAATGAAATTTAGCTGGGCAGTGTCTGCATGAAGACCATCGCGAAAGGAGCGATACACACTGAGCTTGGTTATCCTCAAGGCCCTTCGCTCTCTTGGTTGAGTCTTCCAGAAGTTCCTTTGTTGACTTCAGCAAGCAATAGAGTTCAGGCAGCAAATATGGACTGAGCTCTCGAACAACATCTTCATCATCCAAAAGATGATTCTCAGCGACCTCTTCGAGATGTCTCATGGTCATAGCACCCAGCATCTTTTTAAATTGTGCATCACCCATCATGCCTTTCGATCCTCGGAGAAAACCGCAAAAGTCTTTGGCAGACCACTCATCTTCAAGGACGCGTCTGAAATTCGCGGTTGACAGCGTTGCGAGCGCAGGGATGGCATAATAATCCGCGATGGCATTCATGCGAGCATGGCTAGTTAGCTGGTCGTGGATAGTGTTAGGACGTGTGGTATCAGATTCGTCGCCATTAGAGATGGTGAGATTTTCCAACAACAAAACTAAAGACACGGTTAACAAAAGTTTCTCACATTGATTTGAGGTGAGATTACCAATTTCTTTGCCGGCTTCCTCCGTAGAACTAGCTTGTTCCACCATATGACCAGCCGAAAGAATGTCGGATGCTGTATAGGTGGACAAGTCGTAGTCACCAGTGTACATAAAATCGATTAGGCGCTTGACACTAGGTAAGTCGAAGGATACGACAATCTGATTGATCTTTGCTTCCTACTACCAATTAACATCAAATTCATTGACTTGACGATTCCGAACGGTGGGCAAACTCACATTGAAATTGCCTGTTAAAGCAGCGGCCATGACAGGCGATACCAAACAGATGGTGGCCTTGTGGGCATTGAATATCTCGCCCTCACAAATCAGCATGACATCGCTGAACTGTTTGATGTCTTGCACATTGCGAAGCGACGAAGAGTTACTTGGCGCCATCATGTTGTACTTTCAACTGATGAGGCGGGGTACGTTATCGTAGTTGTTTAGTTGAGAGAAGTGAAATGGAGATCAGCTTGAGAGATGACAGACAGACAGTAATTAGATGCATGTAACATTTAGAAAGCTCTGATTCTCTATTCTACTTCTGCCAGTTCCCCTGGGAGAACTGTGCCTACTTATAGACAGAAGCTACCTACACTACCTCATTAGGCAGCACTACATATTGCATACAGCATCCCTTCGGCAACTCACACGTCTTTGTGCACATGAAAGAAGCTATATGCACATACCATGCACCAGATCCTTCTAGATGGAAATATTGTGTGTTCCTAGCATTTTAAGGTGTGGCTAAGGTACCTAAGTACCTACATCGAAACTCATAGCTTCGAAGTTTGCTCACCCTTCTAGTTGCTTCTGGTTGTCGTGGCATGCACCTAGTTGCCAGTTGTCATGCCAATATGTTGTTAGTGTGTGACCTTTGTGGCTCTCTTGCCTGGAGGATTGCATGGAATTTGGTGTCACCTTGTCCTCATATTATAATATATTCCCCTCATACAGCACCAAAACATTCCCACCCACCAACCTTGCAATCGTGACCGTTTCTCACATGTGTCTTTGTCCATATTTTGCTGTAGAATTTCGAAGCAACTACAAGACTATCACGGCAACACAAAATCCTTCTGGATACCTGTCAGGTACCTTATAAAACACTGCAAGAGTTTGTTTCATGATGGGGCTTAAGAAGCCCTTGTGCGCAACAAAAACTATAATCAACCGTAATCAACCAACGCCTTCGCGATCTTGGCATTACCAGACGCCTCTGGACTAGTGCAACAGGGATTAACACCAGCTCAGCCCTACCGGCAAAGGGCTCTCATCTTGTGTAATACATTTTGCGGGGGTTGCCAAGAATATCTAAGAGACATGTTCTTGGCAGGTGAACAGGAGTGATGAGTGAGATGGAACTGAACAGTATGACTATATTTAAAGGACGGGAAGCTTCGATGAGTACTGTTTTATTAGGGCTGATTCACCAAGACAAAATGTACCAACTAAGTAGCGATGGTATAATATACATATGTTGAATATTAGAACAAACAACACATCGAATCCTCTTTGTCGCAATGTCTGATTAGGTCTCGTATTACCTAGGCTTTGACACAAACGTTGTGATCCATCCACAACCCCTTCCAATCCAACCCGACTTCAGGATTCCACTTATTGAACTGACTAGCCGTGATGCCAAACTTCTTCTCAATGTCAGCGCAGTACTCCTTCTTGGCGGGCTTGTACCACTGGTTGCAGGCGCAGATAGATCCCGGCTGAGTCGGCGTCGGGTGCGCCGTCGCGCAGCCATCTGGGGTCGTCGCCGTCGTTAACTTGGACCGCGTGTGTCCGATGATGCTCTCGCATACATGCGCATCCAGCCACAGCCCCAAACACGAGCTACCGGCAAGACTCCTGGTCGTGAACTGCGTTGGCGTGGTGCCGTTCGCGTTGGCGGTTGACTGGCAGGTGCCGCCCAACTTGAGAAAGCGTAAGGCGTCGCAGTTGAAGACCATACCATCTTGCGTCGGAGTCGGGGTGGCAATCCTGTTGCCGGTTGTTGTCGTCATCGGCTTCTTGGTCGTCGTGCTAGGCATGCTGGGGATCCCGATGTCTATCATCGCTCGCGAATTAGCTTTGGTTCAATGGGTAGACGTGCAAAGCACTGGAAGAGCCCGTGGAATTTGTCAAGATAGACAATTGCTCATAGTGTTATGCATCAGCCTAGAGACCGAGGCAGTGGTTGCCCACTACAAGATTCCACTTGATGAGCTCTGCCGTTGTGAATGTCCCGTACATGCTCACAATCTACTCGCAATTATCGTTCTTAACAGCCTTATAGAATCTGACAGACGAATCTATCAAGCCTTCCCGAGCCAGTGAGGGTCTGGGTGTGCCTGTTCTCAGCTTGGCGTGGGAGCAAACTAACGCTATTGAAAGAGAAATACATGGGCACAACATACGACCTATCCCCAGACTGCAGTGAAGAACCTGTCGGTTATTATGGCAATCCATGGATCAAGCTATTTCGCCTAGCAATGGGTGATCCCACTTTTGCCTTACATAACCTCCATCGCACCTAATTAATATGCGCTTCTTATCTTCCGTTCCCTCTATATAGTCTCGATTCTGTCTCTTTTCTCACTTCACAAAGGGCGGCCACACATCTAGACTTGATCCTTCGGATTCTCGCAATTCCGACCATCACGCAGAAATGCAATCGACAGCTGACAAGATTTTTGAGGGGGCGGAGCTTGGCAAACTCCCTTTCGATATCTTCGCTCTCGTGAGTGGCTTGAGGTTCATGTCGCTCAGCAAATCGCTAATATAGCCTTTGTGTATAGGAGAGATGGGACTACTCCCGACCTGTTGAGCAGGACCAGGAGCAATGGGACCATCTAGCTCGAGAATGGTTGGATCTCGATGCCCGGGGTCGTCACGTATGTTCCTTCTTCAGAAAGTTTCTAAAACTGTCTTCACGTGGTTTATACTGACCATGGTGTCATATGTCTATTCAGCCCTATCATCCCTTGACCCCGGAATCGCGAGAGGCGCCAGCAACCGCAGAGCAGATGAGCCGCGTTCTTGTACCACGCCAAACCATGAAGGAACGAAATCTGTCTGTTGTGACCGAAATGGGACATGGCTCACCAGTCTGGCTGCGGACCTGCTACTCCCCCGAGCTCGCTAGCGTCTACACTGAATGGTGTGACTCCATGGAACTAGAGTTCGTCTTGTGCCGTTCTTGTCAGATTTTGAATGACGAGACACTCTATGCGCCATTTGCGGCCGACTGGTCGCGTGCTGTTGCGTGTACCGGCCATCGCCGACACCGTACGCTATGTCTACGAGACTGACAGTAGCTTGGATGATGTTGGCGAGTACTATGACCCGCCAGGAGAGGGCGAGGAGTTCAAGATGCCGCTGTATGAAGCCAAGCTCAAGGAGAAAACCATGATGTTTCTCATCGACGAAGAAGCTTTACGGGATAACTTGATCAAAGTCCTATGGCTGGACATACACGGGGCTTGCGTGTGGGACAACCGACTACCTCCTGATGATATGTTGGCGTTTAAGGGCAGAATGTTTGACGGAGGTTCTTTAGCTGATTTGAGCGAAGAGTTCGAGGACGATGAGGAAATGTACGAACGTGGTGCTGTTCTGAATATTAATTGAGCAGATCCTTGACAACATCAAAGACTCGTTTGGATTCGCCAATGATGTCTCAAGCTTCTATGATAGGACCCTATGACCTAAACTTAGCCGTACCGTAAACCGCACTCATTACACTGTAATGGCTGCTCTTTACAAGAATCCTGCATTGAAAGTCTTCCTTAAGAGCTAGCTTCAACCGAAGTCACAACTGGTAAACACAAACAGCTACTTGGGAAAGTGGTGCTTGGCAGCGGATCGCCAATAAGAACCGGGTCACAATTTGGAGGGGGCAGGTTTTTGCATTCCTGACTGATGATCTCCCAGTTGAAGCCCAGGTCATACAGCTCGTCATTTACCGGACAGCTTGCAAAGTATTCTGTCGGTGCAGGCCCCTTTATGGTCGATAGGGTTGTGGTCTGAATTAGGGGCACCCTGCTTCGGCTGGGCACTGATTTCGGCTCTTGGAAAACTCGTGTAGACAAGGTCAAGTGAGGGCTTTATGGTGATCAAAATGACAACGGATACTGCTGGGACGGCGCTAGCCGGATGACCGCATGGAATGGAGTGGCAAATTATTAGATGCTGAAGTACTTTTCGTGAGTAGTCTCTGGTTTCTTAATTCGCCGATGCCTGATATATTTTCATATCCCCCCCTATTTGATCCACGATCAGGTTGGGCTACTTACACCCCATTCTTCTGGCTGTAGGTGTGATGTCGATTTTGTTGGTGCACCTCATGCCACCAAGCGCAATTTGATGCAGCCCATTGCGTACTTGGGAAACGAACTCATATATAGTAAGTTCCCACATCTGCCTGCTTATCTCATCCTTGGTGACAATGCCTCGACAATCTTGTGTTTCCCAAGTTGACATTGCAATTAGGAGTAAAACGATCAGCGAGCTGCCATGAAGTCGAAATGAAAGTACCTGTTGAGGAGATTCAACTTCCTGATATCAGGCAAGCCTACCCTCTAAGCTCGTTATGTCTTATCTGGCATGGGATTATTTTGAAGCCTCATGGATGAGCCGGGATTGTGTCTCTAGATATAAATCCCTTGGTTTTCGTAAACGCCGGTGATCTTAATACTGAGACTATCAATCCAGCACTTAAACATGCAAGCTCAGACCTATCTGTCTTGACTGCGACAACCAGTCGATTTGGATGCAGGTCATTGTATTATACCTTACTTTTGCTGTATGCACCACCAACCAGCCGCGCTGCTTTGAAGGAAGGAAAGGACGAGCCGCTTATAATGCAATATCGCCAGGTTTAGGTAGTATTGACACTGGCATCATACAGGATAGGCATTGAATGCTTAATTAGAAAGTTCATCGCGCTTGCGCCGAGAAATTGAATCAGTTTTTATTGGATTGGACCCCAAAATGCATTGTTCTTGTCTAGAAATGGTGTCTAGGAAAAGAACGAAGCCAGGAGGCTTCGGTTGAATACATTATATACACGATTTCGAGGTGTTTAGATAACTCAAGCGGACGGCTTTAGAACGATATTGTCGATCAGCCTAACGGCAGGGCCACCGCTATGACCTAGATCCTCCCCGGGTTGAGGAGACTCCACAGGAAGTATTTTAACCGCGCCGCTTAGTATCCCACCTGCTTTAGGATCAACGTCAGTCACTTCTTGCATAGTAGACGGATCAGCGAGGGATATATAGTCAACTTCGAACTTCACCCGCTCGTGAGGTTCAAGTGCCATTTGCTCGTTCAATGTGTCTACAGCTACCGAGTTGGCAGCTTTGAGTATAGTTTCTCGGTCTAGGACACCATTTAAGTACTGGTCCTCAGCAGCTCTTAAAGCGCGATTTAGCACCGTTGCAACTTTCCGGCGCCGCTCGCCAAGGTAGACATTCCGCGAGCTCAGTGCAAGACCGTCTGATTCTCTGCTCGTTGAGCCGACGACAACGTCTATGGGTAGCATGAAATCTCTAACCATGTTCCGGATCACAACAGTTTGTTGAACGTCCTTCTGTCCGAAATACACCTTCTCGGGCTGGACAATGTTGAAGAGCTTCATGCATACAGTCGCAACACCACGAAAGAAAGTCGGGCGCGTACGGCCTTCGAGCAATTCGCTAACGGGTGTCATGACGACGAAGCTGCCCTTCGAATCGACCTCTTGGCCGGGAAACCCGGACGGGTACATCTCGGAAGTCGTGGGCGCGAAGACGGCGCTAATGCGGCCCAAGTTGCCTCCATCGTCTGCCAGCTCTCGGTCCAATGCTGCCAGGATCTTGCAGTCGTTGTCCCATGTTACCGGGTACGATGCAAGGTCCTCCTTGATCCCGAATTGCGCCGGATTGACGTATATGCTAACAACGACGTGGTGCGACTCGCGAGCTGCGGCGCGGATCAGAGATAGATGGCCCTCGTGCAAAGCGCCCATGGTAGGAACGAGACCGACTATCCGGTGATCGAGGACTTGCGGTCTCCGCCATTTGCGCACGGCGTCAACAGTTCGGAGGACCTTGATTGGTGTTGCGGGAATGGTTTCGCGGGGCGCTCGTCTCGTCGATGCCGTCGTGCGCGCCGGAGGCGGAGTGGCGTAGGCACGCGACCCCGCGAGACGACGAATTATGAGAGATATCATGGTCGCAGCCCTGACTGAAGCTTTCGAGGGCATATGGTCTGCGCGGACAAGCAAAATAAGGTATGTTTTAGACCATAGGAAGCCATCGTGGTGACTCAATGGCGGCGCGAAGAGAGTAAGCAGGTAAAAGCCATGATGCTTCTGCAGCGGACTTTTGGGGATGAAGCATGGGTAGGGCTGGAGATAAAAGTGCGATTGATGAAGAATGGGCGCTAAAGGCGCTAAAAGCACAGACCATAGCGCCTGTGAGATTCACTATGCGACGTCATCTTTCAGGGTCCATCTCAACCCCGCCATGAAGGATGTCTCTCCCTAAAGCTCCACTGTAGCACCCAGAATGCAGTGTTCCACCAGCGTTCCACAGTTGTTCCATGAGCGCTGTAACTCCTCCACCACCATAACAGCTTGACCTCGGCAGGGCCCTGCCTAAAAGCTACGCGCGCGTGTGTAGAGGAGACTTAGCTAAGGTTATCATCCTATGCTCATCACCAGGCCTCTCATAGTCATTCGTGACCTTTCAATGCTAGGCTAGCCTGACATGTTTTCCAGGTGAAAAGCTCCTCTGGATAAAGCATATCTATGTCGACTGAGTGGTTATAGTCATCACATCCAATTGGATTGTTGCGCTCCATGTCGACACATTGCACAGCCTTTTTGTGACAACTTCGTTACCGCCGCAGGCAAGCTGTCAGTGAACTATCCGCAACAATGGCAACTACACTATTTCGCACGCTACTGCTTTTGACAGTCTCATTCGCGTCCTGTGGCCATGCGGCAGATCCTGCTCGCTATGGACAAGAACAGATTGCTCTGGACGATGACACTATCCAATACCAAGAGGCCTGCCCGGAGTATACGCAGTACTCTGCATATCCTCAGTGAGTTGTGTCCAAAACCACAAAGCGTTACAGAAAGAGCCCCCCGGTTAATCTGTCCCATTCCCGTTCCAGCCGTCCTTTGAGCGAAGGTCCCCTCGAGCTACCTTACCAGCGACCGCACCCAAAGTGCCGCACATTCCACTCGGATGCCATAGAGAAGGTCATCGCTGATATGGTCGCTCGCGTAAAAGACCCCGACCTAGCACGACTATTTGAGAACACGTTTCCAGTTAGTTTTGACCGATACGGGCCCAAGAAGTAAGATAGGAAGGCGATTCGACTAGTCACTAACTTCGTTCAACTGGCATAGTCTACGACAGACACAACTGTCAAGTTTCATACAAGCGGGTCAACAGAGACGAAACGGGACCAAATAAATACGGACGCATTTGAAGAAGGACAATGGGAGGGGCCACAATCATTCATCATCACTGGTAAATTCAATGATTCTGAACATTTGGCGATTGTGCTAGTTCTCGCTTGCTAATGCTCGCCTTCAGGAGATATCATCGCGGAATGGCTTCGAGACTCCACAAACCAACTGTCGCCCTACCAAGCTCTCGCGAAAAAAGATCCTAAGATATACCAACTGATACTCGGCGCTATCAATACCCAATCCGAGTATGTCATCGAATCGCCATACTGTAACGCTTTTCAGCCTCCGCCCATTAGTAATTTGCCCGTGACGAGTAACGGCCAGGACGATGTCGTACACCCCGTGTATGATCCATCATCTGTTTTCGAATGTAAATATGAACTGGACTCTCTGGCACACTTTCTGGCTTTGGGCAACGACTTCTACGAACATACCGGTTCCAAAGAATTCCTAAACCCACGGTGGTTTAAAGCATTGAGAACGGTATTGGCTGTGCTAGTAGAACAGGAAGAGCCAACCTTTAACGAAGAGACCGGTCGGTTCCGTCGCAACCAGTATACGTTCAGCCGGACTACCAATATAGGCACAGAGACTTTGAACCTCAATGGTGTGGGCAACCCCTTGAACGGTGGTACCGGTTTAATCCGATCGGCATTCAGACCGAGTGACGATGCAACAATTTTGGGCTTCTTCATCCCTGCAAATGCTCAAATGGCCATGGAGTTGAAGCGAACAGCAAAGGTTCTTAAGGATGCCGGTAAAACGGAGTTCGCGCAAACCGTGTCGGAGTGGAGTCAGAAGATCACAAAAGGTATCTGGGAGCATGGTGTTGTCGAACACCGAAAGTTTGGCAAAGTCTTTGCCTACGAAGTGGACGGCTATGGGTCATCTATTCTCATGGACGATGCGAATTACCCATCTCTTCTAGCGCTACCACTCATGGGTTTCGTCGATATTAGCGATGAAACTTACCAGAACACTCGAAAAATGCTCCTCTCAAAGTCATCTAACCCCTACTACCTTAAGGGTAGGGATTTTCACGGTATCGGAGGTGAGTTGACCAACTATTGTGTTATCACCATCTTCAAGCTAACCAGGGTATAGGGCCTCACATTGGTCTCTTGAATGCATGGCCCATGAGTCTGCTTGTTCAAGCGCGGACGTCGGACAGCGATGAAGAGATAAAAGAGTGTATTGACCTAGTTTTGCGTTCCAGTAAGCTGGGTTTAATTCACGAGAGTGTAGATGTGAATATGATGAGTTCCTACACAAGTGAGTAATCCCTGTCCCTACGTATACTCTGGAACGAATAGCTGACAGCAATGTAAGGGAGTTGGTTCGCTTGTAAGTTGCCGAAACGACGATCTACAAAAGTGTTTTTGAGTTTGATCTTGCTGACATTTGTATAGGGGCTAATGGGGTTTTCGCATCGACAATGCTTGATATTGCAAAGCGTAAACCACACTTGATATTTGCTGATTCAATACCGTATGATGTTTCGAAGATATGAATGATAACTATAGTCTGGTCTGGACTGCTTATGAGCGGAACACGACCGTATTCACTCAAAATTGTAACCATTAACACAAAGAAGACGACTGGAGAGCAAAGTCAATCAAACGTAGCAAGAAATGTGTCTTATTTCAAACTGTGGACATTTCTGCAACATTTTAAACATGTGAGATCTACCTGGCTAGCCGGAAATAATCTAACCGTAAAACCCTCCATCGGCTTCGGATGACAAAAGGGCGTCAATTTAAAGTTGAGTATCCACATGAGCTACTGCGCCCAGGGCTAGTATAGGTCTACTCCCTATGAATACTTACGATTGAGCTCATCGCATTCACGATTATAAATACATCATGACCGATGCTGAGGTCCTATGTTCGTAGAGCGACGCACCGGGAGAATCGCTACGTCATAGCCTTTGTCACATCAGTCAGGCGTTGCCAAACCATCCCTCTCGGCAGTGTCATTCAAGCTCGGAACATCAGGTCAACTAACGCGACCATGGTTGCTGGACAATCGATGACGGCAGCAAGGGACGCCAAGGCAGAGAGCGATGTAAAGTCGAATACGATTGCTGGCATGACAGGCAATATGAAAAAGGAGAAGAAAAGCATCAATTTCCTCCGCGGCTGGCCGGCCACCTCGTTGTTACCGGCCGCGGCTCTGCGCGCAGCTTCACAGACGGCCCTCACGGACCCGAGCATTTGGGCCCCGGGTCTCGAGTACGGTCCTGATCCTGGATACCAGCCACTGCGGGAGGCGCTTGCGCGCTGGCTGGGACGGTTCTACGGCGGTGTTATTCCTACTATTTCTAATACCTCTACTGTGAAGCCCGAAGAAGACATCGCAGACCGCATAACGATCACAGGAGGCGCGTCGCAAAGCTTAGCATGTCTACTGCAGTCGTTCACGGATCCGGGACAGACGCTTGCCATATGGGTCGTGGCGCCATGTTATTTCCTCGCGTGCCCGATCTTCGAAGACGCTGGGTTCGGAGGGCGGTTGCGCGCCGTGCCTGAGGATGCAGAGGGTGTGGATATTGCCGTTCTAGAGCGGGAGATGAGTGCTCTGGAAGAACGGCAGAAACGAGGCGAAGGGGAAAATAGTATCAGCGCGAGATACAAGACGAACGACCCCCATCGCAAAATCTACCGCCATGTAGTCTACTGTGTACCGGCGTTCTCGAACCCAAGCGGTCGCACGACTACGTGCAGGAGACGAGAAGAACTAGTAGGTCTAGCGAGGACGCACGACGCGCTGATTATCTGCGACGACGTCTACGACATGCTACAGTGGAACACCACGCCCTCCCCTCTCTCTTCTGATCCTGAAAATCCTCCGCAGCCAGAACAACTACACACAGCCCTCCTCCCACGCATCGCAGACATAGACATAGCGCGCGGCCGGTCCGCTCACGATCCAGAAGGGAAACACTTCGGCCACGCCGTCTCCAACGGGTCCTTCAGCAAGCTGGTGGCACCAGGCACGCGCACAGGCTGGACGTATTCGACGGCGGATCTCGCGCTCGGATTATCGCGGACGGGGTCGACGAGGTCTGGCGGCGCGGCGAGTCAGATTGCTGCTACGATCGTGTGTGAATTGTTACTCGATAAATCCGAAAGGAGCCGGGGAGAGAATCCGCAATGCGAACTCGACACGCATATCCGCCACGTCTTACTCCCGTCCTACGCGCGGCGTCACGCCATTTTGATGCGCGCTATCCGCGATACCCTAGTCCCGCTCGGTCTCGGCGTTAGCGAAACGAGTCTTGTCGGACATGGCGGGATATACGGGGGTTACTTCGTGTGGATGACGTTGCCCCGGGCGGAGGAGGGGAAGACGTGGCCTACGGCCCAGGCCATCGCGGATTGCTGCCGCGCCGACGAAGATTTGATGATTGGGAACGGAGAGCTGTTCGCTGTGTCAGGTGACGAGAGCATGTGCTTCGAGGATGCTATTAGGCTGTGTTTCGCGTGGTTGGATGAAGAGGATCTAGTGGATGGGGTTGAGAGATTAGGGCGTGTCATACGGCGCATGTTGGATGAAGGGCCTGGAGGTTGGGAAAGGAGTGTTCCGGGGTTAAGTCAGATGGATCAAGCAAAGTGATGATTATGGTCATGTTCATAATTATAAAAAGTGCATTATGATATGATTCCAAGAGCTATCTGTCATCAAGCATAATATGAATTTTGAAAACAAGTTCTGGGTATCTAGTTTGTTGCATGACAATCGCTCGCTTTTCCTATTGTACAATAACAACCCTATGGAAACACCACGCCAGAGGAAACGCATATCTGTGTAGCGATTACCAACCCCATGTCCGACTTGAAGCCGTGAAGACGGGCGGTTTCCATTGAATATTCTCCGGCGATATGTATCGCTTCTTCTTTAATTTGGCCTTTTCTCGTTGTTGGATCATCGATTCCGGCAACACGAGCTTATGCTCTCCCTTATGATACACCTGCATCTTGAGGGCCTGGAGCGTGTGTTCCACGTCCTGCGTAGTCATAGCGAGAGACGTAGAGATGCTCTCAATGCTCGACTTTTCGTCGCGGTCATTCAGCTCTAGCAATAAGTCTATGATATTCTCTGACCAGTACTGTCGGTAACTAAGAAGTCCCAGATCCGATAGTGGTTTCTCGGGAGATCCAAGCTTGCCCTCGATCTTAGAGAGTTCATAAGAAAACTGAATGAGCAATCGACCGAACCCTTTTCGCTGATACTGGGGGAGGGTCAGAATACAAGCGACGTTGTATCCATCCGCACTCTCCTTCTCCTTGGAGAAGTACCCGACGAGATGGTGGCCTTTCTCAGTCTTTTGCGTCATCACGTAGAACAAGAAGGGGTCTACGTCATAATAGAGTGTCTTATGGTCAAGAAACATTTTAGAGATTAGGCACAGGTTTCGGCACCAGGTGCGCTGCCGGCGACCATCGATCTCGAAGAACGAGACGTAGTCATCACGGTAGATCTCGTTTCCGGGCGGGTGCTGCAATGTGCACTTCTGTCGATGCCTGGTGAAAGACTTCTTATCGCCATAGTAGCTCAGACAGAACTCACATATGAAAATGACGTCCTCTTGGGTGAAGGACTCGGGGTACGGAGAGAAATACCAGGGGAATAGATCGTGCTCGCCGAACTGTACCTTCGATATGTTTCGTATCCGAGCCAGTTCGGTAGGGTTTTGTGTCATTGAACCGCCCGTTCTTAACTTCTCGATTTCGGCCTCTCTACTAAACTCGACTTCTTTCTTGACTTCAGGGGCCTGCTCGTCCTCATCTATATCCATCTCGTCGCCTCCGACGGCAGGTGTCCCGGCAGACTTCTGTTCGAGATCTCTCGGCGTCGAAGGCGCTTTGGATGGGGGTTGGGTTTCGGATGGCTCAGGCCACGGACGAGGTGTGACGGTTTCCGACACGACGGATTGCTCCCTTTTCGCGGGTCGTTTTTGTGCCTTGCTCGGCGGGGCCTTCTTTTTCGACACCGTCGTATTTTTGCCCTTGCCATCCTTCTGCTTGTCCTTGTCGGGGTTTGGCCACTCGACATCGTAGCTGAAGTCTATGCGCTTGGCGGGGACCCATTCATCGAGACGTTTGTTGAAATTATCAAAGTTGCAGTAGAATTGCCGACCGCTTTTGGTGTCTTTGATGCTCAGGATTTCGGCGCGACGAGCCTGTCCATTCTTCTCAACCATGGCGATGCATCCCACTCGGAGCGTCTCGATCGTCGCTTTGCTTTTCTGTCGCGGCCCCTCTGGCCCGACAGCCGCCTCCCCATTAAGGGCACTGGGACTCATGATGGAAGTCTGATGATGAAGTGGTCGTTTTGATGGAATTGACGTGATGACTTGGAAATCTAAAGATTATGAATAATCGAGGATGCAAGATAATGCACCTAAAAAGGGTAGGAAAATCCCTTGCATAGGTACCAGGCACTTACCTGAATAGGGAAATAACTACCTACATAGGTATCCACTAGTAGATAACCTTCCTCCCATTACACTCCTAGCGAAAGTTGAGGGGCAGGGGAATAGACGCTTTTAGGGGCTCCCCATGGCGCATGGAGGTGGGCTACTGTAGTGATCAGAAGGGCGGAATACAGCGCTGAGGGCCAGCATAGCATATACCTATGGCTACCTACCTAATCAATAACTAGGTAGGTAGGTACTTCAGGCACAACATCACAAGCAACCCAAGACTGTTAGAACCGATAAAGAGTGTTCAGTAGTAGTATGATAAATATATATCAATATGTAAGTAGGTAGGATAAAAGAACCTGAACCTGAATCCCAAGGATATCCATGAACGTACATAGATGATGACGCCAACGCCGGACACCCCAAATGCTGCAATGCTAACATGATCCAAACCCATGCAACCCGCTGCTCTACTTTGTAGATGATTCTGAGTCCGTCGCAGGTGAATGTATCTAGACTTGTTGTTAGCTATATATGTCCGTCCCCTTTCGATGAGATGATAACAAACTTCTTCAGCAAATGCGATCCATTCCTCCATCCCTCGCACAAAAGGGTCCACAGTAGAATCGCTCGTAGACTCATGACCCCAGATCATCAACTCATCAAAAGCAGCCTTGCCTCTCATTGTGCCAACTTCAAGCTGCTCATCAGGGCTTTCAATGACCTCGACGTCTTCGTCCATCATCTCCTGTGGCGTCGTTGATGTCTGAGGCTTCGCGTCTGTCTTCTCGACGACGACACCGTGGTATCCCTCCGGTAATTTCACGGCTTTCCCGTGGAGTTTTCTGCCTCTCAAATAGGCCGTCTGGACCTCGTCTAAATCATGTATATCTGATTAGTCGCTTGTCTATCATTGTATCTTAGGAGTCAGCTCACCTGAAGTCTGGGTGGGATTCCAAAACGTGCTCGACGGGTTCACATCACCATCGTGGTGGATTCGACAAGGCAGTAGATTCACATTGGCCCTTCGCCGTGTAGGGCCTTCGGATTCTATTGCAAATAAAGGAGGAGCCATTTCAATCTAGAGAAATATGAGGATTGATGCGCTCAATGGTAATAGGTGCTAAGACGCGTCAAGTATGGTAAGACTAATAATGTCTACCGCGTTCAAGTAATTAAACCACACTACAGAAGGTGCAACTGAATAAAAAGCCCCGCTACTTAAATATCCTTACCTAGGTAGGTACAATCACCAGATCGCAGTGTAGGTACCTCTAGGTACCCACTAGCTTTCTCATGCCACCACAGTACCTCTTACATCGGAGGTACTATTGACCGTTTACCTCCTTTTTCATAGGAGAACCTATACATACGACGCGTCTCATACTGTCGGTGATTTAAGCAGATTCTCTACGGCCTCTTTTACGTAGAATATTGGAGTTGTTCTTATTGTTTATTCTTTTCTAGTAACCCTGCCACTCTGTTTACCAAGGAGGTTGGCATTCCTGAGATGGGGCGTCTACGCTCGAATATTGATCAACTTCAAGACGAAATCGTCTCTTCATACAATGCCGGAATCTCAGTTACGGATATTCACCGATCCCAGCTGAAAAGGGCTATAATTGTAGCGTGCGGACACTGCCAAGGCGTATTTCGAGCTGGGGCATTAGCAGCCAGCGGCAACCAGCATTTTCATCAGATGATGTTGTATGTTGTGTGGCAAGCTCATCATATTCGGCAGAAGTTTACTAAGACATACGCTAGACATGTCGAACTTTCGGAATTCAGCTAAATTTCATGACTACGAGATTGAAGGACTTGAGGAGGTGGCGACAGTCTTTCGACTTTTGTGTGGTCGTCAAATCGCTGCGATATCAAAGTTATTAGCCAATATCAAGAACTCCGCCTTGAAGGGGTCAGAAATCGTTCCGATATAATACGAAACATGGAACAGCAGGCTGCCCGGACTTTGGCAGGCGTCAAAACCTGCGTAGTAACCTGTCTTGAGTAGCAGGATGGCCACATATCTGAGCTCAAGAGGAGTGGTGTTGTCTATGAAGAAATCTGCGCGCAGCCGCGCAATGACTCTCTGATAGCCTACTTTCACTGAAAGACCAGCAACACATCATGTTTGCACCAAATACGGCCCGATTACTTGGCGGATCGGTGCATGACAAACGCTGTGTAACCTAGAGTCTGACTTGATCAAGTGATTGCTGCCGTGGTAAGTAGAAAGGAAAGTGATAATAGAGGGGTCAAGGCTGCGTTTGGATTGGATATATGCACAGCATCTGTAACGTCCTGCAATGCTGTTAATCTATATATGGGGACCTAGGACCTACTCTCTACTGTGTTCAATCCATCAGTTCGAATATCTATGTCCCAGCCCAACAATTGGAACCTTTCTGACAGATTCGAAAGTGGTACACAGAACATGACCGAAATATTGCGCTCGGGGCTTCAAGACCTCGATTTCCCAGCTACAGCTATAATCACTGATGTCAAGCATCTGACATCATACAACTGGATCGGCGCCGAGTCCCCAACAATCGTGGTGCCAGGCAGTCCGGCGCTTTGGGCTCCCCCCGGTTGTCCCACGCAGGTTAGCAAAGATTCTGGTCTTGTGTACATCAACCAGAACGCAGCCCATCATCCTATAAGCCCTTTGGAACCGATCTTTCGCGCGCTACACACCACGCAACCTGCCTTCGACATCTCATCCACGGATATCGTCACCGATCGGAATAGTCTTCGAAAATTGCTCGCCTTCGTACAGCCCGGTGTTGAAGGGGATGCTCTTCAACCTTTCACCATTGATATTGAGATTTACAAGAACACTGCCTTGTTTTCTCGCGTTGAGGAATCCAATCAGGAAACAATCCCATTAGGGGAGTTCAGGGGCTTCGGCCTTGAGTTTGAGAAGGCGTATACTCGACAACAAATTGATGGAAGCACGGGACATTACCGAATCGTTTCTTACCGTTTCGGTGACATGAGCTTCATAGTTCGCCACAAGGTAGATGGGTATGTCGGTGAGAACATGAAATCGGGCTCATCGGGTCTCGAAGAGGGCCCAGCCAATGATCTCTCAGGTGTTCTGGGATCGCTGTCCCTGACTTCTAATCCAGCAATGACCAGTGCGCATGGCACTGGTTCCCGACTAGTTGTTCGACGAGAGGGTCAGAATGTGCCGCTTGATCGTACGCTGGAGATCAAGACGCGCGCTGTTCATAGACCCCTCAATATTCAGGAGGCAGCACCACAGCTATGGATATCTCAAACACCAAAGCTCGTTCGTGCATATCATAAAGGCGGCAGGTTTCAGGAACCAAAAGTCGATGATTTGACAACAGCGATACAGAAATGGCAGGCCGATAACCAAGTGCAGTTGGGGAGATTGTTGGGGCTGATTCACAGACTCATCGACGTGGTGAAGAATTACGGTAACAGGGCGACCGTATCTTATGTGGTCGATGGTGATAAGTTAGTCATATCTCCGAGTAGCGGCCAGAAAATGCTGCCGGAGAGCCTCTATCTCCAATGGGAGGCAAAGTCTCCTCAGCTCAGTACTATACAGGAGACTCTGACCGTCACTACGCAGGTGGGTAACCATGCTCTTGTAACAGACTCTCACGCGTTACCTTTACTAAGATATTCCTAGACGCCGCGAGCCAATATGTGCAGGCCGGGTTTGAGAATTCAGGTTGGGGAGAAAACGTATGACAGCATCGACGTCGAAGTCATGCCATATTTCAAGACATACTTCGGTTCCCAGCTGCGCTCTAGTCAGGACTCGCCCACTATTCTCAATCATCCCAGTATCCCGTTCTTTGATGAGGTATTCCGAGGACTGGCTAAAGGGCCCAGAGAGTTCTTCCGCCTCGTGCCAGCCGGACTAGCCGCCTACAAAGAACTATGCACTACGCTCAAGCTCCTCGGTATCAATATACTGGAGGGCCGTACCATCCAATATCACATCATGAAAGACTTCCAAAATGGCAAAGACGACTATGATCCTGACGAACGGAGGACGATCCGCGGGGTCAAAGGCACAGCTCGAGATTCGGCTTTCCGGCTACTCTACATGTTCCTCTCGGACGGAATGGCTTCGGAGCCTCGAGATAAGACCATGGCGTATAACGCCGCGTTCTTCGTCGTTTCACATCTGCGGATGTTTGGTGTCCGGACCAGGAAGATGGTTCGTATGGCATTTGATGAACGCTTTGGACTAACTGTCAAGCAGCGGGCAAACATGGACAAGTGGCCGCTGAAGAACTCAATGGGGGGAGAGTCGTCGGACGACGATCAAACGACCGAATCCGGGGGCTCCTTTTATGATAGTGATGATGGTTATTTCTACGACTCAGACTAGACTGTGTGCTCATGACTTCATCCTGTTATGCGAATGGGTTCACTCATGTGGTGTTCTATTAAGGGGTCATATAAAAGACTGTAGGACTTAGCTAACTACCGAGCTAACTTGACTACGTTTCGTCGGGTGCCTCATCCCAGTAACGTGACAATGGCTTAAGCATGGATCTAGTTAATCAGATGTAGGGTGATCTTCACCATGTATGTCGGCCATCACTCGCCGACACACATTTATGTGCGTACCTGTAATGCAGGCCAGAAGCTTGTGACTAGCTGCTATAAGGGTCCCTCGATTTCTTCTAAGTTTAAGCCTTCGTATAGACGACTCTAGTTTCGGATTCTAGAACCTCCGGATATAGAGGCTTCCACGCCAACACTTCAAGATTTGTATGACCTTGTATGGTAAACAACCTGTACTTAGTCTGTAAAATCTTACCAGAACACTGGTATCAACATAACACGCTGTCCCCAAGTTAAGATGCCCCATTATTCGCAGGTAGCCAGTCCCGATCACGGAACACCGCAGAAACCAGCTGAACCCGTTGATCAACCGGGCTTCTTTTTCCGTTTCTGCAGGGCTCGCAACCCCCATAGTATATTTTTTTCTTCTTGTTCTCGAACGCGAACTCAGATACCGGGAGGCAACGTCTGCATACGCCGCAGACGATGTATGTTTCACCTTTAGGTGCCTTCACGGACCTATGGTGGTGAACGCAGGACGCGCAAGATGGACCCATACGGCCGCCATATGGATTCGCAAATTCCTCCGCGAGTTTTTCAGCCTTGCACGCAGGGCAATAGTACCACCCTGGACGGTAGTGCGCTGCTCCGTGAGAATCAGACGTTAGTATCGTGCTTGTAAAGGCAAATCTCTGAAGTCTTCCAAGAGCACATAAGTCCCATGAAGGTGGTCAAGCATCAACTCGAGAGAAGAAAGGAAGTGGCAAGAGGTACTGGTCTGTGTTACTTACCTGGAATCGGTCTGTAGTCGAGCTCATTATTTTGCCATTCCTCCTTCGGGTCGTAATGCTGGCTCATTTGGACAGCTTCGTTGACTCTGGGTGTCCCCTCGGTAGGTGAGGCGTGCATGGAAGGAAGGGAAACGTTAGGGTTGCCCGACGCGTTTTGTCCGTCCGAACCATTCAGGAAATCCCCAGGCTGGAAGGTTTTGGGTGCTGCTGGGTTATGTAGACGCCGTGAGCCTGATCCAGATGCTTCACTACTGGGACCACCGTTCTGGGACTCGCGCTGAACATCATTCTCTATATCGGGGTGCTGAGGCAGGAAATACCGCCATGTATCGGACTCGCGTTGTCTCGGGGGCCTTCCGCTCATGTTGCCGGTTAGACAAGTCCCGGTTAATTGTGAACTTGCTATGTTTGTTGAGTCGCAATATAGCCAAGTGCTATGTTTAACTGCCTGCTTTGTTTGATAGTAATGCTGAGTGGCTACATCTTATATAATTTCTCTATCTAGCCCTTGGTACTAGTCATGTACCATCATTTCCAAATATGGAACTAGGTGACTCTTCAACAATCAAGTACAAACTATTATGTCTAAGTGAAGCAACTGCTTAAATCTAAGGGGTGTTGATTGTTGTAGTATCTTCGTCACAAGGAAGGCGACGTTCTTCCCTTGCTTTTTTACACTCAAGTTATACGATCTGTACTAACTCGCTTCCCTTCGGGTGCCTTTTATATTTAGCAGATTTCAGTTGCCTGGGACTGCCTTAACATTTGCTTAGCTGTTTGTTTCAATGCCTTACTTGGAAGATGGCAAAACATGGGGCACTTTAACCGGGATGCCTCGACAAACCTAATCTGCACCCACAGTGAAACATCGCACTGTCGTTTTAACAGGTGTCATTCCTTTCTCAGGAGCACGCACGGTAATGAGTTACAATTATGGTGAAGCATGAAGGGGTTCTAGACAAATTAGGCAGATAACAGTGGCCCATCTCATCTCATTTTATATCATTTCGAATATTCACACTGCACAACAAGATATTCAATGGTCGTGGTTCGTGCTGGTTAAGTCAAGAATTTGTAGATAACCAAAGCGCTAAAGGGAAGAATCTAGACACTCCAGTTGGTGCTTGATTGAACTCAGGCTCCAGCATTCCAGTCTCCCGGGCCCCAGATAGTGCGCTCAATCCGGTCCCTTCGAGGATGAAACCATACGCCGGTGTCCCCTGCCTCATCCTCATCACGGAAGGCCAAGACATAACCGGACTCCCTAACGACGCGACGGGCCTCGAAGCATGCATGAGCGAGGGGCATTTTCAGTTCGGAGCGATTGAGCAGCTGCATCTTCAGCCCCGCCGAGACCCAAACTAAAGTGTTGAAGACTCGGGAATCCGGGAGTGCGAAACGCCATATGATCTCGCGTATCTCAAGCGGCAAGTCAGAGAAAGTGAGGCCAGAGCTGGCTGTGGCGGTGGGTGATGAGCCCTGTTCCAGCTGGGACTTGACGCTATTTAAGGAGAACGCATCTCGCATGTCCGAAGCAGCCGCATCCATGACCAAAATAGGTGCGGCCACATGCAACATTTAGGAAGAGGAAGAGGATGATGAGCTGTCCTTGTCCGTTGCGAAGCTAGCACAACGATAGTGCTTCTTTTACATTGAGGATCACATCAAACAATAGCATGTTCGCTCTTCCAGAAGTGATCTTCGTCAGATCTAACGGTATCCAGGTGGAGAGCTTCCAATGCTTGTATGCGGTACGCAAGAATACTTTTTAGTGCTATTAACCGTGTATTCTGAACTATCGCATAACTTTAGATGGTATAATTCGTGTAAAGAAGCAGCATGCGACAAGTCGGGACTGGAGGCTTTATCTGGCATCCGGATCACCATAATGACTGTAGAGTCTTTTAAAGGCGAACACTTTGGCTCATCTAGTCGGGCGTTTGCTGACTGTCGCAAATCTCAATTATACATTAGGTACACCAACTCTTTCGCTTAGGTCATGAAATATGTCAATACACTGCTCGTGCTCGATGACATCACGGTATTAGGCCACCGCGATCACCATTTCAGCTCCCGCGAGCTCTACGCAAGACAGATCTCTCTTGTCACGGCGGGGCAGAGTAGACACCAAGACTTAGCACCGGGTGGATTCTGTCAAAGATATGCATGCGCCTTATGCCCCATATCGCCGTTTATCGTAAATCCGGCAACGGCCCGGGAATTAGAGGCTTAATTCCAACACTTACTAGGTATGTACGGAGTACAGTAGCTACGAGATGGACGCTCTGTTTCCTAATCAGGAATTAGCCCGAGTGCTAGCCCAGCGCTCTACTCCCCTACCCCGTGGCCTTGGGGGCCCGCTTTGGGAGTTTTTCCGGGCAGGTATTTGAACGTGAATGAAGGTATCGTGGGCCTCGCGCTCAGCTAGCCTGCCAAGAGGAACCTGACATGGATAAGTTTTACTAGCCTACAACTATGTACAATCCAGTTGAGATGAAGTTGGTTCATATAAAGCACGACTATGTCACCATGAACTAAAGACAATGAAAGATCAAAAACATCGTCTCTAGATTTGAACTCCTCTTTACTTCTGTTAGTTAGGTTGACTCCTGTTGGTGGTACGTCATCTAGTTATGCGTTATGTGACGTATTGCCTAATTAGGCAATTTCTACGCAGGGCGGGAGCCAATTGGGCGGAGGCCGGTAGGGCAGACCAGAGGCAGACCTCCGGACGTCTGGTCTATATATTGACCAGCCATCTCCCGTCTGTTAGATTGTCAGTCTGTACGGCCTGCTACGCACCTGTAATTCATACGCCTGATTGTTGAATACAATATCTATTTACCCCCCGTACAGGTTACCTTCTACGCTGCTTACATACGTGTATATGCGATTACCTAAGCTAACCCTACATGACCTCCGAGAAGAACTTCTTCATCTAAACTACTTGAAATTTCCAACATTATTATCATGTCCCGTTACGCAGAATCTCACATCAAGACCGCCGGTCCTGGCGATGCCCGTCCAACCGCTCTTCAAGTTATCAAGGACGAAGGGCTCGAGGGCGCTTTGCAGGACAGAGTGTTCCTCATTACAGGCGCTTCTGCAGGCATTGGTATCGAAACTGCCCGTGCCATCACCACAACTGGTGCGAAAGTCTTTCTCGCAGTACGAGACATGAAGAAAGGGCAAACCGCATGCGAATCCTTTCTTGAGCCCGGTCGCGTGGAACTACTTGAACTCGACACAAGCAAGTTGGATACAGTCAGGGCTTGCGCGGAAGCCTTCCTGAAAAAATCATCTAAACTTAACGTTCTTATCTGCAACGCTGGAATCATGAACAGTCCCACGCGTGAAGAGACTGCCGAAGGCTTCGAGATGCAACTTGCCACCAACTATCTAGGTCATTTCCTTCTGTTTTGGCTACTCAAAGACGCCATGTTAGAAGGCGCTAAGGCAGCGGAGTCTAGTTCACGGCTAGTGAACGTCTCGAGTTCAGGCCACCACGCTTCCGAAGTGATCTTCGACGACTTCCAGCTAAAGCAAGATTACACAGCAATCAAAGCATATGGGCAAAGTAAATTAGCTCAAATCTATATGGCAAACTACGTGGACAGGAATTTCGGCCCCAAGGGCATTCACGCGCTCAGCTTAATGCCCGGCGGCATTATGACGAACCTGCAGAAGCATGTGCCTGAAGAGACTAAGGAGGGGTGGAAGAAAGACCCTTTTATTTCGAACTTTATGAAGAGTCCGGAACAGGGCGCCGCTACGACAATTGTAGCGGCCGTTGCGAAGGAATGGGAGGGTAAAGGTGGAAAGTATTTGGAGGATTGCCGGGTTGCGACACCTGAACCGCTTATTCCTTTCGCCAAGGGTGTGAAGGACTATGCTTATGATGAAGACAAGGAGAATAAGCTATGGGAGCTAACTCTGAAGACATTGAACCTCGTATAATCCTTAGGGCTCAACTCAAAAATAAATCATCAATTTAGAGAGTATATCGAATATTCTGATTTCATCAGTAGCTGTTGTTGGTGTTTGTCAGCGCTAGCACTTGTTAAGTGGGTGTTTTTACCAGACCGTCTGCAACCGATGTCCAAATTGGGTGCTGGTGTTGGTTGCCCTTCATTGGGAGTGGGCTGGTCGAACGCATTCCAAGTTATGTTGGCCCAGACCTGTCTGAGGCGGCGCAATCCGGGGCATATGCGATCTGTGATGGAAGATAGCATCCAGGCCAACGAGTCGATCTCAGTAAGTGAAACTCAATATTTTCCCATATCTTTCTTTATCTCCGAGTCTACAGCCTCAGTGCTTCAAAGGGGGAAAAATAGGATTATGAGTCCCACGCGTAATGACTAACTCCAAGCGTTATAGTACTGACATTGAGAACGCCTAACGAGTGAGCTTTTCGATTGGTGTAATGCTAGGGTAAAGGAATTTTCTGAATAAGCTGAATATCTGTTTGAGCTACTATCTTTAAGCTGATTGCAACACTACGTTGGACCGTAAAAGTCAGCTTGACTCGACTCTATATACAACTGGTCTGCCAGCCCAGACCGCCTAGGTCTCAAGGATCTGTTTCAAGAAGCGAAGTCTGTATAACCTCACTTCCCAATATTGCCTGCATGTCTTTGAATGATCATGAACAGCCTGCAATGCATATTTAGCTAGCACAGCTTGTACGCGTGTAAAATTGAGCTAACCGAGGGGGACGAATTGTTAAGTATATAGTAGTCATGTAGCACAAAATACAATTAAGCAACCGCCAGTTCCGCGTGCGTATTGTATCCACCATAATAACAGAGCCCAAGTATCTGATAGAATGAGGCATCTAAATGTATATGACCTTAGGATTGTTCCGAATTGGTGATAGCAAGCTTGTACATGTCCCTCTGGAACTTTTCGTGCAACTCCAAGATTTTGGGATGCATGGGGGGTAGAGTTTGGCAGAATGCAGCGCCATAAATGCCAGTGCTGCGGTCGATGAACCATTGGGTACTCGGAACGCCGCCCCAAAACACCGTTCCGGGGCCAAAGCGTCCTTCCTGGCCTTCTTTCGCGATCAGTCCTGCAAAGCTCCAAGATTTCCTTATAGATTGCGGTATCCGCATTGCTAGCAACCGCGAGTGAATTGGAGACTGATCAACATAATCATTCAGAGCCTGTTCTTGTGTTTCATCGAGTTGCGGGCGGAATAGCTCGTCGAAGGACGCTGGCTTCAGAAGTTTCGCATCTCTGCGGGAGACTGCAGAGACGAAGATGCTGTATGCTTTAGGGGTAATGAAAACGCCAGCCCCGCCGAGACAGTCCGTACCACCAAACAGGATGTCGAAATCAGGAGCATCTACGGCCGGGGGTTCGCCCTTGTCGTTCAGTGTGCTGAGGTCTGCCATTCTGGCCTTCATGCCTTCCTTCGTCTTGGGGTAGAAACTAGCGTCCTCTGCGATACCCAAGGGCTCCCATATGCGTGCACGCATGAAGTCTTCTAGTGTGGTACCCGTGGCGACTTCGACAGCTTTGCCTGCCCAGTCATGGCCTGCCCCGTACGCAAAGCTCGTGCCCGGTGTGAATAGTAAAGGGAGGGCGGACTTATGCTCGACAGTAGGGCCAGTCCAAGGTCCTTCGTTGCGTGATGCTCGCCACTTTCCAAGAAGAGGACTGAGCCAGTCATACTCATGGCCGGATGTATGAGAGAGCAGCATTCTTAGCGTAATGGGTGTGGAATCAGGCTTCAGGATGGCGGTGTTTCCCTCATCATCGAAACCAGTGATAATACCGTGCGTTCCTATTTGAGGAAGTAGCGATCTAGCGTCTTTACCCAAATCCAAGAGGCCATCTTCGACACATTGCAATACGGCTACCGAGGTCATTAGTTTGGTCATGGATGCGACGGCGCACACTGTGGAATCAGTGAATGGGCGATTGACGCCTTCTTTCAGGCTCGCCCTACCAAATGACTGACAGAACGTGGTTTCGCCTATTTACTGAAAAATTAGATCAATATGATCGACTGACTGTCATTTGTCTCGTTGCAAACAGGTACGATGCTTGAAGCTAAGTAGACATGATAACAGTTGATGCGTGAGGAATAGAGAGCCCAGAATTTACCATTGATACTCCCCGCGATGAGAGATGCGCCGGGAAGCAACCCAGCTGCTACAGCTTCCTCATACACTTTGTCGATGGTAGTCATGGCAGCGTTCAAATGAGCAACATGTAGTCAACGAGTAAGCTGGTTATCTTGGTTGCTGCAAAGAGCGGTAGCACGTATGGTAAGAGTTAGACGCGGGGTTTGTATACCCACCTATGTAGGTGGCTGTTAGTTATCCTTGCTTGCATTAGTTGGAGAAAGTCCAAGCTTAGCAGCTGCAGCCTAACCAACGGAATGGTATGGTAAGACTACCGCAACTGCGGTCTTTACGTTGGGAGAGATGTCTCCTATGCATTCAACATCTGTCAGTAATAATGCTCGGGAAGTGATGTTAGTTTCTTCTTTCACTATTACACTTTTCTTTTGTCCTGTGGGAGCGGATGGGAGGGGGTCGTGGTTATTTCGGCTCTGGCGGAGTTCTACTCCTTCGCAGTCAAATATCGGCCCAAATCCCATTTCTCGGTATTGATTTGGTATGTAGGTTTGCGGCTCCAGATGGGGGGTTGATGTTGGTCAACACAGCATTGGTCTTGTGCAGGCTGGTGGTACGTATCATTTCGAGTGAGGTCGTTACGTGGCAAGTACCTCCCGCCTCCACCAAATCGTCTTCTGGTGGTCTGATAATTACACATACGAAGAGCTGGCAGTAAACTAACACACGCAGACCGATTCCCGACGCAAGATGCCCATACCAAAACAGCTATGTTCAACCTACCAGGTGTACTGAGTGTATACAGGTCTAAAGATGGTGTATCAAAGCGAGCCATCCATGGCGCTCTCGTCATCATCAAGAGCATTGCAATTCATCACGGACACAGGGAAGCACAAGATGTAGGGTTGTCTTACGTACAGGCGTCACTAACCTCAAGTACTTCGCTGCAAGCAGTCAACATGCTCATTAGGAGCTGAGACAGTCATGTGAAGTGTTTCCTGTCCATTTTTGACTCATACTAGAAAACCCGGAGGACTAAGGTGGTTCATCTGCCGAACTTATGTGGCCTCTGTGGACAGCGAGGGGAAGCACAGGTCAACCGCTGCTACTTGAGGCAATAATTATATCAATGTTTCACTAAAGGAATGTTCGTGCAATTTCCACTCTGGGAGGAATATAGCTTATGAGCGAACCATTATTCATCGTTGCGATGGCACAATAACACCAAGACATTAGAGGGATTTTACCATAGTATCTGAGTTTACATATAAAAACTATAGGTAGGGGGAATACCTACTACATACTAATCTTTCAAGGCTGTGTGTGACCTTTCCTCTTGCACTAGGACGGTCAGCACACCACAGAGCGTGCAACGCGTGTGACTTGCCGTATGGCACCATCTTCTTACAGGTTGGATTGGCAAAGTATCACTGGCCTATGCGCGTAATCCCCCGAATTAGGAGGAGCGATTACTTTGTTGTATATCATGAGTATGGTAGTACGATACGTGCTGTTACAATTTCCAACTTGGTAGTCCGACAATCACTACTTTAATTGGGTAGCTAGTATTAACGTTCCCTCTATCTGCACGAGATATTCTCCCTTTCAGGGCGTACTAAGACGTCACCGTAGCTTCCGATGTTTTCCTCTCTTAGTGTACACAGAGCATCTATTGTATTCTTTTATGCGACATATTATATTTGGGTCATCGTACCCGCAATGCCCAGTTTGACTCTACTACAATCTCACCCGGTGTTGCACTCTTGACAACTTCTATATAATTCATTGCTCCTATTTGAAACAATCTGTCAGCTTCAATGCTCTCTTATAACCTTAATTATACAAATATGAGCAAACTTCTCACGGGTTTTGTGAAGTTTTAAAAGCATCATATCTCAGATTCCAGTCGCAGCGCCTTTGGTATAATATGCCCATCTAGTCAGTATGGACCCAGACGACGCATGCTACAGCGCAGTTTCATTTTCACCTAAGAAGTTGAACTCTTCTACTTCGATGCTGTCAAATGACACACCCCTGGCGGGTACGCCAGATATGTCTGAACCGCCTCAAACGGTGCCGAGCCCGGCGGATAGGCTAGAGTCAAGACGTTTTGTCCGAATTCCAGATCTGTTCTCCTCTATAATGGCGCGGAAACCGGTGGTCAATCCGAACTACTTCCAAGTCAAAGCCGAGGGCGATAGTTGGATCGCGCAGTAATAAGTGTCTTTACTATCATATCAAATGGGGTTGCTAACCAGCCAATAGAATCATGAGATGGGATGAGGAGACGCGTACTAAATATGTACAAGTTGACTTCTGTTATATTAGTTCTATATGGGTAACAACATGCGACGATGAAGCATTACGATTAACGCTTGATTGGCAATATTGGGTAATTCCCCTTCTACCGAAAATTGATGTTAACCAATCTCTAATCAATCATCTCTTCAGGTATTTCTCTTCGACGATCGTGGGTAGAACAGCCGACATGTTGAAGTCCCAAATTGACTGTCTCTGCAGAATTTGACGAGGGTCACCTGAGGGATGATCCTGTCGCAGCACAGGAAGAAGTCAACGCGACGATGGCCATCATGACAGATGACCAACCCCTAATTCAACCTGATCAGAACCCAATCAGACATATTTTCCAGACTTGCTGGCGACGTATTAAAAAGAGAGCTTCTCCAGGTAAGTATTTTGACTAATACTTCCGGATCCGTAATAACTAAACATCAAACAGAGCTACAGCAGAGATACAGAGAACAATACAAGAGATACTTCGACCAGCTCGTGGTGCAAGTCGAGCGAGTTGCGCATGGGGAAGCTTTGACAATCAACGCGCAGACGTACATCGAGATGCGCTCGGGGACTATTGGCCTTTATCCTGCCCTTATCGTGTGTCAATTCGCCGAGAATATCAAGATCCCAGGAAGCGTCTTCTCCCATAGCTCCATCCAAGAGTGTATGCGCTTATCAGCGGAGCTCTGCGTTTTGTCAGTGAAGCCAAATCTAGCTCCTCTATCCTATGCAACCATTAACACTACTATTAGAGTAAATGACGTCGTTTCATACCGGAAAGAGTTGGTACGGGATGTCTATAGAGTAATGTGTCGCAGCACAGCACTCCTTATGCTATGAGATCTAACGTGATGTTTACGTGTAGGAGCTGGGAGTCGACTACAATTTGATCTCTATCCTTGGAGACAAAGGCTTATCGGTTCAACAATCAATGGATGAGCTGGGGGTCATGGTCAATAATTGCTATAGACGATGGTACACTGCGCTAGCGGAATTGCCATCTTTTGGAGAAGAGATAGACAGGGAAGTGCTTAAATTCGTCGATATCTGCGCTCTGGTTCCATTGGGCAACTTACATTGGAGGTAAGCTTCCAAACCTGTATAGGGTGGTGACTCTATCCGGCATATACGCTAAACCAAGACACAGCTTTATGACGGCCCGATATTTTGGCGCTGAGGGCCACGAGGTCAGCAAAACAAGGATTCTATATCTCCCAGATTGAAATACCTCGAAGTTGCGGACCACGAGAAGGTCGTGGGCCCTTTCTCGTTCAAGATGTCAGAATTATATCGGTTTCAGATTCCTTGTCTACAAGCTTTAAATGTCCTCCTAGTCAAGTTTGTAGTTTGGAGCAAGAAGGGTGAATCAATAACAAATTTCGGACCTTCGACAGTTATATTCTATGAAAACACACAATGACTAACTAACTAGTACAGCTTTAATCTAACCAATTTCTTGAAACCACGCAATTAGTTTCTGATCGCCCTACTTCTTTTTGCTAGTAATCAACTCAATGATTACTCATATGCAGAGTCACCTATCCCTTTAGTTTTGGGTGGCTTAGGTCATATACTTTACACTCCATAACTATTACTATCTTACAAGATGTGTCGCCGCATTTTCTAAGAGTCGGCATGGCATAGTGCTTTATAGCCAATGGGGAGAGTTGTCTTTCGGGATGGAGAGACTGATGTAATTGTATATACCTTTCTTCTCATAACTAGATTAAAGGTTATCGCCCCTTTCGGTTTTGGTAATATAACAACAAATCATAGTCCAGATATCAAGGCTGTTGGGGCTTTTCTACTCGTCTTGGCAGTGATTTTAATATGCTGTGACAGCCCTGCTCAAAGATACTGTGCAGCCAAGCATATTGCAGATGACGTAAGATCTAAGACTTTATTCATACGATTATTTGATGAGCTTGACCTTGGGCTAGGACAGGACATGTCGAACAACACAAAGCTAGCCTTCCAAGCCCCTATACAATTCTTCAGTGCTATGACCATGCTAGCAAACGACTTACCGGTATTCGAGCAAGGGGGTGCCTGATTTCAAAACCCAAACTGTATATATAGTAGTTGGGATAGTCTGAATCAGAACACTCAGGGTCTCTAAAGACTTACAGAAGTCTTATTGAACTGAAACACGCCTGAGTGAAGGTATCTGAGAACATCAGCTCTCTTAGCATAGCTATTTCCTTTGAAGTCAATGATATCATGTGACAAAGCAGCAGGTACTTTGTATCCTGGTATCTTGGGCAACTGAGGAAGGTGCGAGGCTTCAAGTCAACCAGGCAGGCTGTTACGCAATGTAATCATTTTAGTACTTGGGTACATGGGTATGTGTTTACCACTTTCCTCAAGTGCAAGCACTTCAACAACTCATGCGCTTTGCCCATCACCAACTTCGATTGTGCGTCGTACTTTTTCCTCGACTTTAGATCCTTGGCCCGCTCCACGTTACCTTCACTCGAGTCTCAGCCTTCACCGCCAGCGCAAGCATGTCTACTCCTGCAAAGGCCGCAACTCCTGCCAGGGATGCGACCCCTGCAAGGGCTAGAACTCCCGCCCAAGTCGTGGTAAGTCGTCACACATGAGCGCTATGGCTTCTCTGGTTCTTATCAGATGTACAGTTGATCCCGGCCAAGGAATACTATCGGGGGAAAAGAAAGAGAGATTCCGAGGACCATCATTCTGAGCCCAAATCCCCAGTATGTCTTGACCCCAGAACCTAGCAGTCGAAGCACTTTCGGCTAATAAATAGGCGGTGAAGGGACCTTCTACACCCGTACGTTCAGCAAAGTCGTCACCATCGAAGAAAAGAGCGAAAATGAAGCAAGAAACTGTCGAGGAGATCGGCAATGTGAATATTGTCGATAAGGATTCCGTAGGTTTTGAAGGACGTGTAACAGCCGTCCGTATAACGTACTAATGACGAAAATAGAAAGTGGCGGAGAAGATGGGGCTCGAAACTCTGGAGAAGAAGACCGAAGAGCTGCAAGGATACGGTGTGTATTCAAGCCTCTCATACTTGCATCCTCAGGCTTTCTGTTTCGTTTGCTGCTTGCCATGTGAATAAGTTGATTAACGCTCCGGTACCTGCAGTCAACCAACTCCAAGATGCCGTCACTATTGGTATGTATCAGCTGCGCGACCTGAAGGTAAGTGAGGGCAAGGTCCCCCGCTTCTTCAGCTAAAGAAGGCCATTTCTTGGATTGGAGAGAATACCGACTTAGCACAATTCAGCATACTAATACGTTTCGCGTTAGAAGAAAATCGCCACTGCAATTTCTACTCTTACACCAGCCGATGAGTAAACCAAGGCCTCGATGAACTTCTGTCGCCCTATATGCACTACGACGCGACAGAGTCTAACAATTATTACTGTGTTGTTTTTGCACCGCTACATTTTCGACTTGTTTCAGGAACGCGAACGTGGTACGCGAACACCTCGCTAAATATCAGAAGCAAAAAAGTGACCGCATTGTTTCCTGCATAGAATAGGGCCCTATCTAGGCGCTAAGAGTGTTCTATCCAGTTGAAACGTAGTAAGGAAGATATCTATATTCGAAAACTTGTGCCGTCGCATTGTTCAGTCTGCATCTGATAATTTAAATTTCGTCTTCTCTTCAATCCTGGGCGCCCGTCGGACGCCATGGGGAAGTAAAACAACGCCCAGTCGGGTAGGATGATTGGCACGATATCTCTACTATGCCGCGTAACCTCATTGGCGAGGACGAAGTCTAAGAAAAATGGGGGTGACAAACACTGGTGACATGTGATCAGTCTGTTGAAAATTTATTTTCTGCATAGCAGATGGTTCGTATGGTTGGGGTACTATGCCACCCCTGAAGGGCGTGGTGGCTTGGTGATTCCAATCGGTGTAAATCTTCCTCTTGACTGGCTTCAATTATTCTCTGCTCATTCGGGCAACCAAATCTGTCTGTGTGATAATGATACTAGACATGTGGACATACTCATTGCAAGTCCTAGGGCTACCTCTATTCGTTGTTATAGGAATCCACCTCTTTCGCAGCTTGCACAATAAGCCCTTCACCCACAATGCCCATATTCCTCAACTTCCATCGTCTCTTCTCTCAAGTCATCTGATGATCATGAATCAGTCTACAGAGAAGAGCCCGAGCAGCCGTTACTCAGATGAGCTGCAGTGTTTGTACGACATAGTATAATGTGTAATAAGGGGTTTGAGTCATCACTTTACTGCTCAGTTGTTATATGATTCCTTAATCGCTGTTACGACTGGGGTAAGAAAATGCAAAGCTCTGCATCCGAACGCCTTAAGATAGTCTGAATAACGCCAGGGTCATGAATTTTTGCATTTGCCTCTGGAAGACTATTAAGTTAACCTAGTTAATAACAAGGGCGGTTGTGTCAACATTGTCACACTTTCCATCCTGATCCCTCTCAAATATATCCGTCGTGCTTTCATATCCTTCTCTCCAGCAAGTACACGTATCGCCGCGACCGTCCAGAGGCGGGTCGGTTTCTCTGCATTTGAAATCTCCCATGCCAGCCCACCATTGGCTTTCTTCAAAAGGGTTCGGGTCATCCTCATGACGAGCCGTGACCACGTAATCGATGCAGACATCTTTGACCATGCCCCCCTGTTTATCAGTCGTTGTGCTCGTCTGGCACCCATTCAAGGCAGTCCGTAGCCTGGCCTTGCAATGATCGAGGCGTTCCGCGTCATCCATGCCCAAGCCGAATTGTGAACCCCCAACACAACCTCCGTTATCAAACAGAGCGCCTACATACAGCTTATCACTACTGTCTGGTATGGCGTAGCTTGCTGAGACACCGAGCGACTTGGGATGTCCGCTGCTCGTACTGCCCGTACCTATGGATATTGGCGGTACGATGAATACGGGGTAGAGCTGGGATGAGTTGCAGAGGTCGTTGATGAAATTCTCTGCCGCAGGCTGGGGGAATCTGTTACCATTCGCTTCGCAGCTCAGAGTGCCGACATCCGTCTGCATGGTAGTTACCTCCGGTTCAGGTTGTTTCGTGGCCATCGGCGGCGCAGGCACGTCCGTGTTTCTCAGGCTCTCAATAGGGTCATGAGCCTTGCCACCGAAGACTTCGAACTCAAGGTTCAGGTCTGCAGAAAGGGGTGTGACACCCTCTTCGACAAATTCTACCCAAAAAGATGGGTCTGGGTTCAACTCAGGTACCTGTGCACCAGACCAAGTCGAGGGCTTGTCTGCGAATACTTTGCCCATTGCAGATTGGACTTCTTTAGTCGCCGCCGACAAGTCGACACCGGCGGCGTCAGGAGTCTTTGCATATTCATCTCTGGGAATCGGCGGTTCCTCTGATTCGAAATGTTGTTGAACGTATATAGCAACTGCATCTAGTGCGTATGAATCTGCATTCTCAAAGGCATACCAGGTTCCCTGATTTTTAGCCAAATCCCAGCATTGCTGGGCCTGGTATGCATAGTCGTCAGTTCTCGGGTTAGTAACAACTAAAGTATGAAAAATATTAGCATATATTTCACCAACGGCAATTTAAACATCACCTGAAGAATTTTTGGCTCATCGTGTCTCTACTTACCAGTATAATGATAGATTTCATGTAGCATTATTTGGCCTCTGTTTGTGTGAAAATTCTCCATGATCCGCTGCTTATGCTGGTCCTGCGATGCTGCTCTGATGTCGTCTGCCAAGGTCTGGAATGATGCGAATCTTGGGCAGAAGACTGTGTAATGGTTACGCCAAAAGAAGTATACACTGGACCACGAATAGGCTACAGTGCCCATATCGCATTGGTTGGCATAGTCGTAGCAATACCAATAGATATACTCATGTTGTTGAAAGCCCTGGTTCAAGAAAAGCTGGGCGAGGTTGGCAAGGTTGTCTAGCTATGTTAGTAATTGCGTTGGTGCTTTCATAGATATGAGAAAAAGTGTTCGGAGATTCATGGAAGAGTGTTTGATGTATGGAAACAGTGCTAAGTGATATGAGCGCGAGATGATGATGGTAATGTGTGCTTACTATGTATGGCCGTCTTGTAGTCGTAAAACCAACCCCACCCATTCCAGTCATTCCCAAGCCATTGTTTATGGATTTTGTCGAAATCAAAGTCGTCTAGTCTGCAAATAATCAGTACAAAGATGTCGGCGTTCTCCGAACGCCCTGGTGTAATGAACATGGGATTACCTGGTGCTTGTTTGGGCTATAGCCAACTCCTTGGCTTCTTGCCACGCAGCGATTATCTTTGATCCCACACTCTTCGGGTCTTTCAAGTTTCCACACTTCTCAGCCTCGATAAACTTTCTAGGGATACCACTCATCTCCTGTCTAGGCATGTGGTGTAGAAATCGTTTGTATAGCTCGTCGTCGTTGTATGTGGAGTTCATGCTACCTTCATCTTGTCGATAGATGGTATAGCCCCCCCTTTTCACAACCATTGGGTTGCTCGCTACAAGAAGAAGTAGCGTAGCCCATATTAGGACCGTTCGCAGATAGAGTGAAGCAAACATCTGTTTAAGTGAGATGAATAAATGTGTTGTCAGCTGTACCACACTAGATCGCTTTTCTCTACTCCCGCAAGTGTGATAATGTATCGGGAGCTTTTGTAAACGGGGAGCTGCTGATCACATATATATTATCATCTCACAGGCGAATACACATAATTTATACTCCCATTTTCCACCTTCATTGGCAGTGGCTGTTGGGCACCGTCCTGGATAAGTCATGTTGGTCCTGAAATAGCACATTAGGTGATTACATCTCCTCTTTCTTCGTAGGTGAATGATACTGCGCCTTGAATTGTATACATGGTAAGAACCTGTGTTTTATTTTTGTACTCTTGGACGCTAAAGATCCTCGTGTCAGCCGTGTGATGCGAAATTCGCCTGATATATTCCCTGTCACGAAAGGTGTGTTAGTTGGTGATTGTATAAAGGTAATACCGGTACCGTAGTTATCTCTATTACATTATTCCTACATCTCGACTCTACCGTCGGAGGCGTCGGAACTACGCGGCTCGTTTACGCCGCAAAATGATTATGTTCCATCCCAACCAACTGCAGAAAAAGCTCTTCATAGTCTTACTAAAATTACTCCCAACAACTCTTAATGCTAGCCCGTTCACAATCCTAAGCCGCAATAGCTCGTTAGTGCTTGCGCCGCTCTTAAAGTCACTAGTCTCACACTTTAATAACATATCAAGCGATAAGTTTGCGATTTTACTATTACGCTGGTGCTGTGACTATTCGATTGGTATTTGGGGTCGGTAGCATGAGTGATGCACTCCTATTTCATGTAGGCTGACAATTGCCTGAGTCGTCGTGATTTCCTGTAGTCTATTCGAGCAGTTCTCTAAATACGCAATGTTTGGCCTTCGTAGGCAGCTCTGTGGCGTAGAGTAGGGCCAAGAGTTGTCTACGATATCATGTGAGCGATGCATCAATGTAGATGGTCCAACGAGTGAGAAGTGGGGCTATGAGCGAGCTCTTATTGGTACGCTGCGCCTCTACAGGAATATGCCAACATCCGAGTTGCCAACATGCAGCTCCGAACATCCCCGTTGTGACCTTGACCTATCCTGTTTCTCTTCTTCACGGCTTTACTCACCTTGAGCACAGCGTAGTTTCTCGAAATACTCGCCTGTAGCACTTGCTTCTTCTCAAATTACTACGGAGAGCTTCAAAGTCCGACCTTGCGAAATATGCGGCGCATCTTGTATCTGGTCGGGTTCGCCTTGTTCTCTTCCGCATATCGTGTAGAAGACCCTGACTCCCCTCTCCGAATATGTCCCTTGCCGAGGTGTGACTGCCCCTCGATTGAAAGGACTACTGCTCCCGCTGTTGGCATCGCACTCGAAATTGGCTATGGGCATGTTTATCCTATTAACCTCTGATGTCATTCCATACACTAACAGGCCATTTACTCTTTTAGTACAGCATCAGTTAAATACAACAACGGCACAATCACACCCATCGCTAAGATAAGGGGTTCTTCACAATATGTTGAGCTCATAAGGCACCTAGCAACTAGCCCTATCCAGCGCATGTCTGACGGTTCGCGGCTCCCCCCAGGTGTGGACGAGCATGACATTAGTACCAGAAAGATTTGGATTTGGTACAAAATCAAGTGTTGGGTCCGCAAACTCTTGTTTCTACCTGCCACGCGAGAGATAGGAGTCCTAGCAGACATGGTCTGGCAGTTGCATCAGGAAGCCGAAGCTGTTCTCGGAAAACGAGTAAAGGGAGTAGCAGCCTCGTCTCCCGACAGAGTCCGTCTCACGAGATATGAAATCAAGGATATACTAGACTATCTTTGGCTGGAAGACCTCGTCGGAGACAGGAAGAAAGTCTTTTTTGACCAATTGTTCTCCATGGCAGCCGCAACTGCTGGCTACTCCGATGGTCTATGTCCCAGTTATACTGACGCCTATAAATGCGAGAAAGAGGAACACCAACTTCCCAGTCGATGGATCCTTCAATTAGACTTCAGTCATCAAAGTCTTAGTGGAGCAATGGATCTGAAAGGCACCGCAAGGCACCTCTGGGCCGACGCTGAATTTGTAGATTTTGCTTTAGGGGCAGATCATCGTCCACACGAAGACGACAGTGCAGAACAAGAGTACTGGGACAAGCTCGAGGCTCGGATCCGGGAGTTCGTCGAATCAAATCACCGTCCGGAGAAGCTGTATCTAACAGGGGAAGACGCAACAGAGCCACGCTTCCTAGAGGTGGTTAGGAACGCCCTTGCGGACCTTACTTCGCCGCCTGTCCTGGAGGTTCTCAATCATACCGTGTCAATAGGTTCTGCTGATATTTTCCAGTTCGCGACCTCTATGGGTGCAGCTGAGTTCGCGAAAAGGAGGCAGGAAGGCATGGCAAACTGTCTTCTCCCAGAGCAGTGCCGAGGGAAAGCCCCTGAACGTAACACGGAGCTATGAGAGACGCAAGAGCTGTATGAGACAGGAAAGGTGTTTCGACAATAAAGAATTGTAGAAAATAATATACTGCAATTGAATGGCAGATTGTATAACGTGTATAAGTTCGTTTCTTTTCTACCCAACTCTAGTGCAAGAGGTGAAGTCGGACGAAGCCTGATCGAAACCTTGGGAACTATGTGGTTGCTATCAAGGCATGTCAGGGGCACATCTTGACTAGAACAGAGTCTCTTTGTGTTATTATAACAGGCTATACAAATCAAATAAAGCTAGTCTTAAGTGTTACAAATGACATGCACCTTTCCCTTTGACCAAGCGGAAGTGTTATAAACACTACCTTTAGTTTTTTAGTACCTTTGAATTGAACAATGGCATTGTTCACAACAGTGTAAGACTACAGGGGTCACTTTATACACATATAAGACTTCAACACCGCAGTTGTCAGTCACTTTAATTCCAAACACTCAGAAAGCTCCAACAAGATCAAACCCTTTAAAAAACAATTTCCTAAATATCTAAAACTTTACGACACACTTCAATCATCTTCTCCTCAAAGATACCAATCATAATGCCGGCTACTATCTGGCTCGTGCGCCACGCCGAATCTGTTGCCAACGCGACACGGAATGGAGACATCCACGACCCAGAACTGACTGATCTCGGCCGTGCACAGTGCGTGGTTCTTAGAGAGAAATTTGCGCGAAAGCATGTAGACCTCACTTTTGTTTCGCCAATGCAGCGAGCCATACAAACAGCACTAGAGATATTCCCGGAATCCTCAGGCCGGCCTACAGACCCAATGGTCCTTCTACCGGAGCTACAAGAACGCGGCAGTCTATCGGGTTGCACGCCATGCGATATCGGGAGCCCTCCCGATGTCCTCCTCGAAAAGTACGGAGATACTCGCTTTGACCATTCACACATGACAGTTCAATGGACTAATAAGCGCTCAGGTAGCTTCTACGCCCCAGAAAATGCTCGGGAGCGCGCCAGATTTGCGCGCAAGGTGATTCGAGACACGCTTAAGCCGTATGAAGGTACGGATCTCTGCATAGTTGTTATCACGCACGGCAGATTCATTCAGTATCTGACTGAGTCCGACGTGAAATTTCATAACGCTAAAGCGCGCCCTTATGTGTTCGCCCCCGCTGGTGAGGACGATATCGAGGCAAAGCTGATGAAAGTTTCGCTAACCGAGTAGTGCAGCTCACAGGAGTGAGTTCATTTCTTAGTCTCTTTCACTTCCATTATGAGCTGCGCTCATATATATCTTGATTTTACATAGATTTTACTAAAATTAACACGCGTATAAGCGCGGTACTTTAAATACACATGCTCTTTCAATTCTTACACCTCATTCCATCTATTTGTCTTGTAAAACGCTTCAGTTCAATGAAATCATAAAAGATATCGTGGAATCAAAATATTAATAAAGATAATGTAGAATACATTGAGCCGAGTGAGAATATCTCCTAGCTTGTGCGGACTATGCTAACCCGTACCCCTTTCGAATCTAGCTTCGGCGTAGCAATATGGTAATCATGTAGGAAAGCCACATCTTCATAACCAGTGTCCAAAAGCCTCATATTCCACCGTGCCATCGCAGCCATAGCCACCGCCATCTCGGCATTCGCAAGGTGCATGCCGATGCACGCTCGTGGGCCCTTGGAGAACGCCATCTGGTACTTGCGGAGCCCGGCACCAGCGCCAAGCCATCGCTCGGGATCGAATGTGAAAGGTTCCGGAAAGATGTCTTCGTTAGCGTGAACCAAGAGTGTGGAAATACTGAGGGATGTCCCCGGCGGAAAGGTATACCTGCGCCCTGTTGCTTCGTCGATGTAATGCAGGGATTCGTCGGGACATACTCGGGCATTACGCCCTGTTAGGCCGAAGCTGAGACGATGCGCTTCCTGAATGACTGCGTTGAGATACGGTAGTTTGTCAAGCTCTGCTAGTGTCTCGGAGGGGTGCGAAGTGAGTTCCTCGCGAAGCTTGGCCATAACGGACGGGTTGGCGAGGAGGTGATAGTGTGCTAGCGTTAGTGATAACTGAGCAGATTGAGTGCCTGCCATGACGAGAAGTGTGGCCTCGTCTTCGAGACGCTGGGCTGATTTCTCTGATGCGGGAAGTTTGGGGCTGTTTCGCAATTCGTGGAAGATGGATGGTGGATTTCTATCTTCTGCCTTGGTCAAAGCATCGCTGTCGTTGCCGTCACGATTTTGACTGAGTACCTTTTCGATTTCTTGCCGGATGCTAATACGAAAACGGATCATGTCGCCGATTCCAGAGGGAATGAATCGGCGCGCTATGTTAGACGGAAGTCTACGCATCAGGTCTCGCACCCAGGAGAAGTGGAAGTTGAACTTGACGGAACGGAGGACGCCATCGACATTCTCGCGCTTAATATTGGCAAGTGCGAGATCATCAAGGAGATTCGTACTATGGCCAAAGCAAAATTCGTTCACGATACTAATGAATCCTGTTAATTGTCGCGAACTGTATAAGAGGCTCAAACAGTTGTGCAGTCTTACTCATTAGCGAAGCCGAAGTAGACGTCGGAGAGATTCACCTCCGAGGTCATTTCAAAGATTGTCTCCAATTTCCGAGCCTTTTCTTCAATTGTTCGCGCACGCTTTACGATGCTCGAGTGCGAGAAAAACGGATTCAAGGCGTCGCGCCTCCTCCGATGCAGATCGTGAGCGACCGCGCCCCCAATAGACGAGTTTATCCCCAGCGCCTTAACCTTTTCAGAGTCTTTGTCACGTTTGTGACCAGATCCAGGGGCATATAGTGTCTCTAGATATTTCGGGTCCGCGATTGATACCTCTGTTGGCGATATGCGAACAACTGGGCCTGGTCTCATATTAAACACTCAATCTCGGACGAGCGTGACAGTTGGTAGGCCTCCTCACGATACTGATCATGTAATGATTTGATCTTGAAAACATATTGAGCGGGCTTGATCACATCATAATAACACTCGTACCAGTATGTGAGAGCAGCTAGCTTCGGACCTGGCAGTCTAGACAGCGGGCTCAGAAACAGGCGGTAGATACACGTCTTCAAAATATAAGATGCGAGTAAAGCAAAAGCCACTTGAGCCAGAAAGTAATGCATGGCCATTCTGCTGTCTTTTCTGAGATGAAGTAATAGGAATGCTTTTATCGAGCTTTGCTACAGAACATAGAATCTCCCAAGTCCCCCAGCAATACCCCTCGGGTGAGCCTTTAGTTTGCTTAGTTGTTAGTGACCTGCAGCCAACAAGACGAAGCCGTCCCGTTCGGGTGCGCCGGGGCTGTCACGACCCCTGCATCATGCTCGGCTTACTGCCTGTGCCGTGGAGCGTATACGCGTATTAAAAGGCAAGAATTCCCATTAGGCTGTAGAATGTCCCATCCCAGGAGTCGGACTACCTATTCACCCTGTAGCCAAGATATACATTATATTTTCGAACTGACTATGAAATCCCCATACATAACACCGTATTACTTTCCTGAGTTTTGATATCTCTAGATCGACACCTTGGCTGACTGAACATTCTTCCCCTTAACCTCTACAGCCGCGGCCCCAGATCCCTCAGCCTTCAACTCCAGCTTCTCATGCGGCCAGAGCGTAACATAATTATCAGACCAAAACACTGGCAGGACATCCTTGCCGTCCTTATCAACCAAGTTCAGCGAGACGAAAACGGCTGGTACGGAAGATTTGTTTTCAAGAATGATAGTAGCGCCTTGCTTTTTGCCCTTGGCAGCGCTAGTAGACACGGAGACCTCTGCACTTTGTAACTTGTTCAGAGCGGTATAATTTGCATATCTCGTAACAGGAGTGAAGAACCAGTCGGAGTCTTCCCAATCGAGAATATCCAGGTCCTTCGCTAGCCAGTAAACGTTGCGGCTGAGGACGGTCTTTTGATCAGCAGTGGCTAATGTGATGCGTAAGAATACGACATCAGTAGTCGTCTTCATTGGCTTTGTTATATCGAGGACATTGCGGCTCGTGTTCGGTTTCGTCTCTACGGTCTTAGTTGCCGAGTAGAGTGACTTTCCATTCTTGTCAATTACATCCACTGAGAGAATCCTTGATCCATTTTTGTCGATTGAATGGTTGATCAGATAGACAGACTTCTTGAGATAATCGTATGCGACATGCTCAAGTCTGGAGCCTGCTTTGGCACCAAAATAAGATCCAGCAGGGTGCAGATAATAGTCGAATAAATTCCAGTGAAGGCTTGGCCATGCGTTGTTGAGCATCCAGTAGATGAGTCCAGTGGCTGGTCGCTCTTTATTCCAAAAAGCTGACACGGATTCGAACTGCGACCTAGTCGCTTCATAGTCCATCATCTGAGCCTTCAGTAGATAGTCTTCCAGTGATGTAGGGGCACCATAACGTGCCCATAGACCATCATTGTAGATCTTGCGATCGTAAAATGAGGAGACGTTCGTAGACATGTGATAAAGGCCCTTGTTCGGCTTCTTCCAGAGATCGTCCATGTCTTCCTTGCTAAGGAACTTCTTCAGGCTACTAATTTCAGGAGTACCTACTCCAGCACCGAGCTCAGACCCGAACCCAAATGCTGCTCCGAGTCGATCTTCAGATGGTTCGACATTGTACCAATAGTTGGGCGGGACCCAGTCGTAAGGGCCATCCATTTTCATTCCCGAAGGCCCGAAGATCTTCGGATAACTTCGTTTCGACGCCGATGCAATGACGGGTATTTGCCAACCCGATTCTTTGAATGCGGAGTGGTATATTTCTGCAGCCCTGTCGTCCGGCCAATAATCGCTTCCTACGAGAAATCCTAGCATACTTGGATGGTTCTGCTGCATGGAAATCTCATGCTTGACACTTGCATTGGCAATCACGTAGTCTTTCTCTACCCACTCTACCTTCACAGCCAAGTCCGGGTTAAAGGACCAGGCTTCCCATTTGTCACAGCACTCCCAGCCCGCAAGCACCATCAAGCCTAGTTTGTCTGCAATTTCGTAAAGCTCTGGGTGTTCGTTCTTCCCCTCTAGCCGAATTGTATTACCACCAAGATCTAAGGTCAGTTGAGCTTGCTGGGTGAATTTCTCGCTGTCCCAGCGAAGGAACATGTCAGCTGAGTAACCGCCGCCAAGGACCTGAAAAGGTAGCCCGTTCACGTAGAAGATCGTATCGTTATGAGAGTTAACCTTTGACGTGACCTTGCGAATGCCGAATTTGGCGTCGACCACATCGGATAACTCGTCGTTTACCGACACTGACAACTGACCAGTATACAACGGTTGTTTGCCCCATTGTCGTGGCCACCAGATCTTGGGTTTCTTCAACGCCGTTGACAAGACCAGTTCTTTGGACTGTAATGCGCCGAGTGTCACTGTCTGGTTCCAAGTATAACTTTGGCCACATTCGGAGGTGATATTGCCGTTAAGCTCAACAGTAACTTCATGCGACTCCAAGTTCTGAGCGGTCGATTTCAGGGTGACGTGCGCTGTAGAATTGTTACTTGGCAAGTCTGTTTCCGTGATCACTCGCAATGTATCCAATGCCACAGGACCCGTCTGCTTCAGCTCAATATCTCGCCAAACTCCGGTTCCATTGTCTGGAGGGTAGGGATTCCAGTCAACAAATCCTAATGCCAAATCGTAGTTGTAATTTGTGGGATAAACTCGTACAACCAATGCATTATGGTTGTCTAGAATGCCAGACACGTCGTATTTGTGACCAGCGTAAGCTCCAGCTTGCGTGAGGTTATTAGCTATCTGTTTCCCGTTAATGAATATGTCGGCTTTGGAAGTAATGCCGTGAGTCTGAAGAAAATAGTGCTTTCCAGGGGTTAAGTCAAGGTTGAATTCATTTCGATATAACCATGGAACTCGAAACTGATCAGCATCAACACTCTTGAGGTTTTCCGAATAGAACCAATCTTCTTCATTGTAAACGCCCACTTGTAAAAGACACCCTGTCAAGGTACACCTTGAACTGTCGATGCGGTGCCATGACGAAGTATCAGCGCCGATTTTAGACAGGGCATTCAGGTCGGTGCCAGCCTTTGCAGAGCTCTGGATATCCCATGATGGTATGATTGCTGGATAGCCTGGCTTCGAATGCAATGAGGTTGCTGAGGCCCCTCCTAGCCCAAGCAATAGCCCCAACACTTCGTATCCTCGCATAGTGGGCTGTTTATGTCAAATTCGACTGAACACCGCCATCGAATGGGGTGAGGGGAATGGAGTTATAAAAGACGAGAACGATGGCTCAGTGGACCATTTAAGGCAACCCCATCACCAGTGCCAAGATCCCAAATGATATTCGCAAGTTACCTAATATGGCATGTTACGCTGGGAGGTGGACCTACCCAGCTTCCCCGCAGATTGGAGGCGGTTCTCTTGCTGATGCGAAGCCGTTGAATATATTAATTAATTGCTCAGCCCTTCTGCTCCGACTGGCGAGGCCACCGTGGCTGCGTAAGAATGATCGTTGGAGGCCGTCAGGAGAGCGATACCTTCTGCAGTAGAGGACCAGAGGGTCGCAACAAGAGGGAACGGAATTGATCCTTTTGGAGCTAGAAGATTAAGCGACAGCAAGGTACCTGCGCCATGCCGCAAGCAGCTAAATCTAGACCATCGTTGCTTATTATTGTTGTTGCAATTGCGACAGCAGGCGAAGCAGGCAACCAGTGCTCCTCAGCCAAATCTGCATTCTGCATTTTTCGCTATGCACCGAAAAGCAATACATGAATCATGTACGCTCAGGATTGTGCATGCATCCACAACCCAGTCGGTGAATGCTGTGTGGATGTCACGTTACTCTTAACTACGGCAGCATATGCAATACTCACCTGGGGCTTGGCTCGATCAGCCCATTCTGCAAGCTTTTCCGACTCATTCTCAGCCTAATAGCCGCAATTCATGGAGTTGAATAGCCGAAAGTCTCCAATATCCTACGTGTTTGGAACAGCCGTCTCTAGGGCGGCCTCAGGACTTTGAGAACACATCGTGGAACATTGGTTACAATACAGGAGTAGATCGTAATGAGCGGGATCGAATGAACTGCACTTAGGTGGCATCAGATGCTACCTCGTATCTACCTGAGCGACGATGTGTGGCGATGTGTGGTGATGTGTGATTTGGTATATTTATCCAACAGCATCCCGAGATAATTCACCTGTGAATGTGATCACTGATCAGGGGAGAATGGCTCGAAGTGGTGGGCAAGGTGATGAAAGTGGAGTACCCGGTACATAGATGCCGTAGCTAGACTGGGTGGAAACTGCCGTATGCAATACATGCACCTGCATCTGTATGGGAGCTTCAAAGCTGATTGGAGCTGGACTAAAGACCCCCGCCAGCCTGCGTCTGCCAGCTGGCACTCCACGATTTGCATCTGACGGATGCTTTTCCCCAGACGTCATGCAGACAAGCTAGGTACCTGGTACCTGCCAGGTGATCCGGAGTGCCCAAAGCTTCACAGTAGCTCCGCCGAACTTTTCGATTTAGCGTCTGAGACAAGCTTCAACAGGCACACGACGACGTCAATCTTCCACAACCCGCCGCGACCACAGAAACTCTCCACTCCACCACCCGTGCAACGCCAGAGACACTTCAACAGAACGGGCAATTGGATGCGCAAAACTTCGTAATTGACAGCAAGTCATCAGAACTCACCATGTTGACCCCGACGACCACCGCCGCCGCTGCGGCTCGCTTCGCTGCTCTCGGCAGTCGAGGACTCCAGCTCCCAACAGCTCTCATCCGAGGCCCGAGCTGTCCCTACGCAGCCGCCTTCTCATCGCTATCACGCCAGCAATGCGCAGCCTCCCGCATGCCTTCGAGACAGTTCTCGACCAAGAACTCCTTCTTCCAGCCTAACCCCGCCCGAAAATCAACAACATCAGTGCAATGCCAGTTCGCAGCTCGGCGACACGCCAGCACAGTATCGGCGTCTAGCGCCGCCGGCACAAGCTCTCCCTCCGCGTCCGAGCCAAAGCTGAACTGGAACACCTTTTTCCAGCTGCGGAAGACGAGGAGACGGTTCCAGCTCGCAAGCAGCATAGTGACGATGGCCATAGGCGGTACGGCGGGCGCGGTGCTGCTCGTCAACATGGAGATGGACTGGCTGCTGAGCAAGGTGCCCATGGACCCCATCTTTGCCCTCGGCATCGTCACGCTGAGCTTCGCTGGCCTGGGATGGCTGGCGGGTCCGAGTCTGGGGTCGGCCATTTTCTACACATTCAAAAGTGGCGTGAAGAGGCCCATGGGTGTGAAGGAGTCTGAGTTCTTCAACCGTATCAAGAAGAACCGTGTCGACCCTACCAACAGCTCGCTGAGTGGGAATGCTGGTAAGCTTTTCTTACCCCTCTATTGCTGATGCGGGGTCGGTTCTAACTCTGGCTGCAGTGCCCGACTTCTATGGTGAGAAGATCTCGAGCGTCGCGGGTTATAGGCAATGGTTGAAAGACCAGAGGGCATTTAACAAGAAGCGGACAAGCTTTGTCTAAAAGTTATGGGAATTCAAGTAGGGGGGCGACACGACAGTACGGGAAAAAGGGTAGGACAATTGGGACGTGTCCATTCAAACTGTACCAGCAGGTTTTGGTATGTTTGTACGTATGATTCGATTTGGAACGGCGTTCGGCGGAGCCTCTCCTTGAAGTTGTATCAATTAAAGGCACAATCACCCGAAGAGTCTAGTCTTTCATTCAAACAGCCCTCGTCTCCAACCACTATACGTACTTGTTGGTATAATCGTCTTTTATTTGGTCAATGGCATCACTATGTGAAGGGCATTGTTGGGTCTACTTCATTTCTCCAAGCCTTCATTCCGCCTTGTATATCCCCTATAAACCGCTCCCCACTCCTGTCCAGACCCATATCCTTGAGCTTCCTCGTAACCAGCTGTGAGTCATTCCCGACTCGACAAACAACGTAAATCGGCGCATTAGATGCTATATCTTCCGGTAGCCATTCTAGACGAGGCTCGTCTCCATTTGTCGTTGCCCTACTTTTCGATTGGAAAGTCGAGAAGGGGATATTAATAGCCCCTGGAATGTTAGCAATGGCGAAATGTTCTTTCTCTCGAACATCCAGTAGCAGACTTCTCTCTTCTGCACTACTTGCTACGATCGATTTGTATTGCGTCGCACTGATTCTCTCCGAGGGCTGTAAGACGGTGACTGGGGAAGTGACGCCGCAGAACTGGACATAGTCTAATGACCCAGCCTTTAAATACTTCAACGTTAGTGTCGACGACGCCGCGCAGGCGAAACAATTCGATCGTCGGCTACGCATCCTTATCGACCGGAATGGCGTAGACGAAGTAGCTGAGAATAAAAGTAAGCTTGGTGTAAGGGGCTCTCTGGGAACCTTGTCGTTTTCTTCCCCGATGCCCGCTGCGATCAACTTGATTGTCTCGAGAGCCTGTAACACTCCCATGACGCCTACTACCGGGCCTAGAATGCCTCCTTCGCCGCAGCTAACAACGCTATCAGCGGGTGGAGGTTTGGGGAATACGCATCGATAGCAGGGCCCTCCATCAGCGGAACCCTGGGGTGCGGGCGGACTATTCAGCACGATCATCTGGCCATCAGTCCGCAGCGCCGAGGCCGAGACGAGCGGCTTTCCAAGCAAAACACAGATGTCGGAGATGAGGTAGCGAGAGGTAGGATGGTCCGTACAGTCGAGGACCACGTCGTACGCATTCACGATGTCCTCGGCATTCTGTGGCGTGAGATGTTCATCGTAGCCGACGTACTTGACCTCGGGATTGAGACCCCGGCAATACTCGATAAGACTATCGACTTTCTTCATGCCGATGCGCGCCGTGCTGTGCGCAATCTGCCGGTGCAGGTTCGAGACCTCGACCGTGTCGCCGTCCACGATGCCCAGAGTCCCCACGCCCGCGCCGGCGAGATATGCGGCAGCGGGGCACCCGAGACCCCCGGCCCCGACGACGAGGACGGCCGCTGACTTGAGGCGCAGCTGACCCTTGATACCGACAGATGGTAAAATGAGTTGCCGGCCGTAGCGGACATACTCTTCCTCTTTAAGTGGCCATCTCCATTCCTGTGCTGATGCCTCTTCTGATGGCGGTGTTGGTGAGGCCTCGAGCTCTGCTAGCTGGGTTTTCAGCTGCTGTAGTTCCACCTCGGTCTTCAAGATCTGCGCCTTCAGTCCCTCAATCTGGTCGGCGACAGGGCCCATTCTGAGAATAAGCAGTGATTTTCCAATATATATGCAGCATTTAACTGTTTATATGCTAGGCATAAAGAATTTTAACTCGAAAAGTAGCAGAGGCAAACAATTAGATTATCTCACTTCAGATTATGCACTTATCCGAATAGTGTGGTTGTACCTAAAGCTGCATATGATCACCCCGCCCCCGCCATTAGGTACTTACAGGCGCGAAAGTTATACAAACATCTCACTTATCTTGGATTCTACATGGTGTGTGTAAGTCTTCATTGATCTAAGAGCTTTGTTCCCCTTTTTACTTTATATCGTTCTTCCATCCACTCGTTTTGTAAAGCAATCGTCATAAGGACTAGTATATCCTGCTTAGGGCCTACGTTACGTATTGGCATTAGCTCAGCCAGACAGCTCAAGTGAGGACCAAGCATTAAATTCATGAATAAGATCTACACACTGACAATGACAGATATGCTACACTTCGAGTGGGTAGTTGGCACTTTTGTACTAATAGTGCAGGTGGGATTTTTACTGAAAGACCACTAGGACTCATGAACATGCTGTCGCTACTATAATGACAACATCGTCATTCAACCGAATGAGTGATAACCCAAATTCAAAAGTTCCATCTCATTATAATGGGAGCAGAGCAACCTCTTTTAATATTGTGGTAAATAGTGGTTGTTCTATACTAGTCGCCATAGGGTGAAAATCTAACAACTAGATAAGGTTCAAATAAAGTTGCCAGTTTCAGATCAACTATGATGTACTCTTATTCTGTTGTGTGAGTTGGCTCAAAAAGCAACCAAGTTGCCCATGGTTTTCGTACGTAAAGCCTCGTAGAGTCTCTAGAGGTAATTGTAATCGAAGCACTGAGCGAACGACCAGAGCACCACTTTCCACAATCTAATAACAGCATTTCACATTGCGCATTTCGCATCTCATGTCGTGTGCACCATATATTCTCAGCAAAGTTCACGAATCATTAAAACACAAGACAAATCGATGAAAACATTATTCGCAGAAGCTCATTTCGGTCGCATGCAAAGCAACTCTCTCTAGGTTACAAGCCCCGAGCTCCATTCCTCCCGGTAGCAAAGAAATCACCGCACCGCCCCTCGCATACAATGCAACACAGACAAAAACAAGAACGCCATCACACGAAAAGAAAACCGGGAAATCATGTCCCCAACGCAACGCAAATGCGAAAACTCAGCGCTCGATCAAACTAGTTACGGGTCCATTTTGTACTCCGGGCGCCGCGCTCAGCACCATGCCAAGCATTACATTGTTCCATGGACTCATTGTCCATTCCATCTCTCATCTCCATGAAGAAGATAAAAGATAAAATAAAAAAGAAAGAAAAAGGAAATACAAAGGAAATACCAGCCACAGCTACTATGTATCTCCGTGTTGACCCTCTAATGCCCGCGGAGACCCATTGCTTCAAGCAATATACAGCAAGTAGCATTGTGCAGTGAGCGACGGGACATCAATGGTCATCCTCAGCAAAGGATACACCGGTCTAAGCACAGAGCAAGCAGAGTCATCTGAGCTGAGCTCTCAAGGGTAGAGACGGGTGGAGTAATTGAGAGCCCCGCGAGCACCAGGTTGGGCGAGATACTGCGCTTGGTTTCGGATACGGAGGTTATTGCGGGTTCTGCGAGCATCGGGGTGGACGTGAAAGGGTGCTGGGGCCTGGTCGGTTTGCACGACTTGTCCAAGGAGATGTTCATTGGGACCCTGCTCGGTCGCACCGGTCAGTATTGTGTGATCCATAAGGCTGTTCGGAGTGTGGCGATTACTTACAGGTCCGTTCCGACGTTCCCGTAAAGTCATGTCGCGGAATCGCGACAGCAGCTCCTCCTCTAGGTGTCGTGAATACTGAGATTCGTACTGGGGCTCGGGTCTACGACTGCCATGGGGACAGCGAGCAGGTGCATGAGGACGATTGCCTCGATAGGCGTTACGATCGAAAGGGCGGATGGGCCTACCACCCCATGTTCGATTCTCATTCATGGTGTCCTGACGTGCTGCATGGGGGCGAACAGGAGCCACCCCAGTTGGAGACACATCATCAATATTAAGCAGAGGTTCTTGTAGACCGAGGATTGGATTGTTTGGGTGCAGTGCTGGGAAAGCATTAGAGCGAGCTGTTCTGCGCAGGCGATGAATAGGGCGACCAGCTGGAGATGGGGCTGGGGCAGCAATGCCAGCTCCATTGCCAGAGCTGTTGGAGCTAGCCAGGACAGCAGCCATTTCGGGAGTGACGTGAGGTCTCAAGTCGTGAACTTGTTGCAGCTGATTCATCTGGAGGGTGTATTCTTGGAGCCTATCGATATGGCGTGATAGCTCTTGTGCACTTTGCAGCAATCGTGTTTCCATCTCCTCCCAGACATGGAGGCGGCGAAGGTCCCGTGCGAGTTGGGGATCATCTACCATAGTGTTTCCGTAACCAGTTGCACCACAAGCAGCACAGCAGGCCGGGAGTTCGCCAACCTCATGGACAGGCGGGAGATTGTGGAGGCTGAAGTCTGGTCCGCCTTGAACCGCTTGGAGCTTGATGGGGTGATAGCAGGCACTGTGGCGCCATTCCTTGCGGCAGACGGGGCAGCTTGCCGAGTGACGAAACCATTCCTGAAGACATTGCAGACCGAAGACATGGCCACACGGAAGCATTGAGCAGGGTTCGTAATAGTGGTCAGAGGCGTGGGTGATGGCAAGTTCGGCGCTGCAGATGCCACATGACACCTCGACGGTTACATCGGGTTCAAGCTTGCCTTCAGAATTGAAGAAGGGGGCCCAGTTGGACGTGAAACTATCACAACTCAAGAGTCAGCAGAGGTAAAGGAAAAGCACAACGGCAGAGAAGAAGGGGTCTTTTGAGTGTCATACCAGTCCTGCAGTGTGCGTACCATTGTGAAGTTCACGCAAGGTATGATTGCCTGAATTCTGGTGGTGCGGTAGAAGGTGATTAAGCACTATTGGGAGAGAGCAAAGAATAAGTGATGTGCAAGATCAGTCGAAATCCCAAGTGGGATGTGAAGACAGGCGAGGTGAAGTTTGTGGTTAGTCTGCATATAAAAGAGAGAAGAGGGGATCAAGATGTGATCCTAGCTACGGATTTATAGGAAATCCAGAAGGGGCAGAACAGAAGGCGGTCAGGCCTGGAGTTCTTCATCATGGAATCTTCAATGGCGGTGCCACCATTGAGAACATGGTACAAGCAATGGGAGTTGCGTGAATGGGTGGAAGTGGCCCGCTCACCAACACCGATTGAGTTTTCCACCATTCAAGATCCCCTGATCCGTATACCCGGATAATTGTAGATGGAACTTCTATATTACAGCAGTCCTGCCCAGGGGAAAATCGAATAAGCGCAATTTGGGGACTACTTTGGGTACCTACGAGATGGGATCCAAGTTGTATTCTCCTGCTGACTCTACTCTGAATGGCTCATTCCTGAATTTATCTAAACGCAACTAATAACGCAGCAAAGATGAAAATATAATAACATACTTCAAAAAGTTGGGGTCAACAGTTTACAGATAATTATTGCTAAGTTCTGATACATTCTCTTTCCAATTGAGTTTTCTCTCTTGCTCAGAGACTAATGGCTACAGCTATGTATACATCAATATGCAGAATTTCATATTGAAATTTGTGGGAAACACTCTTTGAACTCCAATTATGCACACCGACTTGTATCCTTCCAACATGAACCTACCTCATTGCCTTTAATCCAGCGTTAATTACTTACCACATGTTGTGTTGAATTCTCATCTCCCGCCACTTCCGCCTAGTAAACTCTCGGAATTCCCTCGACGTCTGCCGCATTATCTCCGCCGAGTTATGAAATCTCAGATCCCCCGGGTTACAAGGCCCGAATAAAAACCGTCGCATCTTGTCAATGTGCTCATTAACCATTCCCTCGGCGCACTCTTCACAATAGAAGGGCACAAATCCGCCTTCGGGGATCGTCGGCGGGACCGTGTTACGCCTGTCAATGTTTGGATTGTACTCGATGGGCGGAAGATAGTGACCACATTCATACACTAATGAATATCGGCAGACGGGGCAGGAGACGACCCCCTCTTCATTAGTGAAGCCTTCTTGGGCGGAGGCCATCAACCACTTTGTGAGGCAAGAAGCTCCAAACACATGCCCGCAAGGTAACACGCCGAGCCCTTCGAAAAGCTCCGTGCTATTAAAGTGGTCGTCGGGTGAAGTGGCGTTAGAGACCCAAAGTCGATGATCGAAACAGATTCCGCACTTCAGATCTAATTTGACGCAGAAACCTTCGTCATCGATATTTCCCTCTTCACCTAGATATCTCGCGAAGTCGCCGAATAAGAACACATCCTCGTTGGTCAGCAGGCGAATAGGTGTAGGCGTTGGGGTGCTCACACGAACAAGTCCTGGTGGAGGTCCCTGTACGAGGCTCTGCTCATATTCCTCGGGTGAAAGGCCTGGTGGTGGCTGCAAGTCGAGGTTAGTATTCTCGCCAGTTGTAGAATGAACTTGCCGGTTGGAAAAATCACTCTCGACGAACTGAACCGCCTCTTCAACTTGCTCATGCGAAAAGGAAGACATGGCTCAGGATCGATGAGAGAGAAATGTAATGCGATGTAATAGATGCGTGTAAATGATTGCTGTAGAATCGTTTTCGGGATACTCAGGTCTCGTAGCGGTTTTATGAGTGGAATCGAGACCTAAGACGTGGTGACAATTGAAAGCTTCATAGGAGCCTTTGTGCGAAAGGCCTTGAATCTTTATATACCCTCGAACTAACAAACACACTGAGTAACAAACACAATGTGTTTTCCAAGCACGACTCTTGGTTCATAGATACGTTCAGAGAGATCAAAGGGCATTGTTCCGTATGTAGTCTTTTCAAGACCATTGTTACTAGGACTTTATCTACAGACCAGGGCTGAACTCATACTCTGAAAAACACGGCTACATCTACGCATTGTCATTCAACATTACACATAAACACGTAATCAGCACCTTAGAAGACGGAGCTTCCGATCTGTTCTATTCGTTCAATTCATCTTCTCATCTCATCTCATCTCATCCATCTTACCCAAAAGGCATTGATATGTCATGACCGATATCGGCCATCGCTAACCTAGTATACAACTCCAAAACAACTAACAAATTTGAAAAAATAATGAAATTTAGCCGCTCAAACTAGTAAATGCACATGGGATATATATATAACATGATTGAAATCACTCCTTGATATATTTAGACGCCTGGTAGTGATGAATATGTGACACAAAGATTTCCATGCCTGTTACCGTTCATACCTAGGTAAGGGTTCTAGTGTCCCCGTGCCGTTAGGCCTCTCAACTAAAGCGCGGTAACTGTCTCCGTTTTCACCACCCCCATTATCCTCATCTAAGGTTGGTGCAGACGGCTCATGAGACCACGAGGGTAACGGCCTGCTAGTCGGATTGAGGACGGGAGGAGCAGAGGGCCCCGCGCAGTCCTCGGGTATTTCCGGCGGGGCACTTGCTTCCGCCAATAGCCTTTGACGCTCCAGCTCTTGCTTATCGTCTGTAGGACCCTGAGAAGAACCGACCCCCAAGTCCGCTAAATTAGGTGCTGATGCTTCTCCTTCTACCTCGCTGTTCGGGTTTGGCCCTGACTGTGAACTAATGTTGAAAGAATCATGGACCTCTGAATAAGCTGTTTGATCTGGGGCAGAAGGTTGTGACGGACCAGCAACTGCCTCTGGGCTCTGTGTAGGGGGCTGGCTTGGAAGTAACCGTTGCTCAGCCCGTCGCGCGCGCTCTTTGTCCGTAAGATTGCTCTCGTCGGCAATTTCTGGAGGTGGTACGTAGACGGGGACTTGTGTCTCATGGGTTTGGAAATCATAATGCGCGGTCTGTGGCGGTGCCACGGGGTAATAGCGTGGCTGTTGCTCTTGAAAGCCACTAGGGTTATAGTCTTCCTGATATTCAGGATCACCATTATATGTGTTTTGCCAGTCATAATCGTATGGTTCCTCCTCTTCGGGCGGTTCACCTTGAGTAGGAGTTCGCACTGCTGGATAAGGGCGTGCAACAGATTTCCCTCGCGACTTGGAGCTGTCCGTCGTTCCGATAACAACCTCGAAGGAGACCGAAATGACACCTTTTCCTCGCCTGATATGATCAGTGTCTATGATTGTATTATTCCAGCCTGCCGAGAGGTTCATATCGATCCCATAAGTACCGCGTACTGAAGCGGACGAGACCATTCGGTTCGGATGCTGTGATTGTGAAGCGCTACTCGAAGGGCCAGCCAGTTTACCACCTAGGTCGACAATGACCTCAATGTGATACTTGAAAGTGATCAAGCCGCCTGGTACATTCCTGATGCTGGGGAAAGCATCGTCCGGCACTCTAACTGCCGTCGTTATATTCGCTGTGAGAGTAGTAGGATTAATGATAAGAGGAGCCACTGATTGGGAAAGGTCTTTCCGGAAGACACTGCATGAGCCTGCCGAAGATAATGATAGACCACTCAGTCCAGTCTTCGACCTAGGGTAATATTCATCCCGCTCTATCCTTTTCGCGTCCTCCTTGGATAAACCCGTAAATGAAGATATCGGAGGAGCACAATCCACACGACCTTGTCTATAAAGCGTTACAATGATGCCATTTAAGCTTTTCATGTAACGATTATGCTCAACTCTGATCCTCACTGGTACCAATTCGCCCGCGACGCAACCACCTTTCAGCAGTTCCACCGTAGCGGTGATTTCTCTCTCATCCTGCCCTGAGTGCTTACTCCCTGTTGTAGAGTCACCACTAGCATCCGCACCGCGAACACTATAAGACACACTGTTATTACTCGCAGCACTGTCACCGCTGATCTCGCTTTGTACGTCGGCCGGTATAGCTGGGTTGGGCGGCAAATTGCCGACCTCGAAATGTGGTGGTGCAGGGTTGCCCAAGTTCATAGTGCTGTTATTTGGACTCTCCGTCGTCCTCGAATCGCGGTCTGATGCCGCCTCTGTCAACTCGGTTAGAGTTGGATGGGGCTTGGCCACCTGTGCTACGGGCGAGATCACGGCCTTCCCTTTTTTTGACCGCCGCTTCATAGTCTGTAAAAAGACCCTGCGTTCCCTGGGGGGATCTATCAAGCCCACGTCCACCTTCTCTATTAAAGAGACTCTAGTCTCACAAGTGGAAGTGGGAGCTATTGTTGTCGGACGAGTCAATGTGGCTGTCACAAAATAAGCTATCGTGCCCCTTTCAAACTACGCAAGTGGTCAGTTGATTAGTTGCATGCGCTGAAGAAGTCTAATTTGACAGCCATACCTCGATGCTGCTCGGCAACTCTAAATCAGCGGGGAACTGAAGGTCAAATTCAAACTCCCATCTCGAAGCCTGTAACCTCCCCTCGCCACACAAGACGATTTCATCCTGAAAAAGAGATGCATGTCCATTCCCGTGGTAGCGGCCATTCCGACCACCGTGCGGTACAAGGGCGGGGTTGTATGTGACGACCTGGGCAGCAGCGCTGGCGCTCTTGAAGGCACGGACGTAGCCATGCAATGTGACGGTAAGGTGCGTTACGCGGATTGGCTTCACGACAGATAGAACCACAGACCCTTGGACGTGGTCACCCGCTGAGTATTGACGATGTGGCTCCTTCAGGCGGATATGAAAGTCGGCGAGGTTACGGGAGCGGGAACGTAACGGTGCGGCGAGACGGGAGAAGAAGGAGGACTTTGAGGGCGACTCGTCGGGTGATAGAGTGGTGGCATTGTCGAGGTTGGAACCCATTTAATCAGCACCGTTAGACAATTGGAGGGCAGCGTGTGCGTGCCTCACATGGCACAGGGCGCGGGCGGGCAGTCGAGGACTTGGCTTGGCCTGAGCTTCGGCTGTTGGAAGCGACGCGCGTGCGCGACAGCTGTCACGAGGACGACACACGGCGAGGGTCGCACGGAGGCTTCGCTTCCAGCGAGCGACCAGGCTGGCGGGCGTGTTTGTCGATGCGAGTGCGAGCCGAGACGAGGGACGACGCGGGCCAGCCGGGCGCTCAAGGGCTCAAGGGCTCAAGGGACGGGAGTAGCAGGGTTGGACACGGGGATCACCAATCTGTGACAAATAGTATCGAGGGAAAGATCCCAAGGCTGCGGCGCCGTGCGGTCGGGCGCGGTTAGGAGGATGCAAAGGGCAAGCAGTAGTGTAGTGAAGGGCTTCTGACAGCTCTTGGGACGGTGCATGCCAAGCAGGGAGGTTCTTGGTTAAGAATTCTTGGAGATCTTGGAGGCGGGCGCCAAGAGATTCCGTCTTGGGGATGCTTATATAGGATAGGTCTGGCAGGTCTGGGCTGGGGATGGCTCTCTTCTGTAAGGGTTGGCAGGTTGGGAAGGGGGGAGCGCGAGAGGGCCTGGGCGGGCGGGCGGCACGCTACATTATTAGTAGTGGTTAGTGTAGTAACATAGAGCTAGGTAGGTACCTAAGTAGGTAGACTAGACGAGGAACTACTCTAGGTAAGTCAGTACTTAGACGAGGAACTCGATGTGAGGGATTCGATGAGGGACTAAGGAGGTAGGTAAGCTCGGTAGGTATGTAGACAAGGATTGGACGAAAGGACGAGACTAGACTAGACGAGACGAGAGAAGCGACACCACCACACGCACTCGACGCACTAGACTCTGGCAAGCTCTCCGAGTCCCGTTGTCCGTCTCCCATGGGCTGCGGGGCTTGACGAGGACCCCTGGATCAGCGTTTGGGCGGCGGTACCTTGCCTTACATCTACATGTACATGTATGTGAATATGTGTACAGTACGTGTAGAGTGCGTAAGTATGTATAGCTTGAACGCTCGGGGTTGCTGGGATGGATACATGTAGGTAGCTAAATCCGAATCAAGACTGAGGTTAGGGAATAGTGGTGGTGTACCTAGATATAGATAGATGAGGTATGTCAGAATTTCATGCATATACTATATCATAGCGCCTACTGGTATTAGTAGATGCTTAGGTACGCCGTCTCTCTCTTGCCGTCATCCGTGATGCGGATGAGCAGGGCTATTATATAATACAGGTAACCATGTATGTTACATTACCCTACACCGTGACCCCATTGTCAGTAAGACAAGACTCACATGCAGGCCGTCCGTCATCGATCAAGAACGAGCGGCTCAAGTCGATCAGATCAGACAGATCAGACATCGAACATCAAAGTCGTGCGTAAGCCACCTTGTGTTGTCAAAGCCTCTTTTTTTTTTTTAATTACAGATAAGGCACATACCTACATGTAGAAGCTGCTCTGTGTTGGGCAGCAAGGCGAATCCATTCTACTTATCTGGAATACTTAAGCGCCCACGTGATGCCCACAGAGAGGTACATACCGAGGGTACTATGTAGGTATTCGCATCCTCGTTATCACGTCCACCGCCGCTCACGCCCACCTCATCGCGGTTCTTTCCACGATATCCCAGTATAGAATTCCGTTGTCGGTTAGCGTTGGTGAAATAGTAAAATAAGTCATCCCCACCTAGGCTACCCAGGCACGGGCAAGCTTGGCATCTTATGTGGGCAAAAGACGGTGCTGATGTGGTGGTAAGTAACGTGCAGTAGCGCAGAGGTCGACAGTACGACTGGCTACGGGTATCATCGCGTAAACATTTCCACCCAATCGACCATTGGCGATGTCGCATCCTCGACTGAACGAACGATCAGCTGCTTTCATCCACAAACCACCCTGTCTGTGGCTTGAAGGACGGGCAGACAGACATGGATGTAGGTACTGACTGTACCTACATAGACGCCATGGCAGACTTGGAGAAACTTTATTCGCGCCGTGGAGTCACAGGCGTACACTGGACGTTGTTCAGATCAGACAAGATGCGATGCCTGCCGCATTTCGCCGCCCACTCCGCTAACCACATGCATCAAGTGGGAATCGCAAGGGTTTACCTATCGGTACTGTTGCCGGTAACTTACTACGTACTGATCACAGGGCAAAGCGGTGAAACGGGATGCCTTGGAAAGAAAAGAAAGAAATTCAAGATGAGAACTGCGGGTGCCCTTGCTATGAACATACGATCATTACAGCACAATACAGGCGGGGCTCCCTCTCTAGGTACTTAGATGCTGCTTCATACAGTCCTACCGGTTTTGATTGTCGCGTAAAGGCCTCAACACCTCTACCACGTAAGCTAAACTGATCCTCAACTCATTGCATGGATGAGAGAGCGAAGCTTCCGCGGAAACCGTAAAGCTGGCTGGCGCCTTTTGGATCAGTAGCAATTGCATAGTATATTTGTGTAGAGTACCTAAGTAGTTGCGAAAGAAAAATGACGCGCGCATGAGTGCGTCCCACAGATTTTATCGTGATGGTGGGCAGTTAGTTGGAAGGTGGGGAGGCGGGGAGGGAACGGTGACGATACTATCTGTACTTATTTCCTGATCTTACTTACGGATGGATACAATAGCGCACTTGAGTAACGTGATTCTGCTCGGGTACAACGCTAACAACATATCATTCATTCATAGTATTTGATTTCGATACCTATCCCTACCTATCGAGCCGTCTCTCGCCTTTCACATGCAGGCCTTCGCACCACGGTGCCGAGTTCCAGATGCGTAGAGCAACCTACATACATTGGTGGGGGTCATTTTTCCACCCATCTCTACTCGCTCTACCCGTAACGTACAGATTGATGAGCCTGACTGCATACAGATACGCCGTTTCGATACTACCTATAGTACAAAAGTATGTAGGACACTACATGTATGTTATATTGTCCAGTCCTAAGTATGTACATGAGGTATCCTGTGCGATGCGGTGGCATTTTCAGCCCATCCGTCCATCCACCGCGCCCCCCATCTGTCCCATCCAACCATCCGCCCTTCCATCCATCTATCCATCCCATCCATCCCTTTCCATCCCTTCCTATCCCCCTCCCTTCCAGGGCAATCCGAATTCCTCGAATTCCATAATGCGGAGTACCGGTAAGGCAAAGGATGTGCAAAATGTAGTCTCGATTTGTCATGGGCTTTTTCTTGGCCACGTTAGTTTAGAGGGGGGTTTCCCCTGGCATGCGGTGATCGGCGGTCTTGTCCTCAAAGCTTAACTCTCGCTTGCCTCCAATCACCTTGTCGCCAATCTTGTTGGATTCTCCGCTACATATTGGTGCTAATCCCATCGCACTCGTAGCCCAGTACGCTATTGTCTATATCGGTCTAGTAACAGTGGCAGGTTAAGTCAGGTACGTTGGCTTGATCGTATAGAAGCAAGATATAAGTACGGCATTTCAATAGGCCAATATTAAGTAGGAGCAATTCTGTCTCCATGGTACTATGAATATGTATTGTGGTTCATCGTGTGGACTAAATATACAGGTGAATCGAGACAGCTTGTGATTTTAATAATCCAGATTGAGGCGCCAGACAGCTATTCTAAGGGCATTACGTCCAACATACAACGTGATATACCAACAACGCCAGGCAATGCAATAATCCCCAAAATGCGATGCAGAGAATGACATTTGCGCCTAATCCAATGCCTCGCCGCTTAAAATACTCTTCAGAATGTCTGTACCGAGTCCCTCAATAGCCTGCTCGAGCTCCTTCTCTCCTACACAGCTCGCCACCTTTTTCTCGTCTACCAATCCAGCGCCAGCAGTGAAGCCTGCCCGCTTTGACCTCTTACTCGGCGTCTGTAGCATGGTTAAAGAGCCAGTCTTTCCATCCACCTCCGAAACCAGCGACAGAGTCTCTAAGCTACCGACAACCTCTCGAAATTCGGACCCCGAAAGAGGGTGGAGAACCGAGTCACGTGTACACAGCAAGCAGTACGTCTCGTATAGCAACTTGATCGTCGGTGCCGCAGTCAGTGATTTGGAGGGTGACTGGAATGCAATTGCCGATCGTGATGCTCGGTTTCGCTTTTCAAGAGCCATGAGCGAACATAGCGCAGCCTTTTGCTGCAAGTTGAGGGTTTTGAGTCGCTGGTTGCTCCCATTACTAAAAGCCGCCGCAGTAATCTTGTTGAGATGCGCAATGCTCACACGGGGTGCATTCTCAATCGTCAACGTCTTCAGTGAATCTGTCAGCATTGATGATAAATCCCTCGCACGTGCGTCTCTGGGTGGCGAAGAGAGGTTCGCTTTTTCTCCTAGCGGCCGTCTCGAGGGTGTGGACAGAAGTAGTTTCTCCTTGGCCTCTACCTCATGCTTCTGCTTAGTCTCCATCTCCACCAAATCAATAGCTCTCCGGCAAATCTCAAAGGCTTTCCGCAAATCTCCGGTCTGACTGGATACTTTACGAGAGCACAGTTCGATCGCAGCGGGATGAATAAAGGGCAACGGGCTCCCCTCAGGTACGAGACTCTTCAAGCGACTAGTGATGATTGTTTTAATCTGAGTTGCCGAGTATGGCAGAAAAGGAAGTAGATCGGGTTTGAGATTCCGCGACTTGAGGCGTGGTAGGAAGCGGTCGGTGAGATCCAAAGCATTCGCTATGCCCACTAGTAGAAGACGTGAAGTCTTCTGCATGGACCACTCGAATACTTTATACAAGCTTTCTAGATCAAGGGTAAGAATGTGGTCTATCTCATCCAAAACAACGAGGTACACGCTTGTCGATTTCTTTCGCGGCATCAACAATTTCTCGATAATCGTGGCTGCATCTCCTTCGGGGAAGTCTAGGGGATCCGAAATCTGCTCCAGTAGGGTTTCATATAGATCTTTTGACGATTTGATGCTCATACAATTGATATACGCCTTCTTGACAGGTGCCGAGTCGACGACGGCTTGAGTAACTTCGTTGACCATAGCACTCTTGCCGGTACCCGGTGGTCCACTGACGTAAATGCAGCCGCTGGGTGTTGAGGTTTTACATCTCTGTAAGAATTTTGTGAGGTGGTGTCGTTCGTCATCACGTCCAGTCAATTGGCCAGGATCAGCGCTCCGGGAGAACAATTGCCTGGCGTGGTGATATACCGTTTGGATAGCAACAGGTGTGAAGGGGGTATGTGGTGTCTGTCGCTTCGAGATCCTGCCCGTAGACATAACCCGATGGCGGGGCGTGACGGGAACTCTGGCAAGAGCATCGCGGAAACGGGGCGTGCTCGGGGTAACTAGCTTAAGATCTGGAAGATTGCGTGTAAGAAGCTGCCCTTCTGTGAGCGGAAGTCATAAGGTAGACACATACCTTTCTTGCCACCATCTGCCCGGCTGGCACGTTTTGAAGGCGTACTGGGAAAGGCGGGAAAGGCCAATTCGGTGATCTCGTCCGTGTCCTCCTCTGGGATAGGCGCATCGCCGCCGTCTGTGTCTTCCCGTATGGCGACTGCTTCCGGGTCGGCATTCTCGTCATTGAGAAGGGCGCTCCGAGTCTGACGTCTGGTCCGTTTGGCGAGCGGCTCGGCAAGATCTAATGACCACGTCAGTTGCGGTTTCGCATTGAGGGATAGCTATAAGCAGCAAGGTTGGACCTACCAATGTCACCCGCACGACGGCCTCTCTTTCCTAGCGTAGCTGCTGGCATATTTTCTTTTATTGCTCTGATTCTTTTACTCTTTCCCTCTTTCACTCTTTTTCTGATTCACCTCTCGATCCTTCTCTCCAGGCGCACGTAAGATCAAAAGAAACACGCAAGCAAGAGCCTATGAAAATAGAAGTCGCAAATTACTTGGTGGTGGTTGACAAGGGAAGCAAGCAAGTAATTAATCCCCATTGCAACTTAGCGCGGGCTACGACGCGACGAGAGCGCGTAAAGTGGTCCCCACCCGTGTCACTGTGCAATGCGTTCCAGCGCGTTACAGTGAATGGCTCTGGCGTTTTAGTGGGCCTCAATGGGGCTTTAGCGCGTGTGCTTGGTACTGTCCGCCACTGTCTGCCCCTGCTTCTTAACACCTGGCGGCCAGCTGCATCTGATCCCCTCTGCTTACTTAAGTGAGCATCACTTACCTAATAAGGCATGTGCGACGTGGGACGGTGAACTCCGGTTCGCCCTTGCCCCCCCCCCCGGACCCCTGCCCAGCCAGCCAAGCCTAACACCGCCTGCTACCGACGGCCCCCGTGACCGGTGACATACTTATACACGTATCTCTTACCAAGAATGCCGGGTATAACACTCGCCACAACTATTGAGCCAACCGCTTTGTCAGAGAAATTGACTGCACCATGCCGCTACTCGGCCTACTCGGCTTGGGCAGTTCATCTCGGCTTATCTCATCGTTGGATTTGGGAGGATCATCGTCGCCATTGGCTTCTGGCTTCATGTCTAGCGCTCCATCGCTGCCACCGTGAAAATGGACGAGAACTCTATGGCATATAACGCTCGCATCGAGGCTCTTCGAAAAGACGAATTCCCTATGCTGCATGGTAACCAAACCTTATTTCGGCCCTTGGCTGACAACCAGTTAACAACCGATAATAGACGGCATCTATCTCGACCATGCTGGAACGACACTGTATTCCAAGTCCCTGGTGGACGCTTTTGCTGCCGAGATGACCACCAATCTTTTCGGGAACCCTCATTCTGCTTCGGCATCGTCGCAATGTACCATGGCTAGAATTGAAAAGATCCGATACCGCGTCCTGCAGTTCTTCAATGCTGATCCTGCGGAATTTGATCTTGTCTTTGTCGCCAACGCAACCGCGGGGATCAAGATGGTAAGCGACGCATTCCGGGGCTTTTCTGAAGGCTTCAATTATCTCTACCATCACGCATCCCACACTAGTCTTGTCGGTGTTAGACAGGAGGCTAGGAATAGTCTTTGTCTAGACACCGACGGCGTTAATGACTGGATTGAGCGAGGAGAGCTTGAACCGAGCATTGACTGCCGGCAACGAGCAACCTTATTCGCATATCCAGCTCAATCCAACATGGATGGGCGGAGATATCCCCTCGACTGGGGTGCAAGACTGCGTGGAACCCAGCCAAACCCAAGTTGCCAGATGTACACATTACTTGACGCCGCAGCTTATGTAGCGACGTCTCCGCTAGACCTCGGCAATGTTGAAGCCGCCCCAGATTTTACTGTATTGAGCTTCTACAAGATTTTCGGCTTTCCCGACCTAGGCGGACTCATTGTCAAGCGTGAAGCTGCCTCAATCTTCACACAACGTCGCTACTTTGGTGGCGGGACTGTTGACATGGTGACGTGCACTAAGGAACAGTGGCATGCTCCCAAAACTCAGAGCTTGCATGAGACACTTGAAGACGGCACTTTGCCCATCCACAGTATCATTGCGCTTGATTCGGCGCTCGACGTACATCACACATTATACGGTACTATGACAGACATTGCTTTACACACATCCTTTTTGGCCCGCCAATTGTATAGAGGGCTGGAGAAAGTTCAGCATGGTAACGGCCAACAAGTATGCGTGATGTACTCCACTTCACCGGATGATACAGATGCTGGTCTTGGGAATGGAGCAGTGGTTGCATTCAATCTGCGAACTTGCATGGGGGCTTGGATCAGCTTGACTGAATTTGAAAAGCTCGCCGTCTTGAAGAACTTTCATGTGCGTACTGGGGGACTCTGCAATCCCGGAGGAATCGCAGCCGCCTTGGGACTTGAGCCTTGGGAAATGAAACAGAACTTTTCCGCTGGTTTTCGTTGTGGCAATGAGCACGACGTCATAAATGGTAAGCCGACGGGGGTCATTCGGGTCAGCCTTGGGGCCATGAGTACTCTGTCGGATGTTGACAATTTCATTGCTTTTATTGAAGAATTTTACCGAGAAGACCGTCAGCCCCAGCCAGTCTCTCACAACGTACCTACCGTTAACAATAACGGATCGGAAGTATTTGTTGACACCATTATGGTATACCCAATTAAAAGCTGTGGTGGTTTCCGTATTCCTGCCGGTCTTCCATGGGCGGTGAGATCAGAAGGTCTAGCTTGGGACAGAGAGTGGTGTTTAGTGCACCCTGGGACCGGACTTGCTCTCACACAGAAGCGATACTCCCGCATGGCTCTCATACGACCCTCGATCGACTTGTCAGCTGGAAAGCTTAGAGTTTCTTACCAAGGGCCGCTCCCAGAATCCGCCCAGAAAGAGATTTCCGTTCCCTTGTCCTTAAATCCAGAGTTCTTCCGGCCGGTTGATAACCCCAGGTCGACTAAGACTCGCGTATGTGGTGATGGGATATCTACGATGATATACAAGTCACATGATATAAACACTTTCTTTTCTAATATTATTGGTACACCATGCGCATTAGCTAGATTTCCTCCGGGCGGGTCGGGTAACAGCATGCGCCATGCGAAGGCTCACCTCCAGAGTCACCAAACCCAACCCTCTGTGAAGGACAACGTACAAAGTCATCGTCATGGCATCCAAACCCCACCCGATTCAGATGAAGAGTCAGAACGGCGTCGAATATTGCTATCTAACGAAAGCCCTATCCTTGCGATTAATCTCTCGAGCCTTGCCGCTCTAAATCGGGATCTGGTCAAGAATGGGGGAAGTCCCGTATATGCAGAAACATTCCGTGCCAATATTGTAATTGGCTCATCGTCATCCGCCTCGAAATCGACTCCTGAAATCCTCGCATATTCAGAAGATGAGTGGGATACGTTACGAATAGGCACACACAACTTCAAAATGTTAGGTGCATGTCGAAGGTGCCATATGGTATGCATCAATCAGAACACGGCTGCTAAGAGCGATGAACCGTTCCTCACCCTAGCGAAAACCAGGCGGTTCAATGGGAAGGTGTTCTTTGGAGTCCACATGTGTCACATACCTATGGTGGCCCCTGACACGAGGGAGGCACAGAGTCCGACGATTTCAATAGGTGACAAGATAGCAATTGATCCCTTATGATGTCCGAGGCATGTTGCTGCGTTTCGGAGTAAGTACACTAGTACAACTCAGGGCATAATGCAAGTTGAATCCAACAATTCTGCCTTGTCAACTCGTTCCATCCAATGCACAGCCGCTAAGGTATGATATGCAAATGGTACCGCTATCTAATAGCATCTCTGCTTTGTGTCGCATGTTACTCAATTTTGACAACACATCCTGCTTGTCGGGAATGAGCTCGTCGACAATACCATACCTAGGCTCGAAACATACTACTAGTGACATTGAAACTTCTATTACAACAACAACCATAGCACTGTCAGATATATGCCTGCATCTTAAACACCTCATTCTGGAAATACACGTCTAGGTGTTCAATATCAGCTGTCAGCTGCCTCTCATTCCACCATAGCGTGTTGGATAGACATATATAACAACAACCTAAATAAAGATTGAAGCTTGGCCATACCACTGTTATTACTTTCAGATTAATGCAACGGAGGCTGAGGACTGAGCCTCATCCAGTTTTAACCACAGGCAGAAACTATGCTCTTCCTCAACGAGACGTGGTTTCTCACATCCTTTAACAGCCTAATAATAATTGGTGACTTTCCCATGTAGTCCACGCAGCTCCTTACATCGCTGTTGATGGGTTTAGAATTACCATATACTCTACCACACCAACGTAGTCTTAGGAAGGCCTTATTAATCTTCATGTTGTCTTATCCTGGGACATTTTCGGCACTACGGAAGCATCATACCTATCTTTCACTCCGTGCAAACCCAGGGACAACTGATTGTCATTAGTGGACTGAAGCTAGTGTCATGGTATCAAAACTATTAGCACTTCAGAGGTGGTGCTCTAATTAAAACCAGTGGTAGACGACTTGCACAAAGGCAATAGTTAAAGTGGTGCAGCATTCCTCTGTGTTGCTATTCACGCGCATACCACGCAACACTCTCATGCACATTGTTACGGTACGGTACTATATAGTGAGTGCAGAGACGTCAAGCCTTCGACTTGATAACTCGTCGTTACCTTTTGGTGGCGTAGTGGCATAGTACTGCACTCCTTATGTCATTCCGTGACACACATTCCAATCAACTCCAGTAACGTCACCTACGAGACCGGCTAGTTTAGTAGGTTTCTGTGCCCGGACTTTGTCTTAGAACCTGCGACAGACGCTGCAAGCATTTCTGCTGCCTGGTCACTCCCAAGCCCTGTTACTGTTTTCGGCCAGAGGTACGAATTTTAACCCTGTAAGACAAAGAACTACGGCTACTTCTTTGTTACAACCCTTTTATTTACAACATAGTAATAACGGTGAGCGGCAAGTAGCTGCTTGTATGATCTTGATCTCTGAGCTCCCTTTTCTCTATTGTACCCTCTCATGCATCCTCGTCATCTCAATGTTAGGCGGATCTTGTTCTGTTGCCAAATCTCTCTTGTTTAGCTGACACCCCTTTTTTAGCTCGCACGTACGCTTTTCTCTGCTCTGTTCATCTGCATAACCACACCAAAGCTCGTAAGAGTATCTGCGTTGCTGAGGAAACAGACCACCCCCGGTAGGGCCATTCCACCGCCATACGTAACTGTGCCTAACGACCCCGGCGGTGCCGGCCTCAGTGCCTACAATGGCCGCAAACCAAAATCAGCTCGAATTTTTTAGGGTTTTAGGAGGTAACAACTTCAAGACAAGACAAGAAAACTTTCAGTTGCTCGTGGCTACTCATCAAGAACTCGGGGACGACAACGAGTTGGTATCGCCCAAGGTCTTCAGGAGCATATATGACGACCACCTAATACCGCTCCTTGACGCTCGCACCTTCATTGTCCAGGAGCTAAGCTCTATCTGGGGCGTGTATGGGGTCCTGCCTGCAGAGTTCGACAACGAAACCTCGGCGAAGAGAGAGGAGCTAAAAGCGACAGGTGAAGCAGCTGTAGATGCCAGGAACAGTCACGATAGCCTGATAAAGGAAATTGTTGCTGTCACGGTGGTGTGTGCAGAGCGTGTGAATTGGAGCAAGCACAAGAACGATGACTACCAACATGAGCTTTTGAAATGGGTGATAGAGAAGCAAGCTCGTCTCACCGGCTCCATCAGCGACCCGAACAATTCTATAATCAGATCGGAGTTAGAGGCTGTACATAGCCCTTTAACAAAAGGGTTTGCAGCACTGTCGAAGAAGTTGTCTATCCAGGCTGAGAAGAAGGGAAACTCTACCATCATCAAAATACAAACGAAAAAACTAACTCTCAACAAGTCGTCGACTTCATCAAGTCCCCCCCTAAGACTCAGAGCTGAAAAAGAAGAGGACTCAAACGATGATGGTTTGAAGCACCTGTTGAGTGAACTGGATAGTGTCAATGGTGATGACGATGGTAATAATGGAGGACCGTCAAAAAAACCGAAGTTGGACGTTCCCATCGGTGAGTGGTGGGGACCGAGAAAATCGAAACTCAGCTGCACCAATACTTTTTTTGATGTGGTCCGCGAGTACAAGGCGTACCTTGCGAATCCTACACATCCATCACACAGCAGGCCCTATATCGAGGCACTAATTGTTTACTTGAGGCGAGCCCTTGTAGAATGCGGCAAGGACGATCAAACTTATAAGATACTCATGAAAGATGAATGGAACTTCCGTGACGAGACCTTGAAAGTTTGTGCAGTTCCGACGGTGCTACGACCTGGTGCCACTGAAGCGAACTACCGTCTAGGTATGAATGGGTTTACCGGGCTAAACGACTTCAAAAGAATGCTCGGCGGCGGATTGACCGATTACGAGTTGGAAGAGACAAACCATTTGCCAGAAGCCCAAGGCATGTTGGCATTGGCGCATGCAGCTAAGATCGGGGATAGGCATACCCTACGCGGTGGTGCCGCCGATGGCAAAGATGGCCAGGAAGAAAGGCTGCGTAAAGCCATTCGGACAGCCACCCAACTCCGTTTCCGTGATCCTGTTACCCTCTGGGAGCAATTGGTAGAAGATGCAACCTATCCTGCCGGCGTATTTGATGCTCGTGTCAAAGAAGTGCGACCTCCCATGACAGATCCCAACCGCATAGGTCAACCAAAACCAATGTCATTTTTCAGGGAGATGATGTCCAAAGTCGTAGACACCAAGGAATGGAACAAAGCTCAAGGCGTTTTCGATCTATTCTCGGTCGATGAGTTGCTCGATAAGTATAAGAAATTCATTGAAAATTCAAAAGAAAAAGCCAACGCTTTCTTGAACGAAGATGACAGGCTTTTCCCTCACGAGCCAAAACTTAATGAAGCTGGGGGGAAGGATAAACCGAAACGTCGATACGGGAACCTTCGAGATAAAGATTTCGCGAAGTCCATAGGGTATGCTTTCCGCGCTAGAATGTTTCAGGTTCTTCGTTTCTCGTTGACATGGCGCGCATACATTTTGGGCTTTCGCACTTTGCGAGATCTGTTGATGGAAGAGAAAGCGCTCTTGCAAATTTGGGACGATCACGAAGCACTATACATGGAATGGGAGAATTGTAGGTGGTTCACTCTCTCGAACGCGCAAGAGATCTCTCGCTTAGAGAACCGCTACGCGGCACGAGAACTTCTGCGCAAGGTATGGGTGAACGAGATAAAAGGCATTGACACCGCTCTTGAGAACTTGAGGAAATACCCAAATTGCTATGACGACGCAGGCAAGGGTCTTCTATCAGCGCAGTTCTCGGATGAATCGGGTCTCGCTACTCTACTAGGTATGTTTCCGTGTGACCCCTTTACCGTGACAGTGGGCGGCTAGGTCAAGCGTTGCTAGATGTTGCTACAAATTCTGATGAGTCAGTAGATTCAGGTCTGTTGGACAAACCAGAATATAAAACACACGCCAATAAACAAGTCTACGGAGAGGCCAATGACGCCAACATTCTCAGAGGTGTCCAGAGCCCTATGGATTACAACATAGATACTGATGTGGAGGAACAGGCCTACGATAATAGTAAGCCCCTCGATCTCGACGCATCCCGTCGGTTCCTAGAAAAGACACTTGCGGTCTATGAGAAGAGTCTTGATAAGGCGATGCGGGCAAATAACAACTTGGATGATACCGACCCAGGTAATGCGGCAATCATGCAAAAGAACAACATCGACATCATGGCGACACAACAGGTCATCTGGTCTTTAAAGACTGAACTTCATAACTTGAACCGTTCGCTGGATCCTCTTTCAGAAGATAGTGTAGGCAAGGGCGCTGCGCTGAAATGGAAAGTCGATGAAGGGGATTATTGGAAAAATATTAAACCACTTCCAAGGAAAACACCATTACCCCTTAGAGTCAAAAGCCTTGGTCTAGGATTCATGCCCGGTGAACACCCAAAACCTGACCATCCTGCTCTTCTCTTGGGTTGCCCTCCAGGCTTCGCTAAAGGAGGAGTCGTGGACGAGGGGGAGTATTATCTTCCTGCGGACAATAGCCTATCTAACAAATCAAATAAGGATATAAGCCACTCGAACTACGACGGCTGGAACGAGTTCCTTGAATCACATCGGGTTGCTTGGGGAAATGAACAGGCCACTGGTACTGCACTGTTAAGTTGGGATGAATGGGTCGATGCGGCGTATCGTGCCCTGCGAAGCAGCACAGCGAGCATTAGAGCTATGTTCGATGACGATAGCCCTTACAAGACGGACATGAATCTTCTACAGCATGTTCAAGACGCGTACCACAATCGTTTCAACTCAAACCAGGATCACGACTCGATGAGCTGGCGGAAGCGAGAGATGAATAGACGCGCGCTTCTTGAAGGATTTGCTGCCGAAATCAATTCGTTCTTTGTGAAGAATATGCTTCCACAGTCATTTCCAAGAGTAGGGGTTTTGCCTTCGGCTAGCCCCATAGCCCAATTGACTCCCTATACTAGCTATCCCAACATGAGCTCTCCTATGACGAGCCCACCCAAGAAGGACGAGGAAACCTTTTCAAATCTACGAGCATACCTGAAGGCAAAGAATGAGGCCGAGCTGAAGATGAAGAAGATCACTAGATTGGTGAGCAAGGGTGAGCCATTGAGCCAGAAGCAAAAAGACTCCCTAGCTGCAGCAAAGCAATCAAGGAAGAAGTTCGTGACACTGTACAAAAAATTGCGAAGCAGTTTAGGTGCGGCAGCGACGGCGCAAGCGGATGCCATAGAACAAGAAGAGAGTGCTCTGCACAATCAGGATATCAAGACAGCTGAGGCGCTTGCAGATGCAAAGATAAATAAAAATCAAATCTCGCCAACCACAGAGCTAGAAGACATTAGTATCGAAGGGATACTCGCCGGGATGAGGAAGAAAACGACGCCAGCTGTAGTCACGAAACCTGCTCCAACTCCTAAATCCGCCAAGACTCCCCAATCCACCAAAAAAACACCAATACAGCAACCCAAACCTGCTTCTTCTCATGTAGAAGCGTTGAAAAAGTCTGCGGAGTATCTTGCGGAGGCTCGTGTACTACTGCGCACCCTACGGGAAAAATATAATGAAGCCGTGGATGCGGAAGAAGCAGCGGAGACGGCTGCGGACACCCGAGACGACCCCGACTTGGATGATATCCTTGACTTCGCATCGGGAGCGGCCATCGAAGCCGGAAAGGAGTACACAGAGAGCAAGATAAACATTCGGCTTAGGGCGCAGGCATACATATGCCAGCGACAATGGAATGCCCCGGCCGAGACAGCTGAGGAGCTCAGGGAGAGGTACAACGACCTGAATCAGGACCCCAAGTACTGGATCGCCGATATAATCTGGGATAAGTCCTGGACGCCGAACGTGAATTTCGCATACTCAACCTGGATAAATAACGTCATTATACTCATGCACGAGGCGTACAAGGCCGTCAACATCAACTCGGGACCCGCGTATTTCAAGACTTTATACGAGCATTTCTGGGCCTGTCCCGGCAACACGCTGGAGAAGAAGCGCAAGGTCTGGCTGTACCTCTTGATCACAGATTACAACTCGCGGCTCGACAAGAACAACCTCAGCCATAAGAAGTTCGTCACGCCGCCGTCGAGGCCCCCCGCGGATTATTTCCGCCCTACGCTATCGAGGGACGAGCTCCTCAATCAGAAGAACGCTGAAGTGGAAGCTGCATTGAAAGCGGCGAAAGACGAAACCCTAAATCCATTCAGCCACGATATCATCGCCGAAGAGAATCTGCTACAGCAATTCTCGCTAGCCCCGGCGGATGCCATACAGATGAGCGTCAGCCCCTCCCCGTTCCCGCAGCTGAGCGATGACTCGCCGTTTCAACGGCAGCTTCAACGGCAGCAGCTTACGGTCCAGCAGAGAGACGAGGAGCTCCAGGAGCAACTCCAGAGCCTCGCCGTGAGATCCCCATCGCCGCTCGCGGTCGCCAGCCCGTCACTTCCGTTCCGCTCCACGTCCAGTTCCCAGACGAATAAGACGGGGACGTCGAACAACCTGGGGCTCAATCTGGACAAGATCCTCGGTCTGGGGCCAGGGGCAAGGGATCCAGCGCTCTCCTCCGGCAAGCCGACTCTAACTCCGTCATCTATCCCCCCCCGGCCTCATTCCCCAACAGCATACACAGAAGACGTCGAGATGGACACGCCCTTTCCCACGCCATACCCCTTCTCCCCCGCACCCGTCGGCCTCGGGCCCATCAAGATCGTCCTCAAAAAGCCATCCGGCACCGACACCGCGAGCCAAGACGGGCGCTTCACGGCGGCGCTGAAATCCGCCAGCGGCCTCTGGGAGTCCTCGGGCGGAGAAGACACGCCCATGGTAGACTCCGACGATCCCGTGCCGAAGCAAGCGGGGAGCACGAACGACGCCTGGCCCGAGTTGAAAGGGATGATTTCGACGACGTGGATCTCTTGCGTCGCGTTCGAGGCGCTGCGCCAGAAGCACGGGGACAGGCGAGGGATGTCGCGGGCGACGTACCATCCCGACTGGCCCAGGCCGGTGAGGGTGAACAATGGGATCGACGCCGAGTACTATTGTCTATAAGCGATAGCGCTGAGTTGGTTGGCCATGCATTCATTGTAAAGCGAAAGGACGTTAGTTAGTTAGCATCTTGGCTGCTCTTCTCCTCACCTTTTCATTGGGATACAAGGAAGCGTTGTATTGGGGTGATGGGGGAGAGAGATGGAGCGTTTCATTGTCAAAAGGGGTTATGAAATATATATTGTACAAAGTGCTGTCTTATATGCCTGAACGAAGGGGAATAGGCATAGTCTCGAGTCATTCGAGGATCTAAGCTGCACAGCAGCGAGTGTGAGCGAGTACCCAGATAGAATGGGATGAAAAGGAGGTCAGACGATTTGTTTACATCGTCTGGGTCGATCACGCAAAGATAGATAGACAGACAGGTGTTGCGACGGGTCAAGATACAGTGTATCGTTATACAGAAGGTCCATTGGGGTATACGGACTTCAGATAGCATAGTTTTCCCTTGTTTTATTTTTTTTTTTTGGCCTTGATCGAATAACACATACACATTTGAATCTTCCGATCATGAACCAGCGATACCAAATCATAGCATCATCATCATCTATCTATCCCATTCCATCCATCGCAGATAGCACGTACGCTTTCAAAAAACTTTGGTAGCAAAAGGCTTAGCTTTATCGAAGTTCTGGGGGGGCATATACATGGTAGTATGTCCATCGTGACAGAGGCGCCCCAAAATGGCGCCGTGGTTGGTGTTAAATTCCTTGATAGTCCGGAACTCCTATGTACGAATAGAGAAGAAGTATTGCCATGTCAAAGGAAATCCCAACCTCTTTGATACAACCTGGCCCATTTAACCTTTTGGTATCTTCTCGCGCATATCTTATGCTCTCACAAAACGTAGTTGATGCCTATGTCTTGTGTCAAACGACAGAGGGTCATTACGGCGGTTATAGTCGAACTTTCTTAATCGCACCTTCGACATCAAAGGAAGTAGTCTGCAACAGGCTTCTTAGCAGGCATACCCCTAGAATCCTGCGGCGCAGCCTGGAAGACACGATATCGACGCGCCGGGCCTCTCTTAGTGGCCTCGTCGGCATCCGGAAAACTGGGCACGCCTCCATCACTCCGTCCAACGTCGCCGTTACTGCGCGCGAAGAAGCCCTGCCCACTGGCGTCCTCAGACAACTCAAGTACGGCAGCCACATTGCCGCAGCGGTAGCAATAATTAGGGGCTGACCAAACTGTGACGATGCTGGCGTCGAACATTTCTTTGAAGCCTTCCATGACGAGCTGGTGCGCTCTTGCTATTAGAGACAGGTCGTTTCTGTGATTGAACACTTTCACAATATCAGCTCCAAACAGGAAACCTGCGCCACGCGGCGATAATCCCCAGCCATCGATCTCGTCCGGATCTGACCATAGTAGATCGCACATGGCTCCTTCGTGAGGAACCTCTTGCTTGCGATCTAACAGGCGGATCTTATCCACCGAATCGATCAGAGGCGAGAGACCACCGTGAACACAGAGAACTGCGCCCGTCGGCCGCCCGACCGTACCCCGGCTTGAACCAGAGGCACCAGTGCCGGGAGGGCCTGTGAGTTCCGTCTTCCCATTTGGGCTACCATTGTGACTGCTACTAGCCTTTCCGCGCCTTGAGAACTGGCTTATGACATCTCCATCCGCATTACAGACCTCGATTTCCACATCCTCCCGAGTCGTAGTTTCGCTTGGTGGCTCTATGTTATTTGAGGCGCCTAGGACTATGGCGCCGAGCGCAAGGTAGTCGAATACATCGCAACAATACCGCCACACATTCGCACTTCCATATTTCCGTAAGCACTCGTCATAGAATCCGTATACGGTTGTGATTTGTCGCGACTCGTGGTTGCCCCGGATCAAGGTCATCCGGTCGGGATAGCGGACCTTTAAGCAGAGAAGTAGGAGGAATGATTCCAAGGAGTAGAAGCCCCGATCAACGAAATCACCTGTGCGATGACCTCATTAGTCATTCAGTCCCTCTAACTTGCATTTCACTTTCTACATACCCATGAAGAGATAATTGGTATCAGGAGGATCACCACCCACGCGGAATAGCTCCATCAAGTCGTGGAACTGGCCGTGTATATCGCCGCATATCTGAAGCACCATGAATACCACGGACACAATAATGGCACGAGGCGAGGTCAGAAGGACTCACTGTTACGGGCGCAGTCACCGTCACTACATTCGCTTCCTCGATTAACAGCTCACGTGCCTTGTGACAGACCTCTCGGACTTGGGCTTCTGGAATGGGTCGACAAGCCCTCAGCTGGGCGATAGCTCTAGCAAGAACACATAAACATCAGAACAAATTTCTAGCATAGGGAAAGACGGTGCAACCTACTTATCGAGGTCGCTCATCTTTTGCGACGGTTGCAGGGTCTAGGGGCTGTGTCGGCGCACGAGGATCGCAAGGACGGCCGAGCAGCCTATGGTGTCCTGTGGTGGTGGGAAGTCGGCTCTATATCATACTTCTAGATCGCATGCAACTGAAGGACTTGTAGATATCGAACGGCGGTGGGCGTGAGTTGTGGTCGCTGCTGGAGATTGGACGCGTAAAGTGATGCAGGTCTGTCGCGTCGGCAAGTAAATGGTGGCGACCAAAAAGTCGGTCGCATTGATGGTTGTACAGCAGAGAGACAGCCATGTTACAGCAGGCTCAGGTGGGATGTTTTAGGCATGTTCAGGTTCAGCTAGGCTAGCTAGCGCAGGCGCTACCACCCCCGTAAAGAATCCACTTAGCGCTTATTTTAGCGCATTGCGGCTCATAGGATCCCCAGTGAAATCACACGGTTATTTCTCGGGCCATATCAGCTCCGACATTTGAGGCTATCATACTGTACGTCCTAACCCCAGCTCGAAGCTCTCCTCCACTACCTACTCGGCCGGCACTCCATACAAAGCCCAAAAGTGCCTCTACAGACAGGACAAACAACCGAGTATCATGACCTGAATGCAGAATCCTCGACTTCAAAGTACGACAGAATCCAATTCCCCTCAATTGGCGCTCCAATTGGCCGAAATTACAGATATACATCCAGCTAACAATACTCCGCGAATAGCCTCCTTCCTTTTGTCCGTTCCCACCTCTCCCTGGTCTCTCTTCCGGCGCGCGCCTGCGCCGGGACGAGACAAGACAAAACAAACCGAGACGGCGATAAAAAAAACCCCCCCCATCACATCGCAATGCCGCCCCATCTGCACCCCCGCTCGCGCATGACGTCCTCGCTCTTCGCCACGACCGTAGCAGCAAGTTTTCTCGTCGTCGGGCTCCCGCATCTGCTCCCTTGCCCCGCGCCCCGCGTAGCCTACGCGGACGCCGCCTCGCCAGACGGCAGTCGGCGGCGCTCGCGGCGGCGCTCGCAGCAGCCGACCGAGGTGAAGGATGGGATAGCCCAGTTCGAGGGCGTGAGCAACAGTAGTGGCAGTGGTGACGAAGAAGCGGGGACGACAACGGGAGAATTCACGGCGATGACGAGCACGCCGCCGAGAGGCAAGAGGGAGTGTCCCGTGCCCAAACCGCCAGGGGTCATAGGACAGCTCATGGGCTTCAACAAGGATGGGTCGAAATCTAGAAGTACGGAACAGGTTGCGGCACGTGGGAATGATACCAATGAATGATCGCAGAAGAATGAAAGCTAGCTTTGGCAATACAAAGTTCGAAATCATACAGTTTTGCTTGCGACGGATTTGTATATATATGACTATACGACCATTTCCACGACAGGGCACCATCTTCATTGCCTTCTCGTGTATGGATGCATACATACATACATAAATACATATGTACGTACGTACATACATATCAGGAGATGAATTTCACATCCGAGCAACAACACGTGCTCTGCTCACCTCAATCCAACCCAATGAATATATATCGCACTAAAAGTCGCCTTTGTATTTTATCAGCTCATTACAGGGAGCTACAGTGACGGTTATCACCCGAGTTGCAAGTCCACGAGGAAGATCAATATTATCTTTTCTGAAATCCACAACTTTTCTCCCTTCCAAACCCCTATACTATAGTGCGATACCTGCACCTTTTGACTCCATCAACTCCGATTCGGTTTTTTTTCCCTCTGCCTTCCTCCTAACCACAATTGTGGCACACAAAATCGTTCGGATGTCATCGTTACAGAATAGCATTGCCTCGAGTGCTCTTACAAGTCGCTCACACAGAGCGTCTAGTCCAGCACTAATAGGCAACCCTCGCTCGTCACCCCTTCTTCCTTGTATTATTAAAACATGAAAGCCAGTCCTGGTCGTGAAGAGTATCCATCACGTCCGCCAAATCTAAGCGTCCACGACCGGCAGGAAAATCAAAGCAACATGAGAAACTCGCAATATCGGTATTGGTACAAGGGTTATTCGCTCGTTACTAAAGAGATAGAAGAGATTAAGCTGAGCCGTCGACCAAACAAAGGACCACAGGCGCCATGGTTGTAGAATATGCAAGCAATCCATAGACATCATGATTCAGCCTGTAGGGCGGCAGCAAGCTGCTGTGCTTCAAGCTGGCTGTCATCATCAAGTTTTAGTCGCTTATGCACAGGTTCTTCACTTTCAAGATCCTTCAGCTGATTTTTTAGGTCTTGAAGCTCCTGTTCGAGATCGTCCAGCCGACGCTTGAGACCGTTCTCCCTTCTATGGCTATCATCAAGCTGGCGCTGGATCTCTTCACGATGCGCACGCTCTGTAGCAGCTTCCTTGGCAGCCATCTCAGCAGAATGCCGATAGTTGTCCGCCGTCTGGTTATCCTGCTCGAGTTGTTGTAGCCGTCCACGATACAATTCGTTGATGAGATCTAGCTCGCTGACACGTGTCTTGAGGCTTGAGTTGGCGGCAATGAGCTGTTCGTGCGTTTGAGGAGCATCGAGGGGTTGTTGCTCTCCATTACCGGGAGAAGGAGCGCGACCCGGAGAGGCGCCCGTTAGAGGGTAAGGGAGGCCGTCCTGCTGGAAATGGTCCATGGTCTGGAAAGCAGTCAGATTCGGGTCGTACATGTTGGGAGTCGCAGTACGCGAAACCGGCGAGTCGGTAGCACCATGGCCATTGGCGGCTTTCTGCTGAGATGCTCGAACGGCCGCAAGGGCTGCGGCTGTAGCTGCGGCATTTGCAGCATCATGGCTTTGGAAATTGTTCCCATTGTGACTAGCAGGTAGGCTTTGCTATACGGAGGTTAGAAGGGACGCGGACGACTGGACAAGCATTGCGCGGCAGGGAGGACTGACCTTCTTCTTTTGCATATCCGGTCGCATGGTCTTGACACGATTGCGGCTCTTGATAACGTCCGTCTTCAAAGATATGGGCCGCGGTCGGCCATGCAACTTGAGGAACAAGCCGCAGGCATTGCACAGGACGGAGCCCATCTCGTCGCGACGCCATAGCGGCGTGGTGGAGGTACTGCAGTTCTGGCACGTTGGCTGCGTTGCGCCGTTAGCATTGTTATGAGGGGCAGAAACAGTGGGATGTGAGGCCATCATCTTGACAGCGGGCGGCGACAGCGACGGCGCGATAGGATAAGAGAGATAGGTGACTATCAGTAGATGACGATAGATTGATAGGAAATCGATTAGATATGATAAAAAATTTGGAGGTGGGAACAAGAAGCCGAGTAGAGTTTAGCCTATCCAGAGAGCCGGTGGGTCCTGCTGATAAGAAGCAAAAAAGGAATATGCCGTCTCTCATTGGCCAGAAACCACCCTTGAGTACGAAGTATAGTGTACCTTGAAGTACCGGTAGTGTCGCCCAGCAAGCAAGCAAGTTTCATGGGGGGGAGACTGGGGCAACGCAGAGAACAAGGGGCAAGCAGCAGCAGGGACCTCGGAGATACATACACCTGCACTGGGTACAGACAGATATCGCATCAACTTGATCAACTTGGACTTGGACTTGGACTTATCGGACAGGCACTTGCCAAACGCCACGCCATTACATGAATATGACCAGAAAACATTAGATTGACAAAAAAAAAAAAAAAATGCGACGAATGAGGGCCCGGGGAGGACCCAGAGAGGCATAAAAGTGACAATGAGAGAGTGATAGACAGCGATAAGTGCAACGGAGAATGGGCAAGGGTCCGGATAAGGACCCATGAACTGTGGGAGGCTCGGGAGATTCCGAGATAACATGACAACAAGACAACAAAAACAACCAGTGAATGGAGTCATCCAACTTCTAGTACGTACCAGGTTACCAGACGGCGTCGGCGCATGTGCTGCTGGCGACGACGCTATGTGGTTGTTCATGGGAACGTGCATGGGTGGCGGCGCGACTGGCATCTGCATCGGTGCTGGCATCTGGGCAGGCATTGGGGCAGGCATTGGAGCAGAAGCCTGTGGTGCCGGCGCAGATGTGGCTGGGCCTGGGCCTGGAGCCGTGGTCGGGGTAGGGGTAGGAGTTGCGGTCTGCGTGTAGGTGGGATAATGCATCGGCGGCGCTTCGGTTGGTGGCAAGGTCGAGGGAGGAGGCGGAGCAGCATTGCCGATCGGTGGTGCTTGCTGCTGCTGCGGCTCTGGTTGAGCCTCTGGCTGAAAGTGTGGTTGCGCTTGTTCATGAGCTTGTTCTTGAGCTTCACCTTCAACATGTGGTTGTGAATGGGATACTGGCGCTGGTTCTGGCTTCGGTGCTGGTCCTGGCGCTGGTCCTAGTTCCTGCCCTGGTTCCTGCACTGGCACTTGATGAATCGCCTCTTGTGCTAGTTCTTGCACTGATCCTTGTGGTGGTTGTTCGTGCATCGCTTCTTGTATGGATTCTTGTATGGATTCTTGTATGGATTCTTGTATGGATTCTTGTGTTGGTTCTTGTACTGGTTCTAACTTGAACATCGGCTCCTGTGTCTGTGTCTGTTCAATGGATGGCATTGACGTGTTAATAGGTGCTGGAGTGCTTGCATCTCTATAAAATGACATTGTTAGCATCAATCGAGCCGTCAATGGACATCCTAATAGGAAAAAAAAAAATGACATTCAATGTTCCGACCACCAGGCATTGCACATTGCATCATGCACAATGACAATGGTTGGTTGGTATTCGGGTAGAATTGAAAAGGAAGGCAGTCACCGAGCAACAAAGGTCGTAATGAATGGGCATGGTGCCAACTTTGACACCCCGAGCCCCTCCATATCATGTCCGTCTCTTGAAGGAATACAACCAAATAATTACAATTGGCTGCACAGCCTTGCATAGTCGATTCCTTGGCCCCGATTTCACAAGAACTAATGTCAAGTGCATTGAGCTTCCTTCACTGGTCCCTTTTCCTTTCCCTATTCTGAATGTGTGTTTCTTGCCTATTTCAGCCTTGAAAAAGGGTTGTTTGCACTTACTTTAACTCCGGCGAACCAGTAGCACCCATATCCGCAATCTCAGGAAGCTGGGTAGCTGCAGCAGGTTCCGTCATTGGTGAAGCTGAGCCCGGCTGAGATGTAGCCTCCAGATTCTGCGACAAGGGTATTGTTGCATTTTCTTCCTCCATGGCTGGTCTTGATGATGCGTTGTAGACTCTGGGGAAACCAATGCAGCTGCTTAAGGGAGCAGGTAAACAAGTGGAATAGCAATCGTGGCGGTGACTCGAGCGTCGGCAATTCCCCGATGTCGCAACGGATATCCCGTGGAATAATAGAGTTTGTCAAGGATAAAGGAAGTCGTCAGTCGGGAGTAGGCGCGTCAATTGAATCCGTTGAAGGCCAAAAATAAAGATGAACAATTAATAAGTATGTATGTATGTACTAGTATTATGCCTTGAGCACGGGATTGGCAGTGATGGATTCAAGCCTGTCAGTCGTCGCCTTTGTTTGTGGGTATGGGTATGGGTATGGGTATGGTGGTATTGTTGCGCGCGCGCAGGAGTGACAAGATGGCCGTGGTGTAGAAAGAGTAAAAGAATGCGACCACCCAGGCTGAGATTGAAGACGATCTTTGGGGGGTGCAGAACTTTCAGGGGTTCGGATTACTGAAGACTTCAAGACTGTCTGAAAGCTATAAAGGGACATTAGTGAGCGTTGGGTCTCCTGCAGGGGAGTGAGTGCATTCAAGTGTAGATGTAGACTTAATAGCAGGTGTAGAACCGAGAGTGAAGATGTACTCGAGGTGGGAGAGCGCGACAACCGGTTGGGAAGTACTTGGGCATGCTGTGTGATAGTGCAGGTACTTACCTACCTCTCTCTCTCGCTCGCTCGTTTCTCTCTCATAACAATCGCAAATTAGTTATACGAAGTAGGCAGTACTACATACCTCAACTAGGTAAGTAGGCAGGCAATACGTAACAGGCAATGGGGAATAAGGGAATAATGGGTAGACTGGTAGACTGGTAGAGAGATAGATTGGTCGATGATAAGAGACATCAACTGCCTGGGTATCCAGGTATCTATCTGTCAGGTCGATTGATGATAGATAAGTAAGTAGGAGTGATAGGAGTGATAGGAATGATACGGATGATAGGGATGATAGGAGATAGTTTCAATTTTTTCCCCCTTGGGTCCTCGAAGATGATCAAATATGCAGGCCAATGTGAGTAAAGTTCCTAGCTTGGCCTGTCGCTCCAATTACATGGTCGAATCGCTTTTTGCCATGTCCATCAGCCAATCAGCCCCTGGTATACCCTCAATTTTTTTTTCTTCCTTTATCTCTCAGAGGCTGGTCTAACCAGCTTGGCGGTAGGCTTGTCGCGTCGTCCGATTGGCTACTACCCCAGCCTTATTGCGCGTATCAGCTCAGGAATTGTGTACTTAGGTATTTGACCGCATAGTAGGATGTGAGAATCTTTATCAACCAAGCCCAAAGAAGCAATTCCCAGAGGCAACAATCGCAATAGTAGATGATAGATGATAACCGCATCCTGCATTTGTCCGGGGTAAGCGTAAGGCAATATCTGCAGTTGTTATTGTTCGGCGCTATCTCTTAATCATAGGTAATGAATAATACTACTCACCGCTTACTATGTAATTAGATAGTAGGTAGGAACAACCAAAAGGATAGATTGGCATTAGCCACAGTTTTTTCATTTTCCATAGGGACCCAAAAAAGACATATAATAGTATGTAGGTAGTTGAGTACGTGATATCAAAGAAGGCGAATTTTTCTTAATGTCTTAATATATATACCCGGAAACCACTAGAAAATAGGAAAATACCAAGCCAAACATACAACATAGAAGTAGTAGTTATGCTTCGTATAAGCAGGATCATCAGCAGCTACAGTACTACTGATGAACGTGCCTTCATATACAGGCCTTTTAAGTGCACCTTGGTCATCTGAGAGTAGGCAGTACATACCACAAGAAACCTCTGATCGGGCAACTGGCTGTATTAGTTCATCCTAGGTTCGGCAGTTGACGGCTCTTTTTGACAAGGTGGCGCTCCAGAGGCATGCAGGGCGATCCGCCGAACAAATTCTAGTGGCTATTGAGCACACGAGGGAGAGAGAATATAGGTACCGAGGCTTATCCGCATGATTAGCCTTCGCATCTTCACAACAATCGACGCCGTGATCTGCCCGAAGGGGGTTCTTGGTGCAGCTCAGCTCGGAAATAGGATTTATTAGGTAGCAAAAAGGCTCGCCAGCCAGCCTATGGAGAAACCGCCCGAAGCTGTGTGGCTCTCCTCGCCAAATAAGTTCCTTCGTTTCTCGGGAGATTTAAGACAACCCGATCCTACGGGCCGACCCATCGTGCCACAGCCCTTACTCAATGGCTGTGTGAGTGCACCTACAAGCGCCCTCGACATTATACGCAGTAGTACCGAAAGAGAGCTTAGACCGTAACCCTATCAAGCAAGGAGCCGGACTTCCTCGATAAGGTTTTGTGAATTAATCACAAGAATGAGGTCGGAAGGGCTCGGATTGATTACGTTCACTACATGGTTGTATACACCTAGATGCCGTCTAAGATTCTTGCCTTTCCGTCGCACTCACAAAAAATGCGACATTGAAGTTTACTAGAAACCTGAATACACATAGGCACATTGTTTCTAAGGCACAATATCACTAGTCACACAGAATATGTATCGTGACATAGGTGGTACAGCGTATGTAGTGCGGGTTCCAAATAGGTAGGTCAAATATATAGATAGCAGCGCTCACTAACGGTTCGCTATGATTGCAGTGCCCAAATGCTTTGAATCGATAGTATCAATGAGTTCAGTATGAATTTTCGCATTAACCCTTTCGTAAATTTGTACGGCCTAGCAAATGGAGCAAATGCTTCCAAAATCGAAGCTTATTCCGACATTTCCATGGGTAAAAAATATGAAAATAGCTAAGAGTGTTTCACTCACTTACTTAAGCAGGTATCGCCTTAGCTCTGTCCCTTATGTAATCAATTTTGTTCCCAGCGCGCAATCTGATCCTCCCGACCCACAGCTGGCAGCAGCTGCCGTTGCCGCGCATTGAATGAAACCTACCAGTACTAACTTTACAGAATCTTAGCCTCAATCTCATCTTTTATATCTTCACCTTTGAAATTTCGAAGCTACAACAAGAACAACAACAGCCCCACACCCGTCACTCATACGAAGCCGAAGGATCTTTTACCAGATCCCGGACCTAATGCGATTTCATTGAGTAATTTCTTCTGTATCCCTCTATCGATCATTTGATTGGGAACGCGCAACATGCCCTCCACCAACAATGCCCCCAAACCCGTAAGTCCTCATCCAAAAGTTTGATACATCATTTACTAACTACTTCATAGTGGGATGTAAGTGTAACTGTTGGATCGAGAAGGCGAGGGCTCACAGCTGACATAAACCAAGACCGACGATATAGACAAGTGGAAGTACGTCTATTCATTCTTTTACATCAGCCGAACATTTAGGCGCTAGTCGTGCATCGTATGACCAAAACGCTCATTATGCTAACTTTTGATCTCTAGAATCGACCCCTTCTTGCCTACGTAAGTGGTCCTAGACATATGCGCCTTATGTTCATCATCATTACAGTCGATACTGGTCTCTTCAGCCCAGCATATCCTTGGAATCCACTAACCTGTAATGATATATAGGGACAATGTCGGTGGTGGTCTTGCCGAGGAAAGCTCATTTATAATACTTTTCCCAAAGTATAGAGAAGTACGTGTTGCTCCCATTCAAGACGGGGTCAGAAAGAGGGATACACATGTCCCATATACCACCTAAGCATTGCTTTGCACATATCCTGGACAGCCCATGAATAGGATAACTATTTCAATCATGCCTTGGAATATATTAGAAGAGAACCTTCTTAAGGATGTCTTTTACTATTATCTATGGCATCATTTGACGGCCGATCGTTGTCTCTTCAGGTTGCTGGCGTTTAGGTAGTATATGGGGCGTGGTGTTTTCTTTCGGACAGCTTGCCGCCCCGTTCAGCTTCAACAATCCCATACTGATCATTTAGGTTTACCTTCGCGAAGCGTGGCCCGGAGTCACAAAAGCGCTTAAAAACATTGGCATGTGAGTAGGGAGTTTTCACATCTCTCATATCTCATCATAAAGACTAGACGTCTGGACGCCATAGTACTAACTCGTATGTTCAAGTGCATGCACACTCGATTTAGTAAACGGCAGCAGTACGCAGTTATCATACCCTTCTCTAGCGTATGTTATGACTAACCCCTGAATTGTCTAGTGGAGGTCAAGACAGGTAAAAATGACCCCCTTTCCCAAGTCTATAATCTGCTTTTATAGACAGTTCATCGAGAAACCTGCTAACCTTGTTTTAGTGAGTTATTCCTCGTTTGTGCGATAAGACACAGCTGCGTCTTGGTCCACAACACGTCACAGTTCATTGTACGACTCTAACGATGACCACCAGACTAAGAAAACCTGGGATCCCGCAGCGATCCTGAAAGCGAGAGATCTGATAAAGCTACTTGCGCGAAGCGTTCCCGCACCAGAAGCTTTACGAATACTAGACGATAACACTGCCTGTGATGTCATCAAGATCAGAAATCTGTAAGCAGTCATACCTGCCTCGTGGAGTATGAATCTAACTTCGGCAGCGTAAACAACAAGGAAAAATTCGTAAAGCGTCGTCAGAGGTTGCTAGGGCCCAACGGGTCAACTCTCAAGGCTTTACAGCTCCTCACGTCTACATATCTGCAAGTGCAGGGTAACACAGTCTCCGCCATTGGTGGATACAAAGTAAGAACCGCTCTCCACTCAAAATTCACCTATCCGGATATCACTAATGTCGAAGCAGGGCCTGAAGGAAGTAAGGCGTGTGATCGAGGACACTATGAATAATATACGTATGTACTCGATTCTGGCTGACTCTGGCTGGCGACGTTATTGTTACCGTACAGCTCGCAACAGTAGCTAACGTGTGGTAGATCCCATATACCAAATCAAAGAGCTTATGGTAAAAAGAGAGCTCGCCAAGTAAGTTTCATACCTGTCGGAGTTAGCCTGCTCGCATTCTTAATTCACTCCCTGGGTGCTGAGCCCAAACACTTACACCCCTTCTTTCCAGGGATCCATTGCTAAAGAACGAGTCCTGGGACCGCTTCCTCCCCAACTACAAGAAGCGCAGCCTCAGCAAGCGTCTCAAGCCGCACAAGGTCAGCGAGAAGAAGCCGTACACGCCCTTCCCGCCCGCCGCGGAGCCCAGCAAGGTGGACCTGCAGCTCGAGGCCGGCGAGTACCACATCGGCCGCGACGCCAAGAAGCGCATGGCGCAGGAAGACCGCCTCGAGAAGCAGAAGGCCAAGAAGGAGGAGAAGAAGCGCGAGCGCGAGAGGGACTTCATCGCCCCCGACGAGCCTGTCGACGGCGAGCAGCACAAGAAGAAGAAGCGAAAGACCAAGGCGGCGCGGGACGAGGAGTGATGAGATTTCATCGCGTTTTCTGTTTCGAGATGGTGTCGGCCGGTGTGCGTGAGATGTTATTAATTCCACGACATAAGTACTTGTTCACCAGGTTGAAAGGACTCGGTACTTTTAGCAGGAATCTCACCTCCTAATCCTATCGAGATATACGACAGAGGGTTGCATGAGGAGAAAAGGGAGAGAAATTACTCTCTTCACTTCAATAGTATTTGTCACATTGCAATGGCGCCCCTGATATGGCAGACAGGATTGTTTCGTTCGGCATGGGAAAAGCAGATATAGATAGATAGTCTTTACAATTGTAAACCAATGGGAGACAATGGGAATTTCACAAGCGTGTAAGCCAACTTTGTCAACTTTTTAGCATGATATTGGCGTGACAAGAAAGACCTAAACGCCTAGGAATCCCATTTCATCCTATCTACCCTTAAATTCATTATACGTTGGTATCTAAGCCCATGCTATTCGTCCTAGCTTCGGGGCGTTATGTCTCGTCGCAGGTATCCCGCTATTCCGGCCCGGGCGACATTAACATCGTATCATACCCATTCAGTTTCGTCCAGTATTAATCATAAGTCGATTAATCAATCAGCATGGTATCATCTCCATCCAGCGCTGGGCCTTGGGGCTCCTCCGCAACAACGCCTCGTCCACGGCCAGCTAGCAGCTCCCTTCTAATCTCAGGTCCAATCTTATGGTGGCCATGAGATAAGAGTAAATCTAACAGAAGCTCGCGCTGTTGTTTTTTATAACCCGTCAGTACTGCTATTTTCTGAGGAATTCACGCTTATTGGTAGATTTGCGTTGATGAGCGGCTGTTCCTCAACTGCAGCTGGCGAAATGGAGTAGGGTATCTAGGTGACTAACCTGGTCTTCTGTTATTTCATTCTTGTACCGTACTGCGAACGATAATACTATATCAAGAATCAGCACTACTACCAAGACGATAACAAGTGACAAATTTGAGTATATGCACGTACGAGTTTGGTGCCATATGACTGGTAGTTTTGCTTGTGTGGCAGCGCGCTCGCTCGTATTCATCATGTTATCTTCTGTAACAGAGGCGGGGTCGGTGTTACGAAACCGCAGAAAGTGGAAGACCAAAGAATCAACCACCTGCCATCTAATCGTTTGATTTCAGTTAGTTACGCGATGACATATGAGAAAGGTTTATAAGCCGAATGTGCTTACGGCAGGGCATATCGTTTATCTAGTAAAGTTTTGATGAAGACGTTGGTAGCGCCACCTCCCCTATTGGACATCAGTAACTGCTAAAAAGCTATATCACGGGAATCCAAAGAACATACTCAGTCCCAGCTGATGCCACACGTGCTGCAATCTAGATGAATATCAGTATCGTCTCTTCCTAGCATTCTCAAGATTCCTTACCTCGCATAATCCCTTTAGGGCAGCACCACTGTGCAGTACTAGACCAACCTGCGTTAATACATAATCGAACGAGTTTCCCATCGAATCATTTCCTATCAGATGCAATTTGCTCACCTGGTATGGAGACGCGGCTGTAAGTAACCGAAAAGTCAGCATTCTTCTTAAATATGTAGGGCAGATATTTCGAAGCTACTCACCTGAGAACAGCGCTCAAAATGTGTGCCTCTCTTAGGGTTGGGTTATTTTCTACTAGACTATAGCAAGTGTCAGTTTTAGTCCGAGACATAAGAGCTCTGAGAACATATGTAGCTCTTAACGCAATTCTCGCAAGAGCTAAAGACGTCGCATTTGGTGTTACTCACGGGAAAAGGATACCCTCTACAAGACTCCAAGTTAGTAATCAACCCTAAATATCGTAAATCAAAGAAGAAATAGCTCAGAGAGTTACTGACTAAAGAAAGCGGCAGGTTTGTATAACGCCTTGCGAAGGGCATCAAACAAATGGACGTTTAGCTTTTTAGTCTGGAAAGTACCGAGTCAGTCACGGTAATCAACCATCACGAATAGTAAAACCAACCTCTGCTATGTTGTCTCGCACATGTTCCAATAATATCATATTTAAGAATTCCCTTACGACAGCGGGCTTGCCGCTCACGAACAATTTCGTAGCCGCATAGACCGCGTTTGGAGTCCAACTATCGCAAAGCACATTAGTCATTATACCTTGATATACCGAAATATCTTGCCATGAGAAAACCCAGGCTTTTCAGTAGGAATGGGATGTCATCGTCGAGATTACTTACTCCATGGGCTTTGTTAGTTGTATGATATCCTCCCACTATCAAAAAGATCGGTCAGCTAAGTTCACGCAAGTAGCACGTTTTCAGAGTCTTTCACTAAAGCCCGAACTCCCGAACATTCTATAATGGATTTTCTGAATAAATTCTCCCGAACAAGCCGTGCAGTCGAAGGTGACGTGACAAAAAGTCTCGGGAGGCTGTAATACTAGCAACCAGGTGGTTGTCGAGTGCAGCGCTGAAAACTTGAGGCCAATAAATAAACTTACGTGTGGGACGGTTGGTAATATCTTGAACGCTTTTGGCAACTTTCCCGACTTGTAACGAGACATGAAAAGTCCCTAGAAGACAAACTCGTGTTAGATTCTCAAACCTTGTCGCTCCAATACACCCCGCGAAGCCGGACAAGAAGTTGAACTCACTACGGAAAAGTCAGCGTTGAATTCTTTGGTTGCCCAAGTCAAGAGAAATTAAGCGTGACGATTGAGTACATACCTATTTTGCCGTACACCTCAACAACCTTTGGCGACATCTCAAAACCCTCATCCTCCATCGCTTCTGGTCTGTCTTCTCCGGCTTCATGGGCAGCAATTCGAGCGAGCTGTTACAATCATTGGTTAGATATCGCGGCTTAAGAATGAAACTCTCTCCGTTCTTGGAGATGTGCAGGGAAACTAGATTTAATGCGAGAAGTCGGTAGGATTCATCGATATAGGGGCTCAAGATACGTACAATCTGCGAGATTGATTAGCTTCACTAGAAAATGCAGACTGAAAAGTAATTTTAAGCTCACCAAGTCTGCAAGATTGGTACTTGTGCCACGTTCCTCGCCTGAAGGCTCCTGTGTCGTCGTCGCCCATGGCCCCTCGGTGAGCAATGGATCGTCGTCTAAACTGGGAGGGAGGAACTGCTGAAAGGTCTGCAAATCGTTCGGGTCGACATCTACGGTATCGATAATATCGTCGTCCTCGTCTGCCCAAATCTCCTCCTCCTCATACGATACATCTTCGCCTTCGCCTGCAAATCTCGAGTCGAAACCGAAGGCGGCCGCAGCAGCATTGTTAGATTCGGATCGGCGCACTGGAGCGTCCTCTTCGGCAAGCTGACGGCCGATATCTAAAATCTTTCGACTAGCGCGAGCATCGACAAAGTTGTTCTCCCGTTCTTCATCCTCGTCCTGCTGCGACTTGGACTTCGATTTGCTGGGTCGGTTCTTAAGCAGCCCGGATCCAACTAGGTATTCCTCTTCCAGACCACGTCGACGCCCCGTTGTAGGGGTGGTGGCTTTCGGCATCGTGGCGCAAGACTTGAGCGAGCAGATTTGTGAATATTTAGCGGTTTTCGAGAGTTGTCGCTGTAAGATGTTTCGTATCGAGGGCGTCAAGGCGTGTCAAATTGGACCCCGGATTCCGCTGGTCTGCGCTGGTGTCGGAAGCCGCCAGTCTGATAATTTACAAAATTCAAAAAAATGAGTGGGGCCTGCACGTCCAAATCCATGCATCTGCCCAATGAGACGTCATACTGAGCTATGTGTCCCACCTACCCCTCCATTATCAGTTGTTATCGGCTCTCAATCGAAAAGTCGTGTTAATGAGCCCCTCCATTGAACAACCCTGGATGGCATATGAAAGCGAACTACTCACCAGAAGACTCGACAAGTTCTAGCAACTTATAAGTTCTCATTCTAAAGCTGATCGTGATGCCTACCGAACTGGAAGAGGTAATCGATTGCTCCTAATGTACAATATCTCATCTGAGCTAAATCTCATGTGTGTGGCAGTTAGTCGGCCTAGTCATCGATCGGAACCCCCAGGTCCGAGCCATCGCAGCAGAGCATTTGGTCCCTTACTCGATATCACAACCCAATATTTTTAAGGCGGACAACCTCAAGCCAATTCACAATTTAAAGCTTTTAATTAAAGATCTTCCTGTAAGTTATAAGATTCAGCTACGTTGTTATGGATAGCAAAAGCGAATACCCAGGCTAACTCATAATTTCCTTCGGCAGCATATTGCAGAGCATATTGTTACAATTCTCATCAATCTCTCGGCTGACGATGAAATACTACAAAATCTGGTCGCGGATGATAAGTTCATTTCCGAGGTCCTACGGCAGATAATCGTGAGTGCATATAAACATCTGACGACATTACAGCCTCAAACCTATATCTCACTAATACGTGATTATTAGGTCCCAACTGAGCCAAATGCCAACCTTCTTTCCATGTTGCTTGCCAACCTCGCCAAGGCAGACTCTTTCATCTCTATAGTGTACAAAAAGCAACCTCCGCCAGAAGAGCTCAAATCCGACGAGTTGGTGATAAATCAACTAGTAGATCTCTTCGTAAAAGAAGCGGCATACAATAAACATGCCGACTTCGATCATTTATCATATCTATTCGCCGACCTCACCAAACATGCCGAAGTACGCCATCACTTCGTGCGTAGGCAAGAATACGACGGAGTCATTCCCATCACAAAGCTGAAGGTGTTCACCGAGCACAAGTCAGATATACGGCGAAAGGGGGTTGCATCCACGTTGAAGAACGTGGCCTTTGATGTCCCGTCACATCCGCTCTTCATGTCTGAGAATGACATTGACATTTTACCTTACATCTTGTTGCCCATTACAGGCAACGAGGAATATGACTTGGAAGAGTCAATGGCCATGCTGCCGGATCTGCAGCTCTTGCCCCCTGATAAGCAGCGCGACTCGGACCCCAACATCATTCAGACACATGTCGAAACCCTGTTACTCTTATCGACAACACGCGAGGCTCGAGAGCGAATGCGTGAAGTGAAGGTATATCCGATTATTCGAGAGACACACGCGCGAGTGCGAGATGAGGGTGTCCAAGACGCTTGCGAGCGGTTAGTACAAGTGCTCATGCGAGACGAAGCCGACGAGAAGCCAGAGTCGCGGGTGGAGGACCTCGGGGAGGTGAAGAACGGCGAACCCGAACTCAGAGGAAAGACAGGCGATGGTGATGATGATGACGATGACGACCAGATAGTCGAGGTGTAGAAAACCCCTCAGATCTTGCATGCCAGACTATGCCCGATCAATCGGTGGGATAACAGCCAGGTGAACTTCCTCCGGGAGCCCGCGACGCTAGAAATATATCTACGTCGGAAAAGAAAATTTCAGCTCGGTTCAACCCATGGTTAGTAGACAACACGGCATGAATGTGGCGTGGTCTGTTGCGAGCACGACCTCTCGTCACCGTCATCAGTTCGATATACATACCCAAATCCTGTGGCGGTAGAAGTACACCGAGTAGACGTGGGGGTTTCGTATCCGCGAGAAATACCCCCATGAGCTTCGAGATTCTGTATAATTACTTCAAAAGCTCAAAGTATGTACGTAGTACTTCTAGACAGCTCAGGAAACATGTAAAAAACACACGTCGTTCGAAATTCTCAAGATATCTGCTGATTTCCTGATAATGACAGACCCAGTAACGTGATAGGAACCGTACTGATTCCATGCCTGTACTAACAATTTAGCCAGAAAGTAAGGAATAAACTGATGTATTCGCCATTTAAAGTACAGTCAAGCTAACGGTAATATCGCCACTAAGTAATTACGAAATAGATCTGTCCCAACACTAACCCTCTGTCTCGCCCCCAAAACCCCTGTGACGCATTTACCTAAGACATTGAAGAAAAGGCTTGGCCCTATTAACCCGGTCAATACTCGCCAAGTCCAGCAAAAGTTCGCTAATCATTCGATTTGGTTGGTCGTCTCATAAGGACGTATGCGTTCATGTACGGTATACGTAAAATGCCTCGTGGGCGGGAGGCAAACCCGATTTTCTTTTCCTTCGTCTCAGACTTTTCCAGAACGCTGTAGGCTTGCACTGGAAAAAAAAGGTGCAGGGCTTGGGCTGTTTGACTTTGTTTTGTCTAGATTAAGTCGATATTACGTTCGGAGTAGAAAGGGGAGGAAGCTTGGTGCCAAGGTTGCAGTCTGCGGACGGTTATGCTTTAGGCAGCGTATGGGTTAGGAAACGGTGCTTAGGACGGTGTTGTGTCTCGATGATCAAGATTATTGGGGGCAACCGTAATTCCAGAGGAAGCTGGATCTGGTCTTAGCATAATCACTTGACGAGAACGAAGAAACACCCATCGAAAGGAGATACAAAGTTAGATGGATAATCCAGCTAACGATTTAGTCTCGAGGTACAAAACCTAGATATCTATCTAAAAAACCTGGTCTTGACAAAAGGCATCCAAGGTTCATAAGCTGCCGTAATGCTATATAAAGTTTCTTCTTACAATGAGTTCCAACTGTGTAGAGGTGCTGGAATAAGTTGCAAAAACAAACAACAAGATGTCGTTCTTGTGCGATAGCATAATACACATTGTGAGTAAAAACCGATGCACCGGGTACTCAAATACCTAGTAGTACTGCTATATATGCCAACACACATGATATAAATATCAATGTTCAGAATCTTGACTTAGTTTAAGACAACCAGTCCATCATCGTCAGATAAACTACAGCCAGACGAACTCCAGTGGTACTCCTATTAGATAATGCGCAGTCAAGCAAACTCCTCTGCCCACCATCATCAAGCCATCCACAAAGTCCTTTAAACCACAGTCTTCAGGAGTGACAAGTTCGCTAAGCCGCGGTCTCAGATGGAGAAGGAAAAAAAGGAAGTAAAGAAAAGGCCTCGTGCGCGCTTTAGTGATCAGTCCGCCATTTTCTGCGTATAATTCAAGGCGTCCCTAGGAACTCGCTTACCATTAAGAACAGGTTTGCTATGCAAGTAGCTTTCGCCTCCCAGCCTAGAGAGTTACCAAACTGGCAAGTGATAAAGCTGTAGAGTCGACGGTAAAATAAAGAGAATAAAAGAAAAACAGCACGCCTATCTATATTCAATGGCCGACACCATTGTCACTGCCCATCAGAAGATCAGTAGCGTAGCACGAAAAGCAAAAAGTACGTTTCTATCCAGCCGTGATATCCCGTTCTGCGACTGACCAACGGGATGCTGTGGAGTGAACTCGTCTTTCGCATCCAATGAAGATTCTCAAGATTTCGGATGTTTTTGGAAACAGGGTCGGTTGTGCTGGCTGGCTGGCTGGCTCTGTTGCGGGAAGCAGTGTCGGACGACATAGCTCCCCACCTCGTTATACAGGAATACTCTTACTCAGCGCGATAGCCGTGGACTTCCGCGTAAGGCTTTGCGTAGTCACGATGATCAACATCTATAGGGGCAATATGATAATTGATCAGTGCTGAAAGAGAGGGCATATGTGTAGTTAGGAACTGGGTCTAGATCAACTCGGGATTTCATCCGAGCAGCAGCATACAGGAATAGTGTCGTCGCGGAAGAACATTACACGAGTTGCGACAATGTGAAGCAGTTCTAGCTTGCGAATGTCGGTGACCAGTTTACTCAAGATACCTACGTCGTGTTACCTCTCGAGGTCGAAAGGCTTTATGCTCCCCTATACCATTTCTAGCGAGAGAAGGAGAATTCTTTTTATGGAAACATGCATTCGCGTGCAAGATAAGTATACTATACACTAGGTACGGTAGCCGTTTTCAAGAGGCAACTCTAAAAACCACATAGCATGAATACATTACATGATAGCGTAGTGCTCGGTCACTAAAACTAGCTTAACCCGTGGCTTTGGTCCCCCTCTCAGGAAGGCTTTCATTTCAGCTCGATGGAGTCGGGCCAGCAAGAAACGAAAGAGAAGGAGAAAAAAAAAACGATCGCCGTCCTGCCGAATCCAGAAGGATATCTGGGGGCGCGTGTTTCAATGCAGCCACATTATTGGCCCCGGGTTACCCGGGCCCCCGGGCTCTCTACGGAAATATTCGTCTCTTTTCTTTGACTAATAATCATGTGTTGTGAGTGTCCTTGTTTCTTGGTGTTTTCCCTCAGGGGGTTCCTATTGATTTATACCTAACTACCAAATTGACCTGAGTGATTGAGTGATACCAAGCTCGTGGAGGATTAAGACCCTTCCCTCTTGGCTGATCGTCTACCGGTTACCAAAGGCGTATTGTTAGTACCGGTGGCATTGGCAACGGTGTCCAAGCAAAGTCTACCGGCTTGGCTGAGTCTTGTTTCGACATTCTCTTCCCAACGTCATCGGCGGTTTTGGGTAGAATGTCTCAACGGACGACGGTATTGACCGAGTGTCGTGAATTACACACGACAAGGCAGCCCATCCCTGCAGCCCCCAGACCAATGGCACCCCCCGAGTCGAGAAACGTGGTTGAGGCGACGATGCTGATTCGCCGGCGCCATGCACGGCTCTCATCTCCCGATCGCCGCCATGCCCCATAGGGCAAGATACACCCGCCACGCTAACCGGAGAGGTCCACTGCGCTAGCAACGACAAATAGCGACAATAGCGTCGAATGGGCTGCAATGACTTGACTTCACATCGTCAGCCTCGAACACGTTTCTTGACACGGTCGACTGCCTGCGCTGGTTTGATCTGGACACCCTTCTTCTTCCATTGGGCTTCCATTGCAGATCCCAGCATCTGATCAAGCCAGCCTATCCCCGCCGTGCAGCCAACTGGAGGCCCTGGTCTGTGGAACAAACTGCCCACCAGAGCGGTCCAGTCTCACAAAAGTGGCTTGGTGCGCAGGGCAATCAATCCTCTCACATGTGGCCCCTCATGCTTCATGATGCATTCTCACAGTAGTGTGCGGAAGATCATCATCTTCAAGCCGCTGTGATGCTAGTGACGAGTGTGTGATTTTTAAGCACCTACGTAGTATACGGATGTATATCAGTGCAACATGGCTTTGCACCACACGTAGGTACACATATCAAGATACAACCCGCTGCCTCGACTGACCAAGGGGTAATCTGACTCCGGCGATGCCTCGGTCTGTACTTGGACTTAAATCATCACGAATGCCGTTGGTCGCCACCGATGAACTAGATAGGTAGGTAGGTAGGTCTTATAGGTATTTCACCCCCAACACCAGTAGTACTGCATGTACATACCATCTCCTTTTCCCAGGGATCGTCTTGTTTCGACCTACAGCCAGACCCATGACTTAGTGCAATCCGCCTTGCCAATAGCAGCCCGTAAGCGGTTTATGTACTATAAGTAGCATGCATAATCGGCCGGAAAGACCGTCGCAGTTGAGGCGCATCAATGTTTGCTTGCCCACTTCTGCCCACTCACGCACCACGGAATCATTGGAAATCCACCTCATAGATCGGTACACTTACTGTAGGGACGCTCAGGGTCGACAATTACCATCTTGGTGACTCGTGATGTCACGGGCACGGGTGATAGATCCCGCCAAGTCTGATGCTGCAAGTTCTAATGCGAGGGTGATCAATTAGGTCGAGAAGAAGGATGGGAGGAGCATCATACCTAGGTTGGTTGTTGCTGTTGCTTACTTACTTACACGTAAGTACAGAAGGAAGTACTAGCAACATGTCATTATAGAACCCGTATTTTTCTATGGCCAGTCGGTTCCGCTTTGGGGACCGATACCCGCCTCGAACCCAGCAGCTAGGTAACATTGGACATTCGCCGCGAGCCGGCTCGTTGGTGCTCGATTCGCGGATTCCCACGCACGCACATGGGATGGGTCAATGAGCAACTCAACTTGAAGTTGGCCCGGGATGGATGAGTGGGTTCTATGTACTTGTAGGGTTTGCAGCGGCATTGCCTTGGCTTTACCTTACCAAGGCTATTTGTTCTTTGTTAAGCTTTTACGTACTCGACAAGACCTAATTCAGAAACAGGCAGACCACATTGACTTTGCGGCCCTTGCATCCTTGCCTGTTCTATAATCTCTCTACACTACCTAGGTAAGTAAGTAAGCAAGCTAGCTAACCCAAGGTTCGATCAAGGTTTCTCTGCAAAGTAAATCCATCCCATCCATCCCATCCCCCCGGGCATATAATACCTAGCAGCTGCACCCTTCCCGTCCTGCACCTATCTCATCTTTTTTCTTGGTACTTACTTACAGGACATCCCGTAGGTAAGACCAAAGGGCAGCACTGCCAAGTCGACTGTCGACTTTGTCTCATCTTACAACTCAGACTACAACTCAGACTACCTAGGTAGGGCTTCCATCTATAGCCAGGTAGCTACATACCTACTGCTCTGCTAGATCCCTTCTTATTTATTCATCATAACTTTCCATTCCAAAGCCTTTCAGCGCAACACCCACGCGCTCCTCGACCAGAAAACAATGGCCGAAGAAACGGCTCCCAGCGCCCCGGCGGCTTCGGCAGCCGGTGCGCAAAGAACAGCCGGCGGCAACAATGCCTACCACAATTTCCATAATGACTTCCTCCACATTCAAGATCCCAACGAGCGTCGGCGTCTCGCCCTCGCGGAGATCGACAAGGCTCCCTTTGGTTGGTACCATGTGAGGTATGTTCCCCAGAGCTCTTAAGAAAACCTGCCCCTCTTTTGTTTTTCTAATCTTGTGCGACAGAGCCTGTGTCGTCGCCGGTGTCGGTTTCTTTACCGATTCCTATGATATCTTCGTCGTCAGTTTGCTCAACGTCATGTTGGGTATCGTATACTTCCAGTCGAGCGAAGGAAAACTTCCACAATCCTCCGACAACGCCATCAAGCTGGCCACCTCGGCCGGTACTGTCGTTGGTCAGCTCGGCTTCGGTTACCTTGCTGATCACGTTGGCCGAAAGAAGATGTACGGTCTCGAACTAATTGTCATTATCTTCGCTACTGTCGGCCAAGCCCTCGCTTCTGGTTCACCCTCCGTCGACATCGTCGGCCTCATCATCTTCTGGCGTGTCCTGCTCGGTGTGGGTATTGGAGGAGACTACCCCCTATCGAGTATTATCACATCCGAGTTCGCCACTACGAAATGGCGTGGTGCTATGATGGGTGCTGTTTTCGCCCAGCAGGGTATCGGTCAGCTCACGGGTGCATTTGTGATGCTTTTCCTCACGCTCGGCTTCAAGCAGGCCCTCTCCCAATCTCCCGGAATCTCCCAATGTGATGGTTGGTGCGGTGTTGCTGTCGACAAGATGTGGAGAGCTTTGGTTGGATTTGGCGCGGTCCCTGCCGCAATTGCCCTGTATTACCGTCTTACGATCCCTGAGACACCCGTAAGTCCCTGTTTTATCGTCGGAACTTGAGAATGTGTACTAAGACAGTGAAGCGTTACACATTCGATGTCGCTCGCGATGTTGAAAAGGCCAATGAAGACGTCAAGGCATACATGTCTGGCCAGCGCGAAGGCCAACCCGACGATATCGCCCGCATCCAGACTCGCGCCGCTGCCCAGGAGCAGATGACAATTCCCAAGGCCAGCTGGAGTGATTTCATCCGACACTATTCGATCCCCAAGAACGGCTTGCTTCTATTCGGCACTGCGGGCTCGTGGTTCCTGTTGGATGTTGCCTGTGAGTAATAATTGCACTCGAGAAAATGCGACCTAAATACTAAACATTAGCAGTCTACGGTGTCTCTCTCAATAACGCCGCCATTCTAGAGACGATTGGCTACTCAACCAAGGGTGCTCACAGCACATACGACTTTCTCTACAAAACCGCCATCGGTAATCTCATCATCGTCCTTGCCGGCGCCGTGCCAGGCTACTGGGTATCCGTCGCCACGCTCGACACTCTCGGCCGAAAGACGATTCAAATGGGCGGCTTCATCATCCTCACCATCTTGTTCATCGTCTGGGGTTTCGCCTACGACTACATCTCGGGCCAAGCCAAGCTTGCCATCTTCGTCTTGGCGCAGTTCTTCTTCAACTTTGGACCTAATATGACCACATTCATTATTCCTGGTGAAGTCTTCCCCACGCGATACCGATCGACTTCCCACGGTATCTCAGCCGCTTCAGGCAAAATCGGTTCCATCATTGGTCAGGGCGCCATCGCCACCCTCCGCCACCGAGAAAACGAAACCTGGCTGGACCACGTGCTCCAGATCTACGCCCTGTTCATGTTGCTCGGCATTTTCACAACAATATTCGTGCCGGAGACCAAGCGAAAGACGCTGGAGGAGCTTAGCGGCGAGGACCAGATACTTCCCGTTGCCCACCACCATAATGACAGTGCCACCGCCAGTCAGGACAAGAGATCGGGATCTTTGTAACTTACTTCTTACTCACTTACTTACCCTCCCTTTTCAGGATAGGAAGTATTGTATAAGGACCTTCTGAGATCTTCAGAACAATGAAATCACATTCACTTCAACATGCTCCCTTTTCTTAACCAGAAGAAGAAAACAGAAACGAGATGCGGTTAGTCAGGACTTTAATGTTAGATGGTCTTTGTCGAACGAGATCATGGTTATGTGGCATTGTTATACCCTCCTTCCTTTAGTAGATCGTACTGTACAATATCATTTTTCCTTGTATTTATTCGTACTGCGGAAGGTAGAGTGGTGGTGTCATGGTAAACAGAAATGAAGGTTAGATACCGTTTATGTTTTTATAACTTGGATGTGAGATTGATGATGCTGGGTGTGATGATATGGGATTGCTGTAAGTGTTGTGGCGACATTCTAGGGTGATAATTTCTAGGTAGTAAGTCAAGTATTCAAGCTCTTGCGGTTTTCGCTCGATATGATGAGAACAGCGGGTAAGAAATAGATGGATGACATTGACAGTACTTTTGATATCGAGGTGCGTCAATTGCTGTCGAAATGCTAATCACGGGACAAGATGAGTGAAAATGAAATATGTAAAATAAAAACTGTTGTTGTCTTATGTCAGTCAGTCGACTGACTGCGTATATCGAGTCGTGTGATGATGGGCATATACGGTGTGCGTAGGTAGGTATAAATATGATGATGAGAGTTAAACAACCCAGAATGACGACAACGTACGGAGTACGTCTTTGTTCATGGGATATTTACCTAGTTGTGGCAGCAATGATTCTTGTCTAATTCGAATTTACCTAACCCAGATATTAATCCATCTTTCATCAGGGGCCATAATAATACTACGTGACGCTGCGATCGATATAAAATCGCAATCCATTTGTCCGAAACCCCGATTGCACACTTGCTATAAAGACGAAGCGCTCGGGATACCATTTCCTTGCTAGCGGAGTGGGGCCGAGCACTCCTCGGCACCCCATCCGCGCTGCCTTTCCCACTACCCCAGCTTTTCTCCAATTACCGCCGAGCCATTTGCAAAAAAAAGAGGCGATTCATGAGCAGCTAAACTACCGCGACTTTCTCCCGAGGAAGACTATTGAATCTTCCTTTTCAATTAAATCCAATCGATCGTTTTTCTTCCTCATCGCTATTCGTACTAGAGACTATCTTTCCTCTCTCATTTCCAGATCTGTTCGGTCTTCAATTCCTGCGAGAACCTTGACCGCCCGTTGTGTACCTCGGCTGCTGTGTGAGTGAGTGACATCATCGAAGCGAGGCGGATAGACAATAGATCTGTTTCTATCTATCTATCGATCAAATCTGCAAATCTATATACCCAGGCACTTGTCCACGTAGATCTGGTCGATAAATCTCCAATCACTCTCAGCCCCAGCAACAAGAGGCTCAGGCGAAGCACAGTTCAGCCTTAATCTGTCGCCGACACCTACTACCTAACCACTAATTTCCTTACACCATGGCGCCACTCTCAGGGCCCGAAGTCGCGAAGCACGACAACAAAGAATCATGTTGGGTTGTGATACATGTACGCAGCTTTACCGAAATCCCTTGTCGGATATTCCGTTTTATCGGACTGGGAGCTGATCTAAGATCTTTCGGCAGGGAAAAGCATACGATGTCACAGAATTCTTGCCAGGTACATTTCCAATCCCCCGAAATATACTTGCACCGAGTGGCTAACATGAAAGAGTGTAGAGCATCCTGGCGGGATGAAGATCATATTAAAATATGCTGTGAGTATAAAGCATCTACATTCTCGTTCAAAGACGAGGAAGGGATCTGGTGTGTTGGTCAGTACGGGTAAACTAACTCTATCAACAGGGCAAAGACGCAACTGCGGAATTTGACCCGATACATCCCCCGGATACCCTGGACAAGTATCTGGACAAGTCGAAGCACATGGGACCTGTCGACATGAATACCGTCGCCACGGTGGAGGAGGCCGAAGACCCGGATGAGGCCGCTCGACAGGAGCGCATCAAGAACAAGCCGCTACTCTCGCAGTGCTATAACTTGATGGACTTCGAGTCCGTCGCCAAAAACGTCATGAAGAAGACCGCTTGGGGATACTACTCGAGTGCGGCTGATGATGAAATAGTACGTACTTCATGATTTCACTCTCCCTATCCTACGACAATATTGTACTCGACCTTTTGACCGTCCCTGACAAGCACGGTACAAATTATCAAAAGTCCAATACTTAATCGCGCGTTCCGAGCCCGCCACTAACATGAGGTTCAACAAGACAATGAGAGAGAACCACGAGGCCTACCACCGGATATGGTTCAGGCCCAAGGTCCTCGTGGACGTGAAGAACGTAGACTTCAGCACAACCATGCTCGGCACAAAGGTATCGATGCCGTTCTACGTAACGGCGACAGCGCTCGGCAAACTAGGCCACCCAGAGGGCGAGGTGGTACTGACACGCGCAGCGCACAAGCACAGCGTAGTGCAAATGATCCCAACACTAGCCTCGTGCTCGTTCGACGAGATCGTCGACGCGCGCCAGGGCGACCAGGTGCAATGGCTGCAGCTCTACGTCAACTCGGACAGGGCGATAACGGAGCGCATCGTGCGCCATGCCGAGGCGCGCGGCTGCAAGGGCCTTTTCATCACCGTCGACGCGCCACAGCTGGGCCGTCGCGAGAAGGACATGCGGTCCAAGTTCGTCGACCAGGGGTCCGATGTGCAGAACGGGCAAGAGACGGACACCTCGCAGGGCGCGGCGCGCGCCATCTCCTCTTTCATCGACCCGGCGCTCTCGTGGGCCGATATCCCGTGGTTCCGGTCCATCACCAAGATGCCCATCGTGCTGAAGGGAGTCCAGCGCGTCGAGGACGTCATCAAGGCCGTCGAATGCGGCGTCCAGGGCGTCGTGCTGTCCAACCACGGCGGCCGCCAACTCGAGTTCGCGCCGTCCGCCGTCGAGGTCCTCGCCGAGACGATGCCGGTGCTGCGCTCCATGGGCCTCGAGAACAAGATCGAGGTCTTCGTCGACGGCGGCGTGCGGCGCGCCACGGACATCCTCAAGGCGCTATGCCTAGGCGCCAAGGGCGTCGGTATCGGCCGGCCTTTCTTATACGCTATGTCGGCGTACGGCTTCGAGGGCGTCGATCGCGCGATGCAGCTCCTGCACGACGAGCTGGAGATGGGCATGCGTCTCATCGGGTGCACGACCGTCGACCAGTTGAACCCCTCGCTTGTGGACACCCGGAACCTGGGCAGTCATGTCACTGGCGTTCCGGTGGATAGTCTCGGGCGTAAGGTGTATGATGCGCTTGCCACGCCTGCGTGGAAGGAGCCGAAGCCGTCGAAGTTGTAAGGGGCTGTCTTAATGATGGGGAATGTATTGTATATGGGAGAGATGTAGGGAGTAGGGAGGACGAATTTGTTTATATGGAAATTGAGCATTTAGCATCGAGCATTTAGTCCTTAGTTATATATACACATACACACGCGCGCGTAGATATACACATACAAACATGCATATATAGTGGTTTTGGGTATAAGTCTCCATATTCGCAGAGTAATATCATGGCCTAAGCATACAATATCAACCATTTCCTACACAGTGAAGCTCTACCACTTACAACCATAGCCACTGAGAAACTCGGGGTCCCATCATTTTAATACAGACAGATAGACAGATAGATAGATACGCATAATGTTTGCTAAAAATGGCTAATAGTCAGGTTAGCTAATATCTCTATTCAAATTGCAATGAAGGAAGAACAGTAAGAAAAAGGGACAGATATATATATATATATATCTCTGTAAATAGATGACCAATGCATTAAATTATACCATAATCAGAGCGATTCTAAACCAGATACTTGCTATCCAACGTTAGACAGCGGTCCGCAAGTACTATTCACAAACGAGAGAAAGCTGTTCGTTTCATATTCCACAATCTAGTTGACAATCTATACCCATAAGTAGGTAGATAGGTAGTAAGATCTTATAACCGAGCCATTAACAAGTAAGTACGTCGATATCCACCCAATATATCTCTTACAAGCACCTACTTACACTTCCCAATCAGCAATACTTACCTACTTACATACCTAATTATCAACAAATCACTACCTACAAACACCGTGATGAACAATAGGTACACGAATTCCATCTCCGTAAACACTAGGTACATCACTCTACCTACCGTACTACATCGCATATCATGCAGAGCAATCAATGTAAGCGCGTGCTACACTACACTACACTACACGCATGCACGCACGCACGCATAAGCACCATTCAAAATCAATAGGTATATGATCCCAGATAAAAAGGAGAAGAAACACACCGGGTTAATCCTTGATGATCTGATCCCTGTTCAAACCGATCCCATCCTCATACTTATAATACATGTAGAGTTTACCTTAACCATGCCATTTCGAAGTAAACAGTTCGATGATGATGCCCCAAGAAACGCCTCGCCATGCCCACCACCCAACACACCATGCCATGCCGATCTCAATGAGAAAGAAAGAAAGAAAAATACAACGAAAAGAAGAGTTACAAGTAATGCCCCGAGCCCGCGCTCATGTCCTGTCCTGTCCCGTCCCGTGCTGTAAGAAACGGGGTATAACCCCGTTCCTTCCGTTCGTCTCGCTCCGACTAGCCATATCTTCAGGAGCAGAGCCGAACAGCATCCATAGTAAAGGAATCTCCGCGCCGCATGCCATGCCGAACAAAGAATTGTCTTACACAACTCCACTGTCTCAGCCAGCCTAGAATGTTACTCCCATACCATACGTGGCCACCATAGTCGAATAGCGAGCAATAATAACTCAGCAACATCTCCTCGCCCTCTTATCCCTCTCACCCGCATCGCGACTCATCTGCGCATTCGCGCCGCCATTCCCTTGAACCCCCGCATTCTCAATCGTCACGGCGGGGGAAAAGCCCGGGGAAAACAACCAGCTCCTCCTATCCCTGCCGACGCGGAAACTGCCACCCCTCGGGTTGACGCCGTCAAAGTATCCCTCGACGCCGTGCTCGATCCCGCCGGGTGTGCTGAGCCCGCCGGGCGTCGACGTAGCCGCCAGGATGGCCTGCTGGATCTTACGGTTCTGCTCGACGAGCTTGCGGGTGACCACGCGGAAGACCTCCTCGACGCCCTCGCCGCTCTCGGCGCTGATCTCGTGGCACGCGTCCCAGCCGACTTCCTGCCCCCAAAAACCGCTACTTCGTTTACTACTCGGGCTGCGGGGTTCCGGCGCGCTAGACGGCGCGGGCCCCCCGAAGGGCGTCGCGATCATCGAGCCTGAGGTCCCGGGGGATGTGATATGTGACTGGGTGCTGCTGCTCGGGGGCAGCGAGACACCCGTGAGGCCGCCGGGCGTGGCGGTGGGAGGCGGCGTCGAGCCGAGGCCTGGAGCGAGGTTCTCTGCGACGTATGCTATGCAGCGCTCGAAAGGCACCTCGCGGCGAGACGGGTCGCGGGCGACGATGTCTGCTTTCGTACCGACGACGTGGAGCACGATGTCGGGCGGTAGATTGCGGCGCAGCTCGGTCAGCCAGATGCCCATTTCGGCGAAGGAGTGTGCGTCTGTAATGCTGTAGCAGAGAATGCAGGCGTTGGCGCCGCGGTAGTAGAGTCGTGATATCGAGCGGAATCGTTCTTGGCCAGCTATTACGGAGAGGGGAAAAACAAGGGTAAGTCAGTGTAATTTCGCACGGTAGGGGAAATTGAGAGGTAGTATGAGGTAGGTACCTGTGTCCCATATCTGTAACCGCACGACAGTGTCGGTGTCGCTGTCGACGACGCGCTTCGTCATGAAGCTTGCGCCTACTGTGGAGAGCGTCTCGGCGGGATTGAAAGTGCCCTTGCAATAACGCGAGACGAGGGACGTCTTCCCGACACCCTGGGAGCCGAGCACGACTATCTTGGCCTCGAGCGAGGACATGATGCCGGCGAGGATTGGTATCGATATTGTATATATGTATAGCGTCCGGTGATGGGGAGAGGATACGGACGGGTGCTGTCTCGTGGTGCTCGTTGTTTGTTCACGATTTTGATCAATTCAAACGGAACCGTCTGGCTGAAGAAAGATATATTTGAACTTTGGAAGCGGCGACAAGTTTTAGTGTTAGAGAATAGTCATACAGTAGACAGCTGTGGTCATCGCCGCGTATTATTCTCAAGGATGAACACAATGCGGGTCCGACTTGTTGAAGATCGTCATGTCATGTTGCCGTTATGGATATGGGCGTGAGGGATGGCGAGAGAATGATCTGTGGGGGAGTCGAGGCGAGGCGAGGCGAGCAAGGCGAAGTGAGGTAAGGGAAAGGCTAGGTAGGTAGGTAAGGTAAAAAAAAAGAGGTGAGAAGGGGAGGGAACGAGCGACGTGGTTGGATTAGTGCTATCTTATTGCATGAATTGAATGATGCAGCTTGAAGTGTCTTAAGTTTTTATGGAATGACCTATTGTAAGGAGTCGCACGGATGGATACCTCTATTACTTACACGATCTGTGTTGCCAGTCTCGCCAGTATTATACATACAGCTTCTACTTACATACAGCATCCCATCTCCTGTATGTCTCCCCGGCTATTGATTAGGTACTCGGTATTATTGGATGGAGTCTCCAGTTGGAGGTGGAGGTGGCAGATGCAGGACAAGACAAGACACGACAGGAAAAAGACCACACAAGACCATTCAGGCAGATAGATACAGATAGATAGATAGATAATCAATAACAGATTGCATTGATGATGCAATGCGATGCACCTCATGCAGGCATGGTGTTTTCTCTCCGAGTCAACAACAGTCAATGGCCTCTGACGCTTGTGCGTGGTGTCGCGCAGCGCTGCCTAGCCCTGCGTAGTCCCGTCTCTAGTGAGGGTCCCGTGTCCAGTCCTGTGTCTCGATAGCCATCTGTGAGATATTATTGGATTATTCGATGCAGCCCTAGTTCTAGATAGGTAGTAAGTACCGACCTAGGCAGCCAAGTTGCTAAATCAACCTGCTATCAGATGTGCATTTTGTCTAACCATGTTCTTCCTATCAAGTATCGTTATTGACGTCTTGAAATCGTACTTTGCAAAACAAGACATCTCGATCTATATCAACAGGATACCATCAATGTTAGAGAGGCAAACGAACAACGGTAGTTGACTCAAACCAGCCGAGCCAGCTACACTAAAACGATGTCATGACACATCCGGATGGACCATGTGAGCACGCGACTTGGACAGGATGCGGGGGGTCCGTCTCCGCCAACCATACACCATGCCCAAATCATGAAATGCCATGACAAAGTTCGCCCACTCGACGTTCGAGTAAATCCCTCGAGGATCGCCCATAATCACGTGCCCTCGTACACCGCATTTCTTCGAATCTCTGCCCAAGTAGGCAAGTACTATGACTCTCAACTTGGCGTAGCTTGAACAATGACAATAATCGCAAGTCATGCATGATAGGTGAGGATCTGGTTAGTACAGAAAGAAGGGTAACTGGAGATGAACACGATTCTCGAATGCTCGTACCTTTAGCGACCTCTGCTAGATACTAGATACTGCAAGAGGTCTCCATGTTGTTGTAACTGTTTAAGACAGCAGGAAATGTCTGAGATTAGCATGCATGGTTATCGTATCTCGGGGTCGATGTTTAGCACCGTAAGCTTGACAGAAAACCTTTAACAAGTATCAACTCACAGGCTCATTCATAATAGGTACTCTCCTATTAGACCCTTGTCATTCCTTTTTCTTCTTAACGGGCTTACATATAGGAGTTCCTTCATGATAACGCCACGAAAATCTCAAAGTTATAGATAGCAAATCACCTAACCCAGCGGAAGTCGGAGTCCTAGGTCAGTGTCTCTGCATGTCTCATTGAAGGGGGCGATGTGATTACGCCAAAGTAAATCCCGAGACATCGTAGTTCGTGTGACGGGAACGGCCGTGAGGGGTATTCTCGCTCACGCCTGCGTATGCTACAGGCTGAGAATTTATCTCCTAGATACAGTACATATCAAGACGGATATCGGAAGTCTGCCCTGGCAATTGAGCGACAATAGTACGAAGGATAATCAACTGATTCTCTCTTGCATGCAAATATGAGAGTACAACCCACACAAAATGAATCCGTCGATATGTATTCCGGTGAACATGAAACTTAATTTCGCATCTGTATATATAGGCGAATATGTCTGCTCACTTGGAAGTAAACACTTGATATTAAATATGCGACTTCTACTCAACAATCATACTACATATAACTACAAAAGGCTGTCAAATTATTGACCAGCGGACTTCATTAGCATTTCAATGCCATGTTCACATCCAATTTACCTTGGCGCTATCCTACCATCGCTCGAATAGCACATCATCAGAAGAAATCCTTCTCCCAAGATGAAAATGAGTTCATATCATCAATCTCTACGACCAAAAGACGTAATCCACAGCATAGACAGCCAGCACTTATCAGCTAATCATGAAATCTTTTATATTCATTTTTATTTCTCTTTCTCTGCCTACTCTTTAAAATATCCCCTTTCTCTGATTATGCCACTCGTTAAAATAGCCCAGATGCTCCTGCGTGACGCCCCTAGGCGTACTCCGTATCTTCGCCCGCAGGACCTCCATGGCAGTCGAGCTATCCCCGGCCTCCCGGCTCCTGCTAAACGCGCTGCCGCATATATTCGCCACCTCGGCCCCCGAGTACCCCTCCGTCATGCGCGCCAGCTCGGCCACGTCTATGTCCTGGAACAGGAGCTTCTTGGACATCCGCGCGATGATGGCCTCGCGGGCCTTCACGTCCGGGAGAGGCACGTAGATGAGTTCGTCGAAGCGCCCCGGGCGAAGGAGTGCCGGGTCCAGGGAATCCGGCCGGTTGGTGGCTGCCAGCACGAAGATGTTACCGCGCTCTTCGAAGCCTGCCATCTCCGTGAGCAGTGTAGTGACGGCCTGGACGCCGCCGCCACCGGAGCCGCTGGATCGAGTCCCTGCTAACGAGTCGATCTCGTCGAAGAAGATGATGCTCGGACTGGCTTCTGCCGCTCGTTTGAAGATATTGCGGATCGATCGCTCTGTCTCGCCCACGTACATGTTGAGCAGCTCGCCGCCTTTGACCGCGAAGAAGTTGAATCCGGTTTCGGTGGCCATGGCCTGTGCAGTCATCGTCTTGGAGCAACCCGGTGGGCCGTATAGAAGCACACCCTTCGTCGGCACCCAAAGGTTTTCTTGTAGACCCTAGTATTTTCATGGTTAGTTTAAGTCAATGTAGATCTGAAAAATTGAACTCACGTCGGGGGTTCTCAACACGTCCTGCAGCGCTAACTTGACACCTTCATAACCGCCGATATCGCTCCAGTGTATCGTCGGTGGCTTGAGGTTGATATCCCTCATGGCAGATGGCCGGACTTCACTGAAGATTTTCGCGACGTCCTCCCATTCAAGCGGCGAGTCTAATTGAGGCGTCACTCGTTTCCTTCGTGCTTGCATGGCCTTGGCAAGAAGGTTGCGAAGGTCGCCTCCTGTATATGCATGGGTTCGATCTACAAGATCCGATATGTATTTTTCAAATCTCCCTGAAGGGAACGGCGGTTTCATTGAGCGTAAAATCTCTGCTCGCCCAGGAGCGTCCGGCGTAGGAAGGCTGATGTGCTGCCAAAATCGACCAGGACGCTGAAGATCGTAGGGGATGTCTTCTAGATAGTCGAGACAAGTGGCTACGACTAGGACGTTTGGTCGTCGATTGTCTGCCTGTGCCTTCTTTGCTAACTCGTCCAGTCCGGTTTTGATGGCTTTCATGTAACCTGGTCTGTTTGCATTGTTTTTCCCTATGAGCGTAAGAATATCGTCGATTAGAATCATTATTGCCCCGCGCTGTTCTATAGCTGTCTCGAAACTGGTCTGGATTGCCGAAGGCTTATCATCTTCTGTGATCCGTACCACTCGCCCCCAGCGCGTCGCGGCGAGATGGTCCAGAAGCATCGTTTTGCCAGTACCATGAGTGCCATCGATAACAATCCCGCATGTAAACGGAGGTATTGCATTATTCGCTAACTCTATGTCATACTCATCAAAGAAATCATTTAGTTGCTCAATCTGTCGGCCCATATTTGGCAGAGGCTGAAGACTAAGCTTACCCACATCGCCGACAGCTTCATCATTAGAGATTTCGACGACCGTGGTAGCAGGATCGTATTTCACAACCCCTTTTGCGCTTCCATTAACGGATTCTACAATGAAAGACCGCTGGAATCCCCTCAAGGAGACATCCTCGAAAGGTGTCCCAGGTAGAATATATTCCGCCAGTTCTAGGGTGATAGTTAGTTCTTGTAATTGAAAAGCAAGGGTTTATAGTTGACCCCACCAAGTTTATATTCGAGATGATGCACCCATCGATCATGCTCAGCACCAGAGTCTGGGAGAAAAGGGCCGGATGTTGTCTCTCTTATAACGACAATCTGAGCACTTGCGACAGCGCCGCCAGGAACTATCCGAATAATCTGACCAAGCTCAATATTGGCGACATCCTGGAAAACTCGGCTGATGGAGGCGATATTGTTAGCGACCTTGGTATCACCGCGCCAAGTAACAGCCTCTCGCTGTACGCCGTTCACTTCAACAAGACAAATGCCCCCATTCGCAAATCCGGCTTGGTCGAACGGTGTTGGGTGAAGGAATATCTTGGCGGCGTTCTTGTGGGTTGGATTTTTCTGTCCAACCACATCCGTTGGCTGAATGCGCGTCTTGTATTCGTCCCTCATTTTTTGTCTGCGACTTTTTATGGATTATGGGGATACATTTAGTTTTATTACTGTGCCCATCATTATCTAGACACTCTGTCGCTCGAACTTGAATGTTCTACACAAACTACAAAAATGCTCTGAAGTCCACTCGCATAGGTATGCTGCTTAGCCGCATAATCAGTGGGTGTAATGGCTCTTAGATGCATAACTACTCGGCCCTCTGACTGATTGTGAAATGGAGACGCTTCTCTCAAAACTTGAGGTGAATTGAATTTCATCGTTTCCTACTGTCATTATGGTATATGATGTACTGTTAGACTGTTGAAAGAAATTTAATCGTCTTGGGTTGAGCCATGTTCGCTGTATTCAAAGCAGACCGTGCCGGTATCGACTCGAGGGAAAGAGTAGGTACGCACATCAACAATAAGATGTCAGATAATAGAGTCGATTCCTGTTTCAGATGAATTCAACACTTCAGTGAGAATGCATTATTTCAAAGAATGAACCAGAGAAGGAAACAAAACGAGCTCGAGACAATTCATTTCTCCCGAATCGAGGTCTTCGTTTGAGTCCTCAGCCAGATGCATATAGCAGAAATATATCGTTATAACAAAAGAATCAATCTGCATACAACAATCTCTTCGAGGGCCGAATTCTCACAAAGCTCCAAGCTGATATCGAACTCCAAAGCTTGACAATCTCAACCCAGCACCCGAAAGCTCTACAATGTGCAGGGCCCTTCAGTACGTCGCCTCATGCTCCTAAGACAGCTCCACCGGCCTCTCTTGCGATCGGCAGCTGCAGCATGGCGACCCGCAACCATCTCTCCAGCGTTCTACCACGACGGTGACGGTAACGGTGACGGTGACGGTCGTAGCAGTAACGACCAGCAGCAAGAAGACAGTAATGATCAGCAGCATAGCGTGCCGTCGCAAGAAAAGGGGCCCTCGCTCTTCGAGAAACTACTCCCCGAAGAAGCAAAGGCAAAGTTAGCTTCCAAAGGCGATCCATCCTGGATCAAAAAGCGCTGGCCACCCAACGTCGACGAAGAGCCTCCCCGTCTACCTTGGTCCTGGGATATACAAGATCTACTACAAAATGCAGCCGAAGATGCGCCAAATTTCTTCTCAAATGCCACCCGCGCCAAAAGCATGCTGATCCTCTCGGCCGCGAGCAAGAACCTGCTTGAGAGCGATTTCCTCCGTCTCGGTATGAAGGGGAAGCACGTCGAGGGCTGGGTGGGCGGGATTATCAGAGGTAAGAAAGACACTTTGTCTCCCTACCAATCAACCAAATCCCCCTTCTCCCTCGAATATCGAAAGAGAGTAAAACTAATTATCTCCCACGTGCGCAGTGATCCAAGCCCGAGACCCAGACACCCTCGAGCCAAAAGGGCACTACTTCATCCTCTTCGACTCGCACGAGGCCGCGTCCGCGTACAAGGACCGAGTAGAATACCTCTGGGAGCTCGGCAAGGCGCACGTCCCCGGCGCGCACCACGCGCGGTCGCACATGCAGCAGCAGCCGCTGCCGCGCGGGCTCTGGCGCACGGAGACAGGCGAGGACGTGGCGCACTTGATCCGGACGTTCACGCTCGTGCCGCACAGCCAGCCCCTGTACCTCACGCAGTCCCGTCTGAACCCGGCGAAGATCACAGACATGTATCTCGAGGGCGGGTTCATAGACAAGCTAGCCGCGCGCGCCGGCTCGCCTCACCTCGTGCACGTGCGTCTCGACGGGGGCCGGCTATCAGTCGACACGATGCGCAGCGCCATCGAAATGGACGGCAAGCGGCGATATCTCGCGTGGCGGGTCACGGATCTCGAAAAGGGCATTCTCCCCTTCGGAAAAGCGATTTTGAAATCCAAGGACCGGGTGCGCGTAGAAGGGGACAACAACCCGGATAATAGGAGATCGCCATCATCTAGCAGGGGCTCGATGGAGGAAGGTTTAAGCAACGAGATAATAAGCGAGCAGGAATACGCCGAGACGAACGGTACCGTCGAGGCCGCACGCGAAGTGGAAGAGAGCAACCAGAGGCACAAGCAGTACCCTCGGTTCATTATCCCTTTCACGGATCAGCCGGAAGCTTATCGCTTTGTGCAGAACTGGCATCGTCGCGAGCTGAACCTGAGGTTTGGAGGTACCGGGAAGAGAAATGACCCGTCATGGCAGGAAACTAGGATAGTTAATGCTACGATTCTCTGGTAAATTCAAACAGATCCGGATAGTGACAGAGCTAAGCCCCCAAGTTTCGCATCACCTGATATCATTGTCAACTTCACCATTTGCACCTTTTTTCTTCTTCCTTTTAGCAATCTGTAGCATACTACATTTCAGAAGTATACTACGTGAGGCACATATCCGCTCGTGGACTGAGAAATAAAGTGTATTAAGTCCCCATATCAACCAAACTCCGATAGACGATAGTTTGCCTCTTCCCCCGTTGTTCCGAGGCTAAGACAAGGGTGTTGTGCTGTGCTGCGTTTCTCAGATGCTTCCGGGAATCTCTATGATGAAAGCACCCTCTCTCTGATCAAATCCCCCAAAACGACGAAATTTGCTCCCCCCCCTTTGATTGATGATACAGACCGTCGACATTTTGGGGGGCTGTTTCCTTCATCTTCTTGCTCTCCGTAATTCATACCCTCGATCTATTGTTCGACGCTTAGGGAACACATGATATTAACGCTAAGTTCCTCCCACATTGTTTCGAAGCTAGACCAACGAGCTCAACAAAGCTGTGAGACCAGAGGGCCCCTATGTAGTCTCGTTTCCTGTTTCCGCCTCTTTCCGATCACCGTCTCTACCTCACTCATCTGAAGGCTGCATTGATGGCGGTAGTATACACTCCAAACTTAGCAACATTTGCCGCCACCAGATTCTGTAGCTGCGCGACCGACTGCGACATTGGACGATGAAGAGGGATCGGACTTGGAGGTATCGATAATTCGTTTCTTGATGTCGGCGGCCAGGTTGTAGAAGGCCTTGTCGATGTTGATGTTGCTTTTAGCGGATACTTCAAGGAACGGGATGCCCAACTCTTTCGCCAGGGCCTCGCCTTGCTCTGTTGATACTACACGCTTCTCTTCCCAGTCGCACTTGTTGCCAATCAAGATCTTATTGACCCCTTCGGTAGCGTGTTGTTCTACGTTCGCGAACCATGTTCGGATGTCTATATAAAAGCGAGCGTCAGCAAATTCCTTGGAAAGTTTGATTTAAAGATGCTCCTGCCAATCATCAGGCTAGCACATCGTATAGAGGCCTGGTTTCTTGTGGCAAGGGTCACAAGGCCGGGTAATGGCGGTGTATCATATGAGGGATATGTAGAGTAGCCGGGCTTACTTTCGAAAGATCTCTGGTCGGTGACATCGTAAACGAGGAGGATGCCCATGGCACCACGATAGTAGGCTGTTGTGATGGTTCGGAATCGTTCCTGGCCAGCAGTATCCCATATCTGTAGCTTCACACGCTTGCCATCTAGCTCAATGGTCCGAATCTTGAAGTCGATGCCGATAGTTGTGATGAAAGATGGCGTGAATGAGTCTTCGCTAAACCGTAGCAGGCAGCATGATTTGCCCACACCCGAGTCGCCGATCAGCAGGAGTTTGATCTATCCACCGCCATTCCAAGTCAGTCGGATTTGCCGTATCTGTAGCACAGACACTGGTATTCAGATGTCTCGGGTAGGCCGAAAAGGGCGTGGCTTGGGTAGGGGTGCCAGATTCTGGGGAATAGATAGATAGCAAACCTACAAGGAAATCATAGTTGCGGTTCCCCGACATGGTGAAGATAGGGGAGGTCGTTTTACGGGCAGGAGATGGGGCGGTAACAGAAGAAACGGCAACGGAAACGGCAGCAACAGCGACAGCGCAATGTTGGGTCAATGGTTAGACAAGTGGTATTCAGGTATTCAGGTATTCAAGACGGCTCAGGACGGGATGGGAATGGACGGGATGAGGACCATGTGTCGTCGGTTGTCTGTCAGATGCGGCGGGATCGATGGCAGCCGTGATACATGCAGCCTTGGCGCAGATGGATTATCTAACTGGGTTGGTACTAGACTACGTGGACATCAGTGGACGGCACTATGACGAGGCGGCTGGGGGTGTTGGCAAGACCCTAGGATCTGCCTAGTAGGCAGTGGGGATTTGAATAGTAACGGATCAGGATGGATGTTGGGTTACTTAGACGGACGGACGAGACGGATTCGGGACGCTCTTGTTCACTTTTGGGCACTTTTTTAGCACTCTTGAAGAGTTGTTCAGGCTAGTATCGGTATCGGTACATGTAAAGGGCGGGTGGCGTATTCGAGGTGCGTAGGCGAATAAGAGTGAGACCGGGGCTGAAGGTGTCGAAAGCGTGTGATTGAGGGAGAGACGAAAGACGGAAACAGAAGGAAAAAGTGTGGGATGTAGGGATGTATCGATGTATCGATGTTACTTTAAGTTTAGATACCTACCTCTTCCAAGGTTGCTACTACACAAACTCAGCCAGCTTCCTTTGTTTTATCATCGACTCAGCATACTTCGTACTTTAGACCTACCTGCCTACCACTAGATACATATATAGGTACCGAGGCAGGCTGGTAGGGGCCTGCATAATGGTAGTACTTTATCTGTTACGTTTGGGGCGAGGGAAGTATTCGATATCAGCGGTACATCCGCCTCAACTCACATTGGAACCATCTGAACGCCACCTGGCACATCGTAAGTATATTATATCCTCCATCAGGTTAAAGATTTCTGTATTCAAGTTTCATCAGATCGGCATAGTTTACTCGTTAAATCCCCCCAACACCTGTTATCCAAGCAGGTAGAGATTCCGCATACTGGCTGTCCTAGGCACCAATCCATACACATACACATTTGGAATTTTGCTTGACTTGACACCTTTACACCTTTCCGATTCTTACTGGCGAGTACGGTAGTCAAAAGCTGGGGCGAGCAGGCAAGCATTAGCTTTTGATTAGGCACCTGCCATAGTGTACAAAAATGCTCGAGGCAGAAGCTTTTGGCTTGATTATGTGTCACCCGACGTATTCGTCCTGGATATCTTTCATACTTTTGAAAGTCATACACCACTTGACTAGATCACGCCTCAGTGAACTGAGGCTTCGCCGAGAAGCGTAGCCCATAGTCGATCTACCATCGCGATGACACCACCAGGTAAAAGTGCATCCCAATTGACGATGACCATCATCAGAGGTAGGCATCCTACAATCTTACCCCAATCCAGATCAGCTTCGGTTGCTCTCGTAGTGTTGAAACCGACAGCTTTCTCTACTCTTGAGGCAGAATCAATAAGGACTTCAAACACAAAGGCGACTGTCTTTTACCTGGTTTATTGTATTGCTAATTAATGTCACACTACCGTAGAATCGCTTCTCTTTCTTGATATCGTCTAGGCTAATGAGACAAGAGGTGAATCTCGAATGAAGGGTACCATAAAACAAACAGGATTAAATACAAAAATTGTCTGAGAGGGCCGGTTACTAGATCATGATATCAATTAGAAGAGATATTTGCTTCTCATATGAGGTTGCTGCAACAGGAGGTATTCAGAAAGTAATAAAGGAGACCAATGGATGTACTCCGTCATAAGTAGACAGCACTATCTTGGATTTGAGAACAGTCTCAGTAGCCATTATCTTGGGCTTTTCCCGCACGGAAAGCAACAATTTGGAGAAAGCCGACATCCGTCTAAGTAATCTGTGGAGGCGGAATGAGATAACGCAGATAAATGTACCTGCAGTAGACCATCTCGCCGGCCCATCAGCCGTCGACTTTCGGGCGACCTCCATCTACCAACCAACCCACCGTCTTAGGAAGCGGGTAAATTATATGTATGATACATGGAAATGGCAGAAATACGATAATTAGCTCTAAATTTCCCGCACGCATGCCACTTTCTTGCCAACCAAAAAGGCAAGCCAGGGTTCACCCCGCGGGTCACCAGCAAATTGCAACACACTGCGCCATCACGTGGTCAGAACACGTGCACGCAACTGTCTCTCATCAAACATACCCGTTGAATCATGTGTGAGCGAAATGTGAGGCAAAAAGCCAACATTCCTTTACTGCTACGGGAACTCCATCCAGCTGAACAAAGTTGTCCCAGCGCCAGTGGGGTGGCAAACAGACGGCGGCACCACTAGAGCAATCGCAGCGCGTCCCGAAGAGGAAGCTCAACTCGCGCCTCTGCGAGACGACCTACAATCTAGCCCGCCAGCCTTTTCTCGCCCAGCTGGACAATGGTTTTATCGCGAAGCGAACAGACCAATCGGTATCGCCCGTTTGCGCTCATCTACAACTAATCTATTATCTAGTGCTGGTCTCTCTTTTTGCTTGTTTTTCCTTCTCCCACGCAGGGGTTATAGTAAGTAATTGGGTACACTCTCGTGACTAAGTAGGTACTCACGATAAAGAAGAAACGTGGGACGAAAGAGGGTCCTGACGGGATGGATCTCACATGCGGTACTTAAGAGATCGAATCCCCTCATTGCCTACTCGTTGAAGTCGTGATCCTCCTATGTGTCGTAGTTGAAGAAAGAAGAAGTAGTAGAAGAGAAAAGGGTCCCCCCCGTCTCCAAATCGTGTGAGATAGTGAAGCCATGTTTTCCAAGATCGCAGTCACCGGCCTAGCCGTCGTCGGCTCGGCGGCTGCCGCATCCGTTAGCTGTCCCGCCGACCTGCCCTACAGCTGCTCGAATACGACGGTCGTCGAGGACCTCTGCTGCTTCGAAGCTCCTGGCGGCGCTGTACTATTGACCCAGTTCTGGGATACCGCGCCTTCCACCGGGCCTTCAGACTCGTGGACTCTCCACGGTCTCTGGTACGTTCTTATCCGCTTCTCTCGGCGCCGGTCACGGATAGCAAGGAGTGGATGAGTAAATATATAGATCTTCGAACTCGACTTACAAAGCGCACAGGCCCGATAACTGCGACGGAACATATGAACAGAACTGCGATCCCAACAGGGCATACACCAACATCACCGACATCCTGAAGGAGAAGGCCCCCTGCACGCTGAAGGCGATGCAAGTGTACTGGAAGGACTACAAAGGCAATGACGAAAGCTTTTGGCAGCACGAGTTCGGCAAGCACGGCACGTGCATGTCGACGCTGGAACCCCAGTGCTACTCCAACTACCAGCCCACGGACGAGGTCGCCGACTACTTCACGCGCGCCGTGGATCTGTTCAAGTCGCTCCCGACGTACGACTGGCTCGCCGCCGCGGGCATCGTGCCCTCGTCCACAGCGACGTACACGCTCGCGGCGATCCAGGCAGCGTTGACGGCGCACCACGGACAAGAGGTAGTCATCCGGTGCAGCGGCAGCTCGCTGAACGAGCTATGGTACCACTACCGCGTGCGGGGCTCGATCCAGAGCGGCGACTTCGCCCCGGTGGTCCCGGTGGGTTCTGGATCAACCTGTCCGAAGACAGGAATCAAGTACCTCCCCAAGTACGCGGGTTCGACGCCCACCACCACTACCACTACCAAGGGCTCGACGCCGACTCCCACCGCCACTTCCGTGCCGACCGGCGTGCCCGGCGCCCTTGCAGGGAAAGGATACGTGAAGGTTCTTCCCGACGGCTTCATGATCAGCGCAGGCAACTGGTACCGCGCGTCCGGGACGCCAGCGACATACACGGCGACGCCCAGCGGCGACGGCAAGACCTTCGCGCTGAAGACGAGCAAAGGGCCCTGCCAGATTCTCGCAGACGCATCCCTCAGCTGCGCCGCGGGCAACGCCGAGAGCAGCTTCGGGTACGACGGCAAGTACCTCACGTACGACGGCGCCTCGACCTTCTACGTCGCCTCTGCGCCCGGCGGCCAGGACAAGGGTGTCGTTTTCACCACGCAGAAGGCTGTGTCGCTGCAGATGTACTGGCAGCCGCTGTAAAGCCGTGGGCAGTGAGTGGGTCGAGATAGCCATAGGCTATTGGAGTGAACAATAAAAGAATACATTACAGTTCTACTCTGACCTAAGGAAATACCTTTGTGATCCAGTTCACCATGCAGATAATTTGTGCCAGTGATACCAGGATACGCCTACTTCATCTTAACAACTGTAAATTGGCTGAGAGAAACTATCGCTTTTTTTTTTCTTCCTATAAGCAACTACCCCTATAGAATGATTTGCACTCAATATCCTAAGGTTTATTTTTACCATCGCTATGCTATGCTATAGATAGGTATGCAGCGTTGTAGAACTATGGGAGTATCAACGGTTACTATTGGAGCCACTTTGAATAAGCCCACCGGATCCGGTCTAGGGCTCGCTGCTGGTATTGAACGCCTCGTAGGTTGGCGAGGTCATCCAGATCCTCCAAAAAGTCCTTCTCGATCTCGGCTGGGAGGAGTTTGTGCGCGAGTCGGCGTAAGACATGGACTTCGCAGATGAGGTAACCGTGATCCTTATAAGGGAGGACGTTGGTTTGTGTGGGCGCCGCTTCGGAAAAGACGCGATCGATGTTTCGTAGAACACGTACACATCTCCCTGCTTTCCGCTTCTCGGAGTACCCTCTCCGTCCACCAAAGGCGCTGAAGAGGTATCGTGCTGCTCCGACGGATACGAGTATACCGGGCGTGAGTCCAACAAAGCCGAAAACGAGTTCCTGGCTCCTTAGCAGAGAGTCAATGCCGCTCATCGCAACCTCGACGTCGACCTTTGTCTTCTGAACCTGGATGAGCAGAGTGCGGACGAGGTCCCCACGCACAGTACCCATGAAGGGGCTCCTCAGGTCTTTTTCGTAAGCGCGGAGAATGGGCGTCACATCTCCCTCGCGTACCTTCGCCCGAATGTCAGCGATTTGTGCCTCTGACATGGCTGAAGCATCAGATGCGTTATTGGACTTGTCAAGAGTAAAGTCCACTACCATACGCTCCAAGCTTTCCCTATCGGCTTTGAGGCTATCCCGGCTCATGATGGCAATCTCACTGTTGGCATCGTGACGGATTGTTCCTATCACCTTTCTCACAGGTTCTATGACCCAATTGAACCAGAAGTCGCGGACAGTGGCACCTAGGTCTCGGACCCAATCTAGAATCTCTTGCCTTTTGTTGACAAATATGCGGAGAATTGTGGTTGAAGAAAGTAAGAGCGCTGTCGCGGGCAGCCAATATCTGACCAGTCGGGATGGTCGTCCGTTCTTCTCGACTACTCTTCTTGCTGTCGTCAGGTTCCAGGGTAATTGATCATCCAGCAATGCGTGTAGTCGCTTAGCAACGACAGCCGGGCGACTCAAGTCATCTTCCTCGGCTTGAATACACAATGCATCTTCAGCCACAGCGGCAAACACCTTATCTTCCATCTGACTCGTGTTGAGCTCCAGATCTAGAACGTCACGAAGCATCATGTCCATGAGAGCCACGCTTCTTTCAACCACTCCTTTCCACTCTTGACTGTTGGGCGGAGAAAGCTCGCTGTCACTCCTTCCATCGTCAGCCCCAATACCAGTGAACGCGAATCCTTCATCAATGAGAACACCAAGTCCACTAGCTGTCATTTCTCGTAGCTTCTTTAGTTTTGCTTGCTTCCTCCTGGCTTCTGCGCGACACAGTGCTACAGGTGACATCAATCGTCGTTGAACATCAGCAAGAGATTTTTCAAGAATAGTTGTTTGAACAATAGCATAAAATCGTCGCCACTGTGGTTCCTTATTAGATGTGGCGGCGTTGGATGGTGTCGCTTCTGACTCAGTATTCATGGCATTCCCTGTAGCATATCGTTGCAGCCGAGCCTTGCTGTCTTCATATACCTCTGAAGCCCATATCCAAAACTTGGCAGGAGAGATCTGAACCATATGAAGAGTAGTAGATAATGGCGATGACAAGACATAATCCCAGTACCATATATGATCACTTAGAGGCACAATTTGGTCTAAAAGCATGTCCAGAACGAGGCCATACGTCTGAACGGCAGCCTTGCTGACCAGGAGCCATTCGAGCTCAGATTCATACTGATTTAGTTGTAACTCCTCAGGCGACCGGTCAGCTAACAGATTTGACTGTGCAAGGAGATACTGCAGTTGTGAAGGCGGAAGAGCAGCTTGTGACCCTGGCGTGGCTGATAATGCCTTTATGATCTTTAACAAATCCTTGACCCGAGGGGTCTGCAGCACATTATTCAGCTGTACAGCAACCTCACTTGTGGGATGGGCTTGGGGGCTTGTTATAGTTGCATAAATGATGCCATCTAAGTGGGCATCTAAACGGCGGACTTGGCTTGTTGGCAGAAGTCTGTTAGCAAGGACAAAAGAACTGTGAGATGTAGTGGGTGCTGCGTTGGGTTTAGGTGGCGTAGGGCTGGGTGTGTCGACTTACTCGGCTAATATCGACATTGTTCGTCAGAAATGGGTCGATGCTCTCGGCTAAGGCAAATTACAAGCAATATTCATGTGTCGGTGTACAAAAACGAGCGTGGAAAAAGCTGGTCATCCCCTGTGTTAGATCATGCCACCTCTAAGAGAGCCGCAACCACTCCGCCAACAAGCTATTGCGTGCGTGTACGAGTACGGGATATTCTGGGCGGTTAATGTGCAAGGTAAGTAAGATTTCACAGGTTGGACCAAAAGGCTAGACCGCCCAGCTAGCAGTGGGGAAATCAGCAAACAGGATGATACCCAAGTACCGGTATCATAGAATGCCAGAATGGTGTTGTACGGTATTTGCTATTGCGGTTTCCACAAGTTGGAACATGTATCGACAGTGGTTCGATACCTAGTTATTTCGGTTTTGGGGGGTTTATTTTTCCCTCGAGAAGTTCAAATTGATACTGCAATATGTACATAATCACTTACCTACATAGGTACGAAGTAGTAGACAAACATGTACCACCTGCACCTGGTACCTATGAGGTCATGAGGCATGCGGGTGTAAATGGGAAGGAAGCTATGACCACATACATACCTAGCAATTTTCTCATATTATATACATAGGTACTTACATAGGTGCTTTCCTACCTACCTACTTTAGGTACATAAGTAGGTATATGGGTACCTAGTTGTGCTAGACTGACAGCTGGCGGACAGACGGCAAGCAGCGGCGCGACGGGAGCTGCCGCTAGGTTCCGGACTTTTTCTTTTCCCAGCGCCGCCCACCCAATGATTCCTCCTTTCTCCACATTCTTGTCTAGCCACACGACACGACACGCGATCAAAGACAATTCCGACCTGTCCAGCATCGAAATCCGAATACGAACGCGATAAGATTAACTATTGTCGCTCTGCCCCACGCCCTCGCTCACGGAATCCCCAACTTCCAGTGGCCTCATTGTGGCAGCATCTCTGCTGATTGGCTGTTTGCTGCCAATTGACAGGGTTGCTCAGGAACCCGCATACCCCTAGTACATAGTAAATCTCCTAATCGCCTCCTTATCGAGCTTTCGCCTGTAACCCTTTGACCATTCATTGAAATACTTAAAACTGGGAGTCCTTTTCCTTCTTTTTCCCTGCAGGACCAAGCTACCAAGCATCGTTCACTCTTTGGTGCATCCCTTCAATAAACCGAGTCATTGAGTGAGAACAACCACTATGGCCACCCTGTAAGATCCCCTAGTGCTTCTTCATGATTCGTGCTCCTCGAGTACTTCGAAACATCACCGCCGCTGAACCTTTGGTTACTGACATTCAATTTGCGTAGGAACTCGACTCTCATCGGCGCCTTTAGCCAACCCGAAACCTTCTCGAACGTCTTCGAAGAAGTCTCCAAATACAATGTTCAGCTCAACATTGCCGAGCGCCTCTGGGCTGTTAGTTCGCCTTCTTCAAACTGCGATCGATCGATGCTAAACAGTTGACAGGCCTGGTATCTCTGGATGCAGAACGATGTGCTCGCAACCGGCATCATGAGTTTTGTTTTACACGAGACCATCTACTTTGGCAGATGTTTGCCTTGGATGATTATCGACCGAATCCCTTATTTCAACAAGTACAAAATTCAAAACGTGCGCCCTATCAACTCTGCAGCCATGCTCCATGCTCATTTGACTAACCCCTTAAATAGCAAAAAATACCCACATGGAAAGAACAATGGGAATGCGCTAGCCTTGTTCTTCTCAGCCACTTCACGGTCGAGCTTCCTCAGATCTGGCTCTTCCACCCTATTGCGACCTACTTCGGCATGGACTATGGCGTTCCCTTCCCTTCGCTCGGCAAGATGGCTTTCCACATTGCTATCTTCTTTGTCATGGAGGATACTTGGCACTACTGGTTCCACCGAGCTCTGCACTATGGCCCCCTTTACAAGATGATTCACAAGCTTCACCATACATATTCTGCTCCTTTCGGTTTGGCTGCTGAATATGCCTCGCCGATTGAAGTCATGCTCCTTGCCTTGGGGACAGTTGGATCTCCTATCCTTTGGGTTTCGTTGACAGGAGACTTGCATCTTTTCACTATGTACTTGTGGATTGTTGGCCGTCTGTGCCAGGCCATTGATTCTCACAGTGGTTACGACTTCCCTTGGAGCTTGCGACACTTCCTTCCCTTCTGGGCTGGAGCTGAGCACCATGATATTCACCACGAGCGCTTCATCGGCAACTATGCCTCCAGCTTCCGCTGGTGGGATTACATGCTAGACACCGAGTCTGGCCCTGAGGCTGCTAAGCGCCGCCGAGAGAGGAAGATGGCCGCCATGAAGGCTAAGAAGGCCGAGTAAATTGCTGGTGACGGTCCAAAATCGGCTTTTACACGCAGTTGGTAATTCCAAATCATTTTACATGAGCTGTGGTGATAGACAGCATATGAGTGCTTCTGATGCCAATAGTGCAAGACACTTTTGGTGAAACAACATGGACTGAATGCATCGAGATTGCAGGCAGGCCTTCGGTTTGACCGAGATGCTTACGACAGTACGATACCTGGCAGTGTACATATTTATTTTTCGAAAGCCAGGTTGTACAATTCTTTAATGACGATAGATATGAAAAACAAAACCCTAGTTAGACTAATGCTCAAGATTAATAAGCCCTTCGCTAAACAATAATATCAGAAAATTCACAAAATGCTGAACGCTTGATGTCTCTTGGTGAAGCTTGTAATATGTGATAATGCTTCGACTTCATCTTATAACAAGTAACAATTTTTCTTATCTTTCCTTTTCACGATGAGTTGATAGGATCTACTAGCTTAAACCGTTGATCTTTAGCTCGCCAACAACAGTCGAGACTGAAGAGGCGGTACGATCGGATATCCTTAGAGCTTCTCGGAGATGGTCTTGTCAAGCAGAAGCAGGACGACATGCCGTGTCTTGTCTTGTTCCTTAATTACACGTATACTACTTAGAAGTCGGGGTATCTGTACCTCACAGTGAGGCACGGTGAATCAATCGTTTTCATTTGCGTGGTCACGCCGCAGATTTCTAAGACATATATTCGCTGCAAGGCTTTCGTGGAACAACACATGTATGTGTTTACCTTTTATTTCATGATATTTAATTAGTTTGACGACAGGAGTTATTTACCCGCTGATTCCACTGCTGTGGCGGTGTTTATCTATTTCTACATGTAAAGATGTCGGAATGGGGTAGTATAGAGCTATGATACGGACGACTTCTACGGCAGAGAAGGACAATGTAGATAATGGCATTACGCAACTCCCAATGGAAGAAATTTTGGCCCCTGGAGGAGTTACGCGTTGTATATAGATGTAGGAAGGAATATTCATCTCTTATAAGTGGTCATATTCAAAGTAGAACAGTGATGTTATCTTCAAGGGGAGTGAGCATATAATAGCAAAACCCGTGATAGATAAAGTCCTTGTGTGTTTTCCGTGCGTTTTCTCAATGGATAGAGGGTTGGACTACCAGGAAGATGAATGGTGATGCTATCACTGATTGAGTGAGTGATCTTTTGAGTATCATTGAATAGGAATACAGTGAGAGACGAGGCTGAGTGAGCTACGATGTAATCACTATGAATAGCACTGCGATATAATTTTCCTCAGATTACTCTGCCTATCTACCTACCTACTTACCTCCCTTCGACAACACAAACTCATAGTTGTCCTTTCCAGGTAGTTGAATTTGACTATGTTTAGTCCCGAGGTTATCTAAGCATGACTAACGCATCGGATTACTCAGATGATCGGGCGGATAAACTTGTCAACGTGACTAGTGGGCTGACTGATCAATAGAAAGACCTACGTCGTTGCGGCTGTCTTAGGCGTGCAGCAATCACCCGCAATGCCAACGACGCGCTCAGTTACTTGTTTCAGAGTGCCACTGCTACCGCTTTCGTTGTCAGTGGTGACGACTTCGCCGAAATCGCGCGCCAGGGCGTCGCACAGCTGCGCCAACTCGACGTCTTTTGCAGAGAGACCCGCGGGGTTGTGCGTGGTCCAGCGGATGTGTGTTGTGTTGTAAACCTTGCGAGTTTCGCGTCAGTAGAGTTCTTCCTGCTTGGGTTGGTTGGGGGAGACAGAGTCTATCTATATAAGAGAGAGAGACAGGGGGTGATGGGAGGGATAGAGAGGGGTGAAGTTGGATCAAACATGTTGGGACCAATGAGCTTGTGATGAATACTAATAGTGTTGTTGATAATCGAACCCAATACACCACATAGTTCGATAGGTAAATTAAGTTTGCGGAGATGAAGTTAATTTCTGAGTTTTGCGGGAAGGTGTTGCTGTGGGCGACTGTGTGTTGTGTTGGAACATGTTTTCTTCATGTGGCGATAATGCGACAGCAGAGCCGCAATACTCATCTTGCTCGCATGCTTTAGATACCAGCTTGGTTTGGTATGCAAGTTTTTGAGTTCATCCGTTATGTGTTCTTAGAGTAACCACCAAGAGAAAAAATGGCCATATCTCGCGAGGAGCCAAGAAGAACTTTGCAACTCTAATGAGGGGTGTGTAACGGGGTGATATATGTGACAGTGGTGTAGGCGTAAGGTAAGATGTGACAATCAAGGAGGCGGGTAGCATGGACGGATGAACGCAGTGCGAGGAGCAACAAGAGATGAAGATAGGGGGAATATACTTGATATCTTTTCGCAACATGACATCAAAAGGGGGTTAAGGCGTAGGAACTAGTGTAGATAGGTAGAATGGATGGTTGGCGGGAAATATGGGAAACATACATTGGACCACTCCGGGTGGTGATTCTTGAGCTTGCATTGCAGCGAAACGGCCGTCATGAAGTCCTAGAGTCGATAGAGGTATGAGTCAGCTGAGAAAAAGTTGTTTGTGACCATAACACCATGTGGTGGTATTGATTTGCTCTCCTGTACAACGACTTTCCCTCGCTTGGGGAATACTTGCGTGATACAAAAGGATTCGCATGCGTGATACGCATACGGCTACACGAGAGAAAGGCTATATTAGGGGGGGCTGAAGGGAAAAGCGAAGGAATAGTGTAGATAATGTTGTGTAGGTAATATCCTGGACAATAGGTAGCATCCTGCGGGGGTCACGATTTACTCTGATCGTCTTTTCAGCTTCGGTGTTTCGCAGCATGCAGCCTTATTGGGCATCTCGCCGGGTAGAGTTTCCACTCGGACACCAACCCGGCTGGAGAGTATGGAGATTTGTTAGCTGCACGTAAGTAGGTGGCAGCAGCAGGATTAAGTACCCTAGGTAGGTTCGGGTTTCAAGAGGGCTTCCGTCATCATATTGACGTCGCTAAGCTTAGCTCATACAAGTAGGTAGGACCCTGGAAAATTATTGGCGATAGTGATACGAGCGAGGTGTGGTTGTGAGCGCCGCGCTGCTTCCTCTTTGAGCCTTTCGCGATGTTGCGTGTGGGATTGAGGGACAGGCGGCAGTGTGGCACAGCGTTGCATAAGCACACTCAGTAGACCGTCGATTCACACCATGCAGTAGGACCTTCGAATGCACATAGGTACTCTTTTGCTGCTGCTGCTACAAGATTTGAGCAGCTGAGGTAATGGCCTGCGGCGTATAACGTCTTCCACGGGATGAGAAGCCAAGCCATTTACATGAAAGGGCGCCTCTACCGCAGATGCCGCCTCCTTTGCCTCCCCTTTGGAGGTTTGTATGTATATGTATGCATGTACCGTATGTGGAATATGTATCATGGGAGATGCAAGCAGACAAGCAGTAGAAATGCGATTTCTCTGGACTGACTCACCCACGTCTTCGCGAAATTCTTGAATCTGAAACCCCTCTCCAGCCCTTGGCCGCTGGGGATCAAGGTCCAGCGACCCCCTTTTCCTACCGAATCGAGTAGATCTTGCAGAGCCGCCATCAAGGTGGCCTCATCAGCACCAGCAGCAAAGTTGATCCTGGTGTCGTTGGGGGCCGCCACATCCGATGACGACGACTGGCAACGAGACATCTGGAAACTCGGACTGGTAAAGGCAAACGGTGATTCTCTGATGCCAGTAGTCTGTCTCATGCGCAGGGTCAAGACCTTGGTCTCTGGAAGAGCCGCTCCCCTGCTCGCGACAGCGCTCAGGTGACGCAATGGCAGGCTGGCGTGGCGGGCAAACATTCGTCTGGCGAGGACGGCTTGACGTATATCAATCTGCAGGTTGCTTTCTGTTATTATGCAAGACGTGTAGGGCGCCGTAGAGTAGAAAGCAAGAAGCAGGCTATCTCCCGCTGGATGAAGCAGGTTGCAATGCCGTGTCGGTTTAGGTAGGTGAATATTAGCCCCCAAATTTGATACAGTTGGTGACGATGTTGGTCATCACGATTGTGACTGTGTGTACGTAGTAGGTAACGAGTAAATTTCCTAAGCAGGCAATGTCCCGGCTGGGTTATGTTACCGACTACGGTACCTATGTACTTACTTAGCTACCTAGCTCAGACGCTGTAGTGTACGTAGTAGGTCCTGTAGATGCTGTATGTACCTACTATAGACACTGAAGGGCCCCCACCACCGCCTAGTATTAAGCCCCTAGGGATCCCGCTAAGGTAGGTACCTACATTGGGTTTGGGATGTATCTAGGTACTTGATTACTTACTGTAGGTAAGGTACTTTCTGGGTTCAGAGCTGAATAATGCAGGGTTGTCGTCCCTAAGTATGCGAGACTCTGGCCACCTCCAGGTCAGGTAGTAGTGTAAGACAAACAGCTCATCGATGATTACGTTTGCCCGGGGCTTAATTAACAGCTGCGTATGAGGAACCGAACATGTCGGACATATCATGCTCAGACAGGGTTTTGGCTGAACTCGGCTCCGAGCCACCTGTTCCGCGATTCCGCTGTTGCTCGGCGATGCGATGCGATCCCAGGCGAGGTAGTGCGTACACATTGTACGATGCTGTCTTGCCTTGGTGAGACTCGTCATCTTATAGAGATGACTCACCCAGATTGTAGGCGCACCAATTAATAATCAGACGGCTAGGAATGCTGGTATGAGTGTCTCAGACTTGTATCCCGTTTCTAGAATAACAGCATATCCGTGGATGTATACCGTGGTAAGCTACAGCATGTTTGAGACTTGCTTGCTGCTGTGGTGGTAGGTATAGCACATTCGTTCCGCAGGACCGTATGATTGATGCATAAGTACTTAGGTAATGACTCGAATACCTACCTACTTACTTCGCTTGACATGTAAGCAGACCGCTACGTTACCCTGAGTTGAGTACCCCGAGTACCTAGCCTTACGTGCGTGCCGGGCCTTTGATCCTTCTCCATACCTAGTCCAGTTCCAGTTGACAGCAAGCCTATACCGAGGCCCTGGGACGAAGCGAAGGGTTAATGTCAGACGTGCATTTCGTTCTGTATAGGTACGACTGAATGCTGACTCCTCAACCAGCTGTCTTCACGCAGGTCACATGAGTTGCGCAACATTGAGCCCGATCCAATCTAGATCACCTGTGTCTTTCTTATTCTCTCGCTGCTGTTGTTGGCTGGTCTCGGACGCGATCGGAATGCGACCAGTTTTGTAGTGCCTTATCCAAGGGACTGCTGGACCCCAACTCATCCGGGGATTTCCTGCCTTCTTTGGTTGTTTCGAGTTGGCGATACTCTCGTTGTTTCTTGACGAGCGAAAGATTGCTCGCTTGCTCCGGTAGTGAGAACAGTAATAGGGCTCCAATGAGTCCCTCTAGTCTCGAAATGCATGCCCCAAGGTAGGAATACGCATATGAGTATCTACATATAAACATACGGTAATGGGATGACGAAGCACCCGGCGGACTTGGAGGACGGTGTCCACCCCGGAGTTCACGTTTTACGGCGTATTGTATGCTGTGCCTTTCCAGAACGCCAGGTGTGGGCGCGTGTTTGCCGGAGGCTGGTCTTGGCAACAATTCCTATCATGCTATTTCGAGATAGAATACACGGCATATAGGAGTAAGTTGATCTTTTACCGAAAGGTCTCGCCAGTAGCTGCCTACCGGCCCGACTAGGATGCCATTCCTTAGGTCGATACCCGACGTATCTAGACTGAGTAGGTAGTTGTAGCTAGATATCGAATGGTTATAGTGTACGGTTAACTGAAACAGACAAGATCGCGTTATGACAATTCAGTGAGCCCATTTACTCGATCTTATCAGTGTGATGTTGCAGGGAGTATACGTGACTTCGAAAGAATTGGATAACTTCGTCCACGTCCAGATGTTTCTGTCTGTTGAGAGGTCTATACAGCAAGGTAGGGTGTATTCCCGATTATGTTCATGCTTATTCAGAAGAATTATATCCCCTTCTCCAATTCCTTCACGGGTGTACTGTTGTATCGATAGGCGGCCACACAAAGCTCACGCATGAACTAGAGACACACCCGGGCAGCGAACCGTCGAACACGGTAGCGTGGGACAAGCTGGGGGTGTTTGGTTCCCCCGTATGCCGTTTTGGCCAACCCGCAGCACCCCAGTCCTATATATCTTACCCGCGAGCCGATATATGCAAAGTAAGCAGCATTGCGAACATAGGCTTTTGCTGCTACCTTGGGCAATTCAGCACGAGCCAGCAGTGTCGGCCGGGAGGTGTGCGCAGGATGGCTGCTATGTAGGTACCTACAGTAGCAGGCAAGTACTTCGAATCCATCTGCTGACTGACCTATGACTTGTCCTTTTTCTCTGTGGTAGTATTCGGAGTGATGCCTCGGTACGAGGGAAAGGAACAGCAAAAAGAGGTCAGTCAGTCAGTCAGTTATGAAATCAAGCAATGCCAAGCAAGATACAGGACCTAAGTAGAGATGGAAAGCTTATGGACCCGGCTCCTCCTGTACGTTCGGAGCCGAAACGCAAGGATAACCCGAACAAGGCCGGGATTACCATATGAAGGATCTGTGCTTCGGCTCAAGAAGGAGAGAGAGGAATAGTAAAGAGGCCAGTGTTTTGAAGGGATGAACTAAAAGTCTTGTTGTTGTTGTTAGGATCATGTGTGGCGGAAGCCTGTCTCCTCCTGCGATGTCATGTACATTCAATAAAGTAGGTAAGTCTGTAGTAGGATCAGCTAACAGGTTAGGGTTGTTGTTCATTACACAAAGGCTTGTTGCATCGGCTTTGCTAAATCGAAGGAATCCTGATTGGCCCGGGAGTATCTCACTTAGCAGATAGCCGATGGAAAAGTTCCTATGGGTATAACGGTTAGTACCATACTAAATGTGTTATTTCCAAATACTGCGTATGGATCTTACTAGTAGCATGCAGATCCCGAGGCCGCGCTCTACATACCTACATAGTAGGTAGACCACGCATAACTCGACTTGGTAATCATTGCGGGCAATGGCTGGCTAGCGAAACAGTCTAAGCTCAGCTCGCTGCTCAGTGGTGTAGTGTACACTACCATCAAGGTAGTTCCCTGTGAGTTAGCTTCAACATTCCATCGTCGTGTCTCAACATCTGTTTAAACCCCCCCATCTTCTCTATATATACGCCAGCATAGATGTGGCTACGGAGTTCCTGTGTCGGATAGATGCTGCCGCTGTTGTAGTCGATCTGGATTTGCGTGGCGCTAATAACCTTAATTCCTCACTTGCCACGAATAGTTATACCCAAGTTTGGCATGAGATGGCGGGATAGACAGCAGCTGACTCACCTCCTTTGTGAGTTTGTCACGGCTCAAGGATCAAGGGGCTCCAACACCTGCCTAGTGTACTGGTAAAGTTTAGGCAGGTCAAGTGGTATCTGTCTACTCAGTTATGTCGCACTACTTTTTTACAACTCATTTCGTTTGACCGCACAAACGAGAGACATGTTTTGCGTCACGTTGGACCAAGCAGGTAATCAAGAGCTGTTAATCAATCTGATTGGCGATTCTCTTACCGCATATCCATACAATCCGCCATGTTCGCTTTTTCTACGCCGTTCTATGCGTAGTACATAGTATAATGTGATGCTATTACTGTCAAGAGTAGTAATATGGTAGGTACATTAGTGGCAAGGCTCGCTGAAATAAGATAGGCTTTCACGAAATGGGAACTTTATTCCGTGATATGTGTCATATGATAATATGTATATACATGTTTAGGTATTGTATGGCATCAACCAACAGTGTATTCTGACTCTCGCGAGACACTAGAGTACACCATACTTTTAAGATGGATACTGCGCAGGAACACAACCAGAATGTGCAACACCAGCATAATTTGGAAAATATCTACCACCGCAGTACGCATGCTTGAACTATAGCCGTGGAGGGATCGGCAAGTGGTTGATTACTAAAACTCATGTAACCGGAAGGCTACGGTATGTTAGTATGTCTCGCCGCCTCTGTGTATGCAACTCGGACCAACAGTACGATATCAGGTAGGTCGTACGGGTCACTTTGGGCAGGGAAGAGCTGAAGGGGATAGTTGAGCGCCGTTCGCTTCAGCGAGAGTGCAACCAGCATAAGACCGGAGAACCAGGGCCGGTGTCGTGCTCGCTGGTTGGGAGCATTAGAAGGAGTAGGTAAGGAGTGGTGACAACACCAATGCCCTGCCGGTGACCGTCGAAGAGGGGCTGGGAAAGGGGAAATGTCTACGTAATGCAAGGGTCCTGCGCTGATTGTTAGCTGCAACGGCTGATTCTACTACCACCAGCTACGCCGGTTTCGACCGTCGAACAGCGCCGCCCATGGGGAAGGAGATTATGCCGTTGGCTCAAGATATGGCGATTGTTGGTGATTAGACCCAACGCCGAGAGAGCTCCCCGTCCCGCGACGAGAAACCGGTTTTCCTCATCCGGACTACTGTGATGAAGGTTGGGCTGTGCACTTGGGCGTAGCTCGAGTTGCAACAGCTAATAGCCTATAGGATATGTCGTCGAGGAAATGAGAAATGAAACCATACAGCAATCAGAAACGAAAGACGGAGCATCCATCTGCCCATTTGTGGAGTGACGGAATGGCACCGAGGCACCCACTGTATAGCCTTAGTAATGTGCGCAGCCCCCGTTTCTATCTGGTCTGGTATAATGCGAATCTGATTGACAACGGCTGCGATCCTTCCCGAAGGGGAGGGGAGTGAATTAGTAGCATATGGTTATGTCAGTTGAGCCTCCAATGGATGAATAATGCATGAGAAAGCGTCGTACCAGCCCTTGTTCCCCCCCCGGTGGCTGCCAGGCCTCAGTGCCACAATGTTTGCTGGCCATTTCGATTTTCCTAACCTGCCCTGACCTCCTCTAACCTGCCGTAGACAATGATGTGTGGTACTTACTCTAGAGAACAACGTTCAAGGCTGCCTTCTTCCTCTTCTGTATCATATTTATGACATAGCTGCAACAAGGTTTTAGAAAATTCCTACGCTAGCCAATCAAGATAAGATGATTCAGCTGAAGCACTATTTCTTTTGTTTTCCGAACTTCCAAGTCGTCACAAGCTGGGAGCTCCTTACCTACTATATTACACTAGGTACTCTAGCAGCTGCCTGTCACCAAGTCTCGGCCCGCTTCGCATACCAATTACTTACTAAGCCAGGCAGACGACGGGGCTGCTAGGGATGTCGTCAGTACGGTGGCCCCAATGGAGCCGAAGGCCGTGACTCCTTTCGTCGAAAGATGCCCGGTGTTGGGTTGGTCAGGCTCTAGGCGAAGATGCCAGATGGAGAGGCTACACGACACTACTCGGCTACTTACTGTAGGCGCTGTCTTTCACGGCCGCCGATGTAATCTAACCAAAGGACCGGGGGCGACGGCTCTGGATCAGATCAAGCCACAACCGTAGGTACATGGCGTGCTGGGCATGTATGCTACCGTCACATGTAGTTACATCGCATGGTGCGCAGAGGAGTACTTGGTACGCACAGGGTATGGAGGGACTTTTGGCACGAGTCGCTGTAGCTGTGCACCACCGTACCTGGATAATTATTCATCGCTTCTGGCTGGGATATTGTCATGTTGGTGTAGTCTACTTTTGTACATAAGTACGCGCGCCAAGGTTATTTATAGGAAATGCAGCGTAAGTATTGCTGTAAGTAGAGCTCGCGTGTATTGGTTTCATATTTTATATTGCTGATATAGCTGATATGTAAGTATGTATGTAACCTCTTTTTCCTCTTCACTCTATCTCTCGTCAAGTTGTCATCATGGATGCCCGTGCCAGTAGCACTACTTACCTTTTCTCCACAATATGCTTGTCTCAGGCTGTTGATACCTAAGTATATTCAGTCGCTGACATTCTGCTTTCTACTTATGCAACTTACATAACAGAGGCTTATTTTTGGCGTAGATACCTACCTCCTTCAGCCCAGCAATGGCTGCATCGAGTGTCTCTCTTCAAAATATAGTAGCAGGTATCGCACACACTGTATTTCCCGAGATGGACCTGAAACGCAGCATTCATCAATTGCCGTTCTTAGTAACCCAGGTACCTATTGTTCGGTGATTGCCTAAGACGGTCTTTTCCCAATGCATACCGTGACTGAATAGGCTAAGTTAGTAAGCGGTCATGTTAGTATAACAACGGCCCGTCGAACTCTCAAACTCATATCCAGCGGAAATATATCCTTTACAACATGCCTTTATAACCTGCAACGCGGGACATATAAAGATTGAGTAGATACACACCTTATAAGCATATGTACATTACTCGTGTAACCTACCTAGATAGGTATGATACACGTTAAACAAACATCTGCATACATCACATTCATGTGTATATAATGTTGATTATTAACATGTGTGCCCGTTATATATACCTACTTAGATAAGCCTACCTGTATAGATACTTACTTATGTGCCTAGCCTGGAGGTATAGGAATCAAGTATACAATGTGTTAAATCTAGCTATCGAGCACATTGGAAGCCATTAGGTCCGTCCGAGATGTACACTGCAGTAGGACTTACCTGGGAATTGCTTGCTTCACGTTGGTACCCTCGGCACCTTAGGTAAGTAGGTACAACCTAAAGGTAAGTAAGGATACGACCTGTGTCGAACATGCAATAGGTACAAGCTTGTGGAAAATAACAGCAAGTTATATAATAGATACTACCTACTATTAGTTACCTACTTGCCTACATTAAGTGTGTCTGTAATAGGGGCCACCTGCTGTAAGCACCTCAAAGTTATTGTATACTATATATCTAAAGTTGAAAGTTATTGTACATAGGTGGGTATGTTGTGTTAGGTAACGTAGGTACATGACATTACTTACCTACATGCAACGTCATGATGCCTATAGTTCTATGTAGGTGCCTGCATGTACCTAGGTACATACCTGTAGATGGCGAGCGGCATTAATGGTTTTAAGTACTGATTTTACTGGAACAGATTGGAGGACACCGCTCGACCGCACCGCACATACTGGCACGGACGGTCTAATAATGTAATAACAATCAGTTGCTAGCCTTCAAATAGCGTTTCCTTTTTTCCCCATTCCCGTACCCATACTTAAAGTTACTGTAAGTACATGTGTGTGTGCTGACAAACACAACCACCCCCCGGTTTTATTGCTGGCGTCACGGAACTTGTGTGGGAAGAGGGGGGGGGGGTTGTCCATGTACCCCCGCGGCGCAGACAGGCTGTGCTGGTACTTGCTTTGCTTGCTTCCCTACTACGTAGGTACATACGCACCTAATCCACTGGCATCTTAGTGCTGGCCCGGTCGCATCTGTCCCACCATCTAGTGTATCGGACAAATCGGGCACCCACGCGACAGAACTCCTACACGCAGCCCGCAGCGCGAACAACTCCCACACCCCCCGGCTGCATGCTCTGGTGTGCACCCACGATGCCTTGATAGGACGCGCTTCATGTTTCCACAACGTGCACTATTGCTCTGCTTCTTGTCTCTGATATAGTTAGTCATCAGAGCTGGCTACCATCTCATCTCCCATCCAGCGTGTACGGGTAAATGGTCAGGCTATGTTGTCTCACGTAGTGTAGCGTATATACTACCTATGTAGTGTAGGGTTCGGTAGCGTACCAACAGTGAACTACCGGTAACCCTATGTAAGTACATTTAATACCTGTTAGATACAGCATTATAGGCATACATACTTACATGTAGGTAAGGTATAAGTATGTAGGTATAGCCTGCCGCTGTAGGTATAGGGAGGTCGGCAATACAATGTAGTACATCCATGGTAAGTAGATAGATACATACCGATGTAGGGAGGTGTGTAGGTAGGTACATATGTAGGTACGACGCGCACAGGCACTTTCTCCTATTCAACGCGCCCGCGATATACATGTTATAGTACATTATAGTGGATGTTATAAGTAGGCACGGAGTATATGTTAGGTTGGGAGGTACTTGGTAGCCAGGCAGGCACGGCGTACCTCCCAGTATTCGCGGTAGTGGGGGATCGACGACTCATGCGCTCTCTCGCCCGTCTCGTCCGGGTCCTTTCTCCCATCAAATTCTTTGCTGCTTCGGCGCATGCGCGGTCATACAACTTTCTTCAACTCCGTAGTATCCAACTCAGCATCATCGACCATCGCCTCTGCAACTTTTACAAAAGTAACATTAGCCAGCCAGCCCTGTTGGTTGCTTATCATATCATCGCCCTGCACATCCCCCGGCCCGCATTGGCGTCCACCGAGCGACAAGTGACGCGCCGTTCGAGACGAGACGAGACAGGCGACGTTGGCTTCTGTCAGCCATCGGCAGATTTGACCTTTGACAGGCTTGACAACCTCTCTCTACATGTTATTTTTTTTTTTTTCTCTTCCACATCCCCTGACTGCCAAAACCAAAACCCAGCTGGATACCCACCGGGGCACTCTTGGCCCAACTCTGGTCTACTGTCCGTCCGCCTGTGCCTTGGGTAGGTACTGACTACGCAGCATTTCCGGACAGCTAGGGGTCGCGAACGGGCTTACTGTCTTCTATTTCCGACGTCCGTACATGAGTACTAAACTTCGCTGGTCGTGCCGAAGTGCGCCATCACCTACTACTTCTACTGCCATCACCGTGATTTCGTGGATGCTGGTACATGCATAACACTCCCACGTACATACATACCTATAACTAAGACCCCATTACATGTACAGAGTAGCTCCCTTGTCGATCCCTACAGGTCACCCCATTGCAAGGCCATTCGGTGCGGAAGACCCATTCAGTGGTGCCCACCAAGAGATCTGCCAGATATTCAGGGTCTGAAGTTCTTCCACGACGCATTACCGCCATCGACAATCACTAGAACCCATTCTGTGTCTTTTATACAGGCAGTGTCCCCAGCGGCTGCGACTTACGCACGTACTTAGTACCTACGGCTGAGCCTTTGTCTTTAAGGTATATTGCGCCTTGCTTCCCCCAGTCCTTACCTGTCGCGTTTGAGCACCGTCTCGCTGTTCCTGTTGTTCTGCCCCGTCTTCTCACGGTACAACTATAATCATTGGGTACATCACCACAGGCAGGTAATGGTGCCCTCCACTTGCACGAAACACGTACCTACAGAGGTAGTCTACTCGAAGCGCGGCCAGCGGAAACCCCAAGCTCACCACTTGCTCGCACTCCCCAACTTAAGTAACCGGAGCTAACGGAATTCCTAGATAGACGACACTGCATATTTGACTGTACCTTGTTATCCTCCTGTATTGGCATTGTTCGCACGGCTCGACGGAGTGTCGTGAACCTTTATTCGGGGTTTTTTCCCACTTGCTTTATGCTGAGTCGGAGACATTGATATGCGGAATACCACTAGATCACTTGGTATGTTGTATACTTTCTAGCTTATCGGATCTCCTCCAATTCCTTTGTACCATTACGTATCTATTCCCCGATCCCATCGCGACTGAGTAAACCCAGTAAACCCACTTCCACAATGCACAATAGCCACACGCCCCCTTCGGATATGCGCGCCCTCCCTCCACTTTACCTCTCTTCCCCTGTTCATACCGTTTAATCCCTCCCCGGCTGGCTTGCACTAGTGCTCCATTACATTAATCATATCTGCCTCGACATGTACTCAGCACCAAGCTCTGGAAGCTCTGTTGGCGTAAACAGTGTTTAAGCGTGTTGGAGAATGCGCTCCATTAATATCCCATCTATCTGCCCATCTGGATGATTCCCTTTTTGTTTGCGATGAACCTTCTTTTATTTGGGCCGAAAAGGATCACATGCTTACGGACCTCTACCTGCGGGTTTATCTGTCCGTTTTCTTGATTTGATATGCAGAAGGATAGGAAGATCGAACAAAACGAGAATTCCTCTTCAAGTTGACTTTTTTTGCAAGCTGACTCGTCGTCCGGTTTTACCATAGAAACCTCGGAAGATACAGGTCACTACAGTCAACCGAATTCTCAGACCAACACAGCTTCCCCTGACGCTGGCCGGGCTGTTATACCACATCCCGTGCCACCGCCGTCTCAGCCTCATGGCTACGGTGATTCCGGGCTAGATACACAACCGCAGCTTCATCCACATCTCATATCATCATCATCATCAGCTCTAGCATCGGATATGATGCAAAGAGGGAACTCAGCAGCGCCCGAAGAACTGGGTCCTGTTTCGGGATCGCCAAATGTAGCTGCTATGGCTGCGCAGGGCATAATAGGGCACGATCCTGACGAAGCGATCACAGATGGACGAAAGGCGAAGCGGGAGTTGTCGCAGTCAAAGCGAGCCGCTCAGAACAGGGCTGCGCAGGTACGGATTTATCCCCACTGTCATCGTGCTCAGCCATTTCTCGGCGCTTCGTTGCACGTTATAAAAGGCACATGGTCAGAAATGTCTAGGCTAACATGTTAGAAGCGAGCGTTTCGACAAAGGAAAGAGCATTACATTAAAAAGCTCGAACAGCAGGTACGGGAACTGAATGAATTGGAAGCAACATGCAAGGCCGTGCAGAACGATAACTACCACCTCCGCGAGTATATAATTCAACTACAATCTCGCCTTTTGGATCTCCAGGTGGAATACCCACAGCCTCCACCCAATGTGAACGTCGCTCCCCCGCCTTCGTCAGGTACCGGAAGGCAGCCACACAACGGTGCCCCGGCCGAGCCAGCATCAAATACCACTTCTGCTGGAACCCTGGCAGATGTTGCAGCAGCTGTAGCTGGCCTGCGGGCCCGAGAACCGCCGATAGTTGAAGGGAACCACGCAAGACCGACGTTTAAGAGCGAAAATGCTGCCCCCTCACACCCTAACGATGAAATTCGAAGACAGCTTCAAGCAGATGGGTTGCCATCGCCCTCTTCATTACGGACCTAGCGTGGACAAACAGAAGCGGAACCTGCATGGAACCTTTCCTCCCCCGATGACTCTAATTAATCTTAGGAGAGACCAAGCTAAGTCAAGAAGAGGAGTACGAGTTGTCCCAATTTAAAGACGCACTGTATAGCGCAGTCCCCGCAGATAGGGGAATGCAAAAGTAGCTGTCATGGGATGAATATAGACAGAATAAAGAGGACTAAGGGGAAGGTGGTTCATGAAGGATCCAGTCTTCACCACGGCATTACTGATTTCTGGCATCACCATGCGGGATGCCAACACTATTAACTTCCTTTTTTGCCTTTTCTTGAGACTTTTGCAATTGTTCTGGCGTTACTGTCTGGCATCATATCCCCAAGGATTACCCGGTAATAGGGTAGTCATCCAGCAAGAGTTATGTAATCACAAATACCTCTAAGACTTGTATTCGGCGTTCAAACAAGATGCGCATCGGGGGTGCTAGGGTTGCGAGGTGGTCGGGAAAGCGACTCCCCCCAGTGGCTGTATTAGTGGTGTTCATGTAAAGTCCCTAGCTTTTCTTAGATCGGCCTCGGATTCATGTATATACTAGCTGGAGCATGCGCTACTCCGTACATCGTAAATGACGCCTTTCAAGATTATGTCAGCGTTGATCGCGGAACTTTTTTTTTTTTTTTTTTTTTTTTTGCTTCTTCTTATACCCTCTTCTCTTTTCTGTTTCCAATTGTGACTAGCCTCGGGTTAGTGTAGGGCTAGTCGCATAATGTTCTTTTAGCTTCTTGTCTTGGTACAATGTATACTCGAGTTGCGCACCTTTGCTCAAGTTATCTACCTACCTACATACCTACCTAGGTACGTGGGGATATGTAGCTGTCGAGTGCATTACGTACGTAAGTATGTATGTAATGTAATGTATGTAATGTAGTGTCGTTGTTTTTTCGGCTCGCATTCTCGGGATTTGGGATAGTTATTGCGAAATGTGATTGGGCGCGAACTAATCTACCTAGCTACCTAATTAATAGTATACTGATTACGAAATAGCCAAGTCGTTACACTCATCTCATAGCCTATCCCTATCTGCGCATGTGAATACTGTCTTACTTACACTGACAGTAGGCTTTTCTTATTCTCTTCTTTCTATTTGTTCTAGTTAGTAGCCTTGATAGTATTATTTTATCTTCTCTGTTTTCTTTGCATCGTCTTACTAATACTAATACTACATCGTGAAGCTAGTGTGATCTGCTGCTTTTTTTTCTTTCCTTTCGTTATTTCTTTCTCCTCGGGGTTCGTCTAGTAAGAAAAAGGAAAAAAACAAACCTCACACCCTCTCTTTCCTAAAAAGGAAAATGGTCACGACAATGTAAAAAAAAAAATTAGCTAAATAATACAACGCCCATCATATCATTGTATAAAGTCCTACTGCGCCTGCCAAGTTTTTTATTCCCCGAAGACTGCGTGTCCGAAAGCTTTTTTTCTGTCGGTGTGATGAAAGAAGAGAAAAGAATTGTTTCCTCGCTCGTTTCATTCATTATGGGTACGAATTGCCCATGTCATGTTCCTAGAAGTGGAGAGAAAGAAGATGCGGTCAGTGCGGATGTCGCGCGCAGCGCTGAATTATGTGGAAATCGGGAAATATGCAGCGATGAGGTTAAGACATTTTGTGCAGCCGTGGTGTAACCACCATGAGTAATAAGATGGGATCGCCGAACGAATCTATAGGAACAATAGACGGGGTCCCACCCGTATTTCGTAACGCCGGTAGTGGGCTTGGGGTCCGGGAAAGGGAAAGGAAGGGAGGGGAGGGGGCGTGTCATAGGTAAACCGTCTAAAAGACCGCGCTTTAGGGCCAGCACTATATCGGGCCAAGGGGTAGGGCTCGCATGGTAGGGATTTTACTAAGCAATTCGCGCCAAGGGCCCCGAGTCCCGACGGCTAGGGGAGGAATGAAAGACTGCTGACGCATCATAGCGCGGGAGACAAGCGGAGAGTGCTGGGCGGAACGGAGGGTCATCATTTACTTACTTTGAGATAGTCCTGTCCTTTCTCCTGATACTCGGCCTTGGTGACTGTGGCTGATTTCCACGCCGCCGTCCCAACCCACTGTGCAGCGCCTCGCCATGCGTCTAGCAATGCGTCTTTAGCTCTTCGGATTTGCAAAGGTGAGTCGGCTGGTAGAAGGGGTGTAAGGTCTTGCCGTAGCCGGTAGTCAAAGTTCTCGTAGAGTGTGTTCCCGCCAGTCAAGAAAATGTCGCGGAGGAAGTCGTCTCGATTGACTCCAGTCAACCCAACTAGCCTTTGATTAAGAATGTCTCCAATCAGCTCGACGAGACCAGCCTGGTCGACGCCTGCTATTGATGGTTGGAACACAACTTCGGGAACCCTTATACGCTCAACATTGAGATGTATCTGGTGAATTTCGGCCTGCGAGCCGGCGTTGAAAGGTCGCGGCCCACGCATGAAAGCATGTAGCATACTCTTGTTCCAGTCGTTCTGCGCCGCCCAGGTATGTTCATGCGTAAAGTTCGGATCGTATCGAAGTAACTCTTCCTCGAGCGTGTTGAGAGTGGTACCAAGATCCTCCTCGCCCTCCTCATCATCGCTGCCTTCACCGACTGCTATCTGTCGATATACACCCCAATCGTCATCATTAGCACCGAAATTGTCGTCGTCGCCCCCACGCCGACGCTTACCCCTTGGGTTATCCGAAGCGAGGTTTGCGATTGATTTCATACGCATCTGGGAAGCCAGCGACTTACGATTCCCAAGGTCAGCCTTGAGTCGCTCTCGCTCCTTGATTTTCTGCAAAGTGTTTTCTCGAGCTATCCGCTTCTCTTCTAGCCAAGCTTCCAAGTTGTTTTCCCGGCGCTCTCGATCCAATCGCTCTTCTTCAGCTACTCTCGCCTTTTCAGCCTCTTTTTCAGCCTTTGCACGAGCCCGTGCATCGTGGTTTGACTTCAAAAGTCGTTGATGTCTTTTGGCCTTTAGGCCTGCTTCATCTAGCTCCTCATCGGGAACTTCAAGCAAGCTGAAGTCGGGAGCCTCTTGTTCTTCTTCGGGATCTCCACCAACGTCTTTGGTCCTGGCACGTTTGATCGATTTCTCGAGTTCTTTGATGGTGCGCTCGAGTTGCGCCTCATCCTTCATCTCCTCTGCATCAAGTAGGCGTTTTGTCTCCTTCTTGTTTGCATCTGAAAGCTTCTCTGCCAGGTTCTTATAATACTCAAGCTCCTGCTCTTTTCGCATCAGCTTCTCTAAGCGCATCTTGGCTGCCTGTTCCTGTAATCGCCGGCCGCTCTCCTTCTTGCGCTCCGCTACCCGTGCTAGTTCCTCCGCGCTTTTCTGGACGACGACCTCTTCCGTGAATGGATACTGAATAACCACATCCCGGTCTTCTAATCCCGTCCAGTCTAGATATGACCGCAACTCGTCGTTATAATCTTTTGACACATAACAGTGATCGCGCACCATATTCTCAGCCTGCGAAGCATTAAGCTTGCCGGGGAAGGCTGGATATTTCAGTCGAATTAGCTTTAAGAGATACTCTGAAGCATGCCATCCACCCCAGTTCAGGCGAATGGCCTGAGCTAGCATGGCCTTAGAATTGTAGACGGGTATGACATGCGTCGAGCTGTACGAAGATGACACGACCAAGCCAGTCCGTCCTTTGTTATACCGATATGAAAACAGAGAATCAATTCCGGTGGCGAGAGATGGTGCACCGTAGCATTCAAATATTATCTCGTTCATGGCTATTCATAGAGAATTAGTGTTTGGGGGCAATAGTATAGGTAATAGCTAAATACGTACACTTCCGCGAATATGGTAGATTTGCGACAGCTTCGGTCATGACAATAGGCAAGTCGATAGAGCCCTCGCCATTATTCATGCCAAGCTTCAAAAAGGTCCAGTCTAGAACGTGCTCCTCGACATCCCAATTTGTGACTATACCTGTTCCTAACTCGAAGGCGTTTCGAATGTGTCCTTTGGCATTAGTGTCGGCATAGCAATCATATCCGGCAAACGAATATGTCTTTCCCAGTTTCCGGTCTCTGTATTTCGCCATAATCGGTGGTATGCTGAATCGGGGAGCGGCTTCGAAGGACCAACCAGCTCGGACGGCGGACGAACCTAGCACGTGGGTTCTAATTAGATTCGCTCTAACGCAGCAGTAGAAAGGGTGAGGCAAACCGTTATCAATGACTATGGCGGCCGATCCGGCTGGCTGTGCAAGGGCCTTCTCTCTTCCATCGGGCTGAGGAGCGACAAACTTCTCGAACTTGGTCTCCTTGACGTTGAAGATGCGTGCGGGTGGATAAGTTTTCTCCTCTCGCACGGGCAGAGGAGCCATTGGAGTATCGACGGCAGAGGGCGCCATAGCGACGGCTTGCGATGTCGGTGGCGTTACGTTGAAGAAGGCGATGTCGAAGAGGCAGGGGGTAGAGATTGATCTTGGCGAGATGTGCGACGGACGTGGGCAGGCTGTCTTGAAATGCCCAGGTGATTGTACCCGATCCTACCTACGATAGATATTTAGCTACCTATCCTTAGGGTTGAATGGCATTTCATGTTTGACTCCGTGGGTAGGCCCGAGCGTGATCCAATTCAATTGTTGCAAGCTTTTCAAAATGTATTCTGGTGGCTAATGTATTGAAGGCCTGAACTGTCGTTAACCTTCCTCCGCCCCATCCCATTCAGCGGTAGCGAAGGCAAGGCTGACAGGTTGACACTGACAAGCGCGTGCGCGGGCGCGCGGTCTGTACTGCAAGCCTGCCTGCAAAAGCACCGGCGGCATCATTTTGCAGGGTATCGAAAGTGGAGTTGCGGGTCTTGGAGATACCTACGTCCCTAATACCTAGCTATTCTCAGCACTGTTACCTACGTAGTATAACCACACTCCCTACCTACTATAACTTGGTCACAGATTATACCTAAGAGTCACATTTGTTACCAGATCCCGGGCCAACTCTGAACATCCAAGTACAATACCCAAATATACGTGGTTGGTTAAGGTCATTTATTCATTCGTAATACTGCCTACCTATGCACTCTCGCATCCCTAGCATCCATCTACCGGGTTACTCGACTGCATAGCAAGTGGTCGCTATTCCTCTGCAGAAGCTGCGAGCCCCTAGGCATACTCCCAGAATCATCAAGTCGAGTGGCTAAGAGCTTTGCATTTCGTCCCTACAATAACCGACCATTGTTCATGAAGGTTCCTTTAGATTATCCGTGGCTATGGTCGAGAAAGTTAGAGAGACTGTTGACTGGCGCAAAGGGATATAGTTGAACACTCACCTTCAAGATGGAACAAGACGTTGGATTGGTAATTCTTGAACATCTGTGCCACCAGCCCAATGTTGATGTTCTGGACATTGATGTCCTTTTGGACCGCAACAATTAGCATGGGCATTCATTCATATTCATGTTAGCTTTAGATCCTTTCTCTTACTTGCAGACTTTTATTCATCACCACAATAGCCTCGTTGAGTTTCTCCTAAGAATTGTAAGCTTTAGACATCTTGACGCTATCGCGGAGTTCTGTTGCAAGGTCCACTTACAACATTGGTGATGATACGCGACAAGAGGAGGTTCTGCTGATGCTCGTGCGGGCTTTCCTACAAAATGGTGTTAGATATCCGTGTCATTGGTTGAGTCGTATAGAATGCTCACCATCTTGTGGCTTCTGTCAAAAGGAATTTTCTGATGAGAGACCTTTGTTTATGATTTCAATAAATAAACGTCAATCTGCTCATGAGCATTGAGTCTGGGGCTGGATCGTAATGGGCGAGATGGGCATGTACCTCTCTGCCATTAAATACCTAAGCTACAGCAATTGCCTAGGGTAATGGAAGGTATCCCTTGAATGTAGATACCTGTGACACACACGAGCGGTGAGGCTCGGCAGAATTGGTAGCTGTCGCGACTGGGCGACGGCAACAACCAGAGGATCAAGAGCCATTAGAAGTTCAACCTTGTCTTGCATTCCTACTACTTTCAATTTAAGCGTCCTTGTTACAAAGCTATACCAACCTCAAAATACCTCATCTTCAGACATCATCACAATAGTCAAACATTACGCAGTTCCAAGATGTCTGCACCTACAGAAGCTCAGATAGCACATCAGGCGCTCATAGATGAGCTTGATATTCATTCCATCCATAAGAGCTACCGCAACGCGCACTGGCGGCCCAACCAACGTCGCAACAAGAATATCAAGACCATCATCGGCGACGCTTCTCGCAAAGAAGCATCTATGGCTGTGACACCACAGGACAACAGCGGCACCGCCACCCCAATGCAGATCGATGAGAATGGGCTGTCTACAAGTGGTACATCTACACCCACGCAGTCCGCCAACGGCTCCAACCTGCAACCTAATCTAGCACAAGCGTCACGGAGTCTGTCGAAGCTGGTGCTAGAAAAGAGTTTGCGACCAAATGCCAGTGGCGCAAACTCGACAGCACCAACTGTTACGTACACCAACATCGAATCAGCGCCGTCACTCGCACACACCAGGCGGTATTGCGATATCACAGGTCTCCCGGCACCCTATCTAGACCCCAAGAGTAGACTACGATATCATGACAAAGAGGTATTCGGCTTTATCCGCAGTTTACCTCATGGCTCAGCGGAATTCTACTTGGAGGCTCGCGGCGCGCACACTGTCCTCAAATGAAGCAACCTTCTCCGAAATCTGGATTTTGCAGCAAAATTGCAAGCGTTTCTGTTAACACATGATATTGTACTACTGCGTCTATTATTGTAAAACCATGACTAGCTTAATTTGGTACCGTGGCATATGACTGCTGGTACAATTCCCGAGGTGAATTGGTCAATAACATCGAGGAGGCCTCGGTGGGAAAATGTTCGACCAACAAAGTCAAGCCTATCCTACGCACCAATCGCCTTTCAGCGACTGGATGACAGGCATACGCTCCGGCTTAATCGTGATCAGGAAAAATATTTGTTCTCTGCCTGTAACTGACGGATACCGAGAGCGAATGGGAGAGTCGCTCTCAGTGACCCAAGCTTTTGATCGCTTAGGACGCCGCGGCAGTGATATGAGAAGGGATGGACAAGTGAGAATGTGTTGTCGTTTGTAAATAGAAGGGCGTTGCATCTACGTAGCCTACCTAGGTATTCCAATCCAACTGGGCTGCTCACGAATTTCAGCAGCACATCCCGATCAGCATTCTTGAAGGTTTTGTAGTCAAGGTAGACTCTGACCATGGACACCTTATGCGCATGTAATGAAAAGTTTGACGATCTGGCAGATATTCGCGATTCCAAATTGCCATCTTGAATATTATGAAGATCAAAAGGAAGAAACTTAGTCGAGACTTAACAGGTGAAGAAAAATGTGTCCAATGTTCGTAGGTAGGTAGAGTGGGTTTTTTTTGCAGGCCTATCAGTGGCCCAAACCTAAAGCGGCTCTCTATCTGTGGCGCGCGCCGAGCCACTACCGACCCGTGTCCATAGGTACTGATAGGCAGGCACATGATATCTACAACAGAAGTTGACTATAACTACTTAATTATCTGTTTTACATCAGAAATTCGACCACAATTCACAATCTTACGCAAAAGGACGCAGCAGGAACTTGTATACGATAGCGATACAACTATATATCAAAATCGAATTGTCTCCGGAGTCGAAGACAGAGGATTTCGCCACTTCAGCCCTTTCTTGAGCTGCTCTCTAAGTCCGTCGCAACAAGACACCTAGATCAGATACCGAGGGATTCGCATAGCAAGATGCCAACGATGTGGTTATCGGATAATCAAAGTAAGAAATCAAACCGCAAGATTCACACGGGAGGAAGATGCGCAAAGTTTATTCGTCATCAGGAAGATGGGCAGTCAAACGAGGGGACAAAACAGCTAACATCCTTCGTCACTAGAGATCGGCGTCGTCTTCTGTTCAGGCGGTAGGTACGCTTCGCACTCCAGTGCTTTCTGCGAAAGGGGCAGGTAGGAAGAGAAGACAGAGAGCTGAACTGTTCGGCTTCATAGGAGGCTTCTTCCTGATCGGTGGTGTTCTGTTATTCTTTGATCGGGCCATGTGAGTTCCCTCTTCCGTTCCTTCTCTCCCCCATGCGCCATGTAGGATGAAAACTAATAGTTGCGTTTGGACAGGCTGGCGATGGGCAATGTACGTTTTCTCATACCCTACCTACCTTCATGATTCTCATCCACCGAGGCGATGGCATATAACCCACCCGCGCAATCGCAACACACCTCCCCCTTCCCGCGACTCACATAAGGCATCTTCTAACAATAGCCCTCCCTCCCAACAGATCCTCTTCCTCATCGGCCTAACGATCATAATCGGACCGCAAAAGACCCTCCTATTCTTCGCGCGACGCCAAAAGGCCAAGGGCACAGCCGCCTTCTTCGCAGGTCTGCTGCTGATCCTGATGCGCTGGCCCTTAATCGGGTTCCTCGTCGAGCTATACGGCATAGTGATTCTCTTCGGCGACTTCCTGGGCACGATTGCCGGCTTTGCGCGCAACATACCCATCGTAGGCCCTTATATCGGCCTACTGGTCGATCGCATCGGGCTAGGCCGGAGGAATGCCGAGCTGCCTGTCTAGAGTCGCACACAGATAGACAGACAGAACTGCTTGCTAGACAAATCATGCAGGAATGTTGCTATCTAGGTAAAACAAAAAGAAGAACGGCTTTACCGCACCGGGGAATTCGAGACGACCCCCTTATGGGGGCATGGTTTCCCCCATCTTACCTTGAAACAACGCCAATATGCTGAGATGACCAATACATGGTCGGGGCGTAATACGGGCTAACGATACAGTTGAGGCCAAACAGAGGCGTTTAGGGAGTTTACTAATGGGCAATGTATAATAGCTTGCCACTAATAAGACGTAGTGTATAGAAGGCAGGGCACGATGACGTGGAGCTGGGACAACGGAATATACCCATGGCAGGCAGGGAAACAAGTAAGGGATGGGACTTTGTTGTTTCTGTTTCATGGAAGAAGAAAAAAAGAAGGGGGGAGGGCCCTCCTGTTTATTTGCCTATGCAGAATTCCAGCGCGGATCCAGAGGGGGTGGGTGTATATATGGTTTTTTTTTTTTTTTAGAGAGAACCTGGTTTCAAAGAAGCAAACTTCGAGGATGGATCACTTCATCACTGCGTCACACACACACACACACACACATACGCAGACACACAGAAACAGAAAGAAGCTTCTTGTATCAAAGATCCCAACAACCATTCTGTCCCGAGAGAGAAAAAAAATCTTGTCCCGTTAATAGCATGCGTCCTGCCCTACGTGGCCTTTGTGCCACCAACGGGGGTATCGTCGACCCATACGCTCTTTCTTCCTTCCCTGCCCAGGGGGGGCTTTCCCTCTAGCGCTCACGCTCCCCGTCTTTTAGTATCCGGCCTTGATCAAGTAATCGGCGAGGGCCTCTGTGGTTGAGCTCGCGTTTCCAGCAACTTGCGTCTCGCTGTGGTGGGCGATTATGAAGGCCGCCTTCGTCGCGGTGATGCAGATTCCTGCTCGGCCCTATAAAGCGAGTTTCGTAAAAGTCAGATCAGCGAAAACAAAAAGCGACTATTTCTATATTCTGTAATTCGGGGATTGAAATAGTTCAGAAAAGGGGGGTGAGGGGTTCACGGACTTGTCGGGCGTAGATGGATCGACCGTCAACTCGGGCTACGACGTAGCGTTCGCTTCCTACGTGGATACCCTCCGCCTGGGCCTTTTCGACGGGCCCTTGGTCGCCCTTCTCGTTGGCCGAGGCCGCTAGGATCTTGACGATGTTCTGGAGCTCAGCGGAGTTGGGCTGTTGAGTTGTGTTACATGTTGGTTAGCCCTTGTTTGTTCAAAGCGATTTGGGGAGGCAATTTCCAGGGCCAAGAGTCGGTGGGCATTTTCTTTCCAACGCTATCATTCAATAGCGAAAGTCATGAGAGCGTACCTGGAATCCGGACGAGGCCGCCCAGATGCTGTCACCTGCGGCGCTGACGATGGCGGCCTTGTCGATGTGACCGCTGCCGACAAGGCTGTTCTCTCTCGATTAGTCTACGATTCCTGTGGCGAGGCGGTCGTTTACATGGGCGCCATTGATCAGATTCGTACCTGGAGTCGATGTATTCTGTAGGCGTGTTAGGCGTGTTCCAAGAAATTAGTAGTTTGAGTCAACCCCTCCAGAAGAGCTTAATAAGGGCGGGGTTTCTCGGTGTAAGGGGGACTGGGGGGAGAGCTCCTACGTTGCCAAGACATGGTTCTGGTTGTGATATAGGATTTGTGAGCAGGTGATGGAGGACTGCTGCAAAGGTAAAGCACGGGATAGGAGTGATTGAGAAGGAATTTCGACTGGTATCTAGAGGTGGGAAGGTCGGTAGGTAGGTTAGTAGGTACGAGTTGGGCGGAGGTTTGCTGATGGTGTCAGTGGAGGTTTATACAAAGGGGGGGCATTTTAATGCTGCTAAGGTAGGCGATGAGGGGCTATTTTCGGGGTGGGCAAAGTGCCTGAAGTGGGCAGTGGGCATTGCAGCACAGTAGCCTGGAAGTAGGGTAGGCTCAGTAATGAATGGCCTAGCAGCAGCAACGCAAATGGCCAACTTAGGTAGACAATGACATTTTCTTGGTCAACCCCGCAACGCCGAACAAAAAAATACACGTGTAAAAAAATAGTATATCTATCATCTCCGAATCAATAGGTATACACCGTCTCTCACTCCGATCGTTGCCCGTAGATTCAGTCTCCTGCTGCTGGTTGAGCTATCATACCAATACCTACCTGTCTACCTACTGTAGGCGACGTCAAGTGGATATCCATTTAGATGGCAAGTGTGAAGAAGCCTAGATATATCGTTACACTTGTCAAATCTTCTATGTTTAGATTCGACAAACTCCCTACTATGTATACCTAGGTAGTGCTCCTACCAAGATTAAACCTCTTCTCAGTATTAACACTCTACTAGCCTAGGTTAGGTACGGTAGTTATAGCATTGATTCTAAGTATACTTGAGCTCCTCGATTGCATGGAGAGTCCACAGATACCATGTAAGCATTTATAAACACTAAGTTAAGTGCATACCTAACCTTTAATTGCATCGGTATATACCTATTGTTAGCCTCTTGACAGCCTTCGGGAGATGTTCTATTATTCAAGAAAGTGAATGAATACCCAATGGCAGTGGATCTTCAGCTAGTGCAGATGGGCCAAGCAGCGATGCTATGTCATACATATACCGTGTAGACAGCTGCTAGCGGAAGATGGGAGACTTCGCGTTCGGGTAGGTAGATCCATCAAGATATACTGCATACTACCGGTATGTAGACTAGATACTCTCCGCAATACGTATATCTGACATACTGTACAGATGCTGAGGTTTCATGTACCCCGATCCTCCCGTCGATCACGCTCGAGGGCAATATGTACCTAAAGACGAACATAAATATAGAAAATTTAATTTGCGCTGAGTTACGATCCCCTTTCAACTTCCATCAAATTTGTTGGCAAAGCCGGTGAAAGTCTTCTCCGGAAGACATTCATGGGGGGTGTTAGTAATGGCGGAGATGATTTACCGTAGAGCCAAGACTTCGACGAACTGTTTTCATAGGCTTTTTCTAACACGTGCAAAAGCAAACTAGGTGATCAAGAGTTCCCGTGCTCATTACATCTAGATATCGTGAAGACCAACGATGCAATACAACGGTCAGCAGCCCCAAGAGATAGACTACAAGATTAAACCAATGATTTAACCGTTCGAATCGACAGAGATCCGAGTCGGATCGCCTCAGCATCTCTCCCGACGCCGCACATCAACGCCCCCTGGTTACGAGACGAACTACAAGACACGACGATCAAAGGTGTGGCGGCTGACATGATGATATTTTCTTAAACTACGTATGTGTGTGCCTGAAGCCTATATTTACGAGTATAATTCAGTTACGGGCTGTTGAAAGTGCCTCTCAACCTACGAAGTACAACTGAGCCCGGTACACTCTGTAAAGAGTCGATGGTTACTATATGTACTTACCTAGGTAAGTATGTAAACAACAAACGGAGCGGGTCGGGGCGGAGAATGCGGAAGCCAGAAGTCAGTTTAATGTGTCCCGCCGTTATCCCATTCGAGTAACTCTACCCCTAGAGGTAGTTAGTTTCATTGGTGAATTCTCCAGTTCGGCACTTCTGAAACCTGATCAGATCCAAACTTGGCCAAAAAGGGACCCTGAAACCCTCGGCATCCCTTGCAACTCTCTCGTTCTCAGCACCATTCGTTATAAGAGTCTGACCATTGCTTAGGACCAACCCCGGACAATGGTGTATAATCTCCAGATGTCACCAGTCAATCGCACTAATCTGCCCGGGGCTGAGGGTTATTTTGATTAAAGTCCCACTGCAGACATCAGCTATCGACCGACCGGAGATGGAGAGGGCTTGATGCAAGCGCCGTTTTGTTTTCCAGAAGGAACCCGACAGGATAGGTCCCTTTTCCTCGTAATCAGTCATCGAAAGGAAACGGCCATAAGTAAACACATGAGCAAACGAACCAACGATTGTGTAAGTTCTTCAGAGATTCCACAAGCCATCGCAGGGAAGTAAGTAGGTAGGCTTTACATGGCCTCAACAATGGAGGGTTAAGAGCCAGAGCGGACGTTGCCGGGTGACACCAATGAAACGACCTTCACTGTTTCTGGAAGCCTTTTGCAGCTTGCTCCCATTGAGCCTGTTCGGGTTGTGGATCCTCAGTTCATGCAGTTGCAGTATACTTGCTGCTCTTAAGGGAGGCTGTCGAGACTACCGGCGTCGTCAAATGCACGCAACCGCTGCCCAGTGCCCATTGCGCCCATATGTCCTGTAAAATCCCCCCTCAACACGAGCGTAGTAGGCAGATCCACGATTCCCGACACTCCTTGTGAGCCAACCAATACGAAGATGCTAAGCTAGTGCGTTGATTAGACGCTGGGCAGGTGTGCCTGCCGACGGAACATGGACATGGAACAAGGGGTCGCCTTGCTCCTCAGCACAACATACGTTACGTTGCGGACTATCCTTGCTGGCCGTTTGGTGATCCTCTTTTTTACGCCGCCTATTAATCTCAAACAGCTGGCTCCACGCACATTTCACGCAAGACGTCCTGGTCAGCCTGAGCAAAGTAGCGGGCGAGTTGTCCATCTGAACTCTGGGTGCGGGTAGTCATCCTATGTACCTACCGGAGTACGCAAGGGAGAACAAGTCAAATGAATATAACCATTACCGTCCCTCACAAGGCAGAAGGTTAAAGCCAAGCCGCTTGCCTTTGAGTTCTCGATGTTATCTCCAACTCTGCTGACCGCTCGTGAAAAACTGACCTTTACACCACCGTTGTCTCACCATTCAACCCATTCTCGTAACCCCCAAGAATCAGTGCAGTCCTAGCAAGAGTTCCAAGGCAAGGCTAACAGCGGAGGATGCACAAATTGGTTAGTCGCTCCCGGTCCCTCATGGAGGGCAAGGGGGGACGTCGACATGCAGGTACGAAAGCACCAGTAGCATTGGCCCCAGACGAACCCCTTCATGGTGGGCCAGAGAGTGTATCAAACACGACCCTACACGTACCACTTTATAACTACTATGCAACTCCCGTCGACAGTTTGAATGAAGTAGACCAGTATGCCCGTCGTCCTCTTCCCGCCACACCGCCATCGATAGCTAAGATGGCGGATCGGCCAAGCACGTCTGGTGGTTCAGCTTCGAGGAAGTCGGTCAAAATTGACTTCAAGTTTGACAAGAGAGTGTCAAGGGATGACTTTTATCTTGGCTCGAGAGTCTACAGAGAATCACGCGCCGAGCCTGTCCCTCGCCCTTGGGATGAGCTGCTCACCCCAGATGCGAGTCCCAAGACCAAATTTGTACCGAAATTCGCCCCGAGAACGAATCTGACAGTTAATGCATCAGTGGAAGTGCTCAATGGCGGCATTGGCATGGCCTTAGGAAGTCCTTCACATACACGGAATTTTTCAGATCCGTGGAATACACCTAACTCCGCACGACCTAGGCAAGACTCACATCCAATTGCGACACCTCCAGAATCTCGGAGTAGTAGTGTGGACACTTTCGATATGCCGGTGTTGAGGAAGCCATCGTCAAAATGGAAGCTGTTTGGCATATTCTCTCGGAAGCCACCCGACCAGCCTGTCCCAGCTATATCTATTTCGGATCCGAATGGTTTATACGGCACAAATAGACCAGAAGAGGCCGTAGCGGCTAGACAAGCACCGCTGCCGGAATCGAATAATCCAACAAGGAGCAACACGACTACTTCACGCAAAGGGTTCAAGCATAAGCCTATTCTTATTAGGTCACAAACGTTACCATCGGATGCCCAGGTGGATAGTTATGATCAAAGGCCGAGGGCAGGCGAGAAACAAAGCCGTGGACCTAGTCCTGCACCCCTACCACTATTGAACGTTGAAATTCCGGATGTACGTCTCGAGAGATACAGCGTCATGTTTGATGGTGTATTAAAGTCCAACCCGTCATTATTATCAAGGCGTCAAGCAACTGTGCCAAAACTCAAAAGTATCAAAGATGTAGTGGAGCGAGAAGAGGTAAGTTATTATCATGCCCAAAACCGAGTGCATCTAACACGGAATAGGAAGAGAAACCATACGGGGTAGCTCGAAGAGCAACATCACCCCAACCAGCTACGAAGCCTTCGGGATTTCTCTTGTTTCCAACGAATAGGGAAAACCAGGTTTATATGCCGCAGAAAATATCGCCGCGACATAGATCAAATACTTCGCTGGCATTACTTCCATCCCCTGCTAGAGCCACATTCAACCACAACAAGGCACCAGACTATCGACGCCCATCAGTAGAACACCCAACTAGCTTGAGGCCACCGCCGCAAACCTTCCATTATGATATTGAGAGCCCCGGTATGGCCGTAACAACAGACGTTGGAATCATAAAGCAGGAAATAAGCCCATCGTCGCCTCCACGGTTCAGAAACGGCCAATCTAATCTCATCCTCGACTCGCCAAGTGAGATAGATTCAGAAGACGACGAAGAAACAGTCGCGAGGGAAGCGTGGAAGCCAGCCTCCCATCATGTTCCCCCCGAACCCAAATGGCAAATGATGGTGCCTTCACAGAAGACACCGTCGACGGCGTCCTCCAACACCAGCAGCGACCGCAAGCGCTCACCATCTCTCGCATCATCCTCCTACACGCATATCACACGCGTATCAGAGGATTCTGACGACGCATCCCCCGCATTTTTCAAGAACAGCGCCAACAATATCGCTATCACGGCAAAAATGACGCCCGTGGAAATCTCCATCGCCCGCCAGATCACCGTGTCCCGGCAGCAGCGCAAGCTCCTCCAACCCCTGCGTACGGTAATACCTCCTGCGCCCGCGCAGCCCTCGTCGTCGTCATCGTCAGGTAGACGGCCGTCGCACCCGAGCCCGGCGCGCACGAGCCCCATGGCGGGCGTGCCGAGGGGCGAACCGGGACGGATCGCCGAGACGAAGACATCTACGCCGACGCTGGTGTCACCGGACTCGCTGGATCCGAACCAGTCCGCCGCGCGCGCGCAGCTTCGGCGGAGCGAGCGGATCGTGCTCGAGGATGCGTGACGTCGTCTTATCAAGCCCCTGACTGCTCTCACTTATCTTTCTATTTATCACTTAGAGTTCGCATTCATCCGTCTCTTGGTCCTGTCTATCAACAGCTCCAGACAGAAGTCCTACGTTATATCCGAGCCCTCATATATCTTCTTATCTATCTATCTATCCATCTAAAGTGTACATAACACATATTCCTCAATATCCGGTTGCTTGGTGTTGGCGTGGTTAAAAGAGAGGGGAACCGGCGGATACGAAGGGTGGTACCCAGGTTTAATGTGTCAATGGGATTCAATAATGTTAGCGCGGAGTTTAGCTGCTTTCTTCCTCCCTTTTCTCTCTATGCCTTGGAGAAGGGGAAAGGGAAAGGAAAGGAAGGGGAAAACAAAGGGCATGACGATTCGAGTCCGGAACTCGCAAATGGCTGTCCCAATATCTAAGTAGATAATGCATATTCTATCCATCAGTTTTATTCCCTTTCTCTTCTTTTCTTTACGCTTGGTTTATTCTTACCTATGAGAAAAATCAGGAATGGACTGACTGCATATCATACTAGAGACAAGGAGGCACATGTAATACATATAGTGTATCAATAGCGCTCGATGACGAATAAATATTACATCAACTACAACCGCCTACCCTACAGCAGGCGGTGAACCACAGAGTAGGTAGCTTGACTAGTAAGGTAAGGGGGTTCTTTGGTCATTTCAAGCAACACCTGGATCCAAACAATAAGTACTTACCATCTAAGATTACTTACCATCAAATATCAGGATGCACCACAATGCACGATACACTACCTACACAATACATAGAGAGGGATCTCCCATCCAATCCACGTTTGAAAGATTAGATGAAAACGAACCTGCCGTTCCATCGCTCTTCCTTATTACTGCAATTGCAAGAGGTAGGGATAAGAGCAGTTAGTATCAGCGTGCTACATGAAACGCGGACCGGGCCCCTGCTCTGACACTTGAAGTATGTCTTCACCCAAAAAGGCTTGGCAAAAATCCAATGCGATCGATTCCAAGTTCGTAGGTATGTAGATAACTAGATGGTTTACTTTGATTGTTTGAATTATATTATAGCTCGCCTGCTTGTTCTGTGAAAGAAGGCCAGCCTAGCTATCCCCGATGGTAATATTTCCAACCATTACGGTACAAAGTTGGAGAAAAACCCCCCTCTCTCTATTCATTAGTCCATGATCGGGCCGTGATCTCCCCCTCCCTCAGCGGACCGTAACGAACGAACGACATAATTCCTGTCCCCCTTTGAGGCTGAAGCCTTATTGGCTCGTGTGGGACGTGATGACTGGTATGTTGGGGCGAGAAAATCAGGCTGAGTACAGAAGCCAACCTCGTATATCCTCTAACCGCTATGCTGAAACCGTAATCAATCCTGACTGCAAAACAACGCCGAAACTTACGAGGCGCCGACATATATCGTATTTACATAACCAAGCAACACGAGTTTTGCTTCTTTGCTTGTTCTATTAGAAGTGGGACAGGTTAGCCTTTAACCGTCCACATTGCCCTAGTGAATTACACAGTGGATCTGGGTAGAGGTAGCTTGCTTAGAAGCAGTGAGATTTGTGACTTACGGTAGAACATCTTGCTCTGGTTGCTGAGGCCGTCGCTCTTGGCGACTAGGTCGTCGATCTTCTCACCACGCTGCAGCACACTTTCAATAGTCTTGTGCAGCACGATCTTGGTTTCGTCGAGTTCCTTCTGAATCTTCATAATGCTGTCGGCCTGGTGCGGGTCCTGGTATTTGGTAAGGTACTCCTTTAGCTCGGGCATGTTGACGCTGTTGGCGGAGGCTGAGATCCACGCGGACCGCGGGTTTGCCGCCAGAAATTCGTCCATGACTTTAGAAAGCAGCTGGTGCGCCACCAGCGCGGGGTACTCATGGTCTGAAATGATGATGCCGCAGACGCCCTCTGTCCGCCCGTAGGCGTGGAATGTGTAGTCTGTTGTCAAGTGCACGATCAGTATTTGCCCTGTAGTTTTGCTTGCTTTGTCCGGACGCAAGGGGTCGCCGCTCGAGTATAGTCGTACCTTGCTCTTCAACATCCTGTCTCTGCCCGGGCCTCGTTCGTTCGGCCACCGTCTTCGCGAACATTGTCATGAATTCGCCATAGCTGTGACACACCACTGGTCAGCCCCCTGCTACCAATTCCAGGCACCGACAAATGGTTCGGGTTTTTCGAGGGGTTGGTCGTACTTCTGACGGGTGAAGCGCGAGTATGCGCTCAGTTCTTTCTCAGCTACAATCTCGACACCGGGCTTGCTATCGTTTCGAATGATCTACGACAATGTAGACATGTGTGTCAGTTGCGCTCATCTTGAATACGGCCGAGGTCATGCTTGGCAAGGAGGGATGGTATTGCATACTCCGATGTAATGAAGCTTCATGGTGGGCAGTGGTACAAGAAGAGCGATTCGATTTTAGTGTGACCACAGTTTTGGCTGTGTAAATGGATAGAGCACGAGAAATGAGTCGTCACTGTTGTCGTCGTCGAGAGCAGTGGAGGTTTAGGAGGCGCAATGTGATAGCGAGGGGCCGAGGATCGATGATGGAGTTAAAGAGGGATACCTAAGCCCCCGAATTCACTTTGGTGGTTGAGGTTCCTTGCGAGGCAAGAGCTAGAGTACAAAGAAGTATATCGCGTGGATAATTGCTTGGAGGGGTACATGAGAGTACGTGTGGGCATGTGCATGTGAACAACCGTGAAGACAGCTTGAAGCGTGCCTAACTCAGACCGCCACATTCACTATCCGCTCCCTCCACAGCCGCTTGCTGAAGGGGGGCAACCAGTGACCCCAATTAGTGGGCTTACAGTGGGCTTACAGCGGGTTTTAGCGTGTGGTAGCGGCATTGGTGGACCCGTGACGTTCGAATCTCAGCCAGTCTGTCCCACTTATACAACACACAGTCATTTTCGCCGAAGAGTCATGATAAACCATCTCAGCTTACTACTTAGGTAGGTATCGAGGCACGGCTGACATAAAAAGTCGCGAGGTGTGCTCTGAGTAGACGAGATCTCAGAGCTACACAGATTCACCAAGCCAAGTTCTTGTGATATTTCTCGCATATAGAAATATTGAGATCACAGAGTCTTGCATCCCTTCATTTTCATATCGATATAGAACCATCATGTCTTCGATGAGTGACGCAGAAGCACAATGGCGTGCACAGTTTGCAGCCATGAAGTCAGCTTTAGCAAATCTAAATCTACCAGATCAACAACGAGACACCGAAGACTTGAATGATGAGGATTTCACATCCGGAAATAGCGGTGATGATGTTTGGGACTTCATATCAGATACTGAAGAAGACCTGTACAGCAGCGACTTTATCGACGAGGAGGAGGCCACGAACGGCATCTCTGGCAATGCAGATGGTGGCATATCCTGGTTTTCGAAACAATGTTCGGCCATTTCCCTAAAGAAAGGCGGACTGGCACCAGACGTACTTGAAGCACAGATTCTGGATATTATAAATTCCAGCAGATCCGATGGTGAGGTGCAGTCCCTCCTCACCGACCTTATTGGTTTCGACGACCTCGACTTTGTCATACAGGTGCTTTCCCAAAAACAGGAAATTATCTCAAGCTTCACCGATAGAGACGTACAAGGTCCGACCGGTCGACTTTTGACCAAAGCCGAAAGGAATGAGACTCTCCGGCGCCAAGATTATGAGCACAAGAATGCTGCATTAGCACCTAGTATGTATAAGGAGGAGAAATACCCACACGTCTACAAGAGACACGATGCTGGGAATACATTGAGCCATTCAGGAAAGAAGTATGGCCTTCCTGTTGGAAGCGAGAGAAAGCAGTTCGAAAAGTACGAGGAGTACTTCGTACCCGCTGGCAAACCTGGGACGCTTTGGCCTGGACATAAACTTGTCAAAATCAGTGACATGGATGGTCTATGCCGCGGAACATTCAAAGGTTATAAAACACTGAATCGCATGCAAAGCCTGGTATACCCGGTGGCTTATAAGAGCAGCGAGAATATGTTGATTTGTGCACCCACTGGTGCAGGTAAAACAGACGCCGCCATGCTAACTATTTTACATACTATTGGGCAGTATGTCACGCCAGATCCAATCGAGAACATGGAAACAACAGATTTTGCCGTCGATCTAGAAGACTTCAAGATTGTTTATGTTGCTCCCATGAAAGCACTCGCAGCTGAAGTTACAGAGAAATTGGGCAAACGTCTGGCATGGCTTGGTATACGATGCCGGGAATATACGGGCGATATGCACCTCACCAAATCTGAAATCGTTCAAACCCAAATTATTGTGACGACCCCGGAGAAGTGGGATGTCATCACACGGAAAGGCACAGGTGATACCGAACTAGTCCAGAAAGTGCGACTACTCATCATTGATGAAGTTCATATGCTTCATGATGAGCGAGGTGCCGTCCTGGAATCTCTAGTCGCACGCACAGAACGACAAGTCGAAAGCACGCAGTCATTGATTCGCATCGTGGGCTTGAGTGCTACGCTTCCAAACTATGTTGATGTTGCGGATTTCCTTAAAGTGAACAGACAGGCAGGATTGTTTTACTTTGACGGCTCCTTTCGCCCAGTTCCACTCGAGCAGCATTTCATTGGTGTCAAAGGGAAGGCTGGTTCGAAACAATCTCGAGAAAACCTCGACACTGTAGCCTTCGAGAAAGTCAAGGAAATGCTAGAGCAAGACCACCAAGTCATGGTCTTTGTTCATTCAAGAAGAGATACTCTTCTCACAGCCAAGATGCTTCACGAGAAGGCTGTTGACCAGATCTGTTTGGACTTATTTGATCCACAAGGACACCCTTACTATGACCAGGCTGTCAGAGATATGAAGCAATCAAAGGCTCGTGAACTCAGGGACCTTCTTCCTAAAGGCTTAGGAATTCACCATGCTGGTATGACTCGCTCTGACAGAAATCTCATGGAGCGGTTGTTCGCCGAAGGCGTCATCAAAGTCCTATGTTGTACTGCAACTCTTGCATGGGGTGTCAATTTACCGGCCGCTGCAGTTGTTATCAAAGGCACCCAAGTATATAGTGCACAAGACGGAAAGTTTGTGGACCTAGGAATCCTCGACGTGCTTCAGATTTTTGGGCGTGCTGGTCGTCCTCAATTCGAAGACGTTGGTATTGGTATGATTTGCACGACAGCGGACAAACTGCCTCATTACTTGTCAGCTGTGACGGAGCAACAGCCGATAGAATCGAAGTTCTCATCGAAACTTGTTGACAATCTGAATGCAGAGATTTCGCTAGGTACCGTCTCCTCGATACATGATGCCGTCCAGTGGATTGGATATTCGTATCTGTTCGTGCGAATGAGGAAGAGCCCGATGACATACGGCATTGAATGGGCTGAAAGTAGGGATGATCCTCAGCTCGTTCAAAGGAGAAGGCAGTTGGCTATACAAGCCGCTCGAACACTACAACAAAGCCAAATGATTATCTTCAATGAAGTTACTGAAGAGCTCAAAAGTAAGGACGTTGGACGAATTGCTAGTCAATACTATATCCAACAGTCGAGTATCGAGATATTCAACAAAATGATGAAACCACAAGCAACTGAGGCAGATGTGTTCCATATGATCAGTATGAGCGGAGAGTTTAACAATATCCAGTCCAGGGATAACGAGGCCAACGAGCTAACTAGGATGAAGAATGAGGTCGCCAGTTGCCAAGTTCCTGGTGGTATTGACACTCCACAGGCGAAAACCAATATTCTTCTACAATCTTACATCTCTAGAGCACAACCAGAGGACTTCGCCTTGTCCAATGATCTGAATTACGTCGCCCAGCAATCTGCCCGCATATGCCGTGCTCTCTTCATGATAGCACTCAATAGGCGTTGGGGTTATCAGTGTCTTGTCCTGCAGACTCTAGCCAAGTCTATTGAGAGACGTCTGTGGCCATTCCAGCACCCTCTGCATCAGTTCGATTTGACGAAGCCAGTTCTCAGCCAACTGGACGAGAAAGAACTCTCCATCGAGAGCCTCAGAGATATGGAACCCGCGGAAATTGGTGGTTTAGTAAATAACCAAAACGCTGGCAAAAAGATTGCAAGGTATATCGACAACTTTCCAACAGTATCTGTCGATGCTGAAATCGCACCGCTCAATCGTGATGTTCTACGAATCAAGCTCTACATTACTCCAGACTTCAGGTGGAATGACCAGTTGCACGGCACCTCGGAATCGTTCTACATCTGGGTTGAGAACTCGGAAACCTCTGAAATATATCATCATGAATTCTTCATTCTTAATAGGAGAAAGCTTTATGATGACCACGAGCTCAACTTTACGATACCCTTGTCTGACCCTCTCCCAGATCAGATTTATGTAAGGGCAGTGTCAGATAAATGGCTTGGGGCAGAGACTGTGACGCCTGTGTCTTTCCAGCATTTGATACGGCCAGATACGGAGAGTGTGTATACGGACCTACTGAATTTACAGCCACTGCCTATCAGTGCCCTCAACAATCCAGGACTGGAAGAGATCTACGCCCAGCGGTTCCAGTTCTTTAACCCTATGCAAACTCAAATATTCCATACGCTTTACCACACACCAGCGAATGTCCTACTTGGCTCTCCAACTGGTAGTGGAAAGACGGTCGCAGCAGAATTGGCGATGTGGTGGGCCTTCCGTGAGCGACCAGGCTCTAAAGTTGTCTATATAGCACCAATGAAAGCTTTGGTTCGCGAAAGAGTTAAGGATTGGGGTGCTAGGCTCTCAGGACCTCTTGGTCTTAAGCTAGTAGAGCTTACGGGTGATAATACGCCTGATACCAAAACCATAAAAGATGCAGACGTTATAATCACAACACCAGAGAAATGGGACGGTATTTCACGAAGCTGGCAAACCAGAGGATATGTTCGCCAAGTCGCCCTCGTCATCATAGATGAAATACATCTCCTCGCTGGAGATCGAGGTCCCATTCTAGAAATCATTGTTTCGCGTATGAATTATATCGCCGAATCAACGAAGAACTCGGTCCGACTCCTTGGCATGTCTACAGCATGTGCGAATGCGACTGATCTAGCCAACTGGCTCGGTGTTAAAGAGGGACTATTCAATTTCCGGCATTCAGTGCGTCCAGTGCCTCTTGAGCTGTATATCGATGGCTTCCCAGAGGTTAGAGGCTTCTGCCCTCTTATGCAGTCCATGAACCGGCCGACATTTTCGGCAATTAAGACGCATAGCCCTGAAAAGCCAGTCATTGTATTTGTGCCGTCTCGACGTCAGACTCGTCTGACTGCCAAAGATCTCATCAATTTCTGTGGCATGGAGGAGAACCCTAGGCGGTTTGTCCACATGTCAGAAGATGATCTTCAATTAAATCTTACAAGAGTCAAAGACGACGCATTGAAAGAGGCGATTAACTTTGGTATAGGACTGCACCATGCTGGCTTAGTCGAGTCAGACAGACAGCTAGCCGAAGAGTTGTTCCTGAACAACAAAATCCAAATACTAGTCGCGACTAGTACCCTTGCCTGGGGTGTCAACCTACCCGCTCATCTCGTAGTAGTGAAGGGCACTCAATTCTACGACGCCAAGATCGAGGGTTATAAAGATATGGATCTGACTGATGTTCTACAAATGCTTGGCCGCGCGGGGCGCCCACAGTTCGACAATTCAGGTGTTGCACGTATCTTCACTCAAGATGCGAAAAAAGACTTCTATAAGCACTTTCTACATACTGGGTTCCCGGTCGAATCTTCTCTCCATACCGTCTTAGACAACCATTTGTGTGCAGAGGTATCCGCCGAGACGATTATCACCAAACAGGATGCCCTTGATTACCTTACTTGGACATTCTTCTTTAGACGGCTACACAAAAACCCATCGTATTATGGGCTCGAGATCTCAGCTGAGGAACACAACACTATGGCTGCTCAACAGCTTGCTAATGACTTTATGATTGATATGGTCAACAAATCATTGGATGAGCTAGCAACCTCGAAGTGTGTCGAGATCTATCCAAACGGCGATGTCGACCCGACACCGCTGGGCAAAATCATGAGTTACTACTACTTATCTCACAAGACGATTCGGCACCTGGTGAAGCACGCCAAGCCTAAGGCAAGCTTCATGGATGTGCTCTCGTGGATGTCTCGAGCAACCGAATATGACGAACTCCCTGTCCGTCATAATGAGGATCTTATCAACGCTGAGTTGTCGAATAACCTACCTTTCTCAGGCAACACCTTCGGACTGCCAATGTGGGACCCCCATGTCAAAGCATTCCTTCTTCTGCAAGCTCACATGGCGCGTATCGAACTTCCTATCACTGATTACGTGGGTGATCAGACGAGCGTGTTAGATCAAGCGATTCGTATCATCCAGGCCTCCATTGACGTGCTAACCGAGCTCGGCTATCTATCGAGCTGCCTCGAGATGATAAAGTTGCTCCAATGCATCAAGTCAGCGCGGTGGCCAGAAGATTCGCCGTTGGCCATATTCCCTGGTATCCGTGGAGACTCGATCAAAGATACTACAGCGCTCCAGAAGCTAAGCACGCGTACCAAGTCGCAAATCGAGGAACTTTCAAAGAAGCTGAGTGTTCCGGCTTCTCAACAGAGTCGATTCAGTCGCGCCGTGTCTACGCTCCCTAACATCAATGTTGCCGCAGAGAATGTCACAGCCCTATCGCTCACAGTCAGCCTAAAGCGACTAAACGCCATTGTCGAGCGGGAAGGCCGCATCTACGCGCCAAAGTACCCCAAGCCACAGACGGAGGGTTGGTTCGTCATCGTCTGCGACAAGGCTAGAGATGAGATCATCGCGGTCAAGCGAGTGGGCTGGACCCAAGGGCCGAATCAATCTGTCAAGGTTGGGAGCAAGCCGACAGCGAAAACGGTCATCAAACTCCCCGAGCCAGATAAGGACGGCAATGCGAGAAAGGTCGATGTCCTTGTGCTGAGTGATGGGTACATTGGCATGCAGTATGAAGTACTCGGCGTCGAGATACCGGCGCTGCCAAAGGTGGATGATGATGTTGATAAGACCAAGAAGGCCCTTGCCGGTTCTGCTTAGTTATGGGATGTATGAAGTGATTAACGCTTGCATGGATACGAGGAGTGGTGTCTTGCGCCTTGTTGTGGAAGTTCTAGATTATGTCTGAGGATACCTAACCCACGTCAACTACTACGCACGCTCTGAATGAATATACATTCATAATCAAGATACCCAAAATGCAACCTTATGAAGGCACAACAGGGTTTTGTCTCCCAAAAGGCTTCTCAAAAAATATTTACTCGCCTATGTGATATATCCTGTGGCTTGATCTCACCGTGATCTATGTGTCATATGGCTCAGCTACCTTGGGAAAGGCAATATATTGCGAGGAATCGACATTTCAAAGGGGTGATATAATAGCTTCCAAACCTTGTTCTTCGAGTTAAACTCCCCGTGTATTCTACCGGAATTGAGGATAGGCACTACTGTAGTTACGAACTAGAGTAGCATTGAGCCAGGCAAGTATACTGAATACACGCACGACCTATATAGGTAGGTACCTAGGTAAGCTACACCGTAGCATCGTCGAGTTGGGTAGGGTTGCATGCAGCGTGGTCGTTTGCTTGCGCCTTGCTCACTATCAATCATCCCACTAACTACCTGGAATTATGTAGGTATGTGTCCTCGTATACAGGCAGCAGGCGGACAAGGCAATCTCGATAGTCGTCTTATTTCGTACCTGATATATATTTCCCCTTCGTCGAGACTGATTATTTAGAAGTAGGCTTTAAGGTTGATGTTAGGTATTTGTAATATGATGGATGGTATCATGAGGACGGACTTATATGTAGATCCTGCTTGACGACCGAAGGGCGCCATAGAAGATCTTTATTAGATATCTGGTTGAGATACCATAGGGCTATGCACGTGTGTGCTTTACCTCCCTATAGTACCTGTTGGTATGGTGCGATGACTTGGCCATGCGATACTACTACGGGATGGCTTGGACAGTTGGGTAGGGTAAGGGAGGGTGGTAGTGCGGCTGTCCTACCTACCTACCCCAATCTCACACCATAGCAGAGAAACTTTTGTTCACGGAGAAGGTGTATCATCATTTGATATATCGTCCAAGTTAACTACGTACTTACAGAGATCACGTCCGGTGCAGCTCTGTAAATCTTATGGTGGACATCGGCCCTTTCGCGGGGAGACGGCCCGCTTACTTAAGTGACTGCCGTTAGTCACTACCTACCTAACCAGTGTAAACCGCTTTACCTAGGTAACGCGTCCGATGTATTTCCTCGGCCGCGATGAAAAAAGGAGAAGGCAATGATGTAATGCATCATATCATGATAGTAGAACCAGCGTAATTGCGATGACTTCATTTTTTTCTCGGTGCTTGGAAAAGCTTCGTTTCTAATTAGTGTCGGGTTAGAAACGAGCGAGCAAGATACGTAGTCGGTAGTGTACCTAGGTAAATACCGATCTCCCCATCTCCCCTGAAGGAAATTACCCAGGCGGTAGATTCCGTTCTCGGCATGTAGCCAATGAGATCGTTCAGATGGGGTTGTGGAACGTTGATGTAAGTAGGGCTTCCTGTTTCGGCAAGTCGCTGGTGTAAGTAGTGTGTTACTAGATAGTTCTGGATGAGAGTTCCACGACCCTAACCTCACCCGGCTCACCTCGCCGTGTTTGGTGTTTTTTAGGTGTGGGTATTGCTGTTGGTGGTGAGCAAGATGTCGGGTGGAAAAATGCGACGGTGGTTCGTGAACTCGGTTTTCGTTGCCTCTGCTAGTAAGTGCTATATAGGTAAGAAGTAAGGCGGAAGATGCGAGTCTGGGGCACGGTTCAGTATTGAGCTGGTTGTTGGTTGATATTACATGTAATGCGTTGCAGACATCTACGGTACGGTAGTCGTTCGCATGTTACGCTACGTCCTGAACACCGCCTTTTCAATACTACGCATACTTACAGCATTCACTGATGCTAAAGTTCATCCATTCTTCCCATTCTCGCGAGTGTAAGTAAGTATGAGATAGTTTAAAAGATGAGTCATGTGGTTTCGCGCTACAATGATCGGAACCGAACAGCTGGGTTACCTTCCTCCCGCACTTTCGCTTTAAGTATGTAGATCCGAGTGTTTGTCTTGACAGGTCGTTACCAAATGATGTAAAGAACATGTCTACACCCAGACCATCAAACAGATGTCATCCAATGAGACGACAAGGCCGAGGCGGCAGAGAGGCGCGAACAGGAGAGAAAGAATGTCGGCGCTGAGCAAACGAGGCAAATTCCCCAGTGTAAGTGGACCCGGCACGACGATGGGCGGCTAGGAAGGCTAGGAAGACGGCTCCGGGCAAGCCAGAGCCATTCCAGCGGATATCGATTGAAATGTCTTGTTCTGTTCTGTTCTGTCTTGTCTTGTCTTGTCTCGCCTTGTTAAGCATCGTCTGTCTACTTTAGCGTCAAGTCCTACCTGTCTCATACCTGTACCTATAGCGTAGAGTCATATGAACCTAGACCAATACCCATTAGGCCATAGGAATCCTTTGCGCCGTCTCTCCCCCTTTCATCACCACAAGCTGACATGGGGCTGGCAGGGGTAACGCGAAAAAAATGACCTTCCAAAAGGTTGTGTTTGACCTTTGCCTAACATGCTGCGCCCCTCTAATTAAGGCTTTAATTTCCCAAACTGGATCATGGTCTATGGGTCCGTTTCTACAAGTGGCTGCCAACAGCTTTGCCGCCTTCTCCAGCTCATACTTTCATTCGCTCGCTCAGCGCAGAGTCCTGTGCGCTACCTAGAGTGCTTACCTATTTGCTTGCTTACATAGTACCTACATATGATGTGGTCTGACATGGTAAGGCACGTTGAGCGTGTTCGAGGCGGGGGAGCTACCGTATTGGCACGCACTTTCTACGCCGCAATGCGTGAGCGTGCAAAAAAGATGTCTCGCGATGGGCTCGTGTTGCTGACATCTCTCATACAGCTAAGCGAGATGGAAGGGAAACGGAGGAGGAGGAGGCTATACCTACCTATCTACCTACTTACCTAAGTAAGTACCTAATGAGTAGGTACATCAGACATCGCTGTAGTTAAGCAATGACTTAAGTAATGCTAATACCGCTTTGTGTATGCATAATTCATAATTCAAGTTGAGATGTCTTTATGTCTTTTATTAGAAACGGCGAAAGTGGAGGATTAGAGCAATGGAAGATAAGATGGGTACAAGATTCAACGACTGACTGACAGACAGACAGAATGCAGGCTAACTCCTTAATTAAGCACCTATCTAAGGTTAATTGAGTGTAAGTCCTTGTTAGTCTAGTCCTGGCTGGTTCCGTGTCCTGGCCACGCCCGTCCAGCTCTCCTAGCCCTACACATACATACCAACGTCGTCCGTCCATTAGCAGACATGGCTGGCCGTTTAGCTTGCGCAGCTGGGCTGCATGGCGTCCCGCGAAATGAAGAGGGCGTCAATTCCTCGCCATGCGACTGGCTTTACTATTTTTTTTTGCTATTTTTTGCCGCGCTTGTCTCTGTTCCATTCCTACCTGTGCCTGGGAGTCGGGTTCAGAAAAGACGGGAATATGCGACCGTAGTTTGCTCATTTACTTAAGTACTTATTACCTACTTAACAGGCTGCCCACCTCACTCACTACCTACGGTCCCCTGTAAGCTACACTAAAACTTTCAGGTTGTAAAGCCTGCATCTGGCCTGCACTACCCCCTCGACCCCCCTGCGCAAGAACCCCCCAGGCCTGCACGCTAGCGTGCTAGTGCAGCCAGCAGCGCCACGGTAGGGCAGCTCACGCTCACGCTCGTCCACTTTAGTTGAGGCTCATCCCACCCATTCATTCATCGTCTTTTCTCTTCTCTCTTCTCACCACCGACAGTCTCTCTCCAGACCATCACACTCTTTTTTCTACCCCGACCCAGCCCAACAGCCTGTCAGCCCTTTCGGCACTCACACTCTTTTCCACACAAATATTATATAGTCATTCTTTTGCCAGGCTCTGGACTTAGTGTCACTCCCTCGTACATCGACTCATCCATCACCTCACCTATCTCGACGCTACCTAAGTAATTAATCAATTAATTCTCAAAATGCGTTTTATCTTCGCTTCCGCCTTGGCCTTTGCTGCCTCCGTTCTCGCCCAGGATGCCACCGTCGGTTACGCCGTCGTGAGCGCTCCCGGTGACGGCGAGGTTGTTCCCGCCGGCAAGACCTACAACATCAAATGGAGTGCCGGTGGCTTCACTGGTCCTGCCACCATCTCCCTCATGGGCGGCAAGACCCCCTCTACTCTCGAGGTCTTGAACTCCATTGGCAGTAGGTCGGGCTGAATGCCAAATCAGATAGCAGATCGCTGACAAAAAGCTTATAGGCACTGATGTTGAGGACGAGACTTTCCCCTGGGCTGTCGATTGCTCGCTCGGCGAGGCCAAGACATACGGTATCAAGATTACCGACAACGCCAGCAAGGGCGCTACTTTCCAGTACTCGTTCCCCTTTGAGATCAAGGGCCCCTCGTGCGGAAGCAGCAGCAGCAGCGCCAGTGCCAGTGTCTCGGCTACTTCATCTGCCAGTGGTTACCCCGTGTCTAGCAGCACCGCTGTCGAGACTACTACCTCTTCTGCCTACCCTACCAAGAGCCACAACTCGACCTCGTCGGCCGTTGAGACCTCTACCTCTACCTCATCATCCGCCGTTGAGACTAGCACCAGCGTGAAGTCGACCACCAAGGTCCACACCAGCACTCCCACCACTCTCAGCACCTCGGCCACTCCTACTACCACCGTCGTCATCGTCACTCAGACCCCCACTGGCACTGCCAGCTCCAGCTCCAGCGGGGTCCCTGCTAGCTCCACCAGCTCTTCGCCTGTCCCTACTGCTGGTGCCGCTCGCACCGGTGCTGGTATCGCTCTCGGTCTCGTGGCCGCCGTTCTTGCTCTGTAAACTCTCTACTAGTATCATGCATGATCTCGTGTAGATAGGGGAAATTGTGACGGGTATGACGAGTCCTCGTTCAGACCTGCTCCAGGGGAAACTCACCAGTGGAACGTTTAATTCTATGTGAAAACAAGCGAGGGTGTCAGCCAACACACTTAATGATGATTGTCAACTATACTTCGAAAAATACTCCACTGCAGGCCCAGCTCATAAGCCAGCTTGTGGGGAGGCCGAAGTTCGAGAGATGTATAAAAAGAGGGAGTTGATAAAAGGGGATGAGTTAATAAGTGATAAACGAGATATATCTGGCGGTCCGTTTTTGTATATTCTAGCGATTTTCCTCTTTAGAATATCCTAATTGATTGTCGTCTTGTCTGTCTGTCTTAAACATGAGTTAGACAAATCGTCTGGGTTGGTGATATGTTTCCGAAGCTCAATTTGTATTCAGGTCACGCAAGAGAGGGGCTCGCCTGGGCACAACTCCTATTCTTTGTGTCGACGCGCATTGCTGCGACTTGCTAAATGAATATCTCCAGCTGTAAGTGAAGAACATTCTGAGAGAAAAATATAAACATGTGATGACCCGACGAGCTGGTTATATATATATTTCAGCTTAGAAAGATATGTCCCATACCGGAATTAGCGGCTACTTGGCTATTGCGGTGAAGTTCTCTCTCTCTTCGTGTCCGGGGGGTCTCTAGATATTGTATCTCGTGTTCGGTGGGGACGAAATGGATTATTGAATGGGATGTCGTCAGCCATTGTTTATTTTATTTTATTTATTTACTTACTTGTCTTAGATAATAGATCAACGATGATGTAGTTGGTAGGTTAGGTTGAAGGTGCGAGGTCGGTTTTCGGCAATTCATGTCGATCACCCACGTGTTTTGTCTGCGTGCATGCATGTCGTCTGCAGTATGTATGGTATGGTAGGTTCAGATCAGATTGCGGACACTAAAATTGATAGATTGCATGCGCTGTAGATGGAAAAGATGTGCAGGTAGATGAAAATGGCGTGTGGCTTGCTGTAAATGATGATGATGGTGTGCAGGTAGTGGGTAGGTCACTCGTTGATCTTGTACTTGTACCACTGGACCATACATACATAGTACACCATTGTTCTGCGTGGGCGTGTCTGACTCAGGGTGTATGTATGTAGATATCGGCAGATAACCGAAGATTCATCCCGAGCCGGAAGGGATCGTCATGTTTATGTGCTGCTTAGTATGTAGATGGTAGATGCTGCTACTGGTGTAAATTATGATTACTGCTTACTTCTAGTAGTCCTTCAATTCCTAGGTAAGATGTGAGAAAGCCAGATAAACGCAATGTGAAAGTGTAGTGGAAAATATACGACTTTGTTTTCCAGAGAGAAAGATGGCTCCGATCTGGATCTCTTGTTCCTTTGTTCGGCTTACGCTGTAGCAAAGGACTATGAATTGAGCGCTAGAAGGTTTACCAATCATCGCGACTTCGCATATTGGGTAATAATGTGATTATTTATTCTCACTTGAGCACATGATTTTCTTGCTACCGTTGGTTGTGCTTACCTAGAGCGATACACGAAGGGCGACTTAGCTAGGGAAATCTGCAGATGGTTGCACATGTTAATAGATACATCTAGACGAACTTCATAGCAAGCCATACGGGTGGATATCTTGTCAAGATGGAAAACTATATCGTGACTCGGGAGAGACATTCTACCTTGGCCTATGCGGCCGTTAGAAACGCTGTAAGATATCGCCGGGTCACAAAACGAGGAGAGTTGGTAATTGACCAAGTAGGAAGCGACTATAGTATAAAAGAATTTTGATTCGGCCGTCAAATGACTCGCAGGTCTACTTTTATATCCTAGATCGATAGCTATATTTCCTTCCAATACAAGACAAAGGCTCATCTAAGCCCCAAGATATAATCCATTCCCCCTTGAAACGCCAGCTGTAAACCCACCAACGCTATCGCTACGAAGATTTGTATACTGAAATACCTATCTATCTAAGGTATTATGCAAATATATTATGAAAATAGTAAGTGAAAAAGAACAGCAGATGATAATTATCTATCTGCCGCCGACCTGGCCCCGTGGAATAGGAGGAACCCAGCAGAGGGCGAGGTTGAGACCAATGTGCAGGATGCCGATGACCCAGAAGGCCTTGGCGTAGTTGGTGCCGTTGTCCATGAAGCGGAATATGATGCTGAAGATGATGCCGCCGAGATTGCCCGCGGCGCCCGTCGTCCCCGAGACAATGCCGTTGGCGTGCGGGTGGACGTGCGGGATGAGGCCGAAGTTGGCGCCGTTGCCGGCCTCGAGGAAGATAGCCATCAACGAGACTAGACCGAGCAATGTGGGCAGGTCATGCGGATCCAACTGGCCGATGACGATCAGAAAGACGCCCGTCAGCGTGCCGCACACGACGATCAGGATCTTCTTCGCCCAGAGACTCTTGCCCGTCACGCGGTACAGGTAGTCCGAGGCGAAGCCGCCGAGGGGCCGCGTCACGAAGTTCAGAAACCCGAAGATGGCCGCCACGTTGGCCGCGTAGGCGTAGTTGATGTGCGGGAAGTTCTTGACGTAGTACGCGCTGAGCACCGAGTTGATGGCGAGCTCGCCGCCGAACGAGCACAGGTACGTCAGGATGTGGAAGAGGGTCTGCGGCGACACGAGGATCTTCAGGGCTGCGGCGAACGTGGGCTTCTGGATCGTCTCGCCCTGGGAGTATTCGAAGATCTCCCCCTGGGCGATCGTGGCGTCGTGGTCGAGACTAGAGGTCTCTTTGGCCTTCTTCTCGAGGTCGGAGTCGGAGCACTTGCTGGTGTTGGAGTCCTGCTTGGCTGTTATGGAGCCAGGCACGTCGACGACGACGCCAGTTGACTTCTGAGCGCCGGCGTCTAGGGCCTGCTCCGCGTGGAGATGTCGCTCGGACCATTTGCCGGTTGGGGTGTCGGGACACAGGAGAATCATGCCGAGGCCGGTGAAGATGACGACAATCAGGGGAACGATGAAAGTCAGACGCCAGGCGGGTCCGTCGCTGTATCCGCGCGCCTTGAAGGAGTCGAAGACAGCGGGCATGATGAAGTACGTGATACCGCCGCCGGCGTTACCCCAGCCACCGGCTAGCGCGTTCGCCGAACCCACGACATTCTTGTCGAAGAATCCCGTACACCAGACTAGACAGGGGACGAAGGAGCCGCCGAGGATACCGAGGAAGAAACGAGAGATGTAGAGACTCGTGGCATCGTGTACAAGCGGAGCGAGTCCGAGGGGTATAGCGCCGACGAGAAGAACGCCCGCGAAGACATAGCGGGGACCGAACTGATCGCAAAGGGGACCGGCGAGGTATCGAACCAGTAATCTAAGCAAACGAATGTGAGTTTCCCCTGAAAGGCTAGAAAAAAGGGTATGGAAGTTTGAGTTCAAAGACTTACGTTGCGACTAATGACACGATGTTCGAGTTGGCAACTTGTGTAGGTGTGAGATGAAGGTTGGCTTTGATAACGTGGGTGATCTACGCAAGAGTGTGAGATATGAGCACTTCACAGTGAAGAATTTTTGAGGATAAGAAATGAGACATACAAGTGGTGGGAACGTGTACCAGGCCCAAAAGGCGACCATGAAGCCGAACCATGAGAAGAAGAACACACGGCCATAGATGTTGACGAGGTTGAATACGGGAATCGATTGCGCCTTGCGGTTGACGGGGTTGATCTCTGGACTGCGCCAGAGATATGATATCCTCAACATTATGGGCGACTGTTTGATATGAACTTCTTTCCCCCGTGTATTAATTCAAGCTAGGCCGATTAAATAACTAGTATATATCGTCTTTGCGTTGTCGCTCGCTTTTTATAGTATGAGTGAGGTGAGTGGACTGAGTTTGCTGAGTTCAACAAGGCTTCGTTGTCGAAAAAAAAAAACCATTTAGGGATACCGATATTTCGATACCGACGCCGTCGTTTATATAAACAACCCCAGCATCATCTCATTTCAAGCGGCCTCTTCTATCCAAGTCCCCTTACGACTGTAATTGATACTGTCGACGATGGTTTTCGCATCTACGGTGCATCTCCGGATAAGAGTCCAGAGTGGGCTCTGGGCTGTGAGCCAAACTCACACTAAGCCCACATAAACCGTCTCCGCGGAGTTTTGCGAATGTGTGCGTGCTATGTAGATCGTGGACTCCAAGTGCCCCTTGAGATAAGAGCCGCTGAGCCAAGGCAACGAACCCGGTTGGCTGGTTGATTAGACTGAGGGCGGCAGAGTGGGATGGACTCTCCAAGGTCTCATCCACTAGCACTAGATCTGGCGATTTGGGATCGACCTGCACCTATTTACGCAGACTTAGTGAGGTGGACAGGAATTGGGAGTAGTAGTGTTTGGAGCGGGAGTGCTGGATTATGTCAATGTCTTTGATAATTGGATATCTGTTGGACACATCCGCTAGGGCCGGCAATGAAACGACCACCCGCGTTATTCCTTTCTTTCCTTAAGACGTAGTGCCGAGTACAGTCCGGGATATAAATAATCTGATATTATACTACGATTATGGAGAGGAATAAGGGCGAGCGAATTGGAAGAAAGCCGGAGAAAGACCTCACTTACGGGTTGTTTAGTAACAACTGGAGTAGGTCACTCGCGGCGCATGAGACCAAGTTGACCTTCTTTACTTGGGTGCTTGCACCACGCACTCTTTCATGGGAGATTCACCGCCAGCATGACAGGCCTATAGAGAAAAGAATCTGCACTCTCCGCACTTCAAAGGGGACATTGTGCTGGGATTAGGAGTCTGCGATGCCAATCTCAGACAACCCCCGGCTCGTCCCTTATCTCGTTGGTCTTGGAGCTGGAGGGGGCGTGGGTTGGTTTACGCACTTGAGGGCTGACCCACCAGGTCCAAAGATAAGAGCCTGGCTGGCTTAGTGGCCTGTAAGAGTTAGTTTAGACCATGGCCTGGGGGGATTTGATAAGGTGTTCTTGGTGTATAACTTGTGCTTCTCCCTCATTCGTGCTGTTGACTCCTATCGGTGTGTGGCAGTAGGTGAAAAGAGGCTAACGTAATGTCTGGAAGAATATGAGGTAAGAGGACATGTGCCGATTGAATATCCTAACTTGACCAACTTTAACAACAGTATGGCAGATAACTCAATACCTACCTATGATTAACTCTTGCGATCTAAGAAACAGAGTGGACAGCCCATGCGATGGAACTCAACCATTGATGCTACTTGTATAGAAGATTATTGGCTTGTCGGCCCTGGAGACTTGAATAATTGAACCTGACGGCAACCCACACACTCTCATATGAAGTTGAAATGTGAAGTTGTGAGTCGCGTGGGTGGAAGTGATGTCTTGGCTCCCTTGGCTCCCTTGGCTTCTTGGCTGCGCCGTCCCAGACGGTCGGGGCTTCGTTTCAATGGCTCCTCCCGCTAGATAAGAACCGTGGAAATTCATCAGCGGGAAATCTGGTTCAATTGATTATCAGCAAGCCTCTCATTGGCCGCCATTTCCCTTCCTCTTTGGGCTGACACCAAATTCCTACCAATACAGCCCTACACCAATGTGCGCGTAGCTGATGCAGTGGCGTCCTTCGTCATGCATAAAAAGACTTGCTTGCAAGTGGCAGAACCCAGACCTGAAAACCAGGGAACTCTACATCATGACATGTAGACTCTGATGGGGAGTCTAGACCTCGGGCCAGTCCCTGCCAAGAAGGATTGATACTTCCGGCTCGGGTACCTACCTACCTACCTTTTAGCCTTGAAAATCTCGGCTGCTGGTAATGGCATCAATGGTCGCGTGCATTCAGCCCTAAGGCAGTGCGCATTACTTATAACAAGAATCATCTGAACTTATCACTGATGCCACTATCACATGCTCTTGTGTTGATTTATGCTTATCGGGTTTATATGGAACCCCAAAAGAGTGACATGGTGCGATACAGTAGATATAAAATAGTACTTAACCCCAAAGCTGGACCGCTGATTGGCGGTAGCCATTGACTGCGCAGGTACATTTCCTAGCGGCCATATTGTGGATGGTGAACAGGAAGACTGTTGTAGACTTGGTGTAGAAAATCCTGACTTGATTCTCTCGCCTGAAGACTAATCTGAGTACCCAAAGTGTATCGATCTTGAATTGGTTATCCAATTTTAGGGAAAACGGACATGTTCAAGATTACAATGTTAGCGGTAACCCAAAGCTACTGCCGGCGTCGATATTACACTTATTAAGACAGCACTTTTGATCTAAGTTGAAACGGCATGTAAGCTGCAGGTGTGTTAGTAAAATCCTTCCTCGTATCCATGGCTGGTCACCCGATAAAGTAGCGTCACCATGACTCAGTGAGGCTTGAATGATCGGTAGTCTATAGTAATTGTGATGTCACGCGCAGCCCCGATTCTGTCCGATTTTGTCCAGGGCGGCAGTCGGCTCGGAAGTCGGTCAGTCATCCAACACAACATGAAAGAATCAGCCCGCTAAAATCCATTGAGACAAGTCGTTTACTGAATGTGATAGTCTGTGTGAGCCACTTACGTAACCAGCCGACATTGCCCAGGCTATGAAAGTCCGGCCGGACAGCACATACGGCTCCTGGTAGGCCGAGCTAGCTCCAAGTCGGGCTTGGCCGCGTCGGGACGGAAGTATGGCTTGCCGGGACATGAAGACGGCTCGGCAGAGTATGTTAAACTTCAAACACCCAATCTTTACCGAATAGCCAATGAGTCAGAGAACCTTGGTAAGCATGCCTGTTGGTAATAGCGATGTCGGTGGGAATTGATCAGACGCAATGGTTACCAGCCGTGCAGACAGTATACTCAAAGACTGTCTCGCGTTTCGCATGACGTTGGAAGAGATTGGAACGCATGTGCTATGAAAAATTTCCGCGACCTACTTACGTGCGCTGGAGTTCTCTTGGAAGGTAACACAAGGTAAATCGCCGACCCTTGGCACTGGTAGCGTTTGGCAATGTGACCAAAATGCGTGTTAAGATTTCGTTTCGAATGGCTTGATCGCTCCATCAAATCGTGACCATTCACTTTTATGCCAAGTCAGACACCTCGTGTAGATAGAGGCTGGGCGATAAACCGCCGGTCCGATCTCGTTTAACGGGATTTGAAGCTGTAACGAGATAATACCAAATAGTAATCCGGCAAACAGGCCGCTCGCTGCCGGTTACCGGCACTCTGGCCTCCGTTGTCGCGCTTGAGGTTTTCTGCTAGATCGGCGGCAATGTCTCACACAAACCGATATTCATTCTGCATACGTAGGGCGTGCAACCGTCTAAGGCAGAAGTCTTGGTGTTCTAGTTGCTCTTGTAGATGATAGGTCTAACCAGCAACCTGGGCTGGAACACATGTTTAGCCCAGCAACCGGCACAATCTTCCGATCGAGATCGGAGTTGTGTAAGAGATCTTAGCTTGCTTGTTGGCTTCCTTTTCGTAGACCTGTGATCTATCTGAAGGTTAAAACGGGCTGGCGCGGGTAAGTCGGTGTTTGAAACGTTGTCGTCTGCTGTCTTACCCTCCTCAAAGCCTTGCCGATGTGGACGTGCCCAATACGATCGCAGTCGTGGGAAGACCTCTTCATCCTATTTGATAAACCCCGTTTCTCGGATAGCTGTGCTCCGCTGATAAGAGGAAATTTCCTCTTACCGCTTGTTGGTATGAGAATCACGGCACACGCAGTCAGCAATATTGTCGGTATTGATATCGTTTTGGCTTTGCGGTGTGGAACGCGGCTCTCGGGGGCACTCCACTTAATCTGGCCGCGCGGATGGCAGAGAATCCGGGGTAGTATTAACAACCGTCAACTCCTCAAGAGTCAGGGGCACAAAGCAACGGACAAGAGTAGCGCCTCAAATCAGAGTTCTGTCATAATGTGAAAAATCCAAGAGTATGTCTCGGTTACGTCTCGTCGCAACTGTCGTAAAGGTGACGGCCTCGTGCAACCCTGATGTGTGTGGTGTGACTGCGCCGGTCTGTACGTTCGTTGAGACTACTTTCATCTTGGTCCAATAAACACCGGCCAAGGCCGCCGCACCAAGGCTCAACGATAACAAGGGTGAGTTGTCCATCTTGCTTAGTCCTTGGCCCGGCCGTACATATGTATGTAGCACCCCTAGTGAAGGTCTGGGCGGATGCGGCGGCATGGCTGGCTATCGGTATGGGTCCACGGCACCGGACGTCAAATAGGGGGCGCTAAGCCCCGGCCGCCCACCCTTGCCGCCAGAATGGAGCCGCAATTATCGTCACTTGTCAAGGGGAGGCAAAAACCAAGATTGGGCTTTAAATAACACTGAAAATTTTTACTACCATTCAAGCAACAATGAAGACGGATATCGGTGCTTGGCTGGTTTTTGACCGTACACCCTCTTGCTACCGAGCCAAGATTGGATGGAAAGACTCTGCTCGAAGTGCCATACATAGATAAATAGAGTCTGTTCTGCACTTACATCATGATTTTCTTAATTTCTTCTACACCAGTGCTCGCACCGTCCCAGCTTTTCGCCCATTAGACCCGCCACTTAACTAGTAACTGAACCACACTAGTTGAACTATCAATTCATTGGACACCTGATACTCAATGTCGGTAAACCCTTCGGTTTTAACGGAGGCTCCGGTGCCAAAACCGGAGGCGGACACTCCATCACCCAGCCCAAATTCGGCAGAAGACCAGTCATTATTATCCAGAACAAGAGCTCATCTGTTGGAAGACGTCCGTCCCTCAGGCTTTGTCGAGTTTGAGTTGATTCTTTTGACCTTGTAAGTGTACCTCTCGTGACAACATCGCTCCTTTCCCTACGCTTTTCATCTTGATTCTCAATCTCGTGATCGTCGACAGTGAGCTAACGGCCCCCACCATTGAAGCTGCACCGGAATTCAAGATGCGATCTCATTCCCCGACTACGGCTGCTTTGCCTCAAACCAGACCGGCAACACGGTGTTCCTAGTTGTCGCCCTCATCCTACCATGGCTCGACGGCGATACCTTCTTCGTGCCGAACATCGGGGCGGCGCTCGGTTTCTTCCTCCTCGGCGGTTGGTTGACTGGCCAACTCAGCCATATCATTGGAGCGCGGATGAGACTGTGGCTGGTGTGCTGCAACCTAGTTCAGACAATCCTAGTTTCTGTGGCAGCAGGGTTGCAGCTCAGGTACGGTGTCACGGGCCAAGGATCGATGGCAGTCATAGTCATAGGCTTGCTCGCCTTCGCGTCCGGCAGCCAGGTGGTCCAGTCCCGGTCGATGAAGATGACGGAGATCAGCACGGCCATGGCGACGGCGGCGTGGGTTGATCTGGTCATAGACCCGAAGCTCCTGCACGTCAAGAACCGACCGCGGACGAGACGCCTCATGTTCCTGGTGGCGCTGATTGGAGGCGCAATCCTGGGTGCGGGAATCTACCGTGTAGCTGGGTCTGCTGTGGCCGTCTTCATCTCAGCGGCTGGAAAGCTCGCCGTGACCATCATGTATCTGTTCAATGGCGCGGACAAGCCGAAACAAACAGAAGGCGATGATAATTGTTAGAGGGAGGGAACATAATCACGAGTTACGATAAATGAGCGAGATGCGAATCGGATTGATAGATACCTATGTTTTCCTACGAAGTCCTTGAACATAATAATGATAATAAATTAATCATCTAAATAATCACACACATTTTAGAAACGAATCCCAGAAATAAAAAATAAACAAAAACAAACAGAGAGCAGGCCTTCGTAGATATCGTGGGTATTGCAGAGAAAAGGAAATACATAAATACTTGGATGGCTTAATTGAAAGCCAAGTCAGGTGGTATCGCGTTCTATCGTCCACTAATTTACGTGTAAAGGTACCTACATGTACCTGCCTGGCGCTCTTAAAGGTGGGACCTCGGCGGAACGCGGGTCTGGGCATAGCACCTGCCCCGTAATACGCGCTGCCCGCATCTTAATTGATTTGATCGAGTCCATCTCCAATTCGAATTCGAATGCACAACATCAAGAGTCACAACACACCACCACCACTCTCGTTCGTTCACCGACAACCAACAATCGCCCGCCCAACTCGACGACGTCCCATGCGTTTTGGGATCCGACTTCAATTCACATGGAGGTTGATTGGGACCGACGTTCCGAGCCTTCTTCATGACTCGAAACAACCTTAGCGACCAACTGTCCTGGCTGCTGGCTAACGTCCGTCTCCTCACTCCAAACGCGCCCTCCCTGCCGCCCATACGTGAACCCGCCTCGTCCGCATCCGCATCCGCATCCTCTCCCGTTGACGAGACCGTCTTCTTTACTCCCACCTCAGAGCTATCGCCCGCGACGCGTCCGAATGACTTCGCAGCTGCTGGTTCCAATCCCGTCCTGGCCAAGGACCCGAGCTACCCCTCTGTCGCTACCTCGGTATCGGCCGATGCGAGTACGGTGCCCGGACTTGCATCACGCGGGAATCAACTCGGAGGAGCCGTAACGGCGAACATGGGCCGTCTCGTGTCCAAGTCAACCTCGAAAAGACCAACCCTCATTTTTCAGCAGGAGCATCTTCCTACGCCGGCCCCGACAGCTGCATCTGGTGCCTCACTATCGAGCGATTACCCAGCATTTCTAGCCAAAAACTCTGCCAAAAGCCGAGTAGCTGCTCATAATGCACTTGCGGAATCACGGTCCGAGGGCGTATCCCTCACCCCGAGACCTACCCGCCCAATCACTCGTAATGTTGAGACAGTTGACTTGACGACTGACGGCGGCTCTGTCTCGACCGTTTTTGGAAGCGATACTCGGGTATGGAGGGAGGACTTTGCTTCTCGACCCGAACCCATAACCCCCAGCGAGAACTCGGAATTTGTCTTTAGCAGTAGCAAAATGGTCTGGCGTGAGGATTATGCCGCCCGACCTGGCCCAGTTTCCAACGACACAGACTCCATCGCATTCGGCAACGACGTCATGGTGTGGGAGGAAGACGCCGCTCGGCGGCCAGACCCTTTGTCTACCAAGCGTGGACAGAAGCGGAAGAGTGATCAAATCAGCAAACCACCGACCAGCTCTACGGATGATTTTCCAGACATCATGGATCTTCTCTCTGACGATGAAATTTTGCAATCATCAGCGAAGCCATCTCCCACAAAGTCGCCGGCTAGAAGAAGGCTTAAGACTAGTCCCGTCGGAACACCGTCTAAAAGCAAAACTGTTATCAAATCTCCTTCAAAATCGCCCTCGAAACTAAGAACAGCTCTTGCTTATGATCTGCCCTCTGTCAAACCTCAGCGCGGTGAATTGTCACCTCTCAAAACCCCCCAGAAAAGCTCCACTTCGGATAAATTGGAGCTTTCCCAAGCCAAACTAGACTCATTACTTTTGGATTCCGATTCGGTGTTTGGAAGTGACATAGAACAAGCTTCGAAGCACAAAGCAGGGCCATCACGTCATGTGAGAAGCGATACGCAGGTTATACAAGACTCGGATGAAGATGAAGTCATGACTCCACCAACATACAGAGAGCCTGAAAGCCCGATATTGGAAACCGATAGTCCCACTACGAGGCGAAATATCGGCTCTCAACGTAGTCAATACACTGCTATCCAAGATACGCCTTCCAAGAATCGTTCACTAGTTTCAACTCAGACCGTGACTGTGTCTTGTTCACACAAAATGAGTCAGAGCAAAAAGCAACCCCAAATCAAACCGATCGAAATTCTCGATGAAGTCGAGCCCAAGAAAGGCGTTGATTCTGCCTCTAGTAGCCAAATTAATGTTCCATATGACGATGAGAAGCTGTCAGCTATGCTTGAAGTGTTTCTTCGTTATCCATCGATTATCGAGATAAAACGAGCTCACTTGGAAGAGGGTCTGTGGCAGAACAGGGAAAGTTTCAGACGGTCACTCCAAGAAGGTTCACTTGAACCTAGAGAGCGTCTGAGGCGCGACAAAGAGCAACTGGTGAAGCAGCAAGCAGCGCTAGAAGTACTTAGCAAAGAATACCGGTCTTGCGAAGAATTGGCTAAGAAGAGAGATGCCCTTATCGCTCGCATCGCCGACGCGTATGAGCACGATTTGAACACAGATGAGGACGAGACGCAGCTACAAGGACTGGACGCCCAACTGAAAAATCGCCAAGATGCATTAAAGATCCACTTGGCGAATGCTGGCATCAACGACCCTGCCAGCTTCGAAGACAAAGCAACCAGTGCGCTCTACGCCTCGAAGTCCGAGTCGATTGTACAAGCTACACAAGCTGCTCAGCCCAAGCCGCCATTAAGTTTGTCTCGGGAAAGTAGTCAAATCCCAGGTGCGGGGAGCACACAAGTCATAATGCAGACTCAGGTCCTGCCGCGACCTGACACTCATCAACTAGGAGCTGGTACTCGTTCAAGTGAACCGCCTAACTCACAGACGGGGAGAGATCAATATCCAGCTCTCTCATCACCACGTCGTGTGCCTCGAAGTGAGCACCCTAGCTCGTCAGGAATGGGAAAAATAGGCACTGCAGCTCCCGCCCCACATGCATTTGATACTATGGATTATGAGGGTGAGGATCTTGAGGCTGATGACTTTCTACCAAGTCATACTCTGCCCACACAGACGGTCCGTCAGTCGAACACCGCGAAGAGCCGGAGAAGCCCAAGGAAAGAAGTCGTTCCTCGAAGGATAGGATACGAAAGCGATTACAGTGATGATATTGACATCACAGAATTAGCGCGAGAAATTGAGTTTCAACAGTCATCAGCGGAAGCTAAACCCCCGAATACGGCGCGTACTGTGCTCTCCGAAACATCGGGTAATCTGGGAGCGCGTAAAGACAAGCCGACTACCAAGAAGAAACAAACCACGACAGCCGCTCCGGTCTCACCTCGGCACAAAAAGTTTCCCTGGTACAAGGACGTCAAACGAGCACTCAAAGACCGTTTCAGGATGAATGGTTTTCGGCACAACCAGCTCGAAGCGATCAATGCCACACTCGCAGCCAATGATGCCTTTATTTTGATGCCAACCGGGGGCGGGAAGTCTCTCTGCTATCAACTGCCTGCTGTAGTAGCTAGCGGGAAAACCAGTGGTATTACCGTTGTTGTGTCGCCTCTCCTCAGTCTGATGCAAGATCAAGTCGAACATCTCAGGGCACTCAATATTGCAGCAGCAACGTTCAACGGGGAAACCACGGCCGCAGCGAAAAAAGAAATCCTGGATGCATTGAAGCAAAGGCATCCAGACCATTATTTCCAACTTCTCTATGTTACGCCAGAGATGATAAATAAGAGCGTTATCTTTCTGAATGGCTTGAAATGTCTATATGACAACAATAAACTTGCTCGTCTCGTCATCGATGAAGCACATTGTGTTAGCCAATGGGGTCACGACTTTCGACCGGACTACAAGCAGTTAGGCGTATTTCGTGAACGATTTCCCAGAGTCCCCATCATGGCCTTGACAGCTACTGCAACACAAAATGTTATCATGGATGTAAAACACAACCTCGGTATCGACAAGTGTGAGCAGTTCACGCAAAGCTTCAACCGGCCCAACCTGTATTATGAAGTCCGGAAAAAGGAGAAGGACAATATTACCACCATTGCTGAGCTGATCAACTCAAAATACCCTGGGAAAACTGGCATTGTTTATACCCTCTCCCGAAAGAATGCGGAGACTATTGCAAAGAAGCTGCAAGGTCAAGGGATTGCCGCTCATCATTATCATGCTAGCGTAGAGGCGATAGAAAAGGCACGAGTACAGCGGGATTGGCAGCAAGGAAAAATCAAGGTCGTTGTTGCTACCATTGCTTTTGGAATGGGCATCGACAAGCCTGATGTGCGTTTCGTTATCCACCAGTCACTTCCCAAGAGCCTCGAGGGGTACTATCAAGAAACAGGCCGTGCAGGCCGTGATGGCAAGGCATCTGAATGCTATCTCTACTTTGGTTTCCAAGACGTTACTACACTTCGAAAATTAATCTCCGACGGCGAGGGCAGCGACGAACAGAAAGAACGACAGAGGCATATGCTTGGTGTTGTTACCAGTTTCTGTGATAACCAGAGTGACTGTCGCCGAGTAGAGATTCTACGCTACTTTGGTGAAACATTCACTAAAGGCCAATGTCGCGGCACTTGCGATAACTGCATGTCTAAAGATCAGTTTGAAATGAAGGACTTCACTACCTACGCGCTTGCTGTGTTGGAGATTGTGAGGTCAGCGGAAAGGATAACGCTTGCACAATGCACTGATTACCTCATGGGCAAGAAAAAGAAATCGGATTACCAACCTGTCATAGAGCAATACCATGGCATGGCAAGACATTTGCCCAAACATGAAGTTCACCGTATTATCGATCTGTTACTTGCTGAGGAGGCACTGAAGGAGGAGAACATATTTAGGAAGGCAACGAGAATGGCGATCCAATATTACAAAGTAAGTACCCTCTTGCAATCATGGATTTTGTATTCAAAGCTAACACAAAGTTCTAGATTGGAAGGATGGCGCGCGTTTTTCTCAGTGGTGGGCGCCAACTTCGGCTAACTACCCGCGTCAAGGGCGGTGGTGGTAGTCATATTGGCGCCGCAAGCGTTCAAAGACGCTTGGACACCCCGACGGCTCCAGCTACTAGGAAGGAACATGCGGTGCAATTCACTTCCACTCTGGTGTCCTCGCCAGCCCGGAAATCAGCCAGCAAGAAGAAGGGCAAAGCCGTGGCAAATGTTGACGAGGATAGTGACGAAGACTTCGGCACGCACAGCAACGGATATGGCCAGGACGGTTTCGTAGTGGATGACGACGACAACACGGACGATGATTTTGAAACAATGCCGGCTCCCGTGGCTAGACGTCGAAAGACAACCACAGTTGGGCCACCTATATCGCATGATGCTCGCCTAAGCGAAGAGAATCTGACAGACGTTCAAAAAGACATACTTGAAAGCTTCTTCAAGGATGCTCAAAAACAGGAAGAGAAAATCAGAACTTCAAATGGGCGAAGGGCGCCTCTCTTTTCCCAGCTTCAGCTTCGTGAGATGGGGTTGCGATGGACCGTTTCTTTGGACCAAATGCGGCGAATTCCGGGCATCGATAGAGACATGGTGACTCGATATGGGGATAAAATGCTCCCGCTTATTCAGCGATACCATCAACAATATCAGGAAATCATGGGCGTATCGTCGGAGCCGCCTACTCTACCCTACTTAGGCGAGATCGTGGACTTAGTAACCAGCGATGATGACGATGACGATGACGACCAGGATATGGAAGCCATTGATGATGATGATGATGACAATGACGACGACGATGATGACGGAGAAGGCGAAACTTCGGGCTATTTCCAACCGTCTGCCGTGGAGAGGACGTTTATGGAGAAATTCCAACGCGCCAATCAACAAGAGGGTTCCTCTTCTAATTCCCGTGGGCGTAGCCCAGGCAGCGGGAGAGGAGGCAAGGGCAGTTGGCGCGGCGGGAAGAAGCAATATGCGTCAAGGCGGTCGTCTGGCGGTAAATATGCAGGTGTCAAAAAGAAAGGCGCCGCATCTAAGAGAATAGCAAGTGGTCAGGCTTCCCGAGGTGGGTCGGGGGGTATATCACAGAGCAGAGCCACTCCTGCTGCGAGAGGCAGGGGCAACAGATCACAAGGCGTCGGTTTCGACGGTATCGGGCTCATGGATCATTAGCTGAACCAACGACATAAAATCCAAGAAGCTTTTCTCTTCTCACTATGGGCTGGCATGGAGTGTAGGCGGGAACACGGCGCAGGGCCTGGTCTTTTATCATCGATGATTTAAGCGATCGCTTCCCGCTACTGCATTATACCTGTCTGGCTCTTCCAAGCATTGTTTTTTTTTATCTCATGCATGGCGTGGCGTCCTTGTCTGTGTGGCATACTTTGTGTTTCTGCTAACGTTGTGCCTGTCTCTCTTCCAATGTAGCATAAATAATATAGTTAAGAGCATCTATGGTATGGTCATGACGTGGGCATGATGAGTATGGTATGGTATGGTATGGTATTGGCGCGTTGCTTGTTAAGACCTTATAGTAGTACCTACTTATTGACATGAACGAATCAATGGAAGAATACCTTGCCTGGTTTACTCGAAGTGGCGCGAATGGTTTTGTGCATTGTGTGAAGATTTTTATTTGTTTTCGTGAAGATGGCGCAAGTGATGCCTTACTTTGAAAATACCCTTGTCCACACCCTCTGCTGCGTCATGCCTGGACTTAAGTGAAGCTGGACTTAAAGTTCGCGATCTATCAATGATTGATGCTGTGACATAAGACGAGCTAGTCATCAACCGTCTCCCTACAGCCAGCCGCCTTTGTTAGTTCCCAACTTCTGAGGTCCGTCAGCATGTCTCATAACTATAAGTAAGTGCTGAATAGCCTTACTTTCAATACTAACTAAGTGCTTGGGTTAATCGAGATCGTACGGCTGAGCTCTGCAGACAGTACGTGTGCGGGATGTTTAGCATCTGATATGGCATGCGAACTGGGTTATATGTCACTTGTTGGAAAGCTTTGCCTCAACGGCTACACTCGCAAGACTCTGACCTACGTGGCATGGCATGGCACAGCCTAAAACTGAAATGCCTCGCATTTTAATTCTCACTGTATTGGAATGGCAAGCTTCCGTAGAGCTTCCCATGTTCGTGACAGTTCACCTGGTGCTACAGTGATGCAAGCTTCCTGTTTTGGGAGAAGCGTCTCCCTTCTAATATATGGGTGAACAGGTCTTAATGGCAGTTTTGCAATTGTAGATGTGCACGGAATGATTCGTTCATTTGCTATGGTTATACCTCCAGTTCTCCTGCACACTTGCCCTATAGTCTGTATAACTTTGTGTGTGTGATTCATCATCTGTGTTCGACAGGCTTTTCTTCAACGTATCCGAGACAAGGCGCAATCGTATCGACATGAGAAAGAATTGCATCATCAGAGTATTCGTAAACTCAAAAGGAGATAGACCATTCAAATTAGTAAAAAGGGGTCTGGGATGGTGATTAGCTAGCTGGGACACGCGAAGAAGGGGTATAACTATGATGGCTGTGCCAGCAGAGATATGATACGGAATATGGAATGACAGGGCGGTGGAAGCGAACCTTTATCGCGACGAGTTTTCGTGAGAGATACGAGGCCCTGACATTGTAATTAACAGCGTGAATCTCTTACTCATCTCTCCTTCGTGTGTCGTTCTCTAGGACACTTAGCATCGGTAATGGCTGCGCTTTACTTCTATTATCCATCTCGTCCAGATATCCCGCTACAGCCCCTACTGACGTGATGGATTCATTATCTGTTCCATATCCGTCCAGATATCCCGCCACAGCCCCTACTGACGTGATGGATTCATTATCTGTTCCATATCCGTCCCCATCATCTACTTCTTGCTCGGGACAATTGTCGCTGCCACTCGATTGGGGCGGCTTGCCCCTATATTTCTCGAATAGCCGGAGTAGGTCAGTTCTTTTTCCATTCCTTGCCAAATCCCAAGCTGAGCGGCCTTGGTATGGCTTATGACAGTCGTCTCCATTTCGTAGCAGCGTTTCAAGTACGTTGAAATGAGGGCCAGGCAGATGATCGTACCCACTTCTCTCTAGGATAATCGGGGTGCCTTCTATGGCTGAGATGATGAGAGGCATCTTGTCACAATTGCCATCGGAATTTTTCGAGCCGACACTCTGCAGGTGCGTTTCCAAGTACTCATGAACACCACATATGGCCATTAAGTGCAGAAAGGACGGGTCCGGAACCCCTGAAATAAAGAATGATGACCAGTGGTCGTCTCCACGAACGCCGCAGCGACCCGCGAAAGGCGCATCTGGTGTAGTGGAAGAGCGTGTGAGAAGTGTAGCAACATTGTCTATTTCGTCAAGAAGAAGGATGGTCTCCCGTGTTTGCTCCGTCGAACGGGTATTGAGGGATCTTTTCGCGTATTTGATCGCCATCCATAAGTGAAAGCTCATCTGTCTCGCCGATAATGATACTGGGTTCAAACCTTTCATTCCTAGTAAGTTTGCTTTTAAAAGGACAAGGCTAGATCTGCAGTAGGTCCCACGCTGGATGTGCAGTATGCAGCTGCTGCCACTTGATTAAGTCTGTAGCGCGCGTTCATCCCGCCGGCAGCACCGTTTCTCCCGCACTGTTTACACCACCTACCTAGGTATCTACCTAAGGCACCTATAGGCAGCCAAGTACCTAGACTAAACGTAAGCCTACCTAGGTAGGTAGCATATAAACCAATATTAAGTATAACCTTTGATTTAGGTATGTTTAAAAATGTATACAGTGTATAGATGCTGCGCCAGCTGGAGCGGGCCTGCAAACAGCTGTATACTGCACATCCAGCGTGGGACCTACTGCAGATCTAGCCCTGTCCTTTTAAAAGGGACAAATGCGGGCTGAAGGGCTTTTCATGGACTGAGAGGAGCCATGACCATACTTCAGGTGTCTCGATGTAGTCCCGAACACTTCTGTGGAGGTATTGGACCTCCAGGCCCGCCACAATATCTTCATTATCACTCATGCTGGCTTCGATGTCTAACGCCGAACTGTTTTCCTCGAGCTTAAATATTGGGCTTGAGGAAATGCCAAGGAGCCCACGGCATCGACTAACCAGTTTTCTTTTCATATTCTTGCATAAAGCCAACCGGTCCTTGTTAGTCATTGGCTTTGTTGGTGCCTGTATGGCATAATCCTCTTCGAGGTCGGCCAGCGCGATACGTAGCAAGGTGGGCGAGACATCGCAAGCCCTGACAATCTGGAAAAGTCGAGATGCTTGGTCTATGTACCGCTCTTCCAGACTGTTTAAAATCTTGGCATACAGATCTTCAAGATCAGGCGGGAGTTCTTCGAGCCGGCTATGAAGATCCCGGAGCCCATCTCCGTTGGTCATCCCTTCGAGCAGAGACTGGACTACAAGGTGTACCCAAAGAAAGACGCCCTCGGCCTTTTCGGCAATTTTCTCCAAGAGTAATTGTGCTTGATATGGTTCTCGTACCTGTAGCTCGGCAAAGCCTTCGTTGGCAGAGAACTTGGATGTGATGAACAGGCTAATGTCGGCAGCAGAAAGATCGTGAAGCATTGAGCTTGGCCGATCCTTGAATGCGTCCTGGAAATTGTTCCACATGCGACTTGCAACACACAGCTTTAAATTTTCCGTGTCGTCAGCAAGTTCTCTGATTAGGTGCATAAGTTGCGTCTGGTCTCCCGAACACTCATCAAGGCCGTCAAGCATGAAGTAAAACTTCTTCTCGGGCAGGCAGTCTATAATCAGCCTCCTCAGAGCCTCAGCCACCTCCCCCCAGCTCCAAGGATAGTCGTCGTCGTCGAAAAGGGTTAATACTTCCCATCTTTCTGGTAGGACATCCTGAATAACCTGGGTAGGTAGCTGCTGGAGGCAATCATGCAAGACCGCCTGTAGAAGGCCTTCTACGGACATTTGCATGTGCGAGCCGCTATTCCAGAAGTAAAACGCTGCTTGGATGACTTGGGAACCGCCGCTCCAGTTTTTCAACTGCTCGGTGGTCCGAGCCTGATGCCTAATGTATTTCATTAGGGTTGACTTTCCTGAGCCCGGTTTGCCCGTGATCCAGTAAATCTTCTTGCACGGGCTCTTCAAAAAATCTACGAAGCTGGACCATGATTTAGTGTCTGCTGTAGGGTTGTGAAAAATCCATTTATACGTTTGTTCGTGTGCCTCGGGAATCCGCCTTTCTCGGTCATTCATATTCTTGAATGCTAGCTCGTGCAGTATACGTTTTCGGACACGCTGTTCCTGTGCCACCACTGCGTCTGACGCCCGCCCTTTCTCATCATTCTCAGCTCGGCTTCGATTGGCCATTGCCTGGCAATTTCCCCGCCCCTGCTCGTGAATCATTCGGACCAGGTCGCGTTTCCATTCTCCCCCGTTCATGAATCCTTCTATGAAGCGATCCCCAGCCATTTTGCTGTTCCGTTGTAGCTCCTCAATCCTCTCAACCGATTGCCGCGTGGATGACTGCTCTTGGATCAGCATTTCTGCCTGGCTCCTTAGACAGCTTAGAATGATTGCCATCACCTGCTGTCGATAACGATCTAGTCTGTTTTCTAGTGACTTCACCTTCCCTTCGTTCCATGTGGCTTGCAGAGCGTATCGGAACGAGCGCCATTTTGATTTGGGGCCCTTTGATGTGAGATTAGTTAGGACATCCATTAGCTCCTCCGCGACCCCCTGGCAATCACTGGCAATCTTTTGAAGGTCTTCTTCGTTCTTCGTCAGCTGCCGTATTGTACGCTGACCTGCTATGGTTACTTGCGTGGCGATGTTTCTGCGTGATAGGGACTCTTGGATATCATTATTGTTCTGCAAAAGAGATGCTGTGATGTTCTTAAGCTCCTCATAATCTAGGGCAAGACCAGTCATGGATGAATGTATGGAGACGCCTTTGGCAATAAGGCTGCAGGTGAAATCGATAAATTGAAAGACAGCCGCTGATACAGCTAACGCGTCCATAATTATAAGTGCGAGATTGGCGGTGAGAAGCACAATAGATATAGTTTGACTACGACTTTGAGGCAAGAGATGA